GAAACAAAGTGCTGAACTTTATAGCCTAGTTATTACGCAGTATTTAAAATAATTTGTGTAGAAGAACTGATAACAGAGTCCCGGTAGTACATCTGCGATCAAGTTTTCGTTAATTTCAAGCATCAACTCTTGTTCAAGGTGAGTTTTTAGAACTATCACATATAAACATATCAACAATTCAGCTGTATGTTGGGTGGTTACGAGACATCACCAGCAAATTCCGCTTTTCAGTACTCATCAGTAAGGTGTACCTGTGACCTTTAGATAAATGACGTCCTGATAAGCATCGAAACTCACGTGATCCATTTCTTATGTCAAAGACGGTAGGAATGAATTACTTCGTTGATCACTAACCTTCTGTTTAACTGAATAATACACATTGATTAGTCATCAGATATCGACCGAGTAGCGATAGATAATTCTGATGTTAAACCTCGTTTAATTTCCATCTGAGACTGGACCAAAGTGACTAACCAGTATGGGCTACTGAGGTTTTGAGCAGATGCCTTGTTATTGCCAGTACTATGACAGTCACATGAGGAGTGGTAATCTTAACTCAATGACTTAGTGAATGAAGGTTTGGTGTTTGAAGGGATTGGTCTTAGTTAGAACAACATCCAGCTGACAAGTGTGAACGACGGCGAATCGCTCTTCATGGACTCCATTGCTAGTTACTATTTATCATTATTAGGGACAGATAAGTATCGAAGATCTAACACATAATGAATGATATAACAGATGGTGAACCTCTGATGTATGTATTGTATCTTTCAAGAAATGTAATTATCTATTAAAGTAACTGGTCCCTTTGATAAATTTAAAGATGAAGATTATCTGAAATATGTTGTGATGTATTAGCCTTACACATTTCGAACAATATGATCACATATGGACTTGTCCAACTATTTATGTGAAAATTTACGAAAAGGGTTAATGAAGTTAATAGGAAACATCGTAGGAATAGGAAGAGTGGGGAAAAAGAAAAACACGTTAATCACGTTACTCTTCGTATGAAAATTAAAATCAATACACTACCAAGATGGGTTTAATGTGAGTACAAATTGTTTTTGTATATATAAAGCGGGGGTTTAAATTTACGGATGGTAAGAGCTTCAATAAACGTATGTCCATACATATATTATTATTATTATTATTAGTCCCTTGGGTTCCTAGTGGAACATAGGGCTTCACTAGCACATCTCCATTCCACTCTGTTCTCTGAGATCTTTTGGACCTGGTTCCACGACAGCCCACAACCTCTCATTTCCTCCTCGCACGACCTCCTCCATGTCACCCTCGAAACCGACACCCAACTCGTCGCTTCCCATGGGGATTCCACCAGAGGCACTGGTCTGATGCGTGATGTCCCCAGTCGGCCTTCTCAGTGCATGGCCAATCCATCTCCATTTCCTCCTGCATATTTGTTGGGTGATAGGTTCTTGCTTCGTTGGTTCGTTCCCAGAGCTCCTTGTTGTTTATTCTTTCTGGCAATCCATCTGATCTTCAGTAGCGAGCGTAGCAGTTATTGATGAATGTCTGTAGTTTATTGGAAATCCCTTTCGTAACGCGCTAAGTCTCTGAGCCATACAAGAGCACTGACTTGACTGAGTTTGGTGTTGAAAATCCGTATCTTGTTCCGCATGCTGAGTGGAGTGCAGAAGATCTCCACACTGGTTTCAGGCTAATGAATACCTGTCTTGCTTTTCCAATTCTGACTTTGACATCCTCGTCTGTGCCTGTGTCGCCTGTAGTTGAAACAGTGCTTCCTAGATAAGTGAAGGAGGTTACTTCCTTCAAGTTTCTCCCGTTGATGGTGATTGGAGTTTGTTGTTGTTGTTGGAGTTGTTGGTGCGGTATCTTCATCACCTCTGTCTTCTCTATATTCACCTGAAGTCCCGTCTTCGTTGTCCTGCCTCTTCTATCAACTTGTTAGTTTTCGCTTGTAGATCATCAAGTTTTCGTGACATCAGACACAAGTCATCACTGGCGAAATCCAAGTCTTCTAGGTTCTTTTCCGCAGTCCAGCCAGCGTATCCCCCACTTCTCGCTGCTCCCCACTGTTTGCTGCATGATCCAGTGAAGTTGACCACAATCAGGAATATCATGGGGGATAGTAAACGGCAACCTTGTTTCACTCCTGTCTTCACTTCACTTCAGTGACATCACTGAGCTTCCCATTGTGAATTACTTGGCCGGCATGTGGCATCTTCATATAGTTGTTGAATGAGGCGGATAAAGGTTTGCGGTACTCCGTAGTATTGAAGCAGTTTCCAAATTACTTCTCGGTCGACGCTGTCAAAGGCCTTCTCAAAGTCGATGAAGTTGAGTTAGAGAGCTGATTGCCATTCTATGCTCTGTTCTATGATGATGCGTGGTGTGGCGTTGCAATTTGGTCTGCACATGATTTGTACTTCCAGTAGCCTGCCTGTTCCGGTCGTAGTTTTGAATCCAGTGCAATCTTAAGCCTCTCTAGGATGATGCAGCTTAATATTTTGCTTGCTCTGGGTGGACAGGAGAGTGATTCCGTGCCAGTTCTTGCAGACACTGAGGTTCTACTTTCTTCGGGAGTTTGACAAGGTAACCCTTCTTCCAATCAATGGCCAGGTACCTTCTCTTCCTTCCACACCTTCTGCAATAATGGTGTGAGCATGTCCGCTGTTGTCTCTGCGTCCGTTCTCAGTGCTTCTGGCGGTATTCCATCCGGACCTACTGCTTTTCCGCATTTCAGTAGCTTTATGGCGTTCAGGACTTCCATTTTCGTTGGTGGATTTATGTTCACTTGTAATTCAGCGGCTGGGCTGCAGGTGGTATTTCTGGACGAAGTGCAGGTGGTGGTGGTGGTCGATTCAAGAGCTTTTTGAAGTGGTCGGCCCATTGTTTCCTCTGTTTCTCTTCTTTGGTAATTATACTTCCTTCATCATCTTCTATTAGTTTCATCTGCGTTGATATCTTGCCAGATAGTATCCTGGTTATTTGATACAATGTTGTCAGGTCTCTCCTACTTGCAGCAGTCTGTTCTGCTTCACTTGCCAGTGTTTCGTAGAAGTGTGTTTTGTCTTTGCGTGCACTCTTCTTCACTTCTTTGTCCAGTGTTTTATACATTGTGCTCAGTTCTTCTTGTCGTTGAGCGTCCTTGCACTGGTTTATCTTCTGCTTCACCATCCTCCTCTCCTCTTCCAGCTTCCATGTATCCATTGAGGTCCATTCCTTATCTTCTTTCTTCTTCCTTCCTAATACGGTTGTGCAGGTCTCTTTCCACATAGCTTTCAAAGAGTCCCAGTGTTCTTCCACACAGGTTTCTTCAGGGATGTTCCTCGATATCTCCCATTTTGTCTTGATGGCTGCCTTGAAGATCTCCTTTGTAGTTTCATCCTTCAGTTTCCGAGTGCTGTACTTGAATTGAGGTCTATCACCAGCTTCCTTGAAGGCTTTTAACTTGATTCGGAAGGCAGGTTCCTTCCACTAGATAGGGGTGTGAGTGGTGTGAACCTACATCTGCTCCTCTTCTTGACCTTGTGTTAAGCAGACTGCGTCTCCATTTTCTTGAGATTGAGATAAAGTCGATTTGATTTTTAGTGTGTCCATCTGGTGAAATCCATGTCGCTCGCTTTGTGGATATCTTTGTGCCTGAACACACTGCCTCCAATTACCAAATCGTTGAGTGCGCAGAATTCTGCAAACAATTCTCCATTCTCATTCATTTCACCTAGCGCCTCTCGACCCATGGTTAGTTCTTTTCCTGTGTTGTCCCCTCCCAGCTGAATCTTGCTGTCATTATCCTGCAGGAGGAGATTGGTTCCCACTGCATGAGAGCCTTCGATGCTCTTCAAGGGGACATCATGATAGCCACTCCATAACTCAGTGTGCTCGTGGTTGTCGTCTGGGTGGCAATATCGGAGTAGATTATTGATTCTCCAGTTGACAGTTTGGAGAGTCCACTCCCATTCCATCTGCTTTCGCAAATCCCAAGCACTTCGATGTGATATCTCTTCATCTCGTTTGCAATCTGGGCTGCCTTACTGGGTTCAAACATCGTACGGACATTCCATGTCCCCACGTTTACTTTCGCTTTCATCGAGAGAGAGAGAAGACACATTGGCCAGTTGGCTTCCCGAAGGCTTTCACCAACTGGCGTCATTTCGCCTCTCCGATTCCAGCGGGGAATAAGTTTGTTTTCATTTTTTATATTTTGTTTGTGCTTTGAAGTTTCTTTAGCGGTTAGATTTGTTTTACGGGGTAGAGTTGCTAGCCCTATGCCCAACCTTCCCTCTTTACCCGGGCTTAGGACCGGCTAGTAACTAGTAAACTAGTTAACCAGGTGAGGTTTTTTTCTACAGCCATACATACATAGGGAGAAGTAATCGTGATATGCAGTTAAAGAAGGTGGAACATGTACCTAAATGGCTACAAAACAAATGACCTCAGCAGATCCGATAAGTCCAGATGACAAACATCCATCTTCCTCTATCGCTAAACATCTACTAGAAACTAACCATAGGATAAACATGAAAACAGCCTTTAAAGTACTACATAAAGGTGGTCAGAGCTGAGTGCTTAAATTTATTGAAGCTCTTGCCATCCGTAAATTTAAACCCCCTGCTTTATGTATACAAAAACAATTTGTACTCACATTAAACCTATCTTAGTGGTGTATTGATTTTAATTTTCATACGAAGAGTAACGTGATTAACGTGTTTTTCTTTTTCCCCACTCTTCCTATTCCTACGATGTTTCCTATTAACTTCATTAATCCTTTTCGTAAATTTTCACATAAATAGTTGGACAAATCCATATGTGATCATATTGTTCGAAATGTGTAAGGCTAATACATCACAACATATTTCAGATAATCTTCATCTTCTTATTAAGCGGTTTAAATTGTTTATTAATCTATCAATTTTATAAAATATTCTTTGAGAATATTGCATATTTGTTTTACTTTAATGACAATTGAATGAATATTCATTTTTATGATATATATCCATTTTAATTTTTTTCAGTATTGTCAAAAAATGTTCATTCAATCCACAAGCAGATGATGATTATTTTTGTAAATGTAAAGTAAATGAATATGATAAATTAATTGATCCTAATTGTGATCGATGTAAATTAGCAATGGATATAGGTGAAAAACCATCAGAGGATACAGAATGTGATCATAAACCTGAGCCAATTGAATGTCATTATCATGGAACACAATCTGTTTCAAATGATAATGAATGTCAATGTAAAGTATGTATTCCAAATTTATTATTATTTTTTTTTTTTTTGAATATCACTTTATAAAATATGAAATTAAGGGTCAGTTACCTTAGGTAATTAGAGAGTTTACTGTTAGTAGTATGATCATATATCAACTGAAATTTTAACTTCACTTTCTTTTTATTGAAAATTCTTTCATTATTTCCATAGTCAACTTCTTGATGTCATCATAAAGAAAGGAATGTTTCATGGAATAAGCTATTCAACTTAAAAAAAAAAGTCATTCATTATTGATGTAGAAAATATTGGTTCATTGACCAGGTAAACCAAAAATTATCATATTTGAATGATCAGTTGAGTGATCAATGACATGTTGATTAGTCCTATAACTTGGTCTTCAAGTTAGGAGACTCATCATCAAGATTCAATTTGTTACATGTTAGTCAGTTGAATTAGTACTTCTTGTCATCAATCAATAGTAAACCATGATGATAAGTCTGTTTGCTTAGTGAAGTAATCGATAGAAATTGAACATCACTCAGGACTCGAAAAAGATGAAGTCGGTTACTTTCCAATGACCAATCAGAGTATCTAATCCAGTCCTACAGAAGGTGAACTTTAACCCAAGTAACTCAGTTATACGTCACTGACTACAATATCGGATGACGCCAGTTGAAATCTCAGGTCGGTTATAAGTTCTCTCTAGGTTGCAGATAGGAGTAGAATATAAGTTTTGGTGAATGTTTATGGATCTTCAAAGGAAGCTAGAGTTTTAGTTGAGAAACGTTTCAATATAATGCTTGACATCCGACCTTCAATTCCTTACGAATATCTGATAAACTGATGATGTCTTGGATGATGTGGAATCGCTTGCCATCTGAAACCTTAACATGAAATGACAACGTACTCTGAACAGAAAAATCGAAGGTTAGACATAAGTTCAACAAGACATTTAAACGAACTAACTTACGAGGTGATTATATTAGAATAACCATATACAACGAACCATATTTCAAAGTTTAAAGTGTACAGTTACTTTCTTACAGAGACTTTTATAACTTAGTAGTTATTATACCTTAAGTTCCTATTGATATTGCTTGAATCGACAGTGAACACTCTATTCCTGAGCCTTCCAGTTCATAGACAGCATCACCGTCAAAGGTGAGCAGTGAAGCCTTTCGGAAAAGAAAGACGTTTAAGGTCAACTCAACCTGTCATGATAGATTGGTGAATACTTTGCTAGAGCTCTGGCAATTTTCGAAGAAAGCTTACTCGATGCTATTCTTTGATAAACACTATCAACAAAATTGAAAAGTCGTCTGTTCTCTTTATTGATCAAGATGACGTAATTGAGCCGTTAACTGTTCATCATTACTAGGACAAGTTATGTCGTTTATGGTTCTCTAAGCTATACATTGTATTACTAATTCTCTAATTAGCCATTAAAAAGAATGTATGAATGTATAATAGCCGAAAAAGGCTGAGATTTCTAGGGGAAGACTTGTGAAACGGATAATTTCCAAAGTTATGCAGGTCAGTTTGCATTAAATGCAACGTGAATAATTATTATTCCACTGATAGTAGTTTGGGAAACATCACTAACGTGCTCTCATATATTGAGGAGATAGAGAATATTTGTAGCTCAGGAGGATACATTAAGTGGTGTTGTGTTCACCGAGCTGGATTGTATAGTCGTGGAGCTTCCGTTGTCATTCTAAACAACATCATCAAATCAAACTTCGAAAAGAACTAGGCTATGGTGTTTTCTCTACAATTTATTCACTAGCTTGTCCCGATGACTCAGCGTGATTGCCTGCTTCTGCCAACATCTTATCATTGTCGCCATATTCGTTTTCAGTGGTCATCATTATGACTTGAAATTTGACTTTCTTATTGGTTGGTAGATTGGGTCAGTATCAATATGTCTAATGACTGCTGACTTACATGAATACCAACATTCTAGAAATTCTCTGACATTCTTCATATTTCCACTATCTAGAACTTTCACATCTTCCCAGTCTAATTCATGCCCACAGAAGATACCTCATGACGCCTTACTGCTAGTTGATGTTCAATTAGAGGGATACGATTTTGTCAAAAAATATTTACGTTATTCGCCATCAAACAAGAAGTTCACCTCGAAGGCTAACGTCTTCGGTATAACCACTAGATTATTAGAGGGTTTGGAATCGCCGTACCTCACAAGCCAACAAAATGTCTTTAGTCGCTGCTGTAGTAGCAAAAGAAGATAAACCAGGCATTATCTACAGAATAAACTATCACAACTGTGAAAAACACTACATCTGATAGAGTGGTCTTCCTCTTCGCATCCGTCTAATTGAACATCAACTAGCAGTAAGGCGTCATGAGGTATCTTCTGTGGGCATGAATTAGACTGGGAAGATGTGAAAGTTCTAGATAGTGGAAATATGAAGAATGTCAGAGAATTTCTAGAATGTTGGTATTCATGTAAGTCAGCAGTCATTAGACATATTGATACTGACCCAATCTACCAACCAATAAGAAAGTCAAATTTCAAGTCATAATGATGACCACTGAAAACGAATATGGCGACAATGATAAGATGTTGGCAGAAGCAGGCAATCACGCTGAGTCATCGGGACAAGCTAGTGAATAAATTGTAGAGAAAACATCATAGCCTAATTCTTTTCGAAGTTTGATTTGATGATGTTGTTTAGAATGACAACGGAAGCTCCACGACTATACAATCCAGCTCGGTGAATAAAACAACACCAAAAATTATTCTCATATTTACATTTAACATCATTAGATTTAGGTTATAGTCAATTTTCAAACTTTTTCAATTGAGGAATTATGTGTTTACATCAAAGTATTGTTTGAGGACCATTTTTTTCGTTTGTAGACGTTTTGACTGTTATTAGTCCATCGTTACTGTTAATCCATAGTGTATAGAAGTCGAGGCTTCACAGTATACCAGTTTAAAGACCGAATCCTTTTCTTAGAAAGGACTACAGTATCATCTTTTTAGAAGCCTTTGATATGCTTTATAGTATTTGTGTTACAATTATTATCTTCTTGATGAACTTCAGTTGAATCTGATACCTAGAATGATACGAAATAATCTACTTGTAGAAAGTTAATCTCAGGAAGTTTCCAAATTACTCGAACATGTGCAACCTCAACTACAGATACTTACTATTATGTCTTAGTCACAGTCAATCTCAAAAACGGATCTTTACTTTCCACTGCCATTTTATATCATTACGTATTACATTCACAGGTGGGAGTGAAAATCCAATCAAATTGACAAGCACCATATCTCAGCGTGACTTCTTCAAAATATAAGAAATAAGGAGATCTTTTTCCTTGAATTTATTGTGATAGGTCATTGTTTAAAGTATTTAAGGAGTCAACATTTACAAACTGCTTACTAATTACACCTCAGTAGTCTGTTTGCGAAGTTTATTATTTCTCGAAAGTAAAATAGATGTGAATCGAACGACGTTTCGAGAAGGTATTCATCATAGACTGACATCATTTGGAGAAACATTAGAAATCTAGGAGCACTGGACATCTGTGCGCATCCATGACCTTGCCTCATCAGGGATTGAATGCGGTTTCTTCAAGTTCTGTGGCCAACACGTCACCATCGGGCCACTAGGTTGGAATTTATTGGTCCAAATTTCCAACTTCTGTCACTTCACGACATAGCACTACCATTACTTAGTGTCATCTTTGAGTACTTGTCCTCATGACCACTATGTTTGCCCAACTTGTCACAACTTCTCATTGGAACTTCAGGAGTCACCTCTCAAAGGTAGTCATCAGTGAGCACAGATTAATTCAATTTTGGGTTTGTTGGGTGATTGCTGAAGTCTCAATGAGGAGTCGTGATTGATGGGGTAAGCCTGATGGACGTGAAGACATATATTCGGCGACGATATTGGTTGATTGTCGTGCTACGTCGTGAACTGACGGAAGTTGGAGATATGGACCATTAGATTCCACCGACCCAGTGGTTTAGTGGTAACATGCTGGCCACAGAGCTTAAAGGTTTGGGTTCGATCCCAGGTGATGTGGGGTCATGGTCGCACACTGCTGAGAATCCCCTAGTCAGACAGAACAACTGTCCAGTGCTCCCAGGTTTCCAATATTCCTCCAACTGTATCAGTCCATGATGAATACCAACTTGAAAAATCACCGAACCCTACAAACCCTCAATCGATGTGTTCGAAAGTCTAGAAATTAAATACCTATCCAATAAAATGATATAATTAGAACGGTTAAGCATGACATTTCTCTAAGCCGCTAAAACTAAATAAGATTAAAAAAGACTGAAATTTTAGCTAGTGGGCACACGATGCAATCGACTAGACAATAGGTTAAGGAGATCGAAAGTAGATGATTCTATGTACTCTACTATTTTACTGAGATTGTATCGAGCTGGAAAGATATTCACTACTTGAATCATTAAGAAAAGAAATTCACGAAGATGCGAAGTTGGTAATCAGTCAACATTGGTACTGACATTACTGTTTAACAGTCCACTTTATCACTTCATTCCTTAACACATCAAGGGAGAACGTATCAAGATGAAAAATGAAGGAAGTAGATGAAAAGTGAGCAAAACCGTTAAAAATTTTTAAAACGAAATGAAATGAAGTATAAAGACCAAGATAATGGTAATATTTGAACACATTTACATGCTGTGAAATAAATTTGGAACCATATCACCTGCATTAATAAAAGAGTACAACTTTGGTATTGTTGTAGAATGTGATTCCATTTTAGTCCATTTGCTAGAAATGCCACATGTTGGAACAGTATTGTTTAGTGGATAACGTTTCGAACACAATTTGCTAGCCATAGTCACATCGAGATAGGTACATAACTTTAAGATATCCTTTATACAGTCTTAATTTCCTCACCTCCTTTGTGAAATGGGTAGTGGGATTTCTCATAGATCTGGAACAGGTTCTGAGTCGTTCATCTTGCACATAGTAGGTGTTGACTCGATAAACAAATATTCAGGTTTGCATTAATCGTAGACTGACATCGTTGAAGGAAGATTGGGAAGTTGGAAGTACTGCACAGCTGTTTCGTCCTAGTATGGGACTCCTCAGCTGTGTGCACCCATGACCCTGCCAGGGATCAAACACGAGTTCTTCAGGTTAGGTGACCAGCACGTTACCATTGAGCGCTAACTCCATCCAGTGGCGTTGTTGAGCAGTTATCTTCATCTTTAACTTAGTTGACCCCACCCATGACGGGAAGTCCTATACTAGGATGGAGTGGCTGACAAGTACTCCCAGGTTTCCAACCTTCCTCCAAATAATGTCAGTTTATGGTGAATACCAACTTGGAAAATCAATAAATCCTCACAAACCTTAAAGCTGAACAAAGATTCAGATATCAGTCTCTCCCCTGACTCAGCTATGGTCATTTTAAGGACTACCACTCAGTCCCATCATATTGTGTGGTTGTGCGTAATTAAATGTTAGTTGTACTCACTTCTGAGGCAAAAAACCAGACACATAAGGACACCTTACTCATCAACAATTACTCTCCCAAATCGATCAATAAGTTCCTTCGGAATCATAGAAATATTAATAACACGGGTGTTAGTGGTGATAATAATGCAGTTAATAACAGTAATAAGAATAGGGTGAAGAATTCAAAACTTCTACAGCACTACCATACAAAGAAGGCACCTCTGAAACGCTACTTAGGATTCTCAATATGGCTGGCTTGGGATTACAGTGACATTTAAACCTACAAACTTACTTAGAAACAAACTCTGTAACTTAAAAGATTCTACTGATCCAACTAGGCAGAATAACCTAGTTTACCAAATTCGTTGCAACGACTGCGAGATCAAATACATAGGTCAAGGTGGTCGACCAGGGTCACTCAGGCTCTCCAAGTACAAAACCCTGGCCAGATCAGATTGGTAGATCCTAGTAAGGTAAAGAAATTAAAAAATAGCTGAGCAATAGCTATGCATAGAACTACACAAAACCTCACAAGAGGATGGGACTGAGTGACTTATCAGGGTGGAGGGAGAGATTGACAACTGAATCTTTGTTTATAAGACGAGCAATACATACAAGAGGATTGACTTGACAGGTGTTCTGGATATGTGGAAAATCCTACCACTAATATCACAAAGAGGGCGAGGAAATTAGTACTACATAAAAGATATCTCAAAGTTGTGTAGTTATCTTGATATGGCTATGAACTGTTAATTCTGTTAGAAACATAATCCGGTGAATAATACCGTTCCACTGTGTAATACGTCTAATAAATAGACTGAAATGGAATTATATATCATCTTTAGTCTGCAGCTACAGGTTTCTACTGTCACGCGAGCCTTACCATACCCTATCTGACTGAAACTGACGTCGAAGGCTGTTGCAATGTTTTGATCCGACCACTCTTTATCCTATTCTAGTATAAAACCTACTTCAGCTAACATTTTGTGACAGGACAGACTGCGACTAGGCATATGTAGTACATGTCCCAGCCATCTACTTTGGTGAAGGTTCACGATCTCATTAATTGACCTATTTGTTACGCCTAAAGGTTTATACATGACGTCTGCATAACGATATATGGTTCCATATTAGATTTGTTTATTTGATATAAAGCGCACAGTGATACAGTATTATTTACTTGCGCTTTATATCAAATAAACAAATCTAATATGGAACTACATTCTACCACAGTGCCCAAGTTTTTCACTTATAACGATATATGGCCTATGTTATCCAAGGTGACTGTGATCATCTGGATCACCTGATAAGATAAATAATCTAGTAGTTGATATATATGAAACTTATCGATTTGTTTTCTTTGTTGAGAAAAGTCTAGTCGAAATCATAAATCTTTTATAATATGCTTTTATTATTACTTGAACACAGACTGGTTATACTGGTACAAAATGTGATGAATGTGAAGAGGGTTATTTCAATCACGAAGGAAAGTGTCTACAATGTTATTGTTCAGGAAAAACATCATCTTGTCGACTATCAGATGATCATTATTTCTGGAATATTACAACGGTATGTAATTGGAAGTGTATAAGTATTCTGATAACAATTAATGATATTTCCATTTGTAAATTTGAAGTAAACTGATTTCTACTCTGCTGGTGACTTTTATGCAACATTTTGCTTCCAATCGACTAAGTGGTTAATAAACTACTGAACGAAATGAACTTATATATCTAATGATAAACGTTTTGGGGAATCTATCTCATTAAGTAGTACATTGGTCCATAAAATGCGATTTAAGTAAGACTGGAAAAGAATGCATAACTCAGTGACTACTTGGAGATTCATACATCAAAAAATATCATTATTATTTATCCCTTAGGTTCCTAGTTGAACATAGGGCTACAGTGGCACATCTCTCCATTTCACTCTAGCCTTTGCAACCTTTTGAACTTGGTTCCATCACTGCTCTGAAGCTCTCATTTCTTCCTCACACCATCTCCTCTATGTCACCCTCGACTCAGATGCCCAACCGACCGTTTCCCATTTGGGTTCCACTCGAGTGCCTGGCCTAACGCGTGATATCCCCGACTGATCTCAGTGTATTCCCAATCTATCTACATTTTCTTCCACTGCATATTTGTTGAGCGATAGGTTCTCAGTTGATTCGTTGGCAGCTAGCCAGAGTTCTTTGTTGCTTATTCTTATTATTTTGGCCATCTGATCTTCAGTACTGAGCCAGCGTAGGCAGTTGTTGATGAATATCTGTAGTATTTTGGAAATGCTTTCGTAACGCGCCAAGTTTCTGAACCATATAGAAGCACTTAATTGACATTACTGTTGAAAATCCGGATCTTGTTCTTCATACTGAGATGAGTGCCGTAGATCTCCACACTGGTTTCAGGTAAATGAACGCCTGTCTTGCTGTCTTTCCTGGTTTTGACGTCCTCGTCTGTGCCGTCGCCTGTAGTCGAAACGATGCTGCCTTGCCTGGGTAGGTGAAATAGACAACTTCCTATAGGCTTCTCCCGTTGATGGTGATTTGAGCTTGTTGTTGTTGTTGGTGGTTTTGGTTCGGCATCTTCATCACTTCTGTCTGAATAAAGATAAGTCTTCGTTGAATCATTTCTGTTTCATGCTTTGAATGTAGATGTAACAAACAAGAATGAAGAGATCAGTTTTCTGTTTCTCATTTAAGTGGATTGGGTTATTTTTTGAACTACCGCCGATTCTCATCTCTATTCATGGTTATATCTTAAAAGATTTATGATAACCGTTTACCTTTGCATCTAAATTCCTTACTTCACATTCGATCACTTCAGGATAGTTAATACTAACATGAATTAAGGTAAAGGAAAAAAGTAAGAAAGCAAAGCACTTGGGTTTTCTGCTACTTATACCATAGTGGGCGTTGCTGATAACAACGGATATAAGTAGTATATATCGAGAGGGTGGCAGAAATCATAGGGAATTACCGGCAATGGGTAAGGTTTCTGCCAAGAGCAACGCAGGGGACAACACAGGCGGGAGCGGAAACAGGCCATCAGGAATGTGGAACGAAAGCAGAAGGCTGATGCTGAAAAATCTTAGCAGAGAGAAGGAAGTAAATGGAAACCATTTGAGGTTGGAGATCAGGTGAAATGTAAAGAACGAGGATATACGTCAGGGTAGCATGCCAGAAGGAAACTACTGCGTCACCTGCTCCCTGTCCATCGAGCTGTCGAACTCCGCCTCCAGGCGCTGAACCATTCCTCGCCAAGTCTCCTTCCCGTCACCATGTTCCACTCCGTCATCTGCTGCTTTCGCTCTGCCCCGCAGCGACATTCCCAGCACCACGACCTTCGCCTCCATATCCCGAACTCCCACCAAATCCGCTACCGTCTCGAAGTCCTTGAGGAAAACCTCGATGTCTCCATCCTCGAACTCTGCAGGCCACGGAGATCTTCATCACGTCCAAAGGCATCGACACTATTTGAAGAACAGAAGGCAACTCAGAGGAATGTTTATCAAACACAATTGGAGTGGTAGTGTTTACATATGGTACTCCTTGCGCTCACGCAACCATTTGCAAATATCTTCGTTTCCTCTCCATTCCTGTCTTGATTTGCTCTTGACCGGCTCATCATACACTCTTATCAGCAGCATCCCTTGTACTACGCCTGTGTTATACCTTTCTTTGCTCTTGGCAGAAACCTTACCCATTGCCGGTAATTCCCTATGATTCCTGCCACCCTCTCGATATATACTACTTATATCCGCTGTTATCAGCTAAATACGATGTCGTAGAATTTTTATATCTTGTAGTATGTGCATGGAGTCTTATCTACTTGCTACTTGTCTTTACAGACAACCGACACGTAAAGAGCTTTGAGTGAAGAGAGTGCTGGTCATCTGATAAAATAGCTCCCACTAGATGCTCAAATGAGTTGATATGTTTAGTCACAATTGTTTCAGTTAGAATGTTTATTGGTATACCACTAGTTCTGCTGACAATCTTTAAAGTTCTACACAATCAACTATTTTCCCCCCTCGGGTTCCTAGTGAAACATACGGCTTCAGTAGCACGTCTCCAGTCCACTCTGTTCTCTGCAGTCTTTTGAACCTGACACTATGACTGCTCACAAGCTTTCATTTCTTCCTCACACGATCTCCTCCATGTCACCCTCACCTCGAACACCCAACTCATCACTTCTTCTTTGGGTTCCACCCGACGGCCTGACCTGGTGAGTTATGTCCCCAGTCGGCCATCTCAGTGCATGCCCAATCCATCTCCACTTCCTTCTGCATATTTGTTGGGTGATAGGTTGTTGGCTGGTTCGTTCCCAGCCACAGTTCCTTGTCGCTTATTCCTATTAATCTGACTATCTGATCTTCACTGTCAAGCCAGCGTAGGTGGCAGTTGTTGATGAATGTCTGTAGTTTGTTGGAAGTGCTTTTCGTGACGTGCCACGTTTCTCAACCATACAGAAGCACTGATTTGACGTTGGTGTTGAAAATCTGTTTGTTGTTCACGCTTTATGCTGATTGGTGTGCAGTAGATTTCCACACTGATTTCAGATTAGTGAAAGCTAGTCTTGCTTTTCCAATCCTGGTTTTAGTGTCCTCGTCTGTGTCACCGTCTTTAGTTGTAACGATGCAGCCCTGCCTGTGTAGGTGAAAGAAACTTCTTCCTATAGGTTGCTCTCTTTAATGGTGATAGGTGCATGTTGGTTGAGAATCTTCACCACCTCCTTCTTCTCTAGAGAGTCGACTGACATTCTATACTCTGTTCTATGATGATGCGAAGCGCACATGATTTGTACTTCTTGAATCCAGCCAGCCTGTTCCGGTAGTAGTTTTGAATCCAGTGCATCCTTTAGTCTATCCAGGATGATGCGGTTTAATATTTTGCTTGCTGTGGGTGGACAGGAGCATGATTCCTCGCCAGTTCTTGCAAAGACTTAGTTCTCCCTTCTTCCAATCAACCGGTAGGTACCTTTCATTCCTTCCAGACCTTCTGTAGTACTGGTGTGAGCATATCCATTGTTGTCTCTGAGTCTGTCATCAGTTCTTCTGGTGAAATTCCATCTGGTCCTGCTGCTTTCCAGCATTTAAGCAGTTTTGTGGCATTAAGGACTTCTGCTTTTGTCGGTGCGCCTATGTTCACTGGTGGTTCTTCCGTTGCTGGAGGTATTTCCAGATTGGATTGGTTTTACGGAGTAGGGTTGCTAGCCCTACGCCCAACCTTCCCTCTTTACCCGGGCTTACTACCGTCTACCAACTAGTGAAATAGTTAACCGGGTCGGGAAAGAATGAAGGAGAACATTCAAGATACAGGAGTTAATAAAACACAAGATTAGAGTATGAGTTATACCAGATACTCTCACCTTCCTAATATAGGAAGTCAGGTGGAAAACTCTTTGGGAAATTAGTAAGATATGAGAGGAACGGGAAAGGAAATCACACTTGTAACATTCTCTAATGCACAACTATCAATAGAACAGGAATCATGAGAAGTAAGCAGTTTACATAAGTTATGTTCATGTCTGAAACTTGTTTATGGTCTGACATTTTGAAGAATTAAGCATAAGACCATTGATGCAGGACCATCGTTTAAGAAGAGATAGGTATGGAAAGTGGTAGGTTATCAGCATATTTGATAAAATTGATACTAGGTGAATATGGTAAGTGATGCAGAAGTGAAGAGAAAAGATGGGGGTGAAGGACCATTCTTTGGGGAACACCAGTCACACCAAGCATTGAGGTGTGGCGCTTCTCTCTGTGGAATTAGATATGACAGATTGTTTGCTTCATCCTCTTTCTTTTTCAACCACTAGTATGGATAACATTTCTCTAAGTTGGATAAATATACTCTTAATTAAGACGGAGAGATATGAAGGAATAAAAAAAACAAATAAGGCATCTCAAAATTGACAAAATTTCTATAACTAACTATGGATGACATAACGTTCTACCTAGAACTTCATTCGGCAGTTAGTAATGTATCACCTTATTCCATAAGTGATTCATAATGAATAATGGTTTGCAGAGCAGTTTTTATCACATATTAAGACCAACTAGAGAATCACTGAAAGCCTCAAAATACTGGTTAGCTGTCTCACTCTAGTTTTAGACTCTTTAGTAATAGACACCTAAGATCCTAAGTTAGTTGATCCTTCAGAACATAACTTCACATTAGAACTTTGAGAAATGAATCTCGAAGCAAGTCACTAATGAGTACTAGATAGAAAATTAAGTTGATCGTCTGTGGGGACTGATTAAAATTATAGCAGTTTTCATCATCTACCTAAACTAGGTAATCAACTATGAAAAAACAGAAAGCACTTGGCAACTGTTACGTCATGGTTTGGAAGTCTGTTTCATAACTGTAGATATGAAATTATTTGATTTAACTGTTCACTACCATTAAGAATACGGGTATTCAGCAGACTTCTTATAACATGATACTGTCATAATGATGAGTAATGATTACGTAACAGACGGTGTTTTCAGAATCCAACTATCCTTTCGGCTGCCTACGCTGGCTCGATACTGAAGATCAGATGACCAAAAGAATAAGAGACAAGGAACTCTGGCTGGCTGCCAATGAACTAACCAAAATCCAATCGCCCAACAAATATGCAGTGGAAGAAAGTGGAGATGGATTGGGTATATACTGAGAAGACTGCTTGGGACATCACGCGTCAGGCACTCGAGTGGAATCCAAAGGGGAGACGGCGAGTTGGGCGTCGGAGGGTGACATGGATGTGATGGTGTGAGGAAGAAATGAAATCTTGTGGGCAATGGTAGAGCAAGGTTGAAAAGACTGCAGTAAAGAGAGTGAAATGGCGACTTGCTAGGGGAAGCTGTATATTCCACTAGGAACCAAAGCGACAAATAATAATGATGGGAACTATCCTCTTCTGATGCCGGTAGTGTAGTTCAGTATGTGAATGTTCATGTGAGAGTGCTGTTTAGGATTTCCAAGGTATTTTGAAATGTTAGACGAAAACACAATCCTACTCAAATACTTTCTAGTGTATTTGTGACACTTAGTAGCCTGCTATTCACCAAGGACCTCAATTTGGTATTCATCATGTACCAAAACTAGTTGGAGGAAGATTAACAATCTAGTAGCACTGGGCAACTGTTCCGTCCGACTATGGGGATCCTCGGCAGTGTGCAACCATTACCCCGCACCATTTGGGATCGAACTCAGGACCTTTAAGTTCTGTGGCCAGCATGTTTTCATTGAACCACTGGGTCGGCGGAATCCAATGGTCCATATTTCCAACTTCTCTCGGTTCACGACGTAGCACAACCATTATCCAATACTATCATTGAGTACTTTTTCTCACGTCCACCAGGTTTGCCTCACGGGCAACGACTTCTCATTGGAACTACGGGAATCATATCACGAAACCAGTCACAAATGAGCATTAGATGATTTCAATCTGTGGGTTTGTGGGATTTTATTGATTACAAGTTGGTATTCCCTGCGGAGTGATATCAATTAGAGGAATATTGAAAACCTGAGAGCATTGGTCAGCTGTTTCGTCCTAGAATGAAACTCCTCAGCAGTGCGCACCAATGACTTGGATCTATCAATTGATTTCCCTTGAATAAGTATTATTTAATTGAATGAAACATTTTCAGCGTTTTATTTCATAATTAAATTCAATTCTATTCTCTATCCTTTTTAAATCCAATAACATTAGGATAATTCAGCTGGATTTGGTTTCGATATTTGGCTTGGTCAAAGAATATCTGCAGGTAATATTGAACGTGTTGACAAAACATCAGATGGAAATCAACGTATTGAACGTGGAATTGATGGTTTTTATGTTAAACATGCAATAAATAATAAAGGAGTTATACATTTCGGTGTTAATTTAATACCACCGAAACCAACATCTCCAACACAAAATGATGTACCGATTTATGTAAGTTGTTTGTTTGTTTTTTCAGACAAAAAGAATGTATTTAAACTACTGATTGAATGTCTAATAATGAATATATTGATTAATCCAGTCGGATCTCATCTGAAAGCAATGATACTCTCTTGTAGGTAGGTAAGACGAATAACATTATGGCAACTCATAAGCAGAATATAGTTTCAAGTAATAGAGATATTTTGTTTCTGAGAGTCAATTACATAACTATACTTCCCTAAATATCGGTACATAGAGTAAGATTCGAATTCATGGCATACAACAACTATAAATAGTCGATATATGAAGTTATTCTTAACAAAAAATAAAGGTTCCGAAATCGTGATAAGCTTTGATAACTTCAATGTATTGTATTTATTTATTATTTGTCCCTTGGGTTCCTAATGGAACATAGGGATTCAGTAGCACGTCTACAGTACACTCTCTTCTCTGTAATCTTTTGAACCTGGCTCCACGACAGCCAACAAGCTCTCTCATTTCCTCCTCGCACGATCTCCTTTATGTCACCCTCACCTCGGACGCCCAACTCATGGCTTGCTATCTGGGTTCCAGTCGACGAACTGGCCTGATGCGTGATGTCCCCAGTCGGCCTTCTCAGTGCATGCCCAATCCATCTCCACTTCCTTCTGCATATTTCTTGAGCTATAGGTTGTTGGCTGGTTCGTTCCCAGCCACAGTTACTTGTCGCTTATTCTGATTAATCTGACCATCTGATCTTCACTGTCAAGCAAGCGTAGGCAGTTGTTGTTGAATGTCTGTAGTTTGTTGGAAGTGCTTTTCGTGATGTGCCACGTTTCTCAACCATATCGCAGCACTGATTTGACGTTGGTGTTGAAAATCTGTTTGTTGTTCACGCTTCATGCTGAGTGCAGTGGAGTAGATCTCGACACTGGTTGCAGGTAAATGAACGCCTGTCTTGCTGTCTTTCCGATCCTAGGTTTGACATCGTTGTCTGTGCCTGTGCCGTCTATAGTTGAAACAGTGCGTCCTAGATAGGTGAAAGAGACTTCTTCTTTTATGTTTCTCCCTTTAATGGTGATTGGTGCATGTCATTGTTACTGTTGTCGGTTGAGTATCTTCACCACCTCCGTCTTCTCTACATTCACTTGAAGTCTCACATTCGCTGCCCTGCCTCTTCTGTCAACTTGTTAGCTTTCGCCTGTACATCTTCCAGTTTGTGCGACATCGGACACAAGTCATCATTGGCGAAATCCAAGTTTTCTAAGTTCTTCTCCGCGATCCAGCCAGCGTATCTCCCTCTTCCCGCTCCTCACTGTTTCCTGCATGATCCAGTTCACCACAATCAGGAAGATCATGAATGATAGTAGACAGCCTTGTCTTACTCCTCTCACCTGTCTTCACTTCAAAAGCAATGTCACTGATCTTCCCATTGTGAACTACTTGGCATGTGGAGTCTTCATTTGGTTGTTTAATGAGGTTGATAAAGGTTTGGGGTAATCAGTAGTGTCGAAGCAGCTGCCAAATTACTTCTCGGTCGACGCTGTCAAAGGCCTTTTCAAAGTCGATGAAGTTGAGGAAGAGAGTTGACTAACATTCTATACTCTGTTCTATGATGATGCGAAGCGCACATGATTTGTACTTCTTGAATCCAGCCAGCCTGTCCCGGTAGTAGTTTTGAATCCACTGCATCCTTTATTCTATTCAGGATGATGCGGTTTAATATTTTGCTTGCTGTGAGTGGACAGGAGCATGAATCCAAGCCAGTTCCTGCAAACACTGTAGTCTCCCATCTTCGGGAGTTTGACAAGCTATCCCTTTTAACAATCAGTTGGCAGGTACCTTCCCTTCCTTCCACACCTTCTGCAATAGTTGAGTGAGCATGTCAGCTGTTGTCTATACGTCTGCTCTCAGCGATTCTGGCGAAATTCTATCTGTTCCTGCTGCTTTCCCACATTTCAGTAGCTTTATGGCTCTCAGAACTCCCACTTTTGTTGGAGGATTTATGTTCACTTTAAGTTCAGTGGCTGTAGGTGGTGGTCGATTCAAGAGTTTTTTGAAGTGATCAGCCCATTGTTTCCTTCGTTTCTCATCTTTGGTAATTATACTTCCTTCATCATCTTTTATTAGTTTCATCTGCGTTGATATCTTCCCAGATAGTATCCTGGTTATTTGATAAAATGTTGTCAGGTGTCTCCTACTTGCAGCAGCCTGTTCTGCTTCATTTGCCAGTGTTTCGTAGAAGTGTGTTTTGTCTTTCCGGACACTCTCCTTCACTGTTTTGTCCAGTGTAGTGTTTTATACATTGTGTTCAGTTCCTCTTGTCGTTGTGCATACTTGCACTGCACTGGTTTATCTTCTACTTCACCATCCTCCTCTCCCTGCTCCATCAGCTTCCATGTGTCCATCGAGATCCATTCCTTCTCTACTTTCTTCTTCCTTCCTAATACTGTTGTGCAGGTTTCTTTCCACATCTCTTTCAAAGAGTTCCAGTGTCCATCCACACAGGTTTCTTCAGGGATGTTCCTCGATAACTCCCACTTTGTCTTGATGGCTGGCTGACGTGAAGATTTCCTGTATAGTTACGTCCTTCAGTTTCTGTTCTGTGTGTTGTACTTGAACTGTGGTCTATCACCAGCTTCCTTGAAGGCTTTCAACTTGATTTGGAAGGTAGGTTCCTTCCACTAGATAGTGGTGTGAGTGGTGTGAACCTACATCTACTCCTCTTCTTCACCTTGTGTCAAGTAGGCTGACTGCGTCTCCACTTTCTTCACATTGAGATGAAGTCGATCTGCTTTTTAATGTATTGTGTCCATCTGGTGAAATCCATGTCGCTCGCTTTGTGGATATCCTTGTGCTTGAACACACTGCCTGACTCCAATCACCAAATCGTTGAATGTACAGAATTCTGCAAACAATTCTCTATTCTCGTTCGTCACCTCACCGAGTGCTTCTCGACCCATGATGGATGAGTTTTCTTCCTGTGTTGTCTGCTCCCAGTTTGACATTCATGTCACCCCACCCATTAGAATGGATTTGATGTTGCCAACTGTGGTGGTGTCTTGTCCAGTGTTGATTGCAGTTGTTTGTAGAACTCCTCCTTTTTCCCTTGCTCTGCATTATTTGTAGGTGCGTGGAGTAGCATTGTGTGATTGTGACCTTCCTTTCTTTTGAGTTGAATCCATCTTGCTGTCATTATCCTGCAGGAGGAGATTGGTTCCCACTGCACGGTTACGACAGCATGAAAAAAAGCGAAGTCATTTGTCTGAATACTAATCATTTTATCTGTCAGTTTGGTTTGCAGTGGAACAAAGGGCTTAACTAGCCCATCCCTATTTCACTGTCTTCGCTGCACTCGTTTCAACCTGGCTCCACAAATTCCCGCAACCTTTCCTTTCTTCCGCACACCATCTCCTTCATGTCATCCTAACACGCTCAACTCATCGTTTCCCATTTGGATTCCGCTCAGCGTATGTGTAGTCTAATCCACTGATTGGTTCGTTCACAAGCAGAATTCCTTCTCCTTATTTTTTTCATTCTGGTCATCTGATCTTCAGTGTCAGTATCGAGTGAGCGTAGATGGCAGCTGTTGATGTGATGCTTGTCTGCAGTTTGTTGGAAATGCTTTTCGTAAGGCGCGAAGTCTATCAACCAACACATAGGAACACTGACTTACTTGACTGAATTAGTGTTGAAAATTCGGATGTTGTTCACGCTTTATGCTGAGTGCAGTGGAATGTAGTCAGTGCAGTAGATCTCAACATCGATTATTTCAGATTATTGAAGGAAGGCCTGTCTTGCTGTCTTTCCGATACTGGCTGCTTTGACACCCTCATCTGTGCCGTCGTCGCCGACTGTAGTTGAGACGATGCTGCCTAGGTGGTTAGGTAAATAAGTGGAAGAGACAACTTCACTTAGATTTCTCTCAGTAATGGTGATTGGTGCTTGTTGTTGGTGGTGGTGGTCAGGTACCTTCATTATCTCTGTCCTCTTTATGTTCACCTGAAGAAAGTCTCGTCTTCCTTCAGTGCCCTGCCTCTGCTACCATTTTGTTGGCTTTCGCCTTTAGAATTTCCAGTTTGTGAGACAGGACATCAGACGTAAATCATCATCATTGGCAAAATCCAAATTGTCTAGGATCTCTTCATCGGTTCAGCAAACGTATGCCCATCTTCTCGTTCCTCAAATTTGTCTGTCGCATGACCCAGTGCAGTTCAGTCGACGACAATGAGGCGACAACACTGTCTTTCTTCTATCCCCTGCGATCACTTTGAACACATGACCGAGCTTCCCTTTGTGAATCACTTGCCATGATGTATCATATAGCATGTAGCTGCTGTTGAATGAGGTTGATAAAGGTTTGTGGCACTAAAACAGTAGTGTTGAAGCAGCAGTTGCCAAATTACTTCTCGGTCAACTCTGTCGAAGGTTTTTTCGAAGTCCATGAAGTTGAGGTAAAGATCCACTTGACTGCTATTCTATGCTGTGTTCCATAATGATGCATAGTGTAGCGTTGCAATTTGATCCGCAAATGATTTGTTCTTCCTGAAGCCAGGCAACCCGGGTGTTCCGGCTGTAATTTTGAATGGAGAGCATTGTTTAGTCTCTTCAGTATGATGTGTCTTAAAATTTTTCTTGGTATGGCCAGTGAGTATGATTCCTCACTAGTTCTTGTCCTTTCAAAGACTTAGATCACCGTTCTTTGGAGGTTTGATGAAATAGCCCTTTTTCCAATCGGCAGGCATTTGTCTGAATATTGTAATATATTCCTCTAAAACATTTCCACTACTTTTATCATGGATACACTTCCCTGAGATATCTATATAAGAGATAGTTGAAACTATAAGGAATTGAAAAAAGACAAAAGATAAAATGAGGAGACTAAACTGAAGTTCCGAATAATGATGAAAACTGTAACTATTTCAGCCAGTATACTTACTAATCAACAAGACGCTTCTGGTCTCTAATTCAACTCTATTTAGTATGGAATGACAAATCTGTTTGGGGAGGTAGTTCAACTACAATGAACGAAAAGTTATATATCACCCAGTCATACAATATTCAGATGAATCTGTAGACAAATGAAACAAAGGTGAGACCTTGTCAGCTCTCCTAATATGTTCTGTAAATAGATTTAATGGAGTAAAACAGACTTTTTTCTATGATCTATCTCAATCATACTGATAGCCTAACATATGGTCATGGGTGCATATTGCCAAGGAATCCCGAAATAAAACGAAACAAGTGCCTACCTCTTCTAGATTCTCAGTAGTTTTCACCTTCAAATCAGCCGATTCGTAAATAACTAATAAGTTCTTCTTGATTTCAACTGATAATGTTTTCTTCGATATCGATTGAAAAATCTTCATTTGTTACCTATTGAAAAAATGATTATACGTTCACTTTTTGCTTTGTTTTACATTTCTCTTATAGAAATACATGTATGGCGGTAAAATGTCTTTTAAAATTGACTCAATTAAACTGGATCCAAATGAATTAACTCAACGGGAAGCAAGTGTTGTCGTGGAGCTTCAGGTAGTCAAATCGGTGGTTGTAAACAAAGTTAAAATTTAAATGGAAACACCTTTTCTTTATAATTATTCATATCTATTTTGAAGCTGTACATTCTTATATATTAATTTTTTTCCTTTGGGTTCTTAATGGGACATAAGGGATTCAGTAGCATGCCTCCATTGCACTCTCTTCACTGCAGTCTTCTTAACCTGGCTCCATGACTGCCCACAAGCTTTCATTTCTTCCTCACATGATCTCTTCCATATCACTGTAGGACACTCAACTCGTCTTTTCCCACTTGGGTTCCACTCGAGTGCCTGGCCTGGCGCTTGATATCTCCAGTCGGCCTTCTCAGTGCATGCCCAGTCCATCTTCACTTTCTTCCTCTGCATGTTTGTTGAGTGATAGATTGTTGGTTGGTTCGTTGCCAGCCAGCCAGAGTTCGTTGTTGCTTATTCTTTCTGACCATCTGATCTTTAGTATCGAGGGAAAGTAGGCGGCAGCTGTTGATACAATGTATGTCTGTAGTTTGTTGGAAATGCTAAGTCTCTGAACCATATAGCGGCACTGCTTTGGCTTTGGTGTTAAAATCCGGATCTTGTTCTTTGTGCTGAATGCAGAAGATCTCCACACTGATTTCAGATTAATGAAAGTCTGTCTTGCTTTTCCGATCCTGGGTTTGACATCCTAGTTTGTGCTGCCTAGGTAGGTGGAAGAGACAACGTCCTACAGGCTTCTCCCGTTGATGGTGATTGGAGCTTGTTGTTGTTGGTGGTGGTGTTGGTTGGGTATCATCATCGCCTCCGTCTTCTCTACATTCACTTAAAGTCCCTTCTTCGCTGTCTCTTTTGGCAACTTGTTAGCTTTTGCCGGTAGATCTTCGATTTTGTGCAACGTTACACATTAGACACGAATCATCATTTGTGAAATCCAAATCTTCTAGTGTCTTTTCATCGGTTCAGCCAGTGTATGCCTATCTTCTCTCTCCTCATTGTTTGTTACATGACACAACCCACCACAATCAGGAATATCATGGGTGATAGTAGACAGCCTTGTCTTACTCCTATCACCTTTCTTCACTTCAAAGGCATGACTGAGCTTTCCACTGTGGATCCCTTAGCATATGGTGTCGTCATATAGGTGCTGTTGAAAGAGGTTGATAAAGGTTTGTGGCACTAAAATAGTAGTGTTGAAGCAGTTGCCAAATTTCTTCTCAGTCGAGGTTGTTGAAGGTCCTGTCTAAACCGATGAAATTGAAGTAAAGATCCAGTTGACTGCCATTGTATACTCTGTTCTATTATGTTGCGTAGTGTAGCGTTGCAATTTGATCCGCCCATGATTTGTTCTTCCTGAAGCCAGTCATCCAAAATGTTTTGGTTGTAATTTTGAATGGAGAGCATTGTTTTGTCTGTCCAGGATGATGCGGCTTAATATTTAGTTTGGGGTGGACAGGGGCATGATTCCACGCCAGTTCTTGTAAAGACTTACGTCGCTCTTCTTTGGTAGTGTGACAGGGTAACCCATCTTCCAATCGCCAGGTACCCTTCCTTCCATACCTTCTGCAATAGTGGTGTGAACATGTCTGCTGTTGTCTCTGAGTCTGTTTTCAGAGCTTCTGGTGGAATTCCATCTGTTCCTGCTGTTTACCCGGATTTCAGCAACTTTGTGGCGTTTATTACTTCAGCTTTTGTCAGAGGGCCTGTTTTCACTAGTATTTCTGCTGTTGCTGGTGGTATTTCCAGACGAGACATTCCTATATATATATATATATATATAATATATATTATATATATATATATATTATAATGTTACAGTTGGGGAACCACTAAAAACCTGGGATCACTGGACAGCCAACTCCTCCTAATATAGGAATTGTCAGCAGTACGAGCCCACAACCCACAAACCACGGATCGAACTCACCACTTTCAGGTTTCACGGTGAAAGCATTAACCATTCATCCACTGGGTTGGTTTTCGGTGATTTACAGTTTCCAACTTCTGTCAATTCAACACACAGCGTAGGTCATCAGTTAGTATACGCTTCCTTTTCGTCTAGTTGACCACATAAGTCACGGCTTCTCATTACAACTTTGAAATATCTAGCTAGAAGCATGTCACTGATGAACACTATACAGTAATGTATTTTTGAGATGAACTACGACCCAGTGGCTAAATGGTTGATGCGTTCTACGTGAAACTTGGTGTTTGTGAGTTCGATCTCTAGAAAAGTTGTGGGTGCGTACTGCTGAGGAGTCCCATATTAGGATGACTTGGCTGTATTTTGAGGTTTTCAGTGGTTCTGCAACTCATGTCAGTTCATGATGAATTCGATGTCTAAATTAACTTATTTAACTTAAATATTAGGAGGTTGAAATAACAACAATACTGGTTATAATAATAGTATTGCTAATTGATCACGTAAAGGTTGAACGATAACAGAAAAGGCTTACGATTTAGACTATCTGAGATAGCCATGATTTGGCAGCCTTGTACTATTGATATTGGATGATGATTGAAGGTGAAGTGGGAATTTCGACCGCGGTGAGATTCCAACCAGAGACCATCGGGTTTCTGGCTTTGTTCTTTATCAACTGAGCCACGAGGTCCGACCACTGACCAGATTCTCATTTCACTTCAATCACCATGGATTTTGCCCGACTACTGTGTGAATTCGTGACGCGTTAACACTGCTTGATCGTATTCACACTAGCTGCCTAGTTATGACTACTAATCCCAATTCAAATGTAATTGAATTAAAACTCAGGGGGAGCACCATATAGATTACCATTTGACAGACTGGTATTTTATAGTGGGTGATGGTTGATGGTGAGATAAAAATTTGTAGTAACACATCACGAATTCACATGGCCATTGGGGCGAAAACCCATGGCGATTGAAGTAAAATAAAAATCTGGTAAGCATTCGGACCTCGTAGCTCAGCTGGTAAAGCATTGGGCCGGTAACCCGGTGGTTCGAAGTCGGCCGCAGGCCAAATTTTCATCTCAGCTTTAATGACCACTCAATTTATTAGTGATGAACTTACGCAAAACATTTCGAACAATCTGATCACACATTTACTTGTCCAGTCAATTTATATATGAAAATGAAAGGTCAAATATTAATGAGCGTGAAAAGGTTGTGACACTAGTCAGATCACCAAGGTTTATCAAGGTAAATTAAGTGAAACAACAAATTGTTTTTGTACGCACAAGGGGGCTTAAGTCTACGATTGGCTAACGCTTCGGTAAATTTCAGTTTGCACCCTTGACTGTTCCTATATTATGTCTTGAACGCTGTTTTCGTATGTACCTAATGATTAATTTCGATGACATTTCTTGCTATAGATGAAGATGGATGTCGGTCATCTACGCTTATCTATGTCTCTGTTAAACTGTTTTACAAGCCATTTAGGCATATATGCAGAGCACGATTACTCCTCTCTGTCTGTATGTGCCAACACATATATTAAATTGGTAAACACTTTGGAATGTGATATAATCATTCATGCGAGGTTAAGGTTTGTGACGGAGCAGACTGCTTTATGGTCTCAAGAATAATAAACTGAACTACATAGCATGTTTTGCTGATAGCAGATTTTATTCTGTGTTTCACTATCATACTACTAGTTTCCCCTCTCTATGGTACTTTAAGGAATATATCCATCTTCGAGATAGATGAAATTATAGGCCTCTGGGTTAGTTGTTTTCTACATCAGTTCACAAACTGTTATGGATATCCGTTTTGCATAAGTATGTCTGTCACAAATTCGCTCTCATTATGCATTGCATCGGATGTACAAGCACGCTGGATCCTATTACACAAGCATCTTACTAAGCTTCTTTTATATTTCAATGGACAAAAACTGTAGAAACGCAAGTACTGTCCCACCTAAATAGGCTTTCTATAGATTGGTCGTCTGTTAGGTCCATCTTCCCTCCGATACGAGAGTATATGAAGAAATGCAAGTTGCTGATCTTTTTCTTCCTCATATGTCAGACTGATACGATATTGGAAAGTATTAGGCTTTTTTAACAAACCCAAGGCATCCTCCTCCTCCTCATCAATATCAACATAGGACCAGTCATTACTAAGTAACGTCCGAGTTGTCACACCTCATATCACTACATTAAATAAAAAGGCAGTGAGATGCAAAATGAAGATAAGAAAATTCATTCAGTAAATATAAAGTAAGGAAAATGAGAATGAGAAAATGGTGAGATTCGACATAGCGTGGTTAACATGAGGATAATTTGTGTGTAGATTTGCGCAACTGACATCGGTCCATAGCCATATCACGGAGAGTCTCCAACCACTGATTTCTCTTGTCCCGCAGATCACAACCGGATAGTCTGCATCCCCCCCCCCACATGGCTCAAATCAACAGTCAGAGACTTCATACAGTGGTGCCATGTTTTAGTCTGGCCATCTGGGACCTTTTGCCAGCTTGCACCTACTTCGGCCAACATTGTGTGAACGGGCAACCAATGACTAGGCATACGTAATACGTGTCCCAGACAGCCATCTCAGTCGATGAAGGTTGTTCACCTCCTCAACAAATTTACCTCTACTCCCTAAATCTCTACACCTGAATTCTGCGTTACTCACGTGGTGACACCACGAAATACAGCCTATACCACGAAGGCAACGGTGGTCAAACAACCGAAGACTTCTCATGTTTTCCACTTTCAGTAGCCATGTTTCATAGCCAAACAGCAGAACAGACCGGACTGCTGTGCAGCATACGCGACCCTTAATAGACAATCCGATATCACGGCGGTGCCATAGGTGGCGTAAATTGGCGAAAGCCAACCGAGCCTTTTGTATCTGTTCAGGGATTTCATCGGTAATTGACCCACTGGGGCTGGTCCTACTTCCCAGGTAAGTGAAGTGTTCAACTTACTCAATCACTTCACTTTCTATTGTTAGCCGTGGCACTGTTGAAGACCAGTCTTAGAGCGATAGTTTGCATTTGGGTGGTGAGAAACCCGAACATTCTTAAATTGCCACTCAAAGTGCTCAAAGACTTTGAATCTTGTCAGCGTCTTCACCTAACAGGAAGAAGTCATCTGCATATTCTAGGTCTAATGAAAATTCTTCTGCGATGCCTTCTATAGAATGTGGTATTACTGATTGAATCCTGAGCCACTAGTTCGATGTATGACATCTGGTAATAACGGTTCTAATGGACTCTCGGTAGCGACACGATCATTTGTCGAAAGTGTTTACCTTCGAAAGTGAAATAACCCTCATCAGTACATAATATTCATGTTCATTTTATTTGACCGTAAATTTTTCCTTTCATTTTCATATATAAATTAACTCGATAAGTAAATGTGTGATCAGTTTGTTCGAAATGTATTGTGGGAATACATCACATATAGTTCAGATAACCTTCGTCTTCTATTGAACACAGTGAATACATCAAGTTCCTTCAATTATACAGGCAATGAAGTCCTCCCTATGCTTCATTCAATTGGAGAAGTATCACAAGATGGTGGATGACCGGTAGCTATGAGAACCTTTCTGTAAGGCAAAATAAAAGAAATTTTTGTGTGAATGTAAATTCACTAGGAAGAAAATGGTTACCTTCGACTAAGTGATTAAGATACAAGACTGACTGTACAAAACCATAAGACAAAAATCTCCAGTCATAAGCTTTTGCTTCGGAAACTAATAGTTTAGAAATTTGGCTTTTTCCTTTACTCCCTCCTTTGCCAGTTATGTAACAGATTTTTTCAAGTTATTCAATTGATTTCTGTTAGTCTAAGCAGCAAAGCCTGAGTAAAATTTCACATACTATTTCCTTTTGATTGGGATATTTTTCTTTAGTCACCTCGTTATGGACGTGCATGGACTTTGGCAACATTCAATTTGATAACACAACGTTATGAAGTAGAATTTAATGAAAACTGGTGGCCTGGAGGTTGGAGACTTGGTACCCCTTTAAATCCATTTGATTTACACATAAGTATGACAAGAAATCAGTTACTACGCTTGTTAACAACTAGTACCAGTATTGGCATTGTAACTAGTAGTGGTGATAGTGAATCATTGAATGGAATGAAATTATCAGGATTATCAGTTCAGATTGCATTACCAGTAAAATCAAGTGAACGTCAAGCATTTGCTAGAGAACAAGGATTACCAAAAGCTCCAGTTGAAATATGTGAATGCCCAAATCTTAGTAGTTCAGATGAACGGAATTGTCACCAAGTTGTGAAGTAAGCTAACTAATTTTATAGTATTGATTTAGGTATTTCTTAAAATCTTTGATCGTACACTCTAATGCTTGAAAAGATTTAGGATTAAATGCAGTCAACGTGATAGCTAGATTTTAGACTATTTGTCTGTAGTCCATCTGCCTTCGTTTCTTTCAGTGTACACTGATGAAACTGTCTCCAGAAGAGATGGAAATTCATTACAATTACCAAGGAATTTTCTTTCTGTTTACTTCCTACTGATTGAAATTTTGCATCGAAATACCGAAACAGTTAGAATATTGCTTGTTTCCTGAAGGAATTTCAATACTTAATAAGGAAAACGAATGCACATGTGGATTGACTTCAATAGCTCAATCTTCAGAAAGGATTATTGGATTTTAATAAATAAGTGTATCACAGAAAACGCCCTCATTCTGAGTGGCTTCCTTCGGTATGAAATCGTCCAATAGGATTTATCTTGACCATACAGGAGCATAGTTCAGAATATGAAACCTAAATAAGCAGGAATTTATGTTCGCGAATGAAATAGTGAATAGACGAGAAGGTACTAAGTGAATAGTAACTAGCTAATAAAAGAAATTAGATAATTACTTTTTCGCCAAAGAAATGTTGACGCTGCAATGAGGTCATCCTGTCAGGGTTACACTAGTCAACTTGAATTATCAACTAAGTGCACGCGTTGTGAACAGCTCTGATGAGTTCAATCTCCAAAACAACAAATTGTTATCTTATGCGAAAGTATTACTCTAATCTAACTACTAGGAACTATGAACCAGTTCGACTCTAGTCTGTATATTATTTGAAACAAGACAGGGAGTTTTCTCTTGGGAAATACATTTTTGCGTTACTATACCTGTAGATAAAACGTGAATGGTTTTTGATGACTGGTAAAACTTACTGAAATTCGATATCCTAGCCATAAATACTCTTGTAAATGAAGGTCTAAAAGAATGAACCTTATCTTCGATTAGCATCTTCAAAAATGAATAGTTCACAGTATACCTATCCAAACGACAGATTACTTAGTGAAGGCAATTTTACCTTAGAATAGACAGAGAAAGAGAATAGACTACTGCAGCGAATGATAATACGTTTTCTTTCCAACGAACTCATTCTCCTAGCCTTGGCTGTACTGTGTACTCTAAGCTGCGTTGCTTAGTCATGAAGCTTTCATCGTCTTGTTGGATGATATCATTAGCATCAGGATTTTGACAACATGGAAATTTTGGAAAGATAAAACACAAAGAATATCAGAGAATTCCTAGAAGCTTGGGATTCAGGTCAGTCAGTCAGCAATCAACAGATGTATACACATAGACCCAATCTATCAACCAATAAGAAAAATGATAGAAGACAGAAAGATAAGAGGTGAAGCAGAGGAACATCCAGCAGGAAAATCTATACAGTCAATGATATAACAATCGAAGGAAACAAGCCATCACGAGCCAGTTCATCAAAGCAAGCTATTGAATCATTCACTGATGGAGAGATATTGACAGCTCACTTGATACTGAAGTTAGTGCTGATGACCAAGTCGTCTAGCAAGGCGACGAAAGCTCCATGATTAAACAACTCAGCTCAGAGAACGCAATACTATCAAGACCAGCCACCTGAGCTGTAACAATTCTCCACCATTTCATCCTCTTAGCGCTTTATACGCAACATTTATGATAAAGTAGAGAAAGTTCCAGGATAACTTTCTGTCAGGGGGTAAGATACACTCATTACATAACCCAAACATAACACTATGAGAAAATGAAGTATGATTATATCATACGGGAATTACGTAGGATGATCGTTCGTTTACGTTCTCCATAGCAAAGAAATAGGTTGTGCGTACTTCTTTTGAATGTACAATGATGGTAACAACGTTTGAAATACTAATGTTTTTGATATGCTTAGATGTCTTATTGTTATTCCTATCAGATAGTTTGGTTACATTTTATGCAAAACGTTGAGAGTATTATTGATAGGTAGTGACCAGCAGTGGATTCTTAGGCGCATGTTTCATCCTACTTTGAACTAGGTGACTCAGCTGCTTTGGTGTTTGAAGCTGTTGCTCCTAGGTTTCAGTCTTCGTGAGAATGACATCACTCACTAGGATGCAGGTGCATCCAGCTGGTGAGATGAAATGCTGTTCCTGGATTCCATCACAAGCTACCATCCATCAATAATATCAGGAATGAAAATACCGGCAACATTGAGGTATCTACAAAGGAGCCTATATGCCAATACTGATCGGTCAACTCGATCCAGTCAGCGATGGAGATTCACTGCTTTGAAGTATTGATGAAAAAGGCTTCAATGTCTTAGGTTAACTAAGAGTTCTCTTACGGAGTTGAAGATGGATTTCCATCCTCCCGTCTGGGTAGTGCCCACGAGCGGTTCTCACTTCATTGCGGTGCTCATACACTCTGCTTCAAAGAAGTAAGTAAACTGCTATGCGCGTATTATTGTAGCCCAACTCTCCAGCTTGTGCTATGCATACTGACTAACAAGCTTTTTACAAGAGAGTGTGATTATCAGATTAAGAACGAATATTTCATCAATATCAACATAGGACCAGACATTGCTGCATAACAGTCCGAGTTGCCACACCTCATATCAGTACACCAAGTAAAAGGCAGTGAAGTGGAAGATGAAGATAAGAAAATTCAGTCAAAAGAAATACAAAGCACGAGAAAAATGAAAGGAAGAATGAGAAAATGGTGAGATTTAGTATAGCGTCGTTAAGATGAGGATAATGTGTGTATACATCTGAGCCACTGACATCTCAGTTCTGAGCCATATCCCCTAGAGTCTTCAGGGCAAATGAAATGTATATTTCCGGAAAGATGAGCGGTACATTGGTTTCGCCGGTGAACATTAAAACAATACACTGTCCGGTAAAATCTCACTTCACCTGCATAGTTTATGCAGGGGTAGATAGTATCACCACGTCTGGAAAAGGATCTGAATCTTAATCTGAAAAACAAACTTACAAAAAAATGCCTGATTCATACCAATTTATTTCCTCTTTCAGGGTTGCACTGATCTATCAAAACAAACAGTTATTCGATTACAACCTCTTGGTGAAGATTTAACATGTGGAGGTTGTTCAGGTCCTGAATGCGGAGAGTAAGTTTAAAGATTTTCATGTACTCTGCATATCAGAACTCTTTTATTTTATTATTATTTGTTCTTTGGGTTCCCAATAGAACATAGGGATTCAATAGCACGTCTCCAATGCGCTCTGTTCTCTGAAACCTTTCGAATCTGGCTCCAACACTGCCCACAAACTCTCATTTATTCCTCACATGATCGCCTCAATGTCACCCTCACCTACCATGCCTAACTCGTCGTCTCTCATCTGGGTTCCACTCAAGCGACTGGCCTGATGCGTGATGTCCCCAGTCGGCCTTCTCAGTGTATGCCACATACAATCCATCTCCACTTCCTTCCACTGCATACTTGTTCAGCGACAGGTTCTTGCTTTGTTGGTTCGTTGCCAGCAAGCCAGTCAGCCAGAGTTCCTTATTGCTCATTCTTATTATTCTGGCCATCTGAGCTTCAGTAATGAGCGTAGACAGATGTTGATGATGTATATCTGTAGTTTGTTGGAAGTGCCTTTTGTAACGTGCCGCCAAGTCTTTGAACCATAAACCAGCATTGACTTGATTGAATTGGTGTTGAAAACCCGGATGTTGTCCACGCTTTATGGTGAGTGCAGATCTGCACACTGGTTTTTCAGGTTAATAAACGCCTGTCTTGCTTTCTTTCCGATGCCGGGTTTGACATCGTTGTCTGTGCGTGTGCTGCCTGTAGTTAAAACGATGCTGCCTACATAGATGAAAGAGGCTACTTCCTTTAAGTTTCGCCCGTTGATGGGGATTGGAGTTTGTTGTTGTTGTTGGTATTGGCTGGGTATCTTCATCACCTCTGTCTCCTCTACGTTCACAACTCTTTCACAGTTCCTGAATTAAAATCATTCGATGTATTTGAAAGCATTTACAAACGACATTTTGAAAATTCTGATTAACAGTGTAAGAATTATATCACATGTTTACTCATGAACTTAAATATGGTTGCATCCAAACTTTTCTTCCAAAGACTTCATTGTCTTCCTAAAATGTAGGCTTTGTTAATCTCAGATTATTAGCAATGAGGTGACGTCTGTTTCACTTTTTAAGGATTGTTTTAAAGTTATTACAGTCAAATCATTACTGGACGTCTCATGGATTACCTCACCATAAGTATAGCACCAATCACTATCAATGGGAGAAATCTAAAGGAAGTTGCCTCTTTCACCTACCTACATACCTACTTAGGCGGTATCGTTTCAATTAACGGCGACAACGACGGCACAGATGACGGTTTCAAAGTGTGGATTGGAAAAACAGCAAGACAGGCATCCCTTCAGTAATTTGAAATAATCAGTGTGGAGATCTACTGCACTGAACTACATTCCACTGCACTCAGCATTAAGCGTGAACAACATCCACATTTTCAACACTAATTCAGTCAAGTAAGTCAGTGCTTCATTGTGATGGTTAAGAGACTTAGCGCGTTACGAAAAACATTTCCGACAAACTACAGACAAGCATCACATCAACAGCTGTCGTCTATGCTCACTGAATACTGAAGGTCGGACGGCCAGAATAATAAGAATTAGCAAGAAGGAAGTCTGGCTGGCTGGCTATCTGGCAACGAACCAACCAAGATATCGTCCAACAAATATACAATGGAAGAAAGTGGAGATGAATTAGTCATACACTGAGGAGATCATTTTTGGACATCACGCGTCTGACCAAGCCCTCGATTGATAACCGTCAAAGAATACAACTCACGTGAAGTAAATCACTGTATAACAGACAAATGTTTTGGTTTAGTCTGGTATCTCTTGACGCAGATAGACCCTAACTCCTTTCAAGGTCAACTTAAACAGTAGCAGGTTTCGCCACAAGAGAAAAATATCCCTCAGCTGCTCTGTTGCTATCAACGGGAGTGGAAGCCTGTTCATTACAACATCTAGTTCTTAGCATTTCAAATCATCAAATGTGTCTCTAGTGTATTATGGCAGTCACAGTGGAATCTGAACAGTAACACAACCAATGTGTAATGCTATCTGATAGTAATTTCTAAAGGTTGACTGAACGAATTCCTGCCAATTCACAGAGAATGATCATTTCTAGTTCGCCCGATCTCTCTCTTCCCTCGTAAAATTGCCAAAATCATTCGGAAAACAAGACAACCAGTTAAACGCTTAGTTTTTGCTAAAATAAACAACTAGTCGTGGTCAGTTTTAGTAAATATTTTAGTGTTTCATCGAAGAAGTAATTTAGATACTTGAGAAAAAGGCTTCGGTTGGTTTTACTATCACTTTAGTGAAAGTGATTTTGATGTATACATCAGTTGAAATCTTCCTTTCGAAAGCATTTTTAATGAAATATAACATTTAATACTGATATCAAGTGAACTTCAAGCTTTAAAAAATTCCTATTGACTTATTTATTATCAGTAAAGCAATACAACTGATTGCAAGACTTAGGAAATAAACTAGTTTTACGATGTATTTACATGACAAGCAAAAAAGGATAGCAAATGATAATTTACTTGGTATTGGCTAGTAGAGGAATCCAGGACGCACGTTTCGTCCTATTTTGGACTGGTCAACTGGATGTACCAGCACCCCTGTCAGTGATGTTGTTCCCGCTGAGACTCAAACCTAGTACCCATCGCTTCAAACGCTAAGGCGTTATCCACCAGTGCACAGAAGCACGATACCCACTTCTTGTATAAGTTATTAGTTATTACTAATAACTGATAGGCTTGTAAGTCTACATTGGTTTACTGGGTCGAACGTCAGAGAATGACAAGTGTTTTGACTATCTGAGATGGCCGTGGTTAAGCAGACTAGCATTTATACTGGTTGATGATTGACGGTGAAATAAAAGTCTTGACAGTCGCTGGTGGTGGCTGGTTCGAATCCGGCCTCAGTCTAAATTTTCATTTCACCTTCAGTAATTATTTTATACAACTTGTAAGTGCCAAACACTTTAAATTTGGCTGGTTTTTATGATCTGATCCCCGAGATCCTGCCGACTGAGTCTTAACGCTGACCTTGGACGTGATTCGTGTCCAGTATGCATGTTCAGTCTCGTATACTCAGTCCATCGTCACAATTTAGCCCTCCCAACAGCTAAAATTAGAACGTAAAGTTTACGGTTTACTGTCCCTGTTTTTATTTCTGGTCATCTTGTTCATTTATATATACACAACTAAATTACCTGAACACAATGCACCATAATTTATGTAACCGAAACAACCGATTTCAAGCACAAAATATTGGTTTGTTCACAGGTAAGATGATGGCTTCCAGTCTCTGCATCACTGCTTCTGCAATTAGTCCGGATATCGGTGATCCTATTGAAGTTCCTTTCATCTGTTTGAATATCTTGCCGTTGAATTGGAAGTATGTTGTCAGATAAAGGTCGTTGAGTTCCATCAGACTTGAACATTTGAGTAATGTGCGTTCTGAAAGGCTTATGTTGTCATTGAGCCAGAGGGATGTCATTTCCTTGGCCAATTGAGGTTCGACGGAAGTATGTAATGCTATGGCATAGAAAGATACCATTAATTCGTCGTTTTCTGTGTTGATAGCTTTCATCTTTTCTAAGAATTTCGTTGGTGACTTGATGGAGTGTCTGCATGATTGAACGAGGTGTTTCAGTTTTCTCGAAAATTCTCTTGATATGTTGTATGTTGGAGTTCCTGGAAGTGAGGCAATTGGTCGTAGAGGGACGTCTGGTCTGTGTGTTTTGGTCTGCCGTAGAACCGAGGAAGGACAGGTATATTCGATTTCATTCTCTATTTGTCTTGCTTTGTTATTTCTCCTTCTTTGAGGAGTTTGTTCAAGGTTTCATTTATCTGGTTATCGAATTTTGGATAGGGTTGGTTCCAAGTGGTTGATATACATTTTCGTCTTTGAGTAATTCCTCTGCTTCTCGATAGTTGATACCGAATGTATTTTTGCGATGAATGGGGATTTTAATTTACACGTAGTATTCTTCAGAGGCTGACATCAATTGAGGAAACAATGAAAACCTGAGATCACTGGACAACTGTTTCGTTCTAGCATAAGATTCCTAAGCATTACGCACTCACAACCCCACCGGTTTGAGATCAAACTCAGAACGTTCGGGCATCATAGCGAATGTGTTAACCATTCAGTCACTGGGTCGGTTTTCAGTGGTTCACAGTTTTCAACTCCTTTCAGTTCACGATATAGCACAGGTCTTCAGTTGGTATTCACTTCACTTCCGACTGGTTGACCTCACAGGTCACGGCTTCTCATTAGAACTTCGTGATATCCACCTAAAAGCATATCACTAATGAGCACTATACAGTAGTGTATTTTTGGGATGAACTTCAACTCGGTGGCTGAATGGTTAACGCGTTCTACGTGAAACCTGAATGTTTCGAGTTCGATCCCTGGAAGGGTCGATGGTGAGTTTTACTTAGGAGTCCCATACCTCGATGAAACAGTTGTCCAGTGTTTTAAGGTTTTTAATGGTTCTCCAACTGGATGTCTGTCCTTGATAGATTCTATCTTTAGGCTGATACAGAGTTGTGGAAGGGGAGTAAAGAAGAATGCGATAATGCTGAAGTTCGGTATGATGAATAAGCATAGTGGATAGATACATCTTTGCCATCAAAACTATTTCTGACCTATATCATCTGGATTCTCATATTGCACGGATCTAAACAAGGAAGTCTGAAATTATGATGAATGACTTCCTGAACTGATGCCATACTATGGAATCTAAGGTCAAAACTTAATAAATCATGACATTTTCATGAACATAACTAACACGGGTTACAATTCTTGAGACTAGAGACTAAGAAGACAGTGACAAACTCTCTAATCCCCACTATTCTTATTTTCTTCAAACCCCAACCAATGAAAGGCGAGAATATAGGTAGACGACTTATATCAGAGTTAGTTATGTGCAAGTTACTACTTTTTGATAGTTGTACATTAACAGAATAATCTAAGAAGATCTTGAAGGGACTCTTACTCTTCTAGGAACTGTTCTGTTCAAAACCAAGAAAATAAAGTCTATATCCGCTGACAAGAAGAATAGGATGTTTTAACAAGAACTTACTGTAATACTTTGTTTTTCTTCCGGTTCCATTTTTAAAGGTGTTCAGGAGGTGAATACATCTATGATATATACAGTGGAAAACGTTCGGATTCATGTCAGAAAGGTTAGTTGATTTTTTAATTAAAGAATAATTGATACTCTACTGAACTGAATCATGATTAAACATAGGTGGCATCATAAACTGAAATGTACATAATACTGGGTGATGGTTGGAAGTGAAATGAAAATTTGAATCACCGCAGGATTCGAATCAGCGACCACTTGGTTTACGGCCCGATGCTTTATCAACTGGACTATGATGTCCGACTGCTGACCAGATGTTTATTTCACTTCAATCATCAAGGGTTTTAACCGACTATAAATACTTGTCTGCCAAACTACGGCTGTGAAACAGTGGAGAATATTTGTAGCTCAGATGGATGGTCTTGGTTGTATTGTGTTCTCTGAGCTACGGCTATCTCAGATGGACAAGTGATGATTTACAAGATATTCAGTGAGAAATAAGAACTTAAAAGAGACATTTTTTATACATCTGCCATTATGTAGCACGGCCCTGTCTCATTATGAGGTAGTCTCTGTATATATGGTAACGATTACATTACAAATGTCTGAGTATATAACAGCTACACTAAATGGAATTTGAAGACAATTGATGAATTTTTGTTAGAAAAGAAAGTTTTTCGAGATTTATTTCTTTTATATTGTTTTTCGCTTGCGAACGCTTACGTTATAAGGACATTTTCAAAGCCATACAGCTGTATTTAGTCAGATTTACAACCATTTGAAACATAGTCAATTAGTTAGTTGGAGAAGCTCTGTAGTGTCGCACACTTCTCCAGAATCAATAGCCTAGGGTTCGATGTGATTCAATATTGATGCTGACCTTGATAGTTTAACTGGACTTGCTAAGCTGAAGGCACCCTGTCAAGCATCTTCGCCATTTAGCTTTCTATCACGTTACGTTGCACTGCTGTTAATCGACTCTCAAGCCAGTTACTTGGAAAGCATCGGTATCTTGGCACGACCTCCCAAATAAACTATTCCATGCGATTACTTTATTGTGTTCTTTCTTAGTCTCGTATTCGTGGGTATGTAACGAGTTCGAATAGTTAGTGATTGGCCTCTGCGTCTATCAAGTTTGCATCAGAACAATTCCTAAAAATTAACCTTAGATACATTTTTCGTTGTGGTTGGGAGTCGTTAGCAAAGTGTATCAGAAAAATTAAAAGAACTAACATCCAAAGTGAGATTCGAACCCCGTGTTACCAAGTGATGGAGTCAGAGGCGTTATCAATGAATGATTCGGACACCAATTGCCTCCTTTACCGCTGGATCTGATACTGATTGTTCCCTAATTTCATGTTATTCAGTTCTGAGTTGTGATCGAAATTTATCAAGGTTGTAGATACGCCTTCATGATAATTGTCAACTAAAAATAAAACCTTAACTTGATAAACACCTTGAGAAATTATCGTTAGAATTTGGTCAGCACTTAGAACTAGGAAATATGAAATTATTTGCGTTTCAATGAGTAATCAGTGTAAATAATGATTTGCCAAAAGTTTCGAAAGAAAACGGTGTGGAAAGTGTTCAGTAATAATAGATGATTTTTATGGTACGGATACATTTCAGTTCAAAATTCATTGGAATAACTTTAAATATTTGAAAGCTTGAGATCAAAGAAAAAGTAGTTTTGATTAACTAGAATACAACTTGATCCAAAGTTCAGCTTACGTCTCGTTGGTCTACCTGGATAACTCATTCACTGTCATCCTTACTTACCGTTTGGTCTGTTAATTGTTTCTACTATTGAAATCGTCTTTTATGGCCAATACTTTGAGTGTTTGTACCAATCAATGTTACTTGATGGAATAAAGCTAACTAACTTGTCGATAAAAGGTAAAATTCAGTATTTCAGTAAATTATTATTATTATTTGTTCTTTGGGTTCCTAATGGAACATAGGGATTCAGTAGCACGTCTCCAATGCGCTCTGTTCTCTGAAACCTTTCGAATCTGGCTCCAACACTGCCCACAAACTCTCATTTATTCCTCACATGATCGCCTCAATGTCACCCTCACCTACCATGCCTAACTCGTCGTCTCTCATCTGGGTTCCACTCAAGCGACTGGCCTGAATGGTCTTCGCAGTGTATGCCACATACGATCCATCTCCACTTCCTTCCACTGCATACTTGTTCAGCGACAGGTTCTTGCTTTGTTGGTTCGTTGCTAGCAAGCCAGTCAGCCAGAGTTCCTTGTTGCTCATTCTTATTATTCTGGCTATCTGAGCTTCAGTAATGAGCGTAGACAGATGTTGATGATGTATATCTGTAGTTTGTTGGAAGTGCTTTTTGTAACGTGCCGCCAAGTCTTTGAACCATAAAGCAGCACTGACTTGACTGAATTGGTGTTGAAAACCTGGATGTTGTTCAGGCTTTATGGTGAGTGCAGATCTGCACATGGTTTTTCAGGTTAATGTCTTGCTTTTCCTATTGTGACTTAAATTCAGAATTTTAGTAAATCGTAAGCATAAAGATTATATCAAAGAATAAGCCATTTCAATAGTTTACTGTGGAAGTTATTCACCATTAACTAAGGTAGCAGGAAGTTACTGTTCATGACATGTAAACTCTATAACGAAGGCTTATCATAGTTCGGTTTTCTCGGTGTTTCAGGCATGTATAAATGGAGACCTATATAAATTCTTGCCTTAATACCTAATAAGACGTATAGTGTATAGACTATCATTGATTACAAATCTTTCAACATCGACTAGTATTTCATTAATTATGACTGTATTGTGACAAAATGTAAGACGCATCGGTAAGCCACCATTTCAACCCACCTATATAAACAGATCCGTTTTCGTCTTTGTATTCTGCATAACAAGGTGAAGAAGGTAGATTACAATCTTAATTGAATGTGGAAAGATAGATTCTGTCGAGATAAATACTCTGGAGAGAATCTGGTCTACTGCAAGACTGAACCATATGTACCTGTGAGGAGCTGGAGTCATATTGACTGTGCAGTCACTCTGAATGCCACCAATGTCTTATATCACAATATTGCTTGTAATCTTGAGAAAAATACAAAGTATGTCAGGTGTGTCATTCTAGATTTTACTTCAGCATTTGATTCTCTCCGATGATCTCTTTTGATGGACAAGCTACACGGAACTGATACTGAATCCTGGATAAACAGCTATCTGTATTCCTGTTTCTTTGAAAGGAAAACAACATACTATTCAGAGAGGGAAGCACTTCATCTCATTGCTTACTATGACTGATGTTCCCCAAAGAGCCTTCCTTCACCCCCATCTTTTCTCTTCACTTCTGCATCACTTACCATATTCACCTAGTATCAATTTTATCAAATATGCTGATAACCTACCACTTTCCATACCTATCTCCTCTTAGATGATGGTTCTCCATCAATGGTCTTATGCTTAATTCTTCAAAATGTCAGACTGTAAACTAGTTTCAGACATGAACATAACTTATGTAAACTGCTTACTTCTCATGATTCCTGTTCTATTGATAGTTGTGCATTAGAGAATGCTACAAGTGTGGTTTCCTTTCCCGTTCCTCCCATATCTTACTAATTTCCCAAAGAGTTTTCCACCTGACTTTCTACATTAGGAAGCTGAGAGTATCTGGTATAACTCAGCCTCTTATCTTGTGCTTTATTAACTCCTGCATCTTCCCCATTCTCCTCAGTTGTTCTCCTTTATTCTTTCCCAAGTTAGTTAAAAAAGATAATACTAAATTGTGTAGAACTTTGAAGATTGTCAGCAGAACTAATGGTGTATCTATAAACCTTCTAGTTAAAACAGTTTTGGACAAACATATCAACTCATGTGATCATCTGGTGGGAGTTATTTTATCAGATGACCAGCATTCTCTTCACTCAAAGTTCTCTACGTGTTGGTCGTCTGGAAAGACAAGTAGCAAGTAGATGAGACTGCATGTACATATTACAGAATATAAAACTCTGAGATACGGTGTTTAGCTCGTGTGTTGTGCAATGAAGACAGTGTTCTGAATCATTAACCTAATCAGCTTGTATTTTTGAAAGGGAAATAATTGATGAGTACACAGCATGTTACTAGTTATCTATTATGAATCTTATTACTAATGTGATTGCCTACCTAATATAATGATGCATTTTCAAGAAGGGGGTAGATAGAGTGAATATTCTTATCTTTTTCAAAGTGATCTCTGCTTATTATATTTTTTTCTGTGTACACTGTTTCTGTTGAATTGCTGCTGTATGACAAACAGAAAATTCTGTAGAATATCCTTGAAATAGCTTTCAAAATAAAGCCACTACCATCATTATTATTATCAGTTATTATTGAATCCATGTGATAGAAATTCCTACAGGTTACATAAGAGGATGCCATGAATATTCGAATGCGCCTAATTCAAGGAATAAGTCATATTCGAAAGTGTGTTTATGATTAGTGACACAGGACACTGTTTCCAAAGAACTCCATTTATGAGTTATTTCTTTGTTATTGTGTATGATCCTGGATTAATAAATCTGGATAGAATTACGATTTGCTACAGTCTCCAACTTGCACTCTAAGAATGATGTTTCTTTTCAACCTTCAGATGTCTTATACTTCTTGGTAAACTGAAAATAGAATTTATGCTTGGTTATCTGCCTACTATTTTTTAAAGTATCCTAGTGAATGGTCCACCATAGTTCAGCTTTATGCTTACTAATCACTCTGATTTTCAATGATAACAGACCTGGGGTTAACTCTTATGATATTGAAATAATATCGGTTAACATTTGACGATCCATTTGTAAGAATATTTGTATATTAACTGTTTTTACATGATCTTGAAGGTTGACCAGCGGGACATTTTACTTCATTTAGGTTTCTTATTTGCATCTATCCACAATAAGGGATATTTACTGGCTCAAAAACTCATGAAACGAGGTGTAATTGAGGGATCTACTAGTTAGTGTATCTCCAAAGTTATGTAACATCGTTGGGCTATGTTAAAAAATGAATCTGTCTACACAATAGACCTTTAGAATAATACCTTCTCAGGGTTGAATTGAAACTCTGTTCCCTTCCTAAATGCATATTTATCACCTCATCTCGCATTTTTTGTTTCATTTCAGGCCTTACAATCGATACTAAATCACATCAAATTATTGTAAAATCAGGTGAATCAATTAACTTAGTCTGTAAAGCTACATCATATCGTGGAGGATTAGTTACACACGAATGGATTACACCAGAGAAAGAATACGCCAGTAGACCGACTATTAGTAGACAGTATTTAGAAAAATCTGATCCATTGGGAAAAGAAAATTTTACTATTTATCGTTCAGAAGCTTTATTAAAGATCAACTCTGCGAAACCAGAAGATGCTGGAGAATACACATGCATTGCGAAAGCAGTTGGATCCCAACTACAAGAAACATTTTATGTGGTAGTTCGTGATCCGAGTAAGTTATTGACAATATCATCTCTATTATTTTTCACATTTTTTCATGACCACTTTGTTCAATTCCCTAGCGGGATAGGAAATCAACAAAGGTGCGAATGATTAGGAAAAGAATTTTGAGTTCCAGTATTTAAAATTAGTATTTGCGGTGAAGACAGGTGTAAGACAAGGCTGCCACCTACTATCACTGATGGTCTTCCTGGTTCTGGTCGACTGGGCTGGACAGAATCATTCAACGGACAACTGCAGGGGGAGACAAAAGATAGGTATACGCTGTTTGACGGATGAAAAGATCCTATAAGATTTTAAATTTCGCCAATGACTATTTATGTCTAATGTCTTATCTCACAAACTGGAAGATCTACAGACAAGAACAGAAGAAGTAGAGAGGACGGGACTTCCTCCAGGTGAACATAGAGAAGACAGAGGTGATGAAGATACTCAACCAACACCACCATCAAAAACAACAATCACGATGAACGAGAAAAATCTAAAGGAAATTTTCTCTCTCACCTATCTCCCCCTCACTCCCTCCCTCCCTCCCTCCCTACCTACCTACCTACCTACCTACCTACCTACCTACCTACACACCTACCTACCTACCTGCCTACACACCTACACACCTACCAACCTACACACCTACACACCTACCTACCTACACACCTACCTACCTACCTACCCTACACCTGCCTACCTACCTACTTACCTATCTACCTACCTAGGCAACATCTTCTCTACTACAGGTAACAGTACAGGTGAGGATGTCAAAGCAGCCAGTATCGGAAAGACAGCAAGACAGACATTCCTTCAACAATCTGAAATAATCAGTGTGGAGATCTACTGCACTGCACTCAGCATAAAGCGTGAACAACACTAATTCAGTCAAGTGAATCAGTGCTTCATTGTGATGGTTGATAGACTTGGCGCGTTACGAAAAACATTTCCAACAAACTACAGACAAACATCACATCAACAGCTGCCGTCTACGCTCACTGGATACTGAAGATCAGATGACCAGAATAATAAAAATAAGCAAGAAGGAAGTCTGGCTAGCTGGGTAGCTGGCTGGCTGTCTAGCAACGAACCAATCAAGAATCTGTCGCCCAACAAGTATGCAGTGAAAGTGTGTGGAGATGGATTAGATTGGATTTGGCATACATTGCGAAGACCATTTGGGGACATCATACACCGGGTCGTTGAGTGGAACTCAACTGGGAAGTGACGAGTTTGGTGTTGGAGGGTGGCATGGAGGAGGTGGTGTGAGGAAGAAATGAAAACTTGTGGGGAGTACCTATTAAGTCACTCGTGTGTTATCCAGGTGATACTTCGACCATAATGTTTTCATGGACAAAATAGTCGAAATTGAGGGAAAACCGACAGGGATTCAGCTAACTAGTTCTTCAAACCACCAGGCTAGCCAAATGACTAAGACCAATCCATAACAATGAATCAGAATAACCAAGACAGTCAATCTGTATAAAGGTTACAAGTGTCAAAGTGTAGCTAGGCAAAAGTGAGTAGGAGCCATAAGAAATAAGAAGAAAGCGTCAGCCAAACAGAAGCGAATCGGGAGGTAATTCGGCTGCATCGCAAATCTGACTTGTTGGATTGCTAAGTTTTATAGAGAGACAAACAGACATAACATATCCAACAAACCCATGCAATTCATCTATCATGACCATATAGACCAGCCTCATTGTATTGCCTGTATTATTCCATACTTGAGTGGACCGAATTGATAGGTCTCTATTGGCACGAAGGTTACTGCTGGGATAACTCGACATTGCCTGTATCTTGGAAGACAGCTGCATCCAAATAAGATGAAACACGCATCCTGGATTACATTGCTAAATCATCCATTAAATTAGCGCGAAAACCTTTTCACGAAAGATGCGGTTTTCATTTATTTTTGTGAAGAATTTATTTCACCATGAAAGAATTTTAAAGTTCTTTCATTACAAGCTGATATCGAGTGATTTTAGGGGGGATAGTCAGTGAAATCTATAGTAAAAGGCAAAAGATTTATCCGCAAATGAGAAGACACCAGCTTCAATCACCATCAATGGGAGAAACTTAAAGGAAGTAGCCTCTTTCATCCACCCTCCTAAGCAGCACTGTTTCAACTACAGACGAGAACGTCAAAGCCAGGATCGCAAAGACAGAAAGACAGGAGTTCATTGGCCCGAAACCGGTATGGAGATCTACACTCAGCATAAAGCCTGAACAACATCCACATTTTCAACACTAATGTCAAACCAGTGCTTCTATGTGATGGTTGATAGACTTGGTGGGTTACGAGAGGCATTTCCAACGAACTACAGACATTCATCAACAACTGCCACCTACACTGGCTCGTTACTGAAGATCAGATGACCAGAATAATAAGAATAAGCAATAAGAAACTCTGCCTGGCAACGAATCAATGAAGCAAGAACCTACCACCCAACAAATATGTAGTGGAAAAAAGTGGGGATGAATTGGGTATGCACTGAGAGGGCCGATTGGGGACATCACGCGTCAGGCTAGTCTCTCGAGTGGAACTCAGATGGGAAACGACGAGTTAGGCGTCTGAGTCAAGGGTGACATAGAGGAGATGGTGAGAGGAGGAAATGAGAGGTTGTGGGCAGTCGTGGAGCCAGGTTGAAAGATTTCAGAGAATAGAGTGCACTGGAGACGTGCTAGTGAAGCCTTATGTTCCAATAGGAACCCAAGGAACAAATAATAATAAGTCAGCGAAATCTCCTTGATGACAAACGAATGGGAAATCACTATATTAGCCTACAGTGTAAAGACGTAGCAACCATGAAAATATTCTATTCGACAATTTCATTTACTAAGATTATATGGTTATATTCAAAATCGAATTCAGAGGTTTCTGATGTTTTGTTAATTTGAGTTTAGTACTCATTGTGTAATGACTTCATTTGGAGAACTAATGAAAACTTAAGGACTCTAGACAGTTGTTTTTTCCTAGTGTGCACTCACCTAACGCAACCGTAAGCCTGCCAGCGATTAAACTCAAGACCTACAGGTTCCATGGCAAGACGTTTTTGCTATTGAGTTCATATTTTCGTACTTTCCTTGGTTTGCCGTCATTGAGTAACTGTCATCATATTCGACTTGAGTGACCTCGCCGGTTTCGACTTCTCATTAGAACTTTGAGAAATTACATCTCGAAGCAACTTAATGACGTCAGTTCATGATGAATACCAACTTGTATTAACAATCATTGAAAACGGATAACAGTCTTATATTTGCCAATATAATCACGTGATTACCATTATATTGAAGAGTAAAATTAACAGTTGCTTGTAAAGATAGAAGGAAATTTCTACTGTCCCCATGGTAAGGCTAATTAGTACCATTGAATACAAAGATCACCTCTAAGTCTTTGAAACGACATTGATCTGGTTATGTATAAATGCCATAGCCAAAGACACATTCAAAATTAATTTCGAAGGGATTACTAGGAGGAACTAGATGTCCAAAGATAGTTAGTATCTTATTTATAAACACAAACATATAAATTCTGTCAGGAGGCTTGCAGAGGTTTATTAATTGACTTCTGGTTAGAGTTCATCATGGACTAACATCAGTTGGAGGGACATTGGAAACCTGGAAGCACTGGACAGCTGTTTCGTTTTACTACGGGACTCCTCGGCAGTGTGCACCCAAGATCCCGCCTCACCCAAGACTTTCAGGTTTCGCGGCCATCACATTACCATTGACCTATTGGGTTAGAATCCAGTGGTCTATATTTCCCAGTTCTGTCAGCCTACGATATACCGCTACCTACATCCAATACTGTCGTTGAGCAACTGTCTTCATGTCCTACATGGTTGACTCCATTGGTTGCGACTTCTCACTGGAACTTCGAGGATCACCTCTCGAAGCTAGTCGCCAATGAGCGGTAGATTAATTCTATCTGGAGGTTTGTGGGAGTTTGTTAATTGATTTTTGGTTGTAGTTCATCATGAACTGATATCAGTTGGAGGAACGTTGCAGACCTGAGAGTAATGAACAACTCCCTCGTCTTAGCACGGGACCCCTCAGCAGTGCGCACCAGTGACCCCACTAGGGATTTTTTCTAAAGTGGATCTTCTGTGAAGTGATAGCAAGTGAAAAAATACGCCTATCTGAGATCCTCGTTACCGCGCTTTTAAAAGTGGAACGTCTGCAACTTGGAAACTGCCCATGCATTCAGCGTTACTGATTTCCAAATTTGGGAATCACTTCTTGAAGCTACTCACCTCCAGATGGAATTAATCTAGCGTTCATTGATGACTAGCTTTGAGACGTGATTCCCGAAGTTTCAATGAGAAGGCGTCACCAGTGGAGTCAAACAAGTAGAGTATGAGGATGTATCCATTTATATTAATCAGTTGACATATCTTTCCAATGTCGAATATCATTTTTCTACCTATTCAGTGTTAAATGCATCATCAATGGGGAATAAATCACCTTTTTCAGTCTGTATCTCCCTCTTCATTGTTGATCTGTGGTCCTTGTATAATTTATTTATTGTTGAAAAAACTGATTTTGCTTAATTCTACGAATTTTCAAAATCATTTCAATTTAATTTAGATGTATCACCACCTGAAACACCTGAAGATGATGAACTCAATCGAAAATTCCCATTACCAACATCATCAATTTTAGATCTACCTGAATTAACAGTTTATGAAGTAAAACGTGATCCAGAAAATTCTCAGATGTTATTAATCAATGGTCAAGTGAAAGTAAGTTTTCTAAGGAGATATACAATGACTTGTAAAACTAATAATTATCTTCTATACTGTACTCGGTGTGAATCTGGAGCTGATTTGCCTGGGTAAGTGACTTTCAAGTAGGTAGGCGACATGTTCGAACATCACACCATCTGTTGACAATTCAGTAACCAGAGAGTATTATTAGCCTGAACACATATGGTTTAACTCCCTGGCTACTGTGGAAATGTGTACAGAGTTCTTTTGTGCGTTTTCAAACTAGGCTTGATGAACTACGATTGCAGACAAAACAATCAAGATTAACCAATGGGAATAATAGTCATAAAAAAAGGGTTTTGACAATCAAAATAAGATTCCTTTGAATACTCTTCAGTTTCCTGAGCAGAAATAAATGAATTTTATCAAATTATCAAACAGATGCTCAGTAGAATTTTTTTTAAAGGAGATTTTAATCTGGGAAATGACCTTCGTTAGGTAGCCAATAAAATATGGTGTTATTAGGCAGTTGTTTCATCTAAATCAGTGACTGTTCTGTGATTTTTCAATGGTTCTCTAAATGATAATAATTCGCGGTGAAATTTGACTTTGAAAGTAATCGGTTCTCATGAACAGCTAACTGCATTACTAAATAGTGTTTATTTTTAACTTGTTTTCATATAGATTTTTTGAGTTTCTAACAAGAAACTAGGTTCTCTTTGATTGATTAGGTAGGATGTATGGATAAATAATCGCTGATAGAATTCGATGACCAAAGTATATCGTGAATTAATGGAAGTGAGAATATGCAGACTTTTAAATTTTAGCCGGGTCCTTAGATGATGATATGGTCACCATGAAGAGTGATGGTCAACACCTCGACTCCTTGCGCAGTCGTCAAAGAGCTACACCTTCTCATCTCTTTTGCTAGGTTCAAACATGGTACGGACATTCTATGTCTCCACGTTTACTTTCGCTTTCATTGAGGGAGAGGAGAAACATAGGCCAATCGGTTTCCCGAGGGCTTGCACCAACCGGCGCCATTCCCCCTCTCCGATAACAGCGAAATATAAGCTTATTTTCATTTTTTATATTTTGTATGTGCTTTGAAGTCTTAGTAGTGATCGGATTGGTTTTCTGGGGTAGGGTTGCCAGCCGTATGTCAAACCTTCCCTTTTTATCCGGGCTTAGGACCAGCTAGTAAGTAGTCAACTAGTAAAGTATGCAACGTGAGGGATCTTTAAGTGTATCGAGGCTTCAGTTGATAGGATATCTAAGTCCCCTTTATCTGTTCAGAAGCAGTTTGGTCCATTCAGCTTTGAAATCAAGCTCAGTGAAATGTTACTTTTCCTGTTATTTCCACCTTCAGCTGAATTCTGCTAATTGATGTCTTTTTTTACACTCTAATCATGTACCTTTTTGCAACCATTCACATTTAAATACCGATGATAAGTACGTGTTCGATTACACAGTTTGTAATGTGTTGTGTAAACACACTAGACGACCAAGACAAATTACATCTTATTATTATTTCGTTGAAGTTTTTAAAAGGAACTAATCGTCTTAAATATTTATATTTTAGCCTGATATTCTAGATGCCTATCATGTTACTTGGCAATCAATAAACGGTACACCATTCAATACAAAAACAGAGATCATAGATACTGCACGTGGTGCTTTCATAGTTCGACTACCAGTATCATATGAAACAATAAAATCAGGAAATGAAACAATTATTGGATATTTTATTGGTAAAGATCCTATTTATACACCACAATGGACAAGAATGATGGAACCAACTATTGTTGTCACAGAAGCCGATGAAAGTTAGTCAACCATTCTATAACCTTTACTTTTATTCCACATATAATGAAAATAATCTACGAAATTTTAAGTCTTGTATACTGCACAAAGATGTGTCAATATTGCTTCATGAGTAGTATAATTAATAATCACTCAAAGTTTGTGTAGGTTGGACTAAAATTTCAACATTTATTCAAAGATTAATGGAAAGTAATATGATATCATTTTATTTAAGGGATTCTTCCTGGTCATTAAAATATATTTTTGAATATAATCTCAGTATGTCTACGAAATTAAAACAAGATAGTTCTGAAGGTTTCGCTGTGTAAGTCACGCCAACTTACGCCACCTGCGGCGCTGCCGTGATATCCGATTGTCTGTTAACGAGTTCGTGTACTGCATACCAGTCCGGTCTGTTCTACTGTACGGCTGTGAAACATGGCCATTAAAAGTGGAAGACATGAGAGGGCTTCAGATGTTTAACCACCGTTGGCTTCTTAGTACAAGTCGTATTCCGTGGTGTTACCCAGTGAGTAACGCAGAAATCAGGTATGGAGTTATAGGGAGTAGAGATAGGTCAGTTGATGTGATTGTAAACCTTCATGGACTGAGATGGTTGGGATACGTATTACGTATGCCTAGTCGCTGATTGCCTCGTCACACAATGTTGACCGAAGTAGGTTCGTTCAGAATGGTGAAAGGCCCGATGTGGCCAGACTAAAACATGGCACCAATGTATGAAGTCTCTGACTATTGGTTTGAGCTATGTGGGGTGATGCAAACTAGTCGGTTGGGGTCCGTGGGACAAGAGAAACTAGTGGTTGGAGACTGATTCCAAGCGATATGGCTCAGAACCGATGTCAGTGACGCAAATCTACACACACATTATCCTCATCTTAATGAAGCTATACCGAATCTCACCATTTGCTCACTATTCCTTTCTCTCTTTTCGTAATTTATATTTCTTTTGGCTGAATTTTCTTATCTTCCTCTTGCACCTCACTGTCTTTTTACTTGGTGTACTGATATGAGGTGTGACAACTCGGAGTGTTACGCAGTAATACCTGGTCCTATGTTGATTTGGATGGATGGATAGATGTGTAAGTCGCGGCTTCTTCAGAAGAATTTACTGACTTTTATGAATATCAAAATATGGAGTCGAATAATAAATCAAATATTTAGTGAATGTAGGTTATTGGTTAGGTGGTTTTCTGTCCTGTTTGAGTAAGTGAAATTAATCACTACAAGTCTATCTAAACATTCATGAGGAATTATGAAACCACTGTAATATGACATCTCTTCAAATATTACAAATGCGAAGGGTTTCAAAAATAAACTGTTAAATACGTAGATAGAAGAGGATTGAAATTAGAGCAAGCTCACTAGTATACCGATAAGTGAATGTCCAGGTGTTGTAAGAATTGCTATGAATAATAACCAAGATGTAATATCTGAATGTTCACTTTCAACAGAGGATAATTATAACATCGCTGAACCTTGGCTTTATTATTATTATTTGTCCCTTGGGTTCCTATTGGAACATAAGGCTTCACTAGCACGTCTCCAGTGCACTCTATTCTCTGAAATCTTTTGAACCTGGCTCCACGACTGCCCACAACCTCTCATTTCCTCCTCGCACCATCTCCTCCATGTCACCCTTGACTCAGACGCCTAACTCGTCGTTTCCCATCTGAGTTCCACTTTAGAGACTGGCCTGATGCGTGATGTCCCCAATCGGCCTTCTCAGTGTATGCCCAATTCACCTCCACTTTCTTCCACTACATATTTGTTGGGTGGTAGGTTCTTGCTTTGTTGGTTCGCTGCCTACCAGCCAGCCAGAGTTCCTTGTTGCTTGTTCTTATTATTCTTGCTATGTGATCTTCAGTAACGAGGCAGTGTAGATGGCAGTTGTTGATGAATGTCTGTAGTTTGTTGAAATCCCTTTCATAACGCGCCAAGTCTCTGTGCCACATTGAAGCAGCGAATTGACTGAATTGGTGTTGGAAATCCGGATGTTGTTCAGGCTTTATGCTGAGTGCAGATCTCCATACCGGTTTCGGGAAAATGAACTCCTGTCTTTCTGTCTTTGTCCTCATATGTGCTGTCTGTAGTTGAAACGATGCCATCTAGGTAGGTAGGTGAAAGAGGCTACTTTCTTTAAGTTTCTCCTGCTGATGGTGATTGGTACTTATTGTTGTTGTTGGTTGAATATCTTCATCATCTCTGTCTTCTCTATATTTACCTGAAGTCATGTCTTTGCTGCCTCTTCTGTAGATCTTCAAGTTTGTGTGACATTAGACACAAGTCAGGTTAATTTCTAAAGGTCTGACAATATACAAAAAGACTTTCTTCTTGCAACAGAAGTGAATGAATTAATCTAGGGTAGAATAAAACAAATTGGTTTCATGAAATCAAAAGCACATCATGATTCATTATGTAATAGTTTTATTCTTGAATTTAGATTGTGTTTCAAACTATTTCGTTGACTAGAAGCATCAGGATAATTTATATCCGGGTGAATAATGGTTAACAAGAGAATGAAGGATGCACATTCCTTCTTATATAGATTAGTCAGCTTGTACCTACTGAGATTCGAACCCAACTTTAATTCTATAGCATTATGCACTAAGCTACTTAATTAATATGATCATTTAGGCAGCACTGTTTCAAATACAGACGTCACACACTAGAATGTCAAAGCCAGAATCAGAAAAGTAAGACAGGCGTTCATTAATCTGGAACCAGTGTGGAGATCTTTTGTGCTCACCATAAAGCGTGAACAACATTCGGATTTTCAATACCAATGTCAAGTAAGTCAGTGCTTCTATATGGTTCAGAGACTTGCCGGCGCGTTACGAAAAACATTTCCAACAAACTACAGACATTCATCAACAACTGCTTACGCTGGCTCGTTACTGAAGCTCAGATGACCAAATTAATAAGAATAAGCAGCAAGGAACTCTGGCTGTCTGGCAAGAAACCAACGAAGCAAGAACCTATCGCTGAACAAATATGCATTAGGAAATGGAGATGGATTGGGCATATACTGAGAAGACCTTTCGGAGATATCATGCTCCAGGCCAGGTAGTCGAGTGGAACCCAGATGAGAAACGACGAGTTAGGCATCGTAGGTGAGGGTGACATGGAGGAGATGATGTGAGGAAGAAATGAGAGCTTGTTGCAGTGCTGGAGCCAGGTTCAAAAGATTTTAGAGAACCAAGCGTAATGGAGACAAGATACTGAATCGGTGTATTACTAAATGATGTGTCAGCACGGAAACGGAGAAAATGTGAAGTATTAAACATCCAACTTGGCAACATTATTATCGGCTTATCTCTATACAAAGTTTTGCATACATCATGGATTGACATCAATTAAAGAATCATTGAGAACCTGGGAGAGCTGGACAGGTGTTTTGTCGTAGTATGGGACTACTCCGTAGTACGCATCCACAATACAACAGATCAAGCTTAGGACTCTCAGGTCTCTCGGGGAACTCATCCCACACTAGGACGGATAGCTGTTGAGTGCTCCTAGGTTTCAATGATTTTTCAACTGATTTCAGTCCATGATGAGCACTTTGTTTACCCTAAATAACAACTTAAAGTACATCCTATCTGTAGAGAAGACTATTGCCTCTAGTATACTTGTTTTATGTCTCCAATAGGACTGAAAACTTACTCATCATCATAGTCAGTAGAAAGGTGTATTCTACTATACTTCTGTTCATTTGATTCTCATAACTTCTTATTTCGGTTATTTTGATTAATTTTTTTATTATGCTTACAATACTACTGTTATTCAAGGTAAAAAAGGGTTTAATTTCTTCATAACATTTAGATTAGATAGATATTGCATGATGAATACTATTGGTGTGATGCTGAAAAGTCTTCATATCCACACATGTATGAAACGCCAACCTTTAAAATTCACAATTATACACTCAGCGATCGTATGCAGTAGGCACTGAGCCACACATATTGTGTAAGCGCTAATGACGCTACTCAGATGCCCAAACCATAATAGGTGGAGTGATTTTGGAACCATCGACCTATTGATTGAAATTTATCTGCCTAAATCAATGTGTCACAACTCTATTTACCTTCAGTTTACTCCACAGTATACTGGAGATGTTTGTTCCTTTCCAATAGTGGTTTAGTATTCTTTCATATAGTCTAATTTAAAATTAATAATGTGGCATAATTTATATTATGGAAGATTTTTTCGCTTAGTACGGTAACCATTTCAGCTACACTGAGTGAATGTAGTTTATTATTGATTATTATTTGTCCCTTGGGTTCCTAATGAAACATACGGCTTCAGTAGCACTTCTCTATTCCACTGTCTTCTCTGCAAACTTTTGAACGTGTCGACACGACTGCCCACAAGCTCTCATTTCTTCCTCACATCATCTCCTCCACGTCACCCTCGGCACCGACGCCCAACTCACCGTTTCCTATCTGGGTTCCACTCGACGGCCTGGCCTGCGCGTGATGTCCGCAGTCGGCCTTCTCAGTGTATGCCCAATCCATCTCCATTTCCTTCCTATGCAGATTTGTTCAGCGATAGGTTCTTGCTTTGTTGGCTCGTTCCTAGAGATTTTTTTGCTTATTCTTTCTGGCCATCTGATCTTCAGTATCAAGCCAGCGTAGGTGGCAGTTGTTGATGAATGTCTGTAGTTTGTTGAAAATGCTTTTCGTAACGCACCAAGTCTCTGGGTCATACAGAAGCACTGACTTGATCTCGCCTGGTTAACTAGTTCACTAGTTACTAACCGGTCCTAGGCCCGGGTAAACTGGGAAGGTTGAGCGTAGGGCTAGCAACCCTACCCCGTAAAACCAACCCAACCGCTAAACAAACTTCAAAGCACATGCAAAATATAAAAATGAAAACAAACTTATTCCCCGCTGGAATCGGAGAGGCGAAATGACGCCAGTTGGTGGAAGCCTTCGGGAAACCAATTGGCCGATGTATCTTCTCTCGATGAAAGCGAAAGTAAACGTTGGAACATGGAATTTCCACACGATGTTTGAACCTAGCAAGGCAGCCCAGATTGCAAACGAGTTGAGAAGGTATCGTATTGAAGTGTTAGGAATTTTCGAAAGCAGATGGAATAGGAGTGGACTCTCCAAACTGTCAACTGGAGAATCAATAATCTACTCCGGTCACCCAGATGACAACCAGTGAATGTAATTAAAAAATACCGTTTTACATCTATTGACAATATTTGTGTTATTGCTTGTATTTCACTTCCGTTGACTTAACCGAATTGATCATTCTCTGTTGGCATATAGGCTCCTGTGTGGATGTCTCGATGTTGCCTGTGTTTCAATAATGTATCGTAATGATGGACAGTGGCTAGAAGTAGAATACAGGGTGCGAGTCCAAAATAAAACGGAAAGGGCATACTGGATTCCATTGCTAGCCACTATCCATCACTACTACACAATATTGACAATATTCTTCACATGAACTCATGAAGCTTTCACATACAGTATGCGGTTACTGAATATATACTGAAGAGATTGACAGACAAATGTCATTTGACAACAGGTCTCTTCAAGCTATGTATGCGGTACACTGGTAGCTACATACATACGAAGGTTAAGTACTTAATTGATTGTATCATTATATATCACTGTACATGATTTATATAACTTTCTTTCTGCATATTGAAAACTTCAGTCACTCCGGATGATATTATCAACCCGCCAGCTGATGTAACAATTCCTTTCATGGAACCATATACAATCAAAGTGAGAACAAAACCTGGTAAAGAAGATATCAGTGTGACCTGGAGAAAAGTTGGACCACTTCCTGAAACTATCGTAAAAGAAAAGAAACCTGATGAAGAGGCAACTGGGGAGATAGATTCAATTCTTCCTGAAGGTACTTCTCAAGATAAAACAAACTTAAATATTTGGGCTGCTGCTGAACAACATGAAGGCATCTATGAAGGAATTGTTGTTCGTAATCGAGATGGAGAAGAGGTGAAACGGATTCAAACAATAATACGTGTTCAACCAATGAATAATGGTGGTAAAACTGAATTAGGTCTTGCTGAAGCAGCTGAATCTATTGATGAAGATGATACTGATGGTGATAAAGAACCACAAACATGGGATTTCATAGTTGGAGGTTTCACTCCTGAAGCTCAATATTGTCAAAGACCTACTTGGACAGTAGTTGATTATCAAATGAATAAAAGTGTGGATATTACTGATAAAGGTAAGTCATGTTTTTGTTTACAAGAAATAAATGGCAGTTCTGGAGAGTATTAGGGCAAACTGAACGGCCTAATAAATAATTAAATACTCACAGAATTCACATTTTATAGTTTGTATTCTCTTTAATACATTGGCACAAAAGTTGGGCTTCATATGAATGATTTTAGTAATTACTCAGTTGGTGGCTGAGTAGAGTACCCCAGTCATTAGTTAGACAGCATCATATGTATCTCCTAGGCATGTTCCGAGACGACTTTCAGAAAAGTTTCTCATCTGAGAAAATATGAAAGTCTAGGATTAAAGGACCTAAAAGTCTGATAATACATTTTTGAACTGTAACTTTCAAATCATAAGTGAACAGATAGTTGACGAAGTATGCTCATTTATTTCATGAATAATAATATAGGGCTTCAGTAGCACGCCTCCATTGCACTCTCTTCTCTGCAGCCTTTTGAACCTGGCGCCACGACTGTCCACAAGCTTTCATTTCTTCCTTACATCATCTCTATGTCATCCTCCGATGCCCAACTCATCGTTTCCTCCTTTGGATTCCATTTGAGGGACTGGCCTGATGCATGATGTCCCCAATCGGCCTTCTCAGTGTATGCCCACTAGAAACCCAAGGGAAAAATAAGAAGAAGAAGAACAATATATGTATCAGTGAAGAAGAGACATTTCTTTTCAACGACTTCATTATCGAACTGTACAGTCGCATTTATAATCGGTGAAGTGACAGATAATTGCACTGAAAAGGGAGTTGCTCAGTCAATATGTAAAATATACAATCGGTGTAGGTGGTGGTATTTGTTCAAGTGGAAGAAATAGAGAATGGGTCACTGTGAATAAATAACGAATTGATAACAAGTGATGAGATGAGAGACACATGTTGTCAAAGAATTGTAAAGTGGTGATAATTTAGCTGAAATATGCAAAATGGGTTAATGAATAAAGAATGAATTGGCATGAAATAGTGAAATATGAGTCAATTGTTGTCAATGAGTTGGAAATTGGTGACAATGATGATGACAGTAAAAGAGAAGTGAAGTGAAATGAAATTGACAAAATAATCAAAATGAATTATTAAGGCTAAGGCTAAGGTAGAGAAAGTGGTTTCATACAACGTTTTTGAATGCAAAGTCTCCGTTTTTGTTTATGTATAGCTAGTGATTCAGCTATGCACAAGTGGTAGAAACGTAGATCTTGGAAGTAGTTCAATTGAACTTTGTAAATTACCTTAAAGGATGAATCTTGATGTGTTGAATGACCTAATTCTAATAAATGTTCACACATGGAAGAAGTCAAGTTCCTTTGCTTGCTTTTGGTAAGCCAAACTGGGTAATGTTCAGCAACATGTTTTTGGAGGGCCCGCTAACAGCATCCAATATAGTCAGCTTCACAGGAGCATATGAACTTGTGGATACATATAGATATGGACATAAGTGGTAGCCTATCCTTCACGCATTGACGAATCAGACGGCCTTGGTTGCATTGTGATCTCTGGGTGCTGGGTTGTTTAATCATGTAGTTTTGGTCTACCGTAGAACCGAGGAAGGATAGATCTATTCGATTTCATACGCCATTTGTCTTGTTTTGTTATTTCTTCTTCTTTGAAGAGTCTGCTCAAGGTTTTATTGATCTGGTTGTCTAACTTTTGGATAGGGTTGGTATCAAGTGGTTGATACACATCTTCATCTTTGAGTAATTTCTTTGCCTTCTTGATATAGTCTTCTGTAGTGCGTCCTTTGTCTGCTGGAATTATAACGATATCTTTCCTATTTTTCAGTCTTTTTAATGGTTTCTGTTCTTGGGTGTTCATTTGAGCATGATGTCTCCTCTGCCTGGTTAGTGGTACGATTGTTTGCCGTATTTCTTTTTGAGTGACCTCATTTAATCTTGATGTTTTGAGTGACGACTCTAATGCTGTAAAGAATTCTGGTTTCGAGGCATCTCTTGAATTGTAATTCAATCCTTTTTGAGGGAGAAGTTCTCCCATTTTCGTTAGTAGTCGTTTTGATAAGTTGGCAACGCAGTTATTTGTTTCTTCGGTTGTAGGTGCTTCTTAGATTTTGAGCAGCTTTTTCCTGAGGACTTTTCTTCGTTGTTCTTTGTATCGTCTGCTTGATTTTTTAATTTCAGTTGTCAGCGTTGTCATGTGTTGCGTCATGAGTATGCTTTCTAGTTTTCTCCTTTGGTTGTTAATCACTGATTGATATTTCCGGATCCGATGGTGTGCATCTGTCATCATCAAGTGTACCATTTATCTTCCACTCTGTTCAGCTATTTTCCATCCCTTTGGACAGTTAATCGGTGGTCTATATCTAACACTTTTCGCGGAACATGCTGAAGTAGGCATTCATGGAGAAAGAACAGTTTTTTGTGGAAGCTTGCCTTTTGGAGAAGTCTTCCCATCTTCAAACAACGTTCGTATGAGAACACAATACAACCAAGACCATCCACCTGAGCTACAAATATTCTCCATTACACCAGAATCAGACGGCAGCTGGAGAATATCGGTCCCAGTCTAGCAGTCTAGGCGGTTTCTCAGCGCTTCGGCTGTGGTGTCTCCTTTGAATTCTGAGTTCATGGTTAAAATTTTTTTAGGGAATGTAATGTGATGAGGAGTGATTCGTTTCTTCAGATTCTTATCAATAAATCTTTTAGGGTATCCATTATTAGATAGTATTGTTCTAAGAGTTTCGATTTCAGCATCCACCATATCTTCTAAACATAACACCCAAGAGGTACCCAACTATTAAAGTTAGTGAACTGGCCAGTCCAGGTTGGTTTTCAGTAGATTGACCTTTGAATCAAGTCATTATCCCTTCTTTCTACAGTTACGTCTAAAAAATGTAACGTTGAATTTAAATCCTCCTCCGCAGTGAATTTAATGGACAGGTGACAATCATTGAAACGTCTTAGCAGCTCGTGTACTGAACATGTTTTGTCACAAATAAGATAGTTACCAGGACATTTCTTTGCTATAATGCGTTATCTCCCACACTCTTTCGATCGTAGGTTATATGCTAAAAATACAGTAAGATTTGGGCATTTTTAAAGATAATTTGTAGGGAATGACCAACTACTTATCAGTATGCGTCTAAAAAATCCATCTCTTCTTCAAAGCCACACAAACATGTTTCTAGACGACCTTTACAGGTAATAATGAACACATCTACTCATAAGGACTGCACAAAATAGTTACAAAATAAAAAATATACGTGCCTGACCTGATTAATACAGCGAACGAACAAGGTGGTTCAATTAGGAGACCGAAGATGATCATCATTAGCTGCTTTTTACCACTCTGAATGTATGGACCTCTTTTATATGGTTTTCTGGAGTATTTAAAAATGCTATTCAGCACAAATGTGAGGAGACAGTTTGAACTTTCTTACATGCTTATACTAATGTAGAGTTATTCATCTTGGACATTCCCGACAACAACATAATGAAAGACGTTATCAGGTGTAACTTTGGATGGAAGTTGGACAAGATCGATATTCACTGTCCAAGTGAATTGAAACAAGGTGATAACAATAACAGATGCTATAAAAGCGTGGGTCCATCTTACTTTGGAATTCCTCATCAGTTGCCTACAGGCTACAACGTTTTACTTTTTTTTGTTCTCCGTCGTTGACTGGACCAAACTAATCAGTCGCTATTGGCATATAGGCTGCTGGCACAGATGCCTTAACATTGTTTATAGTTCCAGTTTGTTAGTAGTGATGGATAATGGCTAGTAGTGAATTTCAGGATTCACGTTTCATCCTGTTCTGAGGTGGTAGGCTGAATGTATTTACCACCCGGTGGATAATTTTGTTTCCATACAGACTGAAACTGAGAACCAAGCCTTTGTGGCAAAAATCATCCACCAGGAGATGGATATACATCCAGTTGACCAGTTTAGAATAGGATGAAGTGTGCATCCTTGAGTCCACTGTTACACACCATCCATCATTACTAAGAAACTACAACAAATTTGAAAACAAACATAAAAGTTTATACATACTTTATTCGAGTGCATAGAGGAGCATTTTATACGGTAGGATAAGTAATATGAAAGACTATTCGAATGACATGGAACCGACTGACTCAAGCTAAAATGGACACATCTAGCGGTGTAGTTTGTTTCACTACAAAAGTGGAAGAGTTAGCTAAAAAAAAACTCTTTTCCCTGTTACTTCCTTCACCACTAACTGATTCACATCTATATACCAAAAGATGTACATTTTTAGAACGGAAGGTGAGGTCTTCGAGTCGATTTCAAACGAAATCCTCAATAACTTGGTAATGAAAACTGAATTCCCCGCCAGTAGTATGATGATTACTCACCACTTACATAATATTTTCAAGTTGTTATTCACCATGGACTGACATCATTTGGAGGAGCATTGAAAACCTGAGAGCAATCGACAGCTGTTTCGTCCGAGCACGGGACTCTTCAGTAGTGCGCGACTTTCAGGTTACGTGATCAGCACTTTCTGTGTTGTGAACTCGGAGGAGTTGAAGATATAGACTAATAAACTCCGATCCAATGGCTCAATGGTAACGTGCTGATCACGGGTTTGACCCCTGTCTGGGTCATGAGTGTGCACTGCTAAGGAGTCCCATATTAGAACGAAACAGCTGTCTAAGCCTCACAGATTTCCAATGCTCCTCCAACTGATATCAGTCCATGGTGAATGCCAACTTGAAAAATCTCTAAATCCCTACAAAACGCCCAGATTCAACTTACATAACAGTTGACATGTGATTTTTTAAAACAATCAGTTCAACTATTGAGCAATTGCTTTTTTTCAAAACTTTATAGTTGATTACATAATCATTTGTTATTTTATTTTCTTTCATAATTGTTTAGTTGATCGTACCTCAGATACAAACTTCCGTGTTAATTATCCTCTTACAAGTGGATTATATTTACGTTTCCAATGTCAACCAATTCCAATGAGTAATTTGACGGTGAAATCAAATTTAATGTTTGTAAGTTAAGACAATTATTCTTACATTAGATTTATAAGAGTATACAGGGATGTAGTATTATTTAGTGGATTATGTTTCACTCAAAATCTACTGAATATAATCATATACAGGAGTTCACTTAACTTTCTGGTATATGCTTTTTATAGTTTGATTAACTTGTATTCTTTGCTTTGAGTAGTATTTATAGTAGTTGTGGATGTTTTTACATCTCTGGAATAAGTGTTCCATCATTCCTGTTACATGATTCAATGAACAGAAATTTGTTAGTCAATGTCTCTGGTCACCGGACTATGTGGTTGGAGGTCAGTTCATGCGTTAATAGAAGGTGGAAACTGTCAAAGTTTATCCTTGGACGAGTTTTTGAGAATAAGAGAAACCTTAATTTTTGATGTTTATTCCTGATATGGTAACATAAAAGAAGCCTTGAACTCTTCTTTACTTGTCTTTTAGTTAGTAATCATAATACTATAGTAACTTCTTTTCTGATATGTTCTCAAAAATTCCCTTATAACTATGAGTAGCAATGTTTCCCCGCTATTTGATTCCGTTCTCCATATTTCGAGTTCGCTCATCCATTGGTCAGATTTTCAGCTCCGTTACCCTGAACATTTCACTAAGCTTACCTTAAGCAGCTTTCTGGAAGTTAACCGAAGTCTAGAAATTACTTTTGATGCACTACCTCTCTGCAGTACTGGGAAAATAGCAGTCTAATCATTGTTTTACATTGGTATCCATTAAAGCTGTTTCTCCTTTTCTTCGATTTTCTTATGCATATCTGAATTGGATTGCATCTACAACTGAAAGTGTTTTTGTAAAGTAATCTTTTTTATTCTGGTAGCAACACAGTAAATATGTCATCTATACGTCATCATGCCAGAAGAAGAGCATACGATGTTTGACCGATGAAAAGACAGTAGAAGATTTGCATTTCAGCTATGATTTATGTCTAACATTGCACAAACTCAAAGATCTACAGGTGGAAACTAACACGTTCGCAGAGGAGGCAAGGCAGTGAAGGAAGACGGAACTTCAGATGAACATAGAGATGACAGAGTTGATGAAGACAACCAACTAACAACAACGCCAACAACAAGCACCAATCACCGTCAACGGGAGAAATCTGAAGGAAGTGGTATCTTTCACCTACCTGCCTGCCCAGGCAGCATCGTCTCAATTAGAGGCGGCACAGATGATGACGTCAAAGCAACCAGGTTCGGAAAGACAGCAGCATCGGCCTTCCTCCATCGATCTGAAATAATCAGTATGGAGATCTAATGCATTGCACTGCACTGCACTCAGCATAAAGCATCAACAGCATCCGGATTTTCAACACTAATTTAGTCAAGTAAGTTAGTGCTTCTATGTGGTGGTTGAAAGATTTGTGTCTTTACGAAAAGGATTTCCAAGGAACTACAGACGTACATCCTCATCAGCTGACGTCTACGCTCACTTGTTACTGAAGATGGGGGTCAAATGGCCAGAATAATAAGAATAAGCAAGAAGGAAATCTGGCTGACTGGCTGGGTGGCTGGCAACGAACCAACAAACAACCCATCACCCAACAAATATGCAGTGGAAATGAGTGGAGATGGATTGGATTGGACATACACTCAGAAGACCATTCGGAGATATCACTAGTCAGGCCGGCCGTTGAGTGGAAGCTATGTGGGAAATGGTGAGTTAGGCGTTGGTGCCGAGGGTGACATGGATGAGATGTTATGAGGGGAAATGAAATCTTGTGGGCATCGGTGGAGCCAGGTTGAAAAGTCTGCAGAGCCAAGAGTGAAATGGTGACGTGTTAGTGAAGCCGTATGTTCCACAAGGAACTCAAGCGATGAATTATAAACAAAAAGTTGCTTTCAGTCAAGATTAACTAACTGCTCCTACATATGTAACAAACTGTACCTTCTTACCAAATAGCGAATAGTTATCATGGCTGTGAATTCATTGGACATTTCAATAATCCTTTTTTTCTTTAATCTTTATTATATATTATCAAACAGAATCATTGTTAGAAGTAGTATTCATCATAAGCTGACATCAGTTGGGGAACCATTGAAAATCTGGGAGCACTGAACAGCTGTTTCGTCCTAGTATGGGACTCCCCAGCAGTATGTACCCACCACCTGGCTACGGATCGAACTCACCATCTTCAGGTTACACGGAGAATACGTTAACCATTCAGCCACTGGGTTGTTTTCCACTGGTTCACAATTTCCAACTTCTGTCAATTCACGACATAGAGCCACTATCACCTATTCATCTGAAAAATATATTACTCTATAGTGCTCATTAGTGACTTGCTTCCAGATGGATGTCAGGAAGTTCTTATGAGAAGCCGTGACCTGTGGGGTCAACCAGTCGGAAGTGAAATGGATGCTAACTGAAGACCTCGGGTGACAGTCTCGCTATGTCGTGAATTGACAGAAGTAGAAAAATTGTGAACCAGTGGAAACCAACCCGGTGGTTGAATGGTTAACGTGTTCGCCGTGAAACCTGAAGATGGTGAGTTCGACCTCCAGCCGGGTGGTTGGTGCGCGCTGCTGAGGAGTCCCATACTAGGACGAAACAGCTGTCCAGTGCTCCCAGATTCTCAGTGGCTCCCCAACTGATGTCAGTCCATAATGAATACTACTTCTAAATTAAAAACCCCCATTCGTCTCAAGAATCATTGTTAATTTTTTTAAATGTTGTACAATTGGTAAATTGATGTAATAACACACTCTGAGAATTCTATACTGGTAACCATAATTATGATACTGACAAAAGGAAATATATTAATATTATTATAGCTATGAAAGAGGAGAAGGTAGTTACGATTGAATAACCAGTGTCCTCAAGGTGTTCCATTGGCGCATTTCTTATAGTTCCACTGGTGTCCTTTGATAACTATAATGAATACTGTTTTTGAATCCATTTGGACAAGACTCCTTATCGAATAATCGATATTATATTGCTCGTTGTTTAGCTCTTCAAAAATTGCATTCATTTCTTAGTCTAAATAATTTGAGTATTTTCAATTTAAAATTCTGTATTCCAATGTTGCTATTCACATTAGAATTGGTAACAAGGAGTAGCCAGGTAAAAAGCTTACAAATGCACATTTTAACTTCTAGTGAGTAACTATCAAGGGTATACATAGTCACCGGAGTTTAGGAAGTTTCTGCCATTCCATTGTATTGTTCAAATACAATGGACTGATTGTGTGAGTATTCTGAGTTGACAATGAGCTTACGTGTGTGTACGTGTGAATAGCCTTGTAAGTAGCCAGCTAACATTAGCCACTACCATATACTGATGGTTTCTGTCAGTCAAGATATCTAGATGTAAATCAACCAGCCGTTTAAAAACGCAAACAGCAATTAGTTTTAACAGTAAATATTTTCGTTTAAGTAATAGTCTTGAAAACTATGGAATAAACTGATAGTTTCGACTTTTTATTATCCAAGATATCTTTGGTATGATGAATGAAGCTCTCCGTTTGATGGTAGGCTTTTCCAATTAGTTATAGTAAGAAGTCATGGAGTAAGATCTTGCGCCTGTTGATAGCAATTATAAGGCATATCTATAGCCTTTACGAAACTCATATTCTTTATCAGCTTCAAGAATATATAACAAGTACTGCCGAAAGTAAACACTTCACGATGAAATAATTCAGCTCACTATTAAAGGACCGATTTATGCACTATCCCGAAATCAACTGAAATACATTAAGTTCAATCTTCAACTCCGATTTCTCTATAGATTGCAGCTGTGTTGCTACGCATCACCATAGAACAGAGTTTAGAATGGCAGTCACTTCTCCACCTCAACTTCATCCACTTTGAAAAGGCATTCGACAGCGTCGACCGAGAAGTAATTTGGCAACTCCTTGAACACCAGGAGAATAATATAAACATTTATCAACCTCGTTCAACAGCTATATGAAGACGACACATGCCAAGTGACCCGCAGGCGAAAGCTCGGCGATGCATCTGGAGTAAAGGCAGCATTTAGACAAGGCTGTCCACTATTGCTGATGATCTCCCTGATTGTGGTCGATTGGATCATACAGCAAACAGTGAAGAACAAGAAGACGGGCACACAGTGGATGGGTCGATGAAAAAACACTAGAACATTTGGATTTCGCCCACGATGATGATTTATGTCTAATGTCTTGTCGCACTAACCCGAAGATCTACAGGCAAAAGCTAACAAGTTGACAAGAGAGGCAGGGCAGTGAAAGAAGACGAGACTTCAAGTCAACGTTGAGAAGACAGAGGTGATGATGATGCCCAATCAACAACAGCAAAATCAACAAGCACAAATCCCCATGAACGGGAGAAATCTAAAGGAAGTAGTCTCTTTCACCCACCTACCTGAGCACCATCGTTTCAACTACAGGTGGTGACGGCCGCACAGATGAGGACGTCAAAGCAGCCAGGATCGGAAAAACAAGATAGGCTTTCATTAACTGAAACAATGAGTGTGGAGATCTACTGCACTCAGCATAAAGAAAAACATCTGGACTTTCAACACTATTATCAGTCAAGTCAGTGCCTCTATACGGTTGAGAAACTTGGCGCATCACGAAAAGCATTTCCAACAAACTACAGACATGCACTGCATGAACGGCTGCCGTCTACGCTCACTCAATACTGAAGATGGAGATCAGATGGCCAGACTAATAAGAATAAGCAAGAAGGAAGTCTGGCTAGCTGGCTGGCTGGCTGTCTGTCGACGAACCAAGCAAGATCTTATCGCCCAACAAATATGCAGTGGAAGAGAGTGGAGATGGATTGTGTTGGATTGGACATGCATTGAGAGGACCATTTGGGGACATCAAACACCAGGTCGTTGAGTGGGACTCAAATGAGAAATGACGAGTTAGGCGTTGGTGCCTAGGGTGATATGGAGTAGATGATATGAGGAAGAAATGAAATCTTTTGGGCAGTGATGCAGCCAAGTTGAAAATACTAAGGAGGCTAGTTCGAAATGTCGACGTGCTACTGAAGCCTTATGTTTCACTAGAAATTGAAGCGAAAAAAAACAATACTAACAATCAATACAGTTTTGTATTTCAAAAGCTCATGTAAAACGAATGAATGAAAATGAAATCCACCTAGCAACTTTGTGCATATTCGTTAAGAATAATGATGCTGCCTAGCTGTCAAGTTAACTGTATACAGAGCAATTTTCTAACTAAAGATCTACTGTTTGAAAGTGAACTCTATAAACAAGTTGGCCAACTCATCTGAAAAAAGTGAGTAGATGGTTTCACCAACGTAGATGTTCAAATTTATCACAGAGATTTAACTGAAATGAACATTACAGCATTGAAACTTTGAGTAAGAATAAAAGTCAGCAAATACTTCATTTGAAGAGTCATTGAGGACCTGCTGGCATTCTACATGTGTTTCCTTTTAGTATATGACTTCAGTAGTGTGCACTCAAGACATGTCGGAGGTGGAACCCAAGACCTTTGATTCTGATGAAGAAAACATTATTCATTTTTAAGCATCATTAATATATTACTTTTATTTTTATTTATTATTTTATTTAATTTAGCATCTCCTGATCCGCGAATTATACTCAAACCAATGTATGATAATCCGGATTCAACGTTCCCGACGAGATTAGTTTGCATGGATTTAAATCCAGAATATGATTCATCAGTGAATATTAGTTCATCTTCAATGACATCGGAAATGATATCTGTAAGGGTTATAATTATTATTATTATTTTTTTCCCTTGGGTTTCTAGTGGAACATGGGGATTCAGTAGCACGCCTTCATTGCACTCTCTTCTCTGCAGTCTTTGGAACCTGGGTCCACCACTCCACACAAGCTTTCATTTCTTCCTCATATGATCTCTTCCATGTCACCCTCAGCAACGACGCTTAGCTTGTCGTTTCCCAACTGGGTTCCATTCCAGTGCCTGGCCTGGTGCGTGATGTTGCCGAATGGTCTTCTCCATGTATGTCCAATCCAACTCAATCCATCTCCACTCTCTTCCACTGCATATTTGTTGGGCGATAAGATCTTGCTTGGTTCGTCGACAGACAGCCAGCCAGCCAGCTAGCCAGACTTCCTTCTTGCTTATTCTTATTAGTCTGGCCATCTGATCTCCATCTTCAGTATTGAGTGAGCGTAGACGGCAGCCGTTCATGCAGTGCATGTCTGTAGTTTGTTGGAAATGCTTTTCGTGATGCGCCAAGTTTCTCAACCGTATAGAGGCACTGACTGACTGATAATAGTGTTGAAAGTCCAGATGTTTTTCTTTATGCTGAGTGCAGTAGATCTCCACACTCATTGTTTCAGTTAATGAAAGCCTATCTTGTTTTTCCGATCCTGGCTGCTTTGACGTCCTCATCTGTGCGGCCGTCACCACCTGTAGTTGAAACGATGGTGCTCAGGTAGGTGGGTGAAAGAGACTACTTCCTTTAGATTTCTCCCGTTCATGGGGATTTGTGCTTGTTGATTTTGCTGTTGTTGGTTGAGCATCATCATCACCTCTGTCTTCTCAACGTTGACTTGAAGTCTCGTCTTCTTTCACTGCCCTGCCTCTCTTGTCAACTTGTTAGCTTTTGCCTGTAGATCTTCGGGTTAGTGCGACAAGACATTAGACATAAATCATCATCGTGGGCGAAATCCAAATGTTCTAGTGTTTTTTCATCGACCCATCCACTGTGTGCCCGTCTTCTTGTTCTTCACTGTTTGCTGTATGATCCAATCGACCACAATCAGGAAGATTTTAGGTGAAAGGGTCATAATAATTACTTCATAATCATTCATTTAAGACAGTATGTTTTGAATTATCATCTTAAATATCTGAGATAGATATCTTTTACAGGAAATGTATCATTAATACTGTAAATGATTGAGGGTTTAATATGCAACCAGATCTTGCTAGGATTGGAACAAGTGGCCTCTAGGTTACCTGTCTGGTGCCCTACCAAGTCAGCTGTGAGACGCAGCTGTTGTCTAGGTCTTCCTCTGATTTCATTCATCATCCGGTATTTACGACAGATTGATTCAAGGCTGCTTCGTAGATTTGATTTGCAGCTGGAAACGTCAATCAGGAAGTCTCCAAGGGTAATGTCTGTTCAACTTCAGCTTATTTACCCTGAAACGTCAACTTGGAATCTGAGAAAATGTCCTAAACATTGGTCGTGACTGTTGTGTGATAAATGGGATTCATTTCAACGAATAGCGATGTTTCTTAGCCTTTTTTTGACTATTTTAATCAGTTTATTGGGAATATCATACAATGAAACAGTTTCATTTAAAGGATAACGTTTTGGACAGAACATACTGTCCTTATTCGTACCAGGTAACTCCATAACTCCTATTTCCTTATGACAAGGGTAGTAGAATTTTTCACATATCTGAGACTAGCGCAGAATCCTTTCTGTCGCATGTATTTAATGTTGATTCGATTAACAAAGTTTCAGTTATCTACTAATCTTGATTTAGCGAAATTATTGTGCTCTATGACCCTGGTTGACTACTTTGACCTATGTATTAAAACTTCTAATCATTGTAGGTGATTTGGTAAACTCAATTACTTCGCTTAATTGCATTAATACGATCTTTTAATCTACAAAGCTTGTTTCTAAGAGAGTTTGTTGATTTAAAAGGCCACTTTAATCACAACCTTAATGAGAATGCTTCGTAACGCTTCTGAGGTGCTTTCCTTGTATAGTAACGCAGTGGAGGCTTTGAATTCTCTCCCAACCCTGCCACCACTATTGCTATCATTATTACTAGTACTAGCGGAATTATTGTTGATAAAGGTATGCTTGATGTGTCTAATTTATTGTCGTAGGTTTTCTGTCCTACGACAGTCTACCACAATGCCCAAGTTTTATTCCTATATTTCTCTTGACTAAATCAATTTCTTCAGATAGTTAGTTCCTTGAGATAGTTTCTCAATGAGAAAACTAATAGTCAGTTGTAATAAGGTTGAAGCTTAGATTTTGAACCCTGCACAAACATTGTTGAAGGGTTTTGATCTGGCGAGAAGTGGAGAAAATATTTCTCGGGTCATGAATCCCTGTCATAGATCAATCCTTCTGCCAACTATCTAAATTACAGAATAGGTTTAATTTCATAAGTTTCCTTTATTTGTCAGGTCGAAAACTGCAATAATCCTATACGTCATTATCCTTTCCAGAAAACATGAGTGTCATATTTCATACAGGAGCTATATTCAATGTAGATGTAAAACTTGGGCACTATGGTAGAATTTAAATCCATATTAGATTTCAAGTTGTTATTCATCGAAGACTGACATCAGTTGGAGGAACAAAGGAAACCTGGGAGCACTGGACAGCTGTTTCGTCCCACTAGTATGGGACTCCTCAGCAGTGCGCACCCACGACCCCACCAGCGGGGATCGAACCCGCGACCTGCAGGTTCCAAGACCAGCGCGTTACCATTGAGCTAGCCACTGGGTCACAATCCAATGCTCCATATTTCCAACTTCTGTTAGCTCACGATATAGCGCAAACCGCCACCCAATGTCATCGTTGAGTATTTGTCCTCACGGCCATCAGGCTTGACTCCACCGGTCACGACTTATCATTGGAACTTCGGGAATACTTCTCGAAGCTAGTCACCAACGAGCACTAGTTCAATTAAATTTTGAGGGGTTGTGGAGTCAAGCCTGATGGCCGTGAGGACAAATACTCAACGATGACATTGGGTGGCGGTTTGCGCTATATCGTGAGCTAACAGAAGTTGGAAATATGGAGCATTGGATTGTGACCCAGTGGCTAGCTCAATGGTAACGCGCTGGTCTTGGAACCTGAAGGTCGCGGGTTCGATCCCTGCTGGTGGGGTCGTGGGTGCGCACTGTTGAGGAGTCCCATACTAGTGGGACGAAACAGCTGTCCAGTGCTCCCAGGTTTCCTTTGTTCCTCCAACTGATGTCAGTCTTCGATGAATAACAACTTGAAATATTTCCAAATCTCCACAACCCCCTCAAAATTCATATTAGATTTGTTTATTTGATTTGAAGTGATTTTGAAGTGAAGACAGGAGTGAAACAAGGTTGCCTACTATCCCCCATGATATTCCTGATTGTGGTGGACTGGATCATGCAGCAAACAGTAGGCAGCGAGAAGAGGGGATACGCTGGACGACGGAAAAGAACCTAGAAGACTTGGATTTCGCCGATGACTTGTGCCTATTGTCACATAAACTTGAAGATCTGCAGGCAAAAACTAACAAGTTGATAGAAGAGGCAGGGCAGCGAAGACGGGACTTCAGGTGAATATAGAGAAGACAGAAGTGATGAAGATACCGCACCACCACCATCAACAACAACAACAAACTCCAATCACCATCAACGGGAGAAACTTAAAGGAAGTAACCTCCTTCACTTATCTAGGAAGCACTGTTTCAACTACAAGTGGCGGGACGGACGAGGATATCAAAGTCAGAATCGGAAAAGCAAGACAGGCGTTCATTAGCCTGAAACCAGTGTGGAGATCTTCTGCACTCCACTCAGCATGCGGAACAAGATACGGATTTTCAACACCAACCTCAGTCAAGTCAGTGCTCCTGTATGGTTCAGAGACTTGGCGCGTCACGAAAGGGATTTCCAATAAACTACAGACATTCATCAACAACTGCCACCTACGCTAGCTCGATACTGAAGATCAGATGGCCAGAAAGAATAAGCAACAAGGAGCTCTGGGAACGAACCAACCAAGAACATATCACCCAACAAATATGCAGGGGGAAGTGGAGATGGATTGGGCATGCACTGAGAAGGCCGACTGAGGACATCACGCGTCAGGCCAGTTGCTCGAGTGGAATCCCCATGGGAAGCGACGAGTTGAGTGTCGGTGCCGGGGGTGACATGGAGGAGGTCGTGCGAGGAGGAAATGAGAGGTTGTTGGCTGTCGTGGAACCAGGTTCAAAAGATTGTAGAGAGCAGAGTTCACTGGAGACGTGCTACTGAAGCCCTATGTTCCATTAGGAACCCAAGGGACTAATAATAATAATAATAATAACACACAGTGATCTGGTATTATTTACTTGATGACGTTCCGAGCATAAATTACCATCGCTCATAATTATATCAATATAATCACATAGCACTTTTGACATCTGATTTTCACAGTCCTGCCATCTTTTATTCTTTGTTTCTATTAGTAGTAAAATTTTCCATATCTCCAGTCTAGATGTCGTGTCATTCCTATTGCATGTGTTACATTGGACTTTATTCCACCCATTCCATTGTGTAGTTGTATGCTAATGGATGTATTGTAATAGCAGAGTCACCTTCTAGATTATTGATCTTATATAGGTCTGCCATTCCATATTTAGACAAATTCCTATGTTCGGCTATTCTAACTGACCCCGACCAACTTGTTTCACCTACACTTTTGAGCTCACAGTCATTACATGGAATTTGATAGATTATATTATTTTGCTTAATTGGTTCTATCGGGTCCTTAAGCGAGCCGACACAGTTTATCCGTGAGTGAGTTTGCAGGTTTAGATGCCACCCTGATTCCAGCTCTGTTGAGGATTCTACGTAAAGTTTCTGAGGTACCCTCCTTATAGGGTAATACAATAGAGGCTGTGAACTCCTTTTTCTCGTGTTTTCGTTATTAGTCGCACTCATGTGACTGTTATTTTTCCGTTTTTTGTGTGTCCGTAAGAATTTCTTAATAAACTGTGAAGGATAATTACTAGCTATTAGCACTTCTTTCACGAGTTTCAATTCCTTGTTTAGGTTCTTGCTCTGTCTGTTCAAAGTTGTAACGTTTAAATCTAACTACTTATTACTGAGTAATAATGTGGTGTGATCTTCAAATTGCTACTCTTCATGACACCTAGATAATTTTGTGTTAGAACTGAGGACATGCAGTTAATCCCATTTATCAAATGTATAACTACACACATAGCTAGTATTATAAGATATGGAAGAAAGAAATCTTTTCAAATTTATTTGCTGATTACTCGCTCTGCAGATGCATTTTAACATCTTATTCAGCTGATCATCGAGGTATGTACTCATGTTAATAAGATGCTACAGCTTCAATACCATTTTTACCAAGGACTGAAATCAGTTGTAGAGACATCAAAAACCTGTCGCCATCATAAAATTGATTCATCCTAGTTACATACGCCTCAGAAGTGCATACCCACAACCCCGTGAACGATTCAGCCAAGAATTTTCAGGTCTCATGATGGACACGTTAACATCCAACCAATAGTAATTAGTTATATGGTGCAACCATCATCTAAAGTAATCGACGATCATCCATTTCGACTTCCCATATAAATGTGACCGCGAAGTTCACAGGAATACGTTGTTTGGATTTACCGTCAAAATTCTTCAGCGGTTTTTTCCATCAACTGATAAGGGAAACGTGGTATTCGAATGGATGAAAATTCAATCAGTTTACTGCTTAGTCTATTGTACCATGATTTCCAAGTGTTGTGTTAGTGAACCAACTTTCATCTTGAAAAGCTCAATCGAACTATGTTTTGAATTCATGCCTTATTATGAGAGTGGTTTTACCTTGCAGAATCGAGGTCACGAATAAAAGTGGAATGGAAAGGCAATTCATACCAGGAATCCAACGAGATGCCTCTGGGTTACTGAGTTATGAGACCTAACTACTGGCTAGGTCTTAAATTCACTTGCATCATAGAGGTGACTGATTCGAACCCTGCTGTGACTCAGGTCTTCATTTTACCTTCACTTATCACTTATTTTCAAAAACATTAATCTGTCAAACCTTATCTATTTGTGATAGTTCAATTAATAAGCATCTCGATGTTCCTGTGTCCTTGATTCACCTCGATTTGAAATGGTGGAGAATATTTGTAGCTCAGGTGGATGGTCTTGGTTATATTGTCTTCTTTGCGCTGGGTTGTTTTATCGTGTAGCTTTCTACGTCTTTCTAGAGGATATCATCAGCAATTACATAAGTATGAAGTGAGCTAAAAATATCTCTGTGAGTGATTTAGTGACTTACTCTGACCACATGGTCTGTGATTGGTTGTTTCTTTTGATTGCTGTGTCATTGACTGACTGTAGAGATTTTTCTATTGGTTGTTCTTCTGCTTTACGTCTCACCTTTCTGTTGTTTATCATCTTCCTCATTGGTTGACTAATTGGTTCTATGTGTATACATCTATCGATTGCTCACTGACTGACTGACTGATGTGAATGCCAGGCCTCTAAGAATTCTCTGATATTTTTTGTGTTTCCTCTCTGCATCCAAGATTTCTACATTGTCGAAATTGAACTCATGTCCATAGTTGTTATCGACGTGCATTGAAATGAGTGATGAATATTCGTGACGACCTCGATTTGGACTACGCAGTGGGCCAAAGACTGCCTGTTCTAATCCCATTCTACCCGAGATATTTATTTCATCTTAAATCGTTACCCAGTTTCAATAACACTAATGTATAGCATTATCAATAAACTGTTAGAATCTATTTTAACAACCCTACTGATTTATATTCTGTTGCATGTAAGATATTTTATCAAGTTTAGTCATTCACCTTGTATTTAGAGAACAGCTAACCCGCCAGTGATATTTCAAATAGTTTAAAATGATGACAGAATTCCGTTTTCATTTTATTGAATGAACTAATAGTTAATCAAGGAATATATAATGAAACCTTGTTGTTAGTTGAACAGCTTTGATACAAGAGTTTTAGTAAAAATGCATTGCTTAATCATTCTCTCAGTCTTTTGAGTGGACTTTGATTATATACACGAGATAGGTTTATATTGTTTCTAGGCTAAAATAACATCAGTATTTCTTCTTTCATAGAAGAAAACAGTTTGGCTAGTAAGTCAATCACTGACTTTAGTGTTATCTACTTGAATTGATAGTTATGACCAAAAGCGTAGTATGCCCATTGCATAAAGAGTGGCTAACATGACTCAGAAGTCTACTGGAGAACTTTTTATCATATGAAATTATACGTTCTGTGTTCCAAAAGTCGAAAATATTCCATAGCCTAAATATGGTATGGATGAATATTGCATAGCGAGTTACCTAAGCAAAACTGAAAGTTGGAAACGGCATTAACATATTATTAGTGTCATTATATACCTTCAATGTATAGCTTACTTATATTTGCTTTAACAGCATGCAATTGTACCAAGTGAAAAAAGAATTATCATAAGGAAAGGTGATATACCAGCTATTCGTCAATTAGAGATTGATTGGAGACGTGTTGGTGAATTTGATCCATTCAATGATGCCGGTTATTTCACGTGTTTTGTGAATAATACAGAGACGAATGGATCAAGAACAATTAAAATACCTACTGATAAAGTTCCTGTACAATGTAAGTTTTACTTATATGTTTTCTATTTGTAATCAAATTTTAACTTAGTTATCTAGCAATGTGGAGATCTTCTACAATCACCATAAAGCGTGAACAACATCCGCATTTTCAACACCAACATTAAGTCAGTGGTTCTATGTGATGGTTGAGAGACTTGTCGCGTTAGAAAAGGCATTTCCAACAAACTACAGACATTCATCAACAACTGCCACCTACGATGACTCATTACCGAAGCTCAGGTGACCAGAATAATAATATTAATGACAAGTAACAAGGAACTCTGACTGGCTGGCTGGCTGGCTGGCTGGCTGGCTGGCTGGCTGGCTGGCTGGCTGGCTGGCTGGCTGGCTGGCAACGAACCAACGAAGCAAGAACCTATCACTGAACAAATCTGCAGTGGAAGGAAGTGGAGATGGATTGGGCATGCACTGAGATGGTCGACTGGGGACATCACGCATCAGGCTAAGCATTTGAGTGAAATCTAGATGGGAAACGACGAGTTGGGTGTCCGAGGTGATGGTGATATGGGGCAGATGGTGTGAGGAAGAAATGAGAGCTTATGGGCAGTGTTGGAGCCAGGTTCAAAAGATTTTAGAGAAGAGAGTGGATTAAAGACGCGCTACTGAATTCCTATGTTTCATTAGGAACCCAAAGGACAAATAACAAATAATAATAATATCTAGCAGTTATCAAAAATATGCTTCCTGTCTCAAATTTTCATTTCACCTTCAATCACCATCTAGTGTGGGATCTGGAATTACTGCCACATATCATGTCAGCACTTCATGATGGGAAGTGCAAAGATGAAAGAAAGAAGTCGTGGAAGTAGAACAAGAACGAATGGAACAATAATGAAGTTTGATATGATAATTAAGATGTTATGTGTTGACGTATCTCCACTATGAAGGTTGATTCTGAGTTACATCCACCTAGAATCTCCATCCAATGCGTTCGATTGTTACATGGACCAAACCAAGAAGTTTATATTCCCACATACTTGACCGAAACTACCAGTCAAAACTTTATGAACGGGTACCATGTTTCATTATGATCACCTCTAACATTTTCCTAGTCTAAGCCTACTTCAGCTAACATTGGAGGACGGAACATATGATGACTATGCTTACGTAAAATGTTTTGCAGCCACTTCAAACGATGAAAGTTCACAACCTCATCAGCTGACTTTCCTGTACTGTCTAAAACTCCACACCTGTCTTCTACATTACTGATATGGTAGCGTCACAATACAGCCAATGTTACTGAAGAAGCGGTAGCCGAACATCTGAATCTTTCTCATGTCTATTACTTTCAGTGGTCATGTTTCACAGCTATAAATTGGTGAATGTGTGGGTGACTGACGCATAGGCGATAGTGAAGGAAGTAGAATACTAACTTTGTGTATTTTGATAACTTCGTATAGGTGCAGATATTCTGATTCTATGGGTTTAGCTAAGGTGTTTAAATCTATCAAATGGACTAATTGTTTGAAGACACTTTAAATCAGCTGGAAGTTTAGTTTTTCTTCATAAAATAGAAATATACAGCTGGATATTTTACTGAATACTGTGGTAACCTTGAGAATTACTCAAGATCTCATTCACTTATTCTTACATCAGTTTTGTTAGATTGAATACTAAGTGAGCAGATTAACTACACCATATCTGATGCTGTTTTAATCATTGTATCGAGGACATCTCATACATCGTACACACGAACAGTGATGATTTAGCCTGTAAATATATCATGAAAATATAACAATTAAACTTAGGTCTTGTTTCAGTGAGAAAAAATGCCTAACATTTGACGCTCGATGCCTGACATCGAACAAAATACATTTTCTTTACAACTAGGCTGATAACCATCTAGTAGCTTATTGATTCATTCAACCTGTGGATCATGAGTGTTCAAACACTATGCCACCTAATGAGATTTTGAAATCCAGGCAATGTATTGAAGTGTAGCTCATTATGTACATAATTGTTCACATCAGTTTGAGTTCTTTTGGATTTGTGAACTTGGAAATTTGCCTGAACACTCATTTAATGGTATGTAAGATGACATCTACTTAGATTATATAAATTTAACTAGGATAACAGGAATATTTGTTGTCCGACATGTGATATGCTCAATAGAACTGCGTATATCCCTTTGTCTTTTATTTTTATAGTTCGTAGTGAAGTCGAATGTTTCAATCTAAGATGCTAAAAGTTTAGTAGCAGGGGGATGCTGTACAAGTATATGGAAAGCGATAACCTGTCGGTGATTATAACTTTAGTCTTTCAGTGTTGAAGCCACAGACTTTATCATTAATCTGTTTATGCCTCAGTTGAACGCGTTTGGGATCAAGTTGGGCATACGAATTTAGATCAGTGGTAAATATACTGAAAACTGAAAGTGGGAGAAGGATAAATATGACTATATGAGATAGTCAAATGATAATAAGAAATTTTGAGGGGGTTGTGGAGATTTGGAAATATTTCAAGTTGTTATTCATCGAAGACTGACATCAGTTGGAGGAACAAAGGAAACCTGGGAGCACTGGACAGCTGTTTCGTCCTGCTGGTGGGGTCGTGGGTGCACACTGCTGAGGAGTCCCATACCAGTGGGACGAAACAGCTGTCCAGTGCTCCCAGGTTTCCTTTGTTCCTCCAACTGATGTCAGTCTTCGATGAATAACAACTTGAGATAATAAGAAAGATAATGAAAGGAAAGAAGTGATAAGATTTGGTAATGTGATAAAATAAGCATTATCAGAGTCGGCCTACTGTAGGAACAAACTGTTTCAACACACACACAACGGGAGTTAAATTTGTTTATAGCTAGTGCCTCAAACAACCTTAAGTATACGCCCCTGACAGTTTCTATACAAAATTGTAAAGGCTGTTTTAAAATTAGTTGTGTAAAGTTTATCAATGATAATGCTTTGTAATGAATGATGATAGTTGTCTGCCACCTGCGCTTATCGATGTTTGTGAATCCAGCCGCTTTTGTAGCTAGTTTGGTATATGTTCCCCTACCCTCAAGTGCATATCACAATTAGTCCTTCTTATGTATATTTGTCCAAACGCATATATGTAAATTGATAAACGCAGTAGGATGTGACCCAGTTGTTTATACAACGTTGATGTCTATATTGCAACAGGTGTTTAGTCTTCTCGACTATGATAAGCTCAGATGCATAGTACGTTTTACTAACAGTAGACTCCAACATTTGTTTATATGTTTCGCTATTACATTCCTCTTTTTTGAAACAGAATACAGACTAGGTTTTAATCCTTGCTGATTTTTGCAGCAGTTTATGAACTTCATTGGATATCCATTGTCGACTTGTGTTTCAGTTTCATCATCCATTTAGTCTTCCTTACAAATACGCTGGATCCTTTTAAATAGGTTAGTTACCAAACTTCAATTGTATTGGGTTGGGCAAAGGCTATGAAAAAACTTACGTACTTGCCTATCCTTGTGGGTTTCCGGTAAATCGACCAATTTATTAAACCATCATTTCTGAGACTTAGAAGTATATCCAAGAATGGTAGACAGTTTTCTTTCGCTTCTTCACATGCTAAGCTTATGTTTTTTTGTACCTAATAAATCTTTCGCACATATACAAGCTAGTAAACGACCTTATAGTCAAATCATCCATGCACTTCACTTCTGTATTGCTTTAAAAGTATGATGGATTCCGTCGCTGACTGGACCGAATTGATCGTTCTCTGTTAGCATATGGGCTCCTGTGCGGATGCCTCGATATTACCAGCAATCTAATTATATTAAGGATGGATTGTAGCTAGAAGTGGAATCGAGGATGTGCATTTCGTCCTATTTGGATTGTTGGAAATATCGAGGCATTCGCACAGGAGCCCATATGCTAATAGAGACCTACCAATTCGCTTCAGTCAACGACGGCGTAATACAAGCAATAAGACTAAAACTATGCCCGTCGCATAAGAAGTGGCTATCGTGGCTCGATTGTTTATTGGATAACTAGTTGGCGTTTGAGCGATTGCTCCCGAGTACGAATCCCGATGGGAACGACATAACTCATTGGGAAGCAGGTACATCCAGCTGACGAGTCCCAAACAGGACGAAATGGACATCCTAGATTCCACTGATCCATCCTTAAGATAATATGATGGATTCGCTTTACTGGTCATCAGAATCTAGTTTGAAACTCTGTAAAAGTACAATTTCAACTATTCATAAGTTGGATGAACAAAATTTGTAGGTTTTTGTTATTTTCTACTCTATTTATGCATTTCTTGGTCAAAAGGCATCTTTCCGTTGTGGAATAATTCTAGTGTTACGCTTTCTATATTTTTTAGTGCCAGAGGATCCGTTTACACGTTTGTATATCTATTCACCGGATACTTATGTTATTCCAGAAGTTGATGGAAGCTCCAAAGTGATGATTCCTGAAGGTGAACAGTTACGTGTAAGTTCAAAACTTCAAATATATTAATAAGTTGATGAAAGAGTATACATTTATAGGTTATTCATTCAACTGTTGAAGTTTTTTGCTATTGTTAAAGTAAATCAATTATTAGGAGTATATTTTTCATTTCTGTGTGTTTAATAACTAAAATAAAGTTCTTTCAACTGTTTATTAGAAACATTCCATTGAAATAAGGCAGCCAGCTCTTGCGTGTCATTAAATACTTCTTGATGCTTGTTATCCCAGGACTAATTCGAGTCTTAGAGGGAACACTATCATTTACTAGGCTACAGGTACATCCAGCTGATGAGTCCCAAATGGCACGAAACGTGCATACCAGAATGCTTAACTATTTAGAACTTTGTTTTCTATTTATCCAATATCTTGAAGGCTTCAGCAATATCTATTTCATGTTAATTTTCTACTAGGTGTCTAAATATTGTACTTGTAAGAATGTGTACTCACTTTTAAACACAAATGTTCTAGGATATGCTCATAAAATTGATTAAATGACGTTCTCTTAGTTCTTCTTATATACTTGCTTCAATGAGCACATGTTACTTAAACTGTTTTTTCATTATCCCAGTGTAATTTCCCGATAAATCTAGAATTGTTGTCATTTATTTTAATTAAAGTAATGAGTTATTTTTTTCTCTTATCTGTTCGAATTATTATCTAGTACTAATATAGGAGTAAGACTTTGGCACTGTGGTCGATTGTAATTCCATTTTAGTCTGTTTATTAGAAATAACATACAGTGAAACAGAAGCATTTACTGGATAACAACGTTTCGGACACAATTCATTATCCATATTCATATCAGGTAACTCAACAACTTTCAGACAGACTCTATGTATTCCTAATTTTCTCTCCTTCTCTCTGATGACAAGGGTAGTAGAATTTTCCATATATCTGGGACAGGTGCAGCATCAGTTCGATTGCTGCAGGTATTTGGTGTTGATTCGATAAACAAAGATTTGGTAATCAATCTCCCCCCCCTTATCCCACCCTACTGTGTGATTGCGTGTCATCGCATGCACAGCTATAGTCTAGCTTTTCTCTGGATTTCTAATCTGATTGGGATCTACTAATCTTGAATTAGCTAAGTTTTTGTGCTGTGTTATTCTAATCGACCCTGGTCGACTGCTTCCACCTATGCACTTGACTTCACAATCATCGCAAGGAATCTGGCAAACCAGATTATTTTGCTTAATTGCATCGACAGGATCGTTTAACCTATAAAGCTTGTTTCTAAGTGAGTTTGTTGGTTTGAATGCCACTTTACTCCTAGACAGTCTTATTGAGAATTCTTCGTAATGCTTCTGAGGTGCCTTACTTGTATAGTCATATAGCATATGCTTTGAATTCTCTCTTAATCCTGTCACCCTTATTACCATTAGTATTGGGATGATTAATAATAACACCTGTATTACTACTACTACTATCACTGCCAATATTTTTCTTTCGATTCATTATGAATTACAAAGAATTCTCACTAAGGCTGTCTAGGAGTAAAGTGGCATTCAAACCTACAAACTCACTTAGAAACAAGCTTTATAGGTTAAAAGATCCCATCGACGCAATTCAGCAAAATAATCTGGTGGTATAGGGCGACTGTATTGAAAACTAAGTTGGTTAGAGGGAGGGGGAGATTGATTGCCGAATCTTTGCTTATCGAATCAACACCAAATACCTACAGCAATCGAACTGATGCTGCACCTGTCCCAGATATATGGAAAATTCTACTACCCTTGTCATCACAGAGAAGGAGAGAAATTTAGGAATATATAAAGTCTGTCACGAAGTTGTTATATAGTTACCTGATATGAATATGGACAATAAATTGTATCCGAAATGCTATCCAGTAAATGCTACTGTTTCACTGTGTGATATTTCTAATAAACAGACTAAAATGGAATAATCTATTACTGTTATCGCCAAATATCGAAACTTTGTTTCTAGTTTTCAACTGAATTAGAATTGTATTGTTTATTTGAAAATTAAGAGAGTTTCGATAACGCTATTAGAAGACGAGGTTCACCTGAAGAATGTGAATAATGTATTTGCGCAATACATTTCGAACAATCTGATCCCCCACAGATTTACTTGTCAAACCAATTTATATATGAAAATGAAACGTGAAATAGTGGTGAATGTGAAAAGGTTGTGACACCAGTCTTGGTAATATAAACAGATAAGAATTACTAAGGTAAATTAAGTAAAACAACAGTTAAGTGGATAACCATTTTCCGTTACAGTTTGTCAACTATTGTAAAAAAACAGCTGACCTCGAAACCTATAGTTTCTACCGTCCCGAAGAAAAACATATTTCTAAAATTACTATACAGAGGGGAAACGAGTAGTATGATATTGAAACAGAGATTAAAATCTGTTATCAATAAAACATACTATGCAGCTCAGTTTGTTGTTGTTCAGACCACAAAGCAACCTTAACCTCGCATAAATTATTATTATGTCACATTCCAGTGTGTTTACCAATTTATATGTATGTGTTTGGACACCTAGATAAGGAGGAGTAGTCATGCTGTGCAGACAAGGGTAGGTGAACACCTACCTTGAAAAGCAATTCAACACACAAACATTGATAAGTGCAGGTGGCAGACATCCATCGTCATCTATAACAAAACATTGAAATGAATCACAGGGTTAATACGAAAACAACCTTCAAGATATTATACAAGAATAATCAGGGGCGCATACTGAAGTTTGCCGAAGCGTTAGCCATTCGTACACTTAAGCCACCGTAGTGCGTACAAAAACAATCTGTTGTTTCACTTGATCTACCTTGGTAATCTGACTAGTGTCACAACCTTTTCACATTCATCACTATTTCACCTTTCATTTTCATATATAAATTGGCTTGACAATTAAATGTGTGGGGGATCAGATTGTTCGAAATGTATTGCGCAAATACATTACACACATTGTTTAATTAAATTTTGAGGGCTTGTGGAGATTTGGAATTATTTCAAGTTGTTATTCATCGAAGACTGACATCAGTTGGAGGAACAAAGGAAACCTGGGAGCACTGGATAGCTGTTTCGTCCCACTAGTATGGGACTCCTCAGCAGTGCGCACCCACGACCCCACCAGCAGGGATCGAACTCGCGACCTTCAGTTTCCGCGACCAGAAGTATTCCCGAAGTTCCAATGACAAGTCGTGACCGGTGGAGTCAAAGCCTGATGGCCGTGAGGACAAATACTCAACGATGACATTGGGTGTCGGTTCGCGCTATATCGTGAGCTAACAGAAGTTGGAAATATGGAGCATTGGATTGTGACCCAGTGGCTAGCTCAATGGTAACGCGCTGGTCTTGGAACCTGAAGGTCGCGGGTTCGATCCCTGCTGGTGGGGTCGTGGGTGCGCACTGCTGAGGAGTCCCATACTAGTGGGACGAAACAGCTGTCCAGTGCTCCCAGGTTTCCTTTGTTCCTCCAACTGATGTCAGTCTTCGATGAATAACACATTGTTTAGATAATATTCCTCTACTAAGAGCGTTATCGAAATTTATTAAAGGGACTAATTGTTTCAGATTAAGAGATTTTTATGTTGCAAGAGGCTAATGAATATTTGTGAGATACAACAAAGTTACTTTCTTTAACGTAATTCTGTTCACTCTTGCTTATATCAAATACACAAATAACTTTAAAGTGATTTATGTTACTACACAGTATTTCAACAAATCTAGCGCGAAAGCAAAAGTATGAAAGATGGGGAAATAATAATAAAAAAACAAACCAAAACTGTTCGGAAGTAGCGAAATACACATTTTTGAGTTATAACAAAAGACAAGATGTGGTTACAGTGAAGAAACAGTTTTCTTTTCAACGAAGTCATTTACTAAGCTGTACCTTCTTAAATATATGTTACAATGGGCAGAACATCCAAGAGTTATTGCTGGTTTGATCATCTGGATGACTAGTGCTTCAGATATAGACAAAAATGTCTTGATCTGACTCCCTTCGAGTGGATTGATCTAACCTTGTAGAGAATTTCGAATGAACTCTCAAAAAGGACTAAGTGGCCTGAGTTCACGAGGTGTTGCGCTATTGAACTGAAGATATATTTCCGTTCCCCCTTTGCTAGTCAGGTTGGCACGTTTTACAAGTGAACCCATTGTACAGCTGATGTAATCAGCTGCGCAAGAGCAAAGAAACTGGTATACGCACAATGATGTGGCTGAATGCATCGGCTTGCCGCTTACACTTTAATCAAAAGGTTTCTTGCAGGAGAAAAATTTCTGGAACATTCTGCTCATTGTAGCATATATTCTTGAATGTACAGCTCAGTAAATGGCTTCATTGAGAAGAAAAATTTTTCTTCGCTGCAACCTTATCTTGTCTTTCCCTATGTTCGAAAGTAGTAAGAAGATGACAAGAAAGAATGAGATAGTTCTGAAATTCAGTATGGTTATTAAGATGAACATTACATGCAGACACATTTTCACGATGAGGTCAATTATGAGCCACATCACTTAGAGTTGCTAACCATCAGTTTCTGTTTTCATCACAACCCCAACAAAGATGTGTATGTTTCCCTACAAAACTGAAACCAACAGTCGCAGACTGATGCTATCACTTTGAACCTTTTTCCGCCCTGAACCTAACATTGTGCGATGAAGCAGGTGACAAGATATGCGTAAGACACTTCTCAGACACATCAGCCGATGCTGGTCCACAACTTCATCAACCCAGGTATTCCTTCTACTCAAAATTCTACCTAACCAACTTCTACGTTACTGACATCACTATATAAGGCCTACTCTCCGAAGGCAACGGTGGTCGAACATTTGAAGCTTTACATTCGTTGCCTTTATTAGTCATATTCCACAGTCATAGAGTAGGAAAGAAAGAGAAGCAGTGAAGTACGTCCGACTCCCCATCGGCAACTAGGTATCACAATGGCTCTATAAATGAAGTAAGTTAAGGAAAGCTAGACGAGCCTGTTGCATCTCTATTGAGATTTTGTCGGTCACTGACCCACCAAGGCTGATCTGAATTCTCATGCAAGCGAAGTGGACAACGCGCTCAACCACTTACTATCTATTGCTCGGAAACATAAACCATCAAATGAAAAGTATGATGAGTTTGCTGACACTACCTTATACACAATACACATTAAACGGAGTAAATCGCAATGTTAAACCCTCACCCGCCAGTAGATCTGATTAAGTGAACAGATTAAAACGTTGGCAGAGTTATCAGAAATAAGCATAATTTTCTTTTTTCGGTTGTAGATTTATTGTGTATTCGAAGCTAGACCTTCAGACGAATTTCATGGTTGGCGATTAACAAATTCACTGGTTGAAAATAATATCAGAATTGAACATCGACCATATTCATCATTGGTAAAAACAGAGAAAGTTGATTTAACCTTAGATGGACAAACTGTAGAATGCGCTTTCGGTGACAGAAGTAAACCAGTAAAAATATCCGGTGAGTTGAATGAATAATTTATTATGATTAATAGCCTATGTTATGCTAATATTTAGCTTATTTCTTAGCATTTTCTCAGAATTGTAAGAATATTAGTAACAATGATGAGTAACTAATATCCTGTTGAATTTGTCATACCTATCAATTCTCGTCCGGGATAGGCTGGTTGGATTCAGGAAGAACAAATCATGTGCGCATCAAATTGCAACGCTACACTATGCATCATTATAGAACAGAGTATAGAATGGCAGTCAACACTCTGCCTCAACTTCACCCACTTTGAAAAGGCATTCGACACCGTCAACCGACAAGTAATTTGGCAGTTGCTTCAACACTACGGAGTACCGCGAATCTTTACCAACCTCATTCAACTGCTATATGAAAAGGCCATATGCCAAGTGATCCACAATGGGAAGCTCAGTGATGTCTGTGAAGTGAAGACAGGGGACAGGACTAAGGCAAGTTTGCCGACTACTATCACCAATGATCTTCCTGATTGTGGTGGACTGGATCATGCAACAAACAGTGAGGAGTGAGAAGATGGGCATACACTGTTTGACCGATGGAAAGAGCCTAGAAGATTTGGATTTCGCCAGTGATGACTTGTGTCTAATATCGCACAAGCTCGAAGATGTACAGGCGAAAACTAACAAGTTGACAGGAGAACCAAGGCAGCGAAAACGGAACTTCAAGTGGATGCAGAGAAGACAGAGGTGATGAAGATACCCAACCAACACCATCATCAACAACAACAAGTTCCAGTCACCATTAACTGAAGAAATGTAAAGGAAGTAGTCTCCTTCACCTGTCTGCCTACCTAGACAGCATGGCTTCAAGTACAGCTGGCGGCGGCGGCGGCACAGATGGGGATGTCAAAATCAGCCTCAGAAAGACAGCGAGACAGGCCCTTCTTCATTAATCGAAATAATCAGTGTGGAGATCTACTGCACTCATCATAAAGAAAAACATCTGGATTTTCAACACTAACATCATTCAAGGCAGTGCTTCAATATGGTTCATAAACTTGACGCGTCACGAAAAGCATCTCCAACAGACTACAGACGTGCATCACATCAACAGCTGCTGCATACGTTGGCTCGATACTGACACTGAAAATCAGATGACCAGAATAATGAGAATAAGCAACAAGGAGCTCTGGGAACGAACAAACCAAGAACCTATCGCCGAACAAATATGCAGAAGAAAGTAGAGATGCATTTAGAAAGCCATTCGGAGACATCATGCGTCAGGCCAGTCCTTCGAGTGGAATTCAATGGGGAAACGACGAGTTGGGTGTCCGAGGTGAGGGTGACATGGAGAAGATGGTATGAGGAAGAAACGAGAGCTTGTGGGCATTAGTGAAGAGAGGTTGAAAAAGCTGGAGAGAAGAGAGTGAAGTGGCGACGTCTTAGTGAAACCCTATGTCCCACTAGGCACCCAAGGGACAAATAAAAATAATAATAATCCATTCTCGCAGTGTCAGTCTTCATGCCTAAAGAAGTTGTATTTATAACGCAGCCAAATTACTCATCTAAGCAGTGCTATGTCTTTTAGGCGACTTACTCACTTCTGCCTGTCAAGCATTCTTGTACTTTTCTATCAAGATTTGTTGACCGTTTGACCTAGCCTGATCATTTCAGGAGTGAACGTCTCATTTCGATCACATACAAGCTGTAAATTGTTGTTCCGATTCTTGCTGATTTTTAATTATTATTGGTTCAACGATTGCTTTCACGAAAGCGTCACCTTTAGTTATAATTCTTATTATACTACAGTACAACTTAATATTTTTTCCTGTCCAAATAACAGAGTGGTAACGTCTTCGGCTGATGTACTGGATAACTTGGTTTGTAACCTCTAATGAGACTAGAGATAAGCCTAAATGATGAGTGCCAACAGGAATGAAACGTATGTTGGTTAGGGTTTTCGTCCAGCTGCCTTCAACCACCTGACTATTATTTTCATTGGAATCTGATTGCCTTTCTCTCACTTTCAAAGATAATATCATTGTTACTGAGCTTTTCAACTTCTCCATTTAGCTTATCGGTAAATAGAAATACAAATATATTCACAAAGCTGAAAATATTTTTATTTACGGATCCCAGTGACATTCTATTGATCAACGGGACTGCCGATTTACCGTTGATATAGATAGAGTTTTTTTCCACAAACATTTTTATAAATCTGTCCTATCCTATTTTCAAAAACCAGATATTCAGCGAAGAGAACTCTTTACAAGGAATTTATTTTCAAGCTGTACATTCGTGTATATATATATATATATATATATATATATATATATATATATATATGTGATATAATCCATAAGGAAGACTTACCTTAGATAATGAGGGGTTGAAATAACAATAATCATGGTCATAATAATAATCTTGCTAGGTGATGACTTGAAGATAGAATGGTAACAAAAAGGATTACGTAAGATTTTGAATCATTTATAAGGTGGATATAGATTAAAAAGGGTGAGAACGTTAATAAACAATCAAAGGATTAGGTAATATGAGTGAGACAACAGATTAATTGGAGTCAATTGAAAACGTTTTGTTAAAAGTTGCAATTGAATTTCTAGGGAGTTGTAGTGATCTTGAAATATTTCAAGTTGTTATTCATCGTAGACTGACATAAGTGGAAGGAATAAAAGAAACCTGGGAGCTAACAGAAGTTGGAAATATGAAGCATTGGATTCTGACCCAGTAGCTCAATGGCAACGCGCTGGCCGTGGAACCTGAAGGTCGCGGGTTCGATCTCTGGTGGGGTCGTGGGTGAGCACTGCTGAACAGTCGCATACTAGGACGAAACATCTATCCAGTGCTCCCAAGTTGCCTTTGTTCTTTCAAATGATGTCAGTCTACGATGAATAACAACTTGAAAAGTTGCAATTATTAGGAAGATAAAATAAAATAACACCGGAAACAATTAAATATGAAAATAAAGTGATAATGACGATGTAAGAGTACAAAGATTAATCTGACAAAAAAGGGGAGGGGGTTGAAAAACAAAAAAGGAATAAAGCGCACCAAGACTAAGATAAGTTAAGGCCAAGGTAGAAGCAAAAGTTGTGCATACACAAAGATCAGGCTTCAGTTCATGGATAGGTAAGGCCTCTGCCATTTTTAGAAGCTGAACACACAGGAAACGTGAGATGTTTCAGCAAATTTGATAGACAACCTCAAAATCATTGTCAGCGGTCGTTTGAATGGTTGGAATCAATTCAGTACTCAAGGACAGGACTTCTGATGCATTTTCTTTCACCCTTAAAAACCAGTCACGAATATGTTCTCGTATACATGTTGACAGAAATCTCTGACTACGGCTGATGTACCTAACTCCAAGGGAGCAGGTGAACCAGTAAATATACATGGATGTAGCCTATCTAGTGATATTGTCTTTTATACAGACGGAGAACAGTTTACAACTGGTAAAGATCGAGTGAAATTTGGCTGGGAAAAAGTCTTACTAACTGACCTCGAAATATGATTTTTCAGGATGCCTGATACTGCACCTCCTTTAAATTCCAAATTCATGAACAAAGTCTTCACATAAATTGGTCTGATGACTGGTTTCGCATGTCGTTCTAGCATATTTTTATCGATAAATTGGATAGGACAGGCGTTTTCTGCAAGCATTCCTCTTAGAAAGTCAAGTGCAACTTGGACACAGTCTATACTACAAATATTACATATTCGATAACAAAAGTCAATGAGGCTTTTTTTCCACATGATCGACACCCAGCTACAGAAATTAGTAAGCTGTTCATTCCACGTGGGTTTCCTGTAGATTGATCTTTTAATCCTTCCATTGCTACTTCTCGTAATCAGCACGTCAAGGAAAGGAATAGCTGATTCCAATTCCCTCTCCGTAGTTAATTCCAATGCTAAGTGACAACTGTTAAACTCTCGCAGGATGTCGTCCAGATCCAAAGTTGAGTCGCAAATAACGAATTAGTCATCAATATATCGTTTATAAATGTCAAAATTATTAATAGTTTGGCTAAGAATAGAATTTTCTAGTTTGACATAAAGTATTCTGCCATTGGAGGCCCTAGTGGGGATCCCATTCCAATCCCACCGTTTTACTGGTATATCTTGGTTGCATTGTGTTCTCCGAGCTGGGTTGTTTAATCGCGTAGCTTTCTACGTCTTTCTAGAGGATGTCATCAGCAATTACATAAGTATGAAGTGAGCTAAAAATATCTCTCTATGAGTGATTTAGTGGCTTACTCTGACCACATGGTCTGTGATTGGTTGTTTCTTTTGATTGCTGTGACATTGGCTGACTGCAGAGATTTTTCTATTGGCTGTTCTTCTGCTTTACCTCTCACCTTTCTGTTGTTTATCATCTTCCTTATTGGTTGACTAATTGGTTCTATGTGTATACATCTGTCGATTGCTCACTGACTGACTGATTGATGTGAATGTCAGGCCTCTAAGAATTCTCTGATATTCTTTGTGTTTCCTCTCTGCATCCAAGATTTCTACATTGTCGAAATTGAACTCATGTCCATAGTTGTTATCCACATGCATTGAAATGAGTGATGAAATGTCGTGCCGCTTAATAGCCAATTGGTGTTCATGTAGACGAAGGCGAAGAGGGCGACCACTTTGTCCAATGTAATGTTGACTACAGTTATTGCAGGTGATTTTGTAAATGATATTCGGTTGTCTTCTCTGATTGTTGTTGCATCCTGTAGTCTGCATAGTAGTGTTTGAAGGGAATTTGTTGTTTTGTGAACCACACCCATTCCGAGTGGTCTCAATAATCTTGTCGTGACTCCTGATATATTCTTTATGTATGGTAGGATGATGCGTTTGTTGATTTCTGTTGATGATATAGGGGATAGGCATCTTGTGATAAGGTTTCGTGGGTAGCCGTTCTTCTTTGGGTTGGACATCAAGTAGTTTTCTTCGTTTCTCCATGAAGTTATTATACTGCAGTGTATTCTCTCTCTTTTGAATAGTGTCTGTGAGAAAGTGAGTTTGTGTGTTGTTGGGTTGTTGCTATTGTAGTTGAGGATTTGGTCAGTGTGGACAGAAGAAACACAAAGACACAGTGTAGAATTCTCAGCATGTAATTTCTCAACAAATTCACTCCCAAAACAATACTTTCAAAGGAAACGGTTATTGCATGAAATGATGTTAATAATAACAGTATTCTAGGTAATAATGTGAAATAGCCAGCTGAGTCTCAATAGGCACCTGGTCCATAATGTAGAATCAACAGAAATACAAGCGTATTTTTGGTAGTGGTTCATTTAGACGTTACAAATATCTATAACTCAAGATACGGATCTGACGTATAGAAATATAATGTACTTTTGTGTACTGAAAAGTTCATTTCCATATAACGAAACACTTTTTCTCCGCTTTTTTATTGACTGGAGAAACAAAGAGTTGGGAACAGTTTAAAAAATGTGCAAGAGGACATGTTGAAATGATTAAAACAAATTGAAAGGGAAGAATTTAAATGTAAAGTGTTCAATGGATAAATTTGGTAGCTGAAGGTCGAAGCAGGCGGCCGTGCTACAGTGTCCTTTAAACTTACTCCCGTTGTCGATATGTGGGAAATCTTACTACTTACATCATAAAGAAGAGAGAATTTGAACCATATAAACCATTTATCATAATTATAGAGCTATCCTGATATGACTATGGAGAGTAAATTGTATTTGAAACTACTTTAAATGTCACTCTGACAGCTTCTGAAATAGCCAATCAGGTTTCTTTATTCTGTCTAGAAACGTCGTTTTTTATAAAACAGAAAAGCCTGATTGGTTATCAAGGCAGCTGTTAGGGTGGTCTTTAAAATCACTTCTGTATTACTCTGTAATACATTCAATGAATCAACCAGGGCGAAATCATAGTATATGTATATATACGCATTATATTGTAGAAAATTATCTAAAACTCTTTATATTTTATATGAATTTTGATGATTTTCTCCTTTTTTCTTCATTATATTTTCATTTATTTGAATGTATTTCAGTTATTCCAAAAGATGATAGAAAACTTCATGCAAAAATATTGAGTGATTCATTTGTAAATGATCAGTTAATTGGTATTACTGGTAGTGATCTCAATTTAACATGTGATATAAAATGTAAGTGGGATGGATTAATTTAATTTCTTAAACTTTACGTGTTATATCTCTTCTTCAATAATTAAGAAATATAATTTACTGCATTAATGATTTGAAACATATTTTATTTTGTTTAAAGAGGACAAACAGAAAACAGTTAAACAATTTTCGTTTTTTAGGGGATCATCTTCAGAAATTTTACCTATCTATTATTAATTACAATGGAAATATACATTCATATGAATGATTAATTAATTGGTCAGCACAAAACTGTCAAAATTGTTTATAAGATGACAACGTAATAGCCAGGCAGACTAACCCATGTCTTTTACTAAATATGCTAAGAATTGTAGCTAGAATTACGCGGTGACTGTGTAATAGGCCATAAAGTAATCGAATACGGGACAATCATGTCGATAGTAACAGTAAAACAGTAAGAAAAAAAAAGATAAAAACAACAATCTTGGTAAATTCAGTTGGAGTAAGCCGTAAGGTAAATTCAGAGTTTGGGAGTTCTTCTTTTGAAAGTTGTTTTCAGGAGAAGAGTTTGAACTCCCTTTGAATTTATAAATGACTCTGAAAGAATATTCTTCTGAAGCAGTGTGACTGGAGTTAACTAGATGTTCAAAAATCCATCTAATAATCAATCTGCTTCCTCTTCCAAACAACTTTACAGGATAGTGTTTACATGTGCATGTGAATAGAACAAGACTTGTGCTGTCTATGTAACCAGGTCTATAGCAGTAGGTGAATGAAGGTAGCCCAAAGCAGTGACTTTTCCTTTACACAACTTCGAATCAGTTGTTGACTGAAGAAAATAATCCGAAGGTTTGAGAACAGACAGTCTTCTTCAGTGCTTTACACGAATGATTCCTAAGTATTTCCTTTACTTATGAATAGTTTTCTTCTAAACCATAAGGATTCCCCTTGAAATTTCTCAAGGATCAGGCTCTAACCAAAGAATCTTGAAGAATAACCATTCTTAATTACTAGTGTTCGAAGTACTTCTAGTTACTCATTTATTCAATTATGGAGTGAATTAGATTCCTTTTCTTGCTTAGTGGAACCCAACTTTGAGAACTGGCACATTGTTCGTTCCAGGCTTGTGTTCTGTCAATTGATTTTCTGACAGAACTATCGTATCTTCTCATAAAGTCTAATGAAAACAATTAACTTAATATCTTTTTCTTAGTTTCTGACAGTAACCACGTAATTTGCTTCCATTTACCAGTGAATATAAGCTAATCTCATCCTTTTGATGGATTCCTGTAAGTACATATATCATTGGTCCACTAACAGACATGGTATTCCGTTGCCTGAAGTATTATGTCCTGGCATTGTCTTGTGATATTCATGATCAACCTGCAAAGTGTTTTAAGTCAACATTATCAACTTTTTGTCACCTAGGTATCTGAAACCGTTCACATAGATGATTGAACCGACCTTTCTTGATGATAATATTTGGCCGATAAATTGGTGCCAACTGTTTCAACATTATGGAATGCCACAAACATTTATCAACCTCATTCAACAACTATATGAAGACACCACATCACAAGTAATTCACAATGGGAAGATCAGTAATGCCACTGAAGTGAAGTGAAGACAGGAGTAAAACGAGGCTGTCTACTATAACCCATGATATTCCTGATTGTGGTCGACTGGAATCCATCATACAACAAACAGTGAGGAGCTGTGAGAAGAGGGGGATACGCTGGCTGGACTGCAGATAAGAACCTAGAAGACTTGGATTTCGCCGATGACCTATGTCTAATGTCACACAAACTCGAAGATGTACAGGCGATAACTAACAAGTTGACAGAAGAGGTGAGGCAGGGAAACGAAGACGGGACTTCAAGTGAAGTGACTGTAGAGAAGACAGGTGATGAGGATACCTAACCAACAAAAACAAGCTCCAATCACTATGAACGTGTGAAACTTGAAGGAAGTGGCTTCCTTCACGTATCTAGGCAGCACTGTTTCAACTGCAGGCGACTCGGACGAGGACGTCAAAGTCAGTCAGGATCGGAAAGACAACAAGACAGACCTTCAATGACCTGAAACCAGTGTGGATATCTTCTACACTCCACTCAGCATAACGCGTGAACAACATCTGCATTTTCAACACCAATGCCAGTCAAATCAGTGCTCCTGTATGGTTCAGAGACTTGGCGGTACGTTACGAAAGGGATTTCCAACAAACTACAAACATTCATCAACAACTGCCACCTACGATGACTCATTACCGAAGCTCAGGTGACCAGAATAATAAGAATGAGCAATGAGGAACTCTAGCTGGCTGGCTGGCTGGCTGGCTGGCTGGCTGGCTGGCTGGCTGGCTGGCTGGCTGGCTGGCTGGCTGGCTGGCTGGCTGGCTGGCTGGCTGGCTGGCTGGCTGGCTGGCTGGCTGGCTGGCAACGAACCAACGAAGCAAGAACCTATCGATGAACAAATCTGCATAGGAAGGAAGTGGAGATGGATTGGGCATACACTGAGATGCTCGACTGGGGACATCATGCATCAGGCTAGGTATTCGAGTGGAATCCAGATGGGGAGCTACCAGTTGGGTATCCGAGGTGAGGGTGACATGGCGCAGATGGTGTGAGGAGGAAATGAGAGCTCGTGGGCAGTGTTGGATCCAGGTTGATAAGATTTCAGAGAATGGAGTGGATAAGAGACGTGCTACTGAATCACTATGTTCCACTAGGAACCCAAGACACAAATAATGATAATAATATTGGCGGGAACTTTAAAAAGCAATTATGGATGAATATACACAATTTACTAGTATTTTTTGCAGTGTCATTCAAAACATAGGCTCTGTGGAAGAGTGACGACCTAAGGCTCATATTATTTGGAGGGCTGGATTGCAGTAGAACGAAAACAATGTTTTCGATAGAATAGCATCTACTTCTTACAATGTAAAACAATTTCAAATGAAGGAAATGCTCACATACCTAACTGAGAAGTCTGAACATCTTCGGTTCGATTATTGTCGGCGCTATGAATGTACAGTACTTATGCATCCCATACTAAGATAACGACGTTTTCCGATGCTTCCATGTCTGCAGTTGTGCTCCAAATGATTTCAATCCATGATGAAGTTAATAAACTCCTACAAACCTCTAAATAGAATACTTGAGTTAAATCAACAAAATGTTATCAGCCATAAGAATATACATCATTCATGCATGTTACTTATACACTTAGGAAGATTCATTGGATATTCTAGATAGGAAGGTGAACAATCAAAAGAGACTAATGTATTCTAAGGACTCAAAAATTTTTTATGCTAAAACGTTGAAAAGGTTTGATTGAGAGTAGAGTTCAAACAATCACATCAAGATGTTTTGGTTTATAAGTTCTCGTGACTGAGGCGACCAAAATGACCAACCCCTATTAGAATGTTAATTTCCGTACGGATGTTTAAATATTGACAATAATTTCATTTTCAAACTAATTTTGAATAATGGCTAAAATTCCGATCCAGAATGCGTGTTTTATTACATCTAGGATACATTAGCTGATTCTACCTGCCTTCTACTGAATTTTTTTACGCCAAATAAGACTACATTATTAATATTTTTATTATTTGTGCCTTGGGTTCCTAGTGGAACATAGTGATTCAGTGGCACGTCTCTATTCCACTCCATTCTCTGAAATCTTTTGAACCTGGATCCAACACTGCCCACAAGCTCTCATTTCCTCCTCACACCATCTGCGCCATGTCACCCTCACCTCGGATACCCAACTGGTAGCTCCCCATCTGGATTCCACTCGAATACCTAGCCTGATGCATGATGTCCCCAGTCGAGCATCTCAGTGTATGCCCAATCCATCTCCACTTCCTTCCTATGCAGATTTGTTCATCGATAGGTTCTTGCTTCGTTGGTTCGTTGCCAGCCAGCCAGCCAGCCAGCCAGCCAGCCAGCCAGCCAGCCAGCCAGCCAGCCAGCCAGCCAGCCAGCCAGCCAGCCAGCCAGCCAGCCAGCCAGCCAGCCAGCCAGCCAGCCAGCCAGCCAGCCAGCCAGCCAGCCAGCCATCAGAGTTCCTTGTTGCTCATTCTTATTATTCTGGTCACCTGAGCTTCGGTAATGAGCCATCGTAGGTGGCAGTTGTTGATGAATGTCTGTAGTTTGTTGGAAATCCCTTTCATGTGTGACACTCGAAATAAGTCATCGGCGAAATCCAAGTCTTCTAGGTTCTTTTCTGCAGTCCAGCCAGCGTATCCCCCTCTTCTCACAGCTCCTCACTGTTTGTTGCATGTTTGATTCCAGTCGACCACAATCAGGAATATCATGGGTGATAGTAGACAGCCTTGTTTTACTCCTATCTTCGCTTTAAAAGCATCACTGATCTTCTCATTGTGAATTACTTAACTTTTGCCACAAATAAGAGTATAAGCTGCAAGATTTCTACAATGTATTATGAAACGTTTTATTATCCTTTTGATATAATGCATTTTAAGACTTGTTACAGTTTACAAGTGAACAGTCAACAGTAATACTGAAATTTGATGTTGAAATTCTATCTGGGGGTTTGTAGAGGTTTATTAATTGACTTTATACTGAAACTCATCATAGACTGACATCAGTTGGAGGAATATTAGAAACCTCAGAGCACTTGACAGGTGTTTCGAAAGTCTAGTATGGGACTCCTTAGACGGTTTTGAAATTGATTAAGGTTTTATATGCAGCTGATGAGAAGTTCTGCAATAAAATGGATCTATGCTATAATGCAGAAACCGTTGTCCTCTCTGTATTTAAATTTTTCACAGGAGAGTCACAATTTAAGTCGATCATAAGTTAACCCAAGATAAACTTACATATATTAATCAGAAAATAAACAAGACAATTCCACAAATGGCTGACTAAAATCCACTGGTTCAGCCAGACAAACATGGTTATGAATTAATGATGGATATTAGCCGGCAGTGGAATCCAGGATGCGCATTTGATCCTACGTAGGACTCGTCAACTGGATGTAACTGCCTCCCAGTGAGTGCTGTTGTCCCCACTGGAATTTGGACTCAGGAGTCATCGCTTCAAGCACCAGAGCGTTACCTACTACACCACGGAGCCACGATAACCACTTCTTGTGTGATGGGTATAGATTGAGTATAATTCCTTATATATTACAGTCGTTGATTGGATCGAATTAATCCGTCACTATTGGCATATGGGCTCCTGTGCGGATGCCTTGATATTACCTGTGTTTTAATTATAATAAATTATAATAATGGTAGCTAGCAGTTGAATTCAGGACCTTCATTAACACTAAAACTATACCTGTAGCACAAGAATTGGCTATCGTGGCTCGGTGGTGTAGTGGATAACGCTCTCGAGTTTGAAGCAGTCGCTCCCATGCCCAAATCCCGATGGGAGTAACATCACTCACTGGGAGGTAGGTATATCCAGTTGACGAGTCCCGAATAGGACGAAATGGGCATCCTGGGTTCCACTTCTAGCCACTGCTCATCATTACTGCAACTGTAAACAGCAGGTAATATGGAGGGATCTGCTTAGTAACCCATATGCCAATTCAGACCGATCAATTTGGTCCAATCAACGATGGTATCATACAAGCAATAACACTATGGTTATGAATTGTTAGGACAGTAGCTACGTCAAAGTTAATGAATTATTCCTCACGATTAACAAATTCCTGTGATATTAGTTACTTTACTCACTCACGGATGGTTATTTTCCGTATTGCGATATGGTCGAAAGAGAAAGGTCTTCGGATAACTGCTGAGTTTAAATATGTTTACTTGATGAGAGACATACTACGTGGTCTGGTTTCTGTATACTACTGAATATTTTGAACTGAATCCGTATACTCAACAACATAAACTCCTGATAACTCCTAACACGGGCAAAAATGTACATCTATGAAGAAAAAGAAACTTGGTTTAAGGACGGAAAGAATGAACTCTGTATCCTGTACGACAACAGCAGAAAAAGATGAACAGTTCAAAACTCGGAAATCTTTAATTAACTATTTGACTGAATACTTTCAAGAAATAAAGGAAACGGTTTTCGATACACATGAAGTAATGGCATGTTAAATATTGTGACATGTGTAATCGATAGAGAAATTGAAGAAGGGGAGGAAAATGTGTGACAGTTTTACATCGAAGAAGGTTCTATTCACCTGCTGATATCATATAAACAAGTTCTGAAGGTTAAAAAGCACCGTTCCACTCAACCCTAATTCAACCATTGGCTTCTTTGAAAAAGAAAGGTAAGCCTGCACGACCTATTCTTTCTGGCATTATATTTGTCTTTCTTTATGAATCTGGTAAACATTATAAAAATGCTTCATTTCTCCTCCTTCCCCTACTAGATGCTGGTAGAAAACCTGCTTCCATTGAACGAATTGATTGGTTCGTACAGTATTTTAATGGAATACGACGTGATATAAAGCGTACAAAATTAGCTGAAAATATGATAACTAGCCCTAAAGGTGAATGGATTTATTTCGATAAGTTATCTGATAAACCACAAGGTGTGAACATTTTTTGTGTTATCCGCCTAAAAGATATTCAGAAGGCTACACAAGCTTATTACTCTTCCCCACAAGTTAGTCTATGGTTACGTGAACCGAAATTATTAGTCTATATTGAAGGTGAAGATCGTCCAGGAATTGTAACTGGTGCTGAAACACAAACAGTTAAAATTAGATGTGTTATTAAAGGTGAGTTGTAGTGAAATGTTACAAATTTTAAAAACATAAAATTGTTAAATTGTAATATGAGGTGCGTTACGCAATCTGAACAGTTTGAGTGCTTAAAAGTCTTTCACGCTGATTCGTAGAAGTCATTAGACAGATCACAGTGATCTAAACACCCAACCGCCATTTCACTGTCTTGACGCTGAGTTCATCAGTTGTGTCCCTGAACAAAATCAGCTCACAGATCACTCCGATCTGGCTGGGGAAACTTATAAGGCATCCCGAGTGGCCCTTAACTACTTAAGTCATTCAATGGTCCATTTCATTAGTTGATAGCACTTTTGTACCAGAGATCATATCTTTTGATCGTATTGGGCAGTTGAAAACCTCCTCAGCTGACATAAATGTCAACGTGGAATGTCGAATTTTTAAATCATTTGCAAACTAATCATTCTATGTAGACTGCTTTCTTTTTATTGTAAATTCATAGTTCCAGTTAGAAAAAACATTATAAGTTTGAAAAAGCCGGAACTAGAATGTAGTGTAATGAAAAATTCGAATGATCTTCGCAGAGAAGGCATTCGCTATAAAATATTTCATTGATGCTGTTTTCCCCTTCTAAAATATTATTACTATTCACACTAACTAGTATAGTACATATTACTAAAATGTGAATGAGTATTAGGTAAGTTTAGAAAATTAAGTTACCAAAATGATTGTCAATGTAAGTATGTAGATGATGCTAATGTGAATCAAGTCAATAAAGATATATCTTAGGTTTTGAGCCTAGAGCTCTCCACTGAGATAACAATGATTTCTTCAAAAGGAAGAAACTTTTTAGTAAGATTAATTTCCTCGAAGTTTGTATGAAGTGTATGAATAGCAATATATCAGCATCTCGAACTCATCAGAACCTGAAAGTCAATTAAATACTTCAAAGCTGAGGCATTTCATGGCTATGTGCCTGAATATACGTTTAAAGGGTTAATACTGAGTATGGCAAATATTGATCCTATTTCACGACACCAAAAAAACTGATGAGCATATATTGAAGACCTTTCAAGTGGAAGCATTTCCTTCATGAATAATTGTAGGATTGGATGAGTGAGCATAAGCACTGACCATTGCAGTTAACACCTGATTCTTCTGTCAATTGATTCTGGCTACGTTGTTAGTTCATAAAGACCAGTGATTTAAGAAGCATAAAAGTTTCAAGTTTTATATTTTTAAAAATATCAGTTTTTAACCATCTATAAATGTACATCTGAAGAACGATATTGCTGATAAATAGTCTTTTCATCAAGCACTTCTGTTCTTTAAACTTAACACTAAAATATTACAGGTGATTTTGACAGAAATTAGCTGAAATGAAAATCGACATTTTAAGTCACTTGCTTGTGACCTATTTGACCTTGATGTATGCTGCTGTATGGTCAGGATAGATTCTATTGGACAATTCTGAACTGAAGGGAGCCAATCAGGACAGGTTTTTTATCGCTGACCTTGAACATTCGTAGGTTCATGAAAAGCACATATATATGACGAAAAAATCATCCTTGCACTCACGGGTCATTATTCACCCCACGATGTTTTCATGGTCAAGCGTTTTATGGTGTTCAGTATCCGAGAAATATATGAGCGTTTCATTGCACTTAGCCACTTTAACCTTTTACAATTCACATTATATCTAGATGTCAAATCTTTTATTTTGATTCCTTTCATACTAACTGTGTTTTTTTCATTCCTCTAAAGATGCTTGGCGCAACAAAACTGTGGATGAGGCCGACATCGCTTGGGAGACAAAAGTTACATCCCTTCAAGAAGAAATATCAGATAATAATGAACGAGCTAGACCACAACCATCTCCAAGAGACTTACCCATGTTGGGAGCTAAGGCACTCTATGATCAAATGGTAATTGCTGGTCTTCGAAGGCAACCCAATTGGATTGCTAGATTCAGATGTAAAGGGACAGATTTGAAAACTGGTGCTAGTGGATACTCTGATTATGTGAAGTTAGAGGTTTTAGCCGGTGACACTTGTGAGTTTAACAACTTTCATCATTATGCCATATATGCCATTACATATATATGTTTGCTGGAAAACGGGTTGTAGGTTGGTTCGTTGCCAGCCAGAGTTCCTTGTTGCTTATGCTTTCTGGCCACCTGATCTTCAGTATATATATAGTTATTTATGAAGTTACTTCCAAAAGGACCTGACTCATTGAAGCAAAGTATCTACTTTAACAACGAATCACTCTACATGGTGAGCTGAGAGACCTTGTTGTGTTCCATGTCTTAGTTTCATCCCAACCGCTAGAGAATTTGCAGATCTGTCTATCATGTGCAGATGTACATCAGTAACCCCACAGTGACCGATCTTCTGAAGTCATCTTTATTGACCCTCCCCGTCCCCCAAGGAAATAAATACGATGCTTATACGATTACATAGGATGACATTCCCAAAACCAAAGATATTCAGGTGAAGGGAGAGATTGATCATAGAATCTTTGTTCATCGAACCAACACTTAACGCATGTAACAGGGATGATACATCACATATTCTAGATATCTGCAGAATATTACTGCCATTAAGATAGAAGAATAGAGAACTGTTGAACTATATCAGAGAATTATATAATAAAGATGGATAGTGGCTAGCAGGGGAATGCAGGATGCGTGTTTCGTTATATTTAGGACTCATCGTCTGGGTTTACCGGCCTCCTAGTGAGCAATGTTCTTCCCAGTGGGATTCGAACTCGGGACCGATCGCTTCAAACGCCAAAGCGTTATCCACTAGATCACTTCTTCTTTTTTTCTTCTTCAATAATCACGATCGGCTCATAAAGTAACTACATATATTTGTTATTATACACTGAATAAAGGAATTCATTTACATAATTTTCACCTAACACCGTAAATCCATTTTTTCCCTATCGAATTTTAATTTTTTTATCCTACTACGTCTTAGTGGAACAAATTCCCAAGCTACGAATTCTTCCACATATCGATTCAAGTTCACCGTATCCATACAAAGTGGAGTGTATAGATGAAAATCAGAATTATGAATCACAAGTAACTTGGACACGTCAAGATGAATCAATTGATCCGGTAAGTTACTGATGTAATTGTTCTATGTCCATTTATTACAATCTATTGTAAGTGTATAAGAGAAGTGAAAAGTGGATAGCTCAATGATAACGTCTTTGACTGCAGCAATGGTTGACGTGGATTTGACTCTCACATGGGACATTTGTTCCCTTGATGTTGCTGATACACTTAGTTAATGGGTGCCAACAAACGCGGAACGTTTTTCCTTTCCTTGTATTTTTCCGTTACACAACTTTATTCAAGATTCTAACCAGTAAGAGAAGTCAAATAAATACTCTGAATTTATATTCGAAGTGGAGATTTTAATAATTTAATTCTTCTGAAAACAATTAATACGGTCTAAATTACCTTCGAAAAATAAGACTTGTTGTTTATTTCTGGACTATGTCTGCTGAAGTAAGCATGACTTTGACGTATATCAGTGAATTAGAAATACACCTATGCAGTACTCGAATCGGTAACAACTGATTGTCCAATGAAGCTGGATAGTCTTTACTGCTTAGCACTGATTTGAATCTTTAGACCAAGTCTTGCGATCCACTCATTAAGCAAAGTGATATGACACTGTGGGACACTTTATTTCGGTATTAGATGCTGGAAGTCGATTGGCCTGAATCCCTGACTTATATAGGTTTAGTACTTGTCAGTACTTATTGGCAAAGCATGTCTGTAAGTACTGGGAAAATAGTGATTTCTTGGTGATTCGGAGAAGTTCCCCCTCCTCGATTGTTCATACCATAAATGAGTCCCCCTAGAACTGGATTGTATACATCTATTGGCCATCACTGGGTAGTCGATGTAGTCGTTAGTACTGGTTTTTCAGTGTTACCGCTAAGCGAAGTAATGTGACATTACTGATTGTGTTGCACCATCTCCCACAATATACACAGTGTATATGAAGTGTATATCTCGTAAGTCAACAGATGAGAAGGTGATACCTAGCAGTCATGCAATTTCAGTCACTTGGTACCGTGAGATTTTTGGTAAGGTTAGTTCACGTAGTAGAAAACTTGAGAAATAGATCATATTCGAAAAACTAAAGTAATTTTTGACTGTATTACTGTATAAGTTATATACTTCAGTACTTTTTTCGGTATGTAAACCACAATTCCAGCACTATACTCAAATTGTAAACATATTTATAGTTACTGTTTATCATTCTTAGTTTTTCATGAATACGAGCTGAATTTCAGGTTTTCTGTCTCCAGAGTACTTACAGAGTGTACTAACAAGGCTCTGAAATTAGACGGATTAAGGATTGAAAACTATTAACAGATAGAATATTAAATTTTCATGAAACTCATGGTCTGATGTTGAATGTTCGTGGTTATTCAACTGAAAGCTTTAACGTCAACAATACTGCCTTTTACTAAGCCTTAGAAAAGTTAACCTGCAACTATCAGGAGACTAATGTTTCCTCAATGTTTCAATAATGCATCTTTGAGTCCTGGAACCATGGACTTTACGACTAATTTATTCAGGTCATATCTTGTTAAGTTCAATTGTCACTTTCCACTACCATATATATGTTAAGGTGTCTTGAACCCAAACTATATTTTCAAGTTGGTATTCATCATGAAGTGATATCAGTTGGAGGAACAGTGAGAAACCTGGGAACATTGGACATCTATGTCGTCCTAGTATGGGATCTCTCAGTAGTGTACATCCATGAAAGTCTTGGGTTCGATCCCTGGTGATGTGAAGTCATTGGTGGGCACTACTGAAGAGTCCAACACTTGGACGAAACAAATGTCAAGTGTTCCTCCAATTCATATGAACTCATAACGAATAGCAATTTGAAATATCTCTAAATCCTCACAAACCTCCAAATTAAACTATGTACAGAAACTGATTGCCTATTGATAAACAATTTATGCCTATTCTTCAATTCTGTTAAACGATTTCATTTCATTAGAATATATTACTTTTATTGAATTTGTTTTATTTTTCTCTTAAATTATAACACTATAGGAACAGATTACAATGGTTCCTAATTCAGCCGTATTAAAATGGACATACAATGGTATTGATAAATTTGATCCAAGATTTCATGCTGGTATATATACATGTAGATCTATTAATCCATATTCATCATCTGTGAAACAAGTTTATATTCCTTTTGATCTAATGCCTACAGGTGAGTGTTACTTTCGCTTAATTTACTTTGATCATTTTAAGTTAGTCCCTTTGATGATGAATAACGAATAGAATAAAGAAGTTGACTACTTCAAGTCAAATCAATTGTCAGTTGTTTCCTATTGTTATTCTAGGATATAGCTTGTTTAATTATAGTTATGTTGCATTTCTGAAAGAGACTGAAACCAGAAGATGAAAACTTTCACTAAGTACTCTTTTTATTTCCTATATCTGAATGCATTGGCATATAAATAGCATGGTCAACATATGCTAAAGCTTACTAACGTCTATCAATGAGAAGATATATCTATTTTATCAAGATAAAAATACTCTTGTTAGACGGGGGGAGTGGGCGAATTTCTTCATTTTAAGTCTATGTTTATGTAAATCTGTATCCATTATTCATTACTCATCTTCTTTTACTTACTTCCTGTAGATTATGAAACTCCAATCACTCCTGAAGTACGTATATTTTCAAATGTTAATGAAATATTCCAAGATTCTGGTGATCGATATGTTCGTGTCATTCAAGGTCAACCGTTTGAAGTAAGTTGAATAATGTTCAACTTTTAGATTTCCGATATTTTCTCATATTATTAACGGTAATTTCAGTGGAAAAATTGTCACTTACTGAGATGCAGGTAGATCCAGTTGACGAGACCCAAATAAGAAAAAATGAGCATCTGGGATTCCAGTGCAGAACACCAAATAGACAGTAGTTACATCATTACAAACACTAGTATTTGTACTGGGTGATGATTAAAAGTGAGATGAAAATCTGGACCTCGGCGGGATTGGAACTATCGATCACCAGGTTACCGGCTCAGTACTCTGCCAACTGAGCTATCGAGTCCGACTATTAATATTATTATTATGGTTATTACTATTGTTATTATTAGTCCCTTGGGTTCCTAATGGAACATAGGGCTTCAGTAGCACGTCTCCAGTGAACTCTGCTCTCTACAATCTTTTGAACCTGGTTCCACGACAGCCAACAACCTCTCATTTCCTCCTCGCACGACCTCCTCCATGTCACCCCCGGCACCGACACCCAACTCGTCGCTTCCCATGGGGATTCCACTCAAGGACCTGATGCGTGATGTCCTCAGTCGGCCTTCTCAGTGCATGCCCAATCCATCTCCACTTCCTCCTGCATATTTGTTGGGTGATATGTTCTTGGTTGGTTCGTTCCCAGAGCTCCTTGTTGTGTATTCTTTCTGGCAATCCATCTGATCTTCAGTAGCGAGCCAGCGTAGGTGGCAGTTGTTGATGAATGTCTGTAGTTTATTGGAAATCCCTTTCGTGACGCGCCAAGTCTCTGAGCCATACAGAAGCACTGACTTGACGTTGGTGTTGAAAATCCGTATCTTGTTCCACATGCTGAGTGGAGTGCAGAAGATCTCCACACTGGTTTCAGGCTAATGAACGCCTGTCTTGCTTTTCTGATTCTGACTTTGACATCCTCGTCTGTGCCTGTGTCGCCTGTAGTTGAAACAGTGTTTCCTAGATAGGTGGAGGAGGTTACCTCCTTTAAGTTTCTCCCCTTGATGGTGATTGGAGTTTGTTGTTGTTGTTGATGGTGGTGGTGCAGTATCTTCATCACCTCTATTTTCTCTACACTCACTTCACTTGAAGTCCCGTTTTCGCTTCCCTGCCTCGCCTCTTCTGTCAACTTGTTAGTTTTTGCCTGTAGATCTTCAAGTTTATGTGACATCAGGCACAAGACATCGGCGAAATCCAAGTCTTCTAGGTTCTTTTCCGTCGTCCAGTGTATCCCCCTCTTCTCGCTCCCCACTGTTTGAAGTCAGACTGCTGACCAGAATTTTATTTCATTTCAATCACCAAATGTTTTGCCCGACTATCATGTGAATTGATGACGCGTTACTACCGCTTGATCATATTTTAATATCTAATATTCGATACATTAACCTTATTCTTTAGAAATGGAGTTCTTCAACTCTTTTCTTGATAGAAGGAGGAGGCAATCAGACAAATCGGATAAATAAAGTTTTTTACAGTATGGTATATATTCAGCATTTATTCAGCCTATCTGTCAAATAAGAATTGACTCTTCAGGATAACTTATGGAAAAAATACATTTGATTCTTTTCAGTGTAATATTCTTAGGAAAAAATTACTTCCACCCGGAATTCATTACTGAATTTCAAAATATGAAAATAACCCTTATAAGTTAAACTGTCCTACTGATGGAACTTAAATATCCCTATAAGTGAAATTGTTGAATTCAGCCAGAGAAACTTATTTAGCTGATTAATGAAAAAGGTTTCCTATTGAATTAAAACCTTTTTTTCATACATTTCTTTATTTTGACAAGTTTAAATCAAGACAAAACAACAGATTTATAGAAACAATATGAAACGATTCATTAATTTCGGAGTTTCTCATCAACCACATACAAATGTTAGCATAATTGAATCATTTCGACAGAGAAATTATCGATTTGCAGTAAAGATAACATTGATATGCCATAATTCGAAGGAACAAGAGTTGAATGAATACATATTTGTCGCCGGTTCGAATATTTTATAGCAGAAGTTAGATAAGGGAGAGAAAGACAATCGTACTCAACATATTAAGAAAGGTTACTAAAAATATATGAAAGTTTATAAGATATATGTTAACTAAGAGCTAATAGGGATACAATTCAGGTAATGAAATAAAAAAGGAAAAACAAGAAAAACAAACAAACTCGAATGAAGTGATAATGTCTGAGAACCAACTGATACACACTGACAAAATCAACGTAGAACCTCGTACAAAATTAAATCGGTTCAACTTGCTAGACTTCCCAGAAGAATACAAAGAACAGGTGGATAGAAAAGCAGTGATATTAAAGAAGATAAAGTAGTGTGAGACAATAAACCATCAGAAGATAAACGTAACTGAAAACATCTTCGCGACTGCCATCGATTTTCAACCATGTCACCAGAGATCCCAACCAACCAGTCTACATCACCCCACACTACTAACATAAACAGTCAGAGACTTCATCGACTGGTACCACGTTTTTGTCTGGCCATTCTGAACCATCTTTCAGCATAATCCAACTTCTCCTTGTATGGCACGTCAAGGTAGGCGGTGGCTCAGCATGTGCAGTACACATCCAAGCCATCTCAGTCGACTAAACTTCACGACCTCGTCAATCGACTTGCCTATCTTACCTAGTACCCTTCGCCACACCTCACTTCTGCTCACAGTGATTCCACCAAACTCGAACAATGCTCTGAAGACACCTGTGATCAGAATTCTGTAATCGCTTCATGTCCTCTACTTTTAAAGACCATGTCTCAGATACGTATAACAGGACAGAAGGGACTGCAGCGTAGCATACTAAATGCCTCGTCAGTCGGAGCCGCAGGTGACGCAAGTTGGCAAATGCCAAACGGGCTTTGTGTATCCGAGCTGAGATTTCGTCACCACCCAGCCTGTTCAGGTTGGTGCAACTTCCGAAGTAGGTGGAGTGGTCGGCACATTTCACAACTTCAATCCCCATCCTCAAACTGTGGGTACTTGCAACAGACCAGCCCTTAACCATCGTATTACATTTGACTGGTGTGAGATGCATGCCTAAAATACTCAGATTTCTGCTCAATGCATTCAGAAGACACTACATTTTGTCAGCGTATTCACCTAGCAAGACAATATCGTCTCCATACTACAAATAGACCAGATGACCTCAAGGGGTAGATCAATTCCTCTGGAGTCAAACATGCCTAAGGCTGTTTCCATTAGTATGAGGAAGTTAAATAGGAACGGTGACAGTGGCCATTCCTGGAGGGCAGCACTGGTTTCAGTCAATCCATATGAGAACTCTCCATAAGCCCTGACAAGGCTGTAAGAGTTCGGGTAGATAGCTTTGATAAGGGTTATATGCTATCTCGGTACTCCCTTCACAGTCCAACGTTACCACAACACTTCACGGTCGACAGAATCAATTGTCGCCTTGGCGTGAAGAAATCTGGCAGGTGTTGGCTATTGGCTGGTAGATATGCCTCTTTGAACGCCCAACGTAGTTACCTCAACAGAAGCAGTTGAATTGATAAATGCACATAGAAGTGATAGAATCAAGCAGTTTGTTCTTATTTCTTACACTTAGAATCACGCAGTTGTAGAGGATGAGACATAATTTAGCGGCTGAGAAGGCTGGGTAATGATCTCAATGTAAACGTCACTCCTGAGTCTCAATTGCAAGAAGATTTGCTTCTTAGGAACTGTTGGCGTTCTTGTCATTAACCCTCTTCATATTTATACACTTAGTTACAAAATTGTCCGGATAGCCATTTCTACTAGGCAAATCATGGATGATGGTGAACTCTTCCTTTATGGCATCATCTGAGCAAATAGCTGTGGCGTAGTATGCTAGGCATCTCATCATGTCCCCCTTGTGTTCGAGGGGTACGGCACTAAATAAGTGCGTGTATTGACCTGTTGAAGTTAGTTTTCTATATCAATTCGTTTCAGAGTTCCATCTAACCTTCTCACCAACAAAATATCAAGAAATGGGATACTGTCATTTTTCTTCTCTTCCATTGTGAAGTTGATTGACAGATGAACATTATTCAGCTTATTCAGAACAGCATTCTTATCAATCTCAATTTTGAGAACTATGAAGGTATCATCCATGCAAAGACAATATGACTTTGGACGGTTAATGGTTTCGTTCAGTGGACCATTCTCCAGTTTTGCCAGAAAAAATTCTGCTAAGAGCGGACAAAGAGGTGACCCCATAGCTACACCATCAGACTGCCTGTAGATTTCATTGTTGAAAAGGAATTCTGAGTTCATCGTACACCTCAGAAGCAGTTCTTTTAATGTTGAGACTAGAATACCTATTACCATGTCGTACTTCATATGTTAGCTGAAAATAAAGTCTAGTATCTCCATTAAAGGAACGTAGGTAAAAGAGATGAAACACTATATGATATCATTAACTTATTATCTACTTTCAGATCCTCAATGTTTCCAGCAAATTCAAAGGTATCTTTGAGACTGTACTTCACAACTTCTTTGTGGAGAGGCTTCAAGAGTTGTACTAACCATTTTGCAGTTGTATGATACACAGAGTTTGTCATGTCGAGAACTGGTCGGGGAGGCAAACCGTTTCTATGCAGTTTTGGTAGACGATAAAGTCTAGGTGTAGCAGTTCTAATAGGTTTGAGCATTTCAAAGGTGCTTTCTGAAATGAAACCAAGTTGTTTTATCTTTTTCAGTGATTCCGTTAGCTGTTTCTCAGTTTTCTCTGTCGTATCACCACAAACGACTAATTTCTGAAATTTACTCTCATCACTAAGTAAAGAATTCAATTTGTTTATGTAGTCTTTGATATCCATCAAAACTATTCCTGATTCTTTTACCTGGCCTGATAATCACGGTGTTTGCATTAGTTTTAGGCTTTCTTAAAGCTTCACTGTTTTTGTGAAAATACTCTCCACACCGTTCCTACTACTCATGTACTTTGGGCAGGAGTCAACGATTGTAGTCTTAAGTCTATCAACGTCCTCAATAGATGGTAGTACCAAACTAATACTGTTTTTAACGTTATGGCTTGTATTACCCTGTCGTTGAGTGAACCAAATAGATCGGTCTCCTAAGCGGATGCCTCTATATTGCCCATGTTTGATTTAGATATTGATAATCGATAGGACGAAACATGCGTCCTGGATTCCAATACCAACCATAACTAATGTATAAATGAAACAGAAGATATTAAGGCGTCCGCGAAGGAGTCCATATGCCAATAGACACTGATCAATCTGGTCCGCTGAGAGACTGGATAATACAAGAAACAACATTAAAAAACTACATACATTGCATAGGAAGTAGTTATCGTGACTCAATGGTCTAATAGATAACGATCTGGCGTTTGAAGCAATCAATCCCGAGTTCGAGTCCCAGTGGGAACAACACCGCTCACTTGGGGGCAGGTACATCCAGTTGACGAGTCCCAAGTAGGATGAAATGCGTATCCTGGACACCACTGCTACCCACTAACCATCATTAGCATGCAGTACTGTTTTTTATCACAAGACTACAAAAGATTTTTGTCAATATCAAGGAAATAAGGTGGTGAAACCTAGTTTTCCATTCCCTTCGAGTTTTTCAAACAAGCATAGTATGATTACCTAAAATTATAGTTTGTAAGAATAAAGATAGTCCAAGTTCGATGTAAAACAATAACTTCTGATAAGCAGTATGCTAATCAGTCACTTAAACTCCAGTCATGTATGTAGTATGCAGGAATAGAATTTTAAGTTAAATTGGTAAACCCATTGAAAACATTACTGTCTGTAGATCTGATAGTTCAGGGTAAGTGAATGCAACTGGTTTTCATTTTTTTTAGCACAAGATGACTGAGTTGAGAATGCTTTGGAGTGAAATAATTAGACTTGAAGTGGTAGTAGGTTTTCAGATGTGCTTTAGACAGGAATAAACTGAAAACTCTAGTTCCACGTGGTAGTCACTTTCTTGTAAGACAGCTAAATTTCTTCATTCAAAGAAGTAGTTTGATGTCTCGTTTTTATACGTGGAAGTGGTAGACAGTATCAGACAATTGTATCTAGAAGAACAAAGTTTGTTTGGATCACAAGTGTGTTCCGCAACGGGATGCTTGTGGTGGGCACAAATGGTAGAATACAGTATTTGTCGATATATTCGATGATGAATTTGCTAGGGATGAAGTTCAATGTTCAGTGAAAATACATGTTCCTTGTAGATAAAGATGGTTCCAGAAAGACTTCGACAAAAGTTTGCAATTATAAAAAAGGTGTTTCTCATTTATTAAACAGAAGATTATTCAAATAAGGCATGAAGTGATTCTCTTCGCCGAATAACGTTCTTATTTAGGAGGTTTTAGAAGCTTAAATGTATTATTCTCTGCCTCTGCTATCTCATATTGTCACATAAGAGATCGGTAAGATATTTAGCCTTCTTTATAATTCAGCTTGATTTGGATTCAGGTGAGAAGTCCTGGTTGGGTAGATAGTATGACTCCAATCAACATACGGGTACGCTTCATGTAACTTCATGAAATTCGGGCAAAGTGAAGATGAATACTGCCAGAAGATGAGTATTGTAAGTCAGTTGGCTAAGCTGCTAATCAGTATTCCTCTGGCTCCTAAATGGAATCGTCCTGCAATACAAGTTTTCTTCTTAACCACTACTTCTCACCATCGAGTAACTGTTTCACTTATTTCATACGTTAATGTATATTGAAATTGTATTTTTCCTTCTAGCTGATATGTACATTCTATGGGCATCCTCCTCCAGAAGGTGGTTTACAATGGTCTATTGATAGATTCAATGGTACAAGTAGTTCATTAAGTTCCCATTGGTTATCAATGCAAGGATTGATTATACATTCTGGTCGACATTATTGGACTCAGATTGGATCACCACAATTTGATGCACAAGGTAGACATACTGGTGTATTTCAATGTACTGCGTTAAATTCTATTGGTCAAATAATTGAAAGAGATCAAGTCAGAGTTGAACGTAAGTTAACTAACTTATATATATATATATATATATATATATATATATATATATATTTACAGTAAAATAGTCACAGTAGCACATATTCAGCAGTATATAAAAGATAACCAATGGGATCATGGTACTAGTCATAGTAGCGCAGAACAGGAAAAACCATTGAGAATACTGTTACACATCTAAGCACTTTTCATAATTCTGTCTGGAGGCTTATAGAGATTTATTAATTGATTTTCGGTTGGAATTCATCATGCACTGACAACATTTGGAGGAACAATGGGAACCTAGGGGGACTTGACAGCTGCTCCGTCCTACTGTGGGACTCCTCAGGAGTGCACACTCATGATCCCATCTCACCAGGGATTGGACCCATAACCTTCAGGCTCCACGGCCAGTACGTTATCACTGAGCCACTAGTTTGGAATCCAATGGTTCACATTTCTTACTCCCGGCAGTTCATGGTATACCGTGACCTACATCCAGTGTCGTCGCTGAGTAGCTGTCTTCATGTTCGACTTGTTTGACTCCACTGGTAATGACTTCTTATCGGAACTCCGGAAACCAACTTTCGAATCTAATCACCAGTAAGCGGTAGATTAATTCCATCTAGAGGTTTGTGGAGATCTTCAATATTCCTCCAACTGATGTCAGTGTATAATGAATTCCAACCGAAGTTCACTTTTCGTAACTTGATTATTTATCAACTATTGGTTCACTCATATTCTAACTGTCTGAATAATCAGAAATTATCACAAAATGAAACTGCAATAGTGGATGGCGTTTTGTTGAACAATATTTAAAAGGTATGTATACATCGTATGATTTTGAAATGATGGAGAATATTTGTAGCTCAGGTGGATAGTATTGGTTGTATTGTATTCTCTGAGCTGGGTTGTTTAATCGTGAAGCTTTCATCGTCTTGTTAGACGACATCATCAGAACTAACTTCAGTACGAAGCTAGTGCTGACGATGTCGTCTAGCAAGGCGATGAAAGCTTCACGATTAAACAACCCAGCTCAGAGAATACAATACAACCAAGGTATATATACCATTTAGCAATTAAAACGATTGGAGCTAAGAAATCATTTCATTTGTGGACACTGAAATTAAAGGAGCACGTTACCAAATCTAGGTTATCCTTGTAGGTTATATTACATCTGAGAGTTCTAGTTTTCTGGATAGATTAGTTGTTATCATTTTTACCACACAATGCGGGGGCTGTGAGCTGATTACCAAGATCATTTGAATATAATTTCGATAAAGTAGATAAGACAAAATAGTCCGGCAGAAAAATAAACAGAAACGATTAGTTTCTACACAGCAACTACTGGGATTAGAACAAGTATTATTTACTTTCTAGTCATTTACAGGATAGGTGATCCAACTTTACCCAGGTTAAGAAGTTCTGTAAACAGCCAAACAGTGAAATTTTCGACTGTGATTTCAACCACTTCTCAATTTATTGTCTGAGACATTAGTAGTTCCCTTCATGTTAATTATTCAATTTTAACTTATCAAACATTCGACAGTTTGTGTGTAAAAGACTAGTTCTTCAGGACACCTGAAGGACAAGGAGAATTGTGTGACTCCAGAGCCGATGAGACGTCTGCTTCAGGCCTGTCTCATGAAACCTTAGGTGGATTGATGGTATGATATTTGATTGTTTCAATGCAGGATACAGGAAACCCATACTGCCGGCACCGGAAGGCTCTGGGGCACGGAACAGTGTACTACTTTTTGTGACAATCTTTTCTAACTACACCTCCCCACCGTGAAGGTAACATCAGTAAGGTACTGCTGGTCATCTGCGAGAAACACATTACTTTTGTTTCAGCCAAGCCAGCCAGCAGTACGACTTTGACCTTGAACCCTCATCACAGTGTAGCAATTTACACTACAACAGTAATATTTTTCGTCTCTTAGCACTGTCCAACAAACCTGTGTGGTAAGGTGGAACCTTCATGGAAGTAAGTAATTCACGAGTGTGATTCTGATTTGTACGCCTGACCACCACTCCAAGATAGCAGCTATCAGTCGGAATTCAGCAAGATGGTATTCAAAATATGCACCTTCTCTGTTTTCCACGAATTAAGTGCGAGCGAAAGAATTCCACAATACGTAGAACAACCACATATATATGTAACTGTTTCAGAGTAGTGAACGCCTAGGATATACACAGAAATAGCTTGCATTTAACAGATAACATCTAAGCTTAACGCTAATATATTCTGCCTTAGCAAAATGAATGGTAAGTAATTTATTCTCCTAAAAACTATTGAACTAACATTTCATGATATTTGAGATCGATGAAAAATCTGTTTAATGAATTATTTTGCTTCCCAAGAACTGCTTTATTCCTGACTCTTTGAAACTCGACCCCTTACGTAGTCACTAGTATACACTGGTGAGAACACTCAGAAAGATTGACATAATCTTCATAAGAAGCCTCATATGCCTAGAGCCTTTTTCCAACCCATCGTTTTGCTTCCAAATTGCAGGTAAAAGTATGTGAATCAACGTGTAATTATCAGGTTGGTTGAAAAGGTGAAAAACCAGTAGGCTTGGAAATAGTTTAGTCCATCGTAATATACATACGCCTTGTAATTTGTATGCATATGGCTGACATTGTCCTTGACGTTGTAAGTGCACCTTATGTTACGGGAGAAACTAAGTAACCATTAAGGGCAGAATTCCAAGGTTAGTGTACACGCGTCCACACATTCATAATTCAGGATATATCAAGTCATTGGTAGAGATATACAGAGTGTCAACTAGAGCTATATAAAACCATAGTAGAAGGAAGCAGGTACCCACTGCTTCCAGATTCTTAATCGTTTGTTAATTGATGTAGGTTCGTGATGAATACCACTTTCAAATGAGAACTATACTTGAGAACAGAACCATGACCCTAATTAGAAAAAGAACTCAGGAAACATCATTCTGATAGTCAATGATAAAAACCTATCATAGCTCATTTCTAGGAATTCATCTCTTGAATAATAACACTCTTCTATTCATTTTTGTGTGTTACAGTTCATCAGGTTTATGTACGTATTAATGAACTAAGTGAATCTGGTTTAATAGAGAATCTAAAAGGTCAAAATGGTACAATTACATGCAATGCTTATGGTAAGTTAAATGTTATGCATAATGTATTGTTTTCTTTAAACAAACTATCTTGTTTAGCTTCACTTAAACATGAATAATTTAAAAGCTACGCGAAATATTCGAAGCTTATGGATTGTATGTTTAAAGTTGTGATTCAAGCTGAGATTTCAACTGACCCACATTTCAATATCATACTACACATCATAATCACAGTATCAGAGTTAAGTGGAGAAGTTTGTATTACAAGCTTATGACCCATTGATAACATCGAAGACATAATTGCTTCGTTTGTTTATATTATTATTATTATTTATTTGTCTCTTGGGTTCGTAATGGAACAAAGTGATTCAGTGGCACGTCTCTATTCCACTCTATTCTCTAAAATCTTTTGAACCTGGCTCTAACACTGTCCACAAGCTCTCATTTCCTCCTCGCACTATCTCCTCCATGTCACCATCACCTCCGACACCCAACCCATCGTTTCCCATCTGGGTTCCACTCGAATACCTAGCCTGATACATGATGTCCTTAGTCCACCATCTCAGTGCATGCCCAATCCATCTCCACTTCCTTCCACTGCAGATTTGTTCAGCGATAGGTTCTTGCTTTGTTGGTTCGTTGACAGCCAGCCAGCCAGAGTTCCTTGTTGCTCATTCTTATTATTCTGGTCATCTGAGTTTCGGTAATGAGCCATGGTAGGTGGCAGTTGTTGATGAATGTCTGTAGTTTGTTGGAAATCCCTTTCGTAACGTACCGCCAAGTCTCTGAACCATACAGGACCGCTGATTTGACTGGCATTGGTGTTGAAAATGCGGATGTTGTTCACGCTTTATGCTGATTGGAGTGTAGAATATCTCCACACTGGTTTCAGGCTAATGAACGCCTGTCTTGCTGTCTTCTCAATCCTGACTGACTTTGACGTCCTCGTTCGAGTCGCCTGTAGTTGAAACAGTGCTGCCTAGATAAGTGAAGGAAGCCACTTCCTTCAAGCTTCTCACGTTCATAGTGATTGGAGCTTGTTGTTGTTGGTTAGGTATCCTCATCACCTCTGTCTTCTCTACACTCACTTCACTTGAAGTCCCGTCTTCGCGTCCCTGCCTCGCCTCTTCTGTCAACTTGTTAGTTATCGCTTGTATATCTTCGAGTTTGTGTGACATTAGACATAGGTCATCGGCGAAATCCAAGTCTTCTAGGTTCTTTCTGCAGTCCAGCCAGCGTATCCCCCTCTTCTCACAGCTCCTCACTGTTTGTTGAATGATTGAGTCCAGTCGACCACAATCAGGAATATCATTGGTGATAGTAGATAGCCTTGTTTTACTCCTTTCTTCACTTCAAACCCAATATCATTGAGCTTCCCATTGTGAATTATTTGTGATGTGGTGTCTTCATATAGTTGTTGAATGAGGTTGATAAAGTTTTGGGGTAATCAGTAGTGTCTAAGCCGCTGCCTGCCAAATTACGTCTCGGTCGACGCTGTCAAAGGCCTTCTCAAAGTCGATGAAGTTGTTTATAGCTTGATATTACTCCTGTCTTATGAAACCGTTTCGCTGGATTAATTGAGTTGGTTTATTTATTGATTATTTTTTCTACTGATTACTTTAAAAGTTGTGTGTTGGAGTTCCTGGAAGTGGAATAGTTGATTGAAGAGATATATCTGATCTACTGATCTTTGACCCTCCATAGAATCTTGGAAGTAGGCCTTTGTTTTATTTAGTTCTTCACTTACCTATCTCGTTTATCTTTTATTCTTCGCAAATTTGTCTAAATTTGTTCCCTGTTGTGTTCATTATCTGTCTTTTTGATTGTGTTGAATCCGTCTTTTGTCTTCCCATAGAATTATAATACATCAGTTTTCGTTGAGTGATTTTTAACATTCTTTTATCCCTGTGATTGAAATCACCAGTCGGCGGTTCGTATCTTATCAGAGGAAGAAAAATTTAACGAATTTCCAGAGATTCGAACAATTCACTCCAGTGGCTTTACTTATGTTGACATTCAATCTGTTTTTTACTAGCATTTCCTCTGAAAGTGAGCTTTCAAAAGAAGCCATTTACTACGATGTCTTTATAGGCTTTGTTGTTCATTGTAGACTGCCGCGTTGAGAGTTTCATATCGAATTTCTGTTTGCACTCCTTTGTTTTACTTTTCATAGTAATGATAATAGCTCTGCTCAGTTCTTTAAGGGTCTAGTCTTGCAGAATTGATTGTAGATAGTTAGTTTCAATATCTATTTTGTGTTGGTACTTACGCAACCAACTATGAATTTCTAAGATTACTGCGAGGAGAATGCTTTGAGCATTTTGTTGTGCTAGTTCTCAGCCTTTTGGGGCAGTGACTCATAGTTTGTACCTTAGTTCAGGTGGTAAAGTATATCCTGGTTAATATTCATCTAAGAACAAGTTTTACTCCTAAGGTTGGTGTTCCATCATTGAATTTACTAAGGCTCTTGGCCTCCGGATGACCTTGAAGTGGTAGAGAATATTTGTATCTTTGCTGGTGATGTTCAGCGCGAGTGTTTCTCGGAGTTGACACACTAATGAAGATGTCTAGCAAGACAGTGGAACTTTAACCATGGTATATCAAGATAACTCCAATGGGAAAGTAGTTCATTGAATTTCCTTTAAAAATCAACCTATTGTAGTTACTGAAAGCTGTCAGAACATTGGCAGAAATGTTCATGGAATGAGGATAAAAACTGTCTAAGTTTTTTTAGCTTTCTGACGCACTTCCAACCAATAAGAAATATGTCTTCTCGCTACATTTTGCTGCTGAAGTGAAACACAAATATCTCCTGAGCGAACTGTCAATCCTAGTGAGTGGTGTTTTGTTTGTTATTGAACAATATGAGAAATTAGAAATCACTTGCACTGATGTGAAAATTTTGTTAGCCAGATAAAAATGAAATATGTGCTGGATAGTTGTTTCGCTTCTTCCGAGTAGAGCTCATCAATGGTTTATCAGATAAAATTAGCTAACGAAACCAAACTGTTCACGTCAACTAGCAGGTTAGTTTTCGCCCCAGACTGATACTGAACTGTGTTTAAGTCACTTTGACTTCGTCAGCGAAATCCGCCGATCAACTACAAATAATTTACCTGGTAAATTGGCAATTTTTTTATCGTCGTCTGGATCGAATTAATCAGGCACTACTGACATGCGCGCTCTTGCCACATGTCTTGAAATATGCGGGTCATTTACGTTTGATAGCAATAATGGCTACTGGTTAGTGATGAAAGGCAAAACGCTCGTTTTATCCTTTCCGGAACATGTCTAGTGGATAATGCTGGGGTAGTTGATAGTTAAAAACGGTTTGTCAAGCATAGCAACACAATTAGTGTGATTAAAATTTTAAAAAACTGATAAGTAGTGGACATTAGTCAAAATAGGTTTGGACAAGAAGTTTCGAAACATGACAACATAATTGGAAAGTGAATCGTGATCAGACAGAACGTAGAAACAAGAATGAGTAGCAAATTACTCAATAAGTGAATAGTGTGAAAACAGAAAAATGAGAAGAAACGGGGTGGAAAGAGGGGTACAGAAGATTTCAAAGATTGAAAACTAATGCTATGAAAGGAGAAGGGGTTGAGCAATCTTCTTGTGTCCAGATTTCTCCATTTGGATGGCAAGAGCTTCGGTGATGCAGAGAATATGAAGACATACAGCCTTTGAGTTTCTTAACTTTATAGATGACCTTGAATAGGGTTTTTGAGATAGCGTGATTCGTGTTCACGATGTGTTGAACTACAGCACTGCTTATCACTCCACTGTAACCTCTTTGTAACCATGCGAGGTGGCGTTCTTGAACCTTTTTGGATAACAGTCGCATCGAATGACCTATATACGTGTCTCCACAAGAGCAGTTGAATTGATATATGCTCACAGAAGTGAAATGAATACATATGTAATAATTTACTACCAATGCCTGTTTTATATAACACAGTATTACTGAAGGCAATGCAGTAAAATTGAAATCGATGATGAAATCAATAACTAGGTAGATGGACATGTGAAGTGCCTGTTTCCAGTTTTATAAGGCGAACCATTAAGTGATTACCTTAATCGGTTTTGTTTGTTATTGAACAATATGAGAAATTAGAAATCACTCGCACTACTGCTCAAATTTTGTTAGCCAGATCAAAATGATCTTTGCGCTAGATTGCTGTTTCGCTTCGTTGGGGTAGAGCTCATCAGTGGTGTATCGGAGAAAATTAGCTCATAGAACCGAATTGTTCAGATTAACTGTTGGTGAGCTAGACTCCTAAACTAGACAGATGGCCACCTAGTTGTCAGGTCACTTTGACTTGGTCAGTAAAATATGTCATTTTCAATCATCCATATTATTCAGTGGTATGTTTCGCTACTTCATGATAATTTCTTGTCATAGATCAAAGTCGACTCCAACAGAGAACATGTGAATATCACAACTGGACAGTCAGTCAACTATTTTAATATGAGAACAGTAAGAGTGGATCGTGAAATTCGCAACCAGTGTGCTCATTGCTTTACCTGTTGTTAGCATTAGCTAGTTTTATGCAAAAGGATACTTGCTTTAGTTAGTTTCTAGATACTTAGTTACTTCAAAGATATGTAGATTGGGTCGAATTGATCGGGCATTATTGACCCATGAGCTCTTGTCACATGCATGTTTTGTCCCTTCTGAAAGATGTCGGCTGAATTTGCGTGTCTAGTGGATAATGCTCCGGCATTTGAAACCGTGCGTTCTGGGTTTGAAACTCAGTGAGAACAATGCCACTCACTGAGAGGCGGGGACGTTTAGTTGACAATAGGTGCATTCTACCTTCTACTGCCAGCCATTCTCTGTAATTAATGTCTACAAGCGTAGATAAGTTAGTGTACTGTAATCAGTAGTATGACCTAACAGCCTACGAGCGATACGAACCTAATGCGTAAACGAATCGACTCTAATGCAATCAGAACGTCAGACACTGACGAGCGAAGAGAAGAAGAGAAGACAGACCATGGACGGAGAGTTTTTTACTGTCTCGACAACAGTGATGCTGAATGTATATATATATTTCTGAATGACTGGTAACATTAAATCCACATCTAGATAAAAGTAGTTAACAACTAATTAGGGTTCAGCCTTAAAAGGAGTGGGAAGAAAAACTGGTAACAGTGTGAAAACAGTCATGTAGGTTATTTTAAGGTCATGGGCAAAACAGGTGGGTAAAGCTATGCGAAATTAAGCTGGCGGCGCAACAAGTAAACAACTCGAAGCAAGCGGATACGTGTCAACAGTAAAGTATTACGTAATAATATAGAGACGAAAAAATAAAGAGGTCAATTATATGACCTAAGCAGGGAAGAGGGTCCACTGTTGACAAGTTCTACTCTATTAGGTGACCAAAGTGAAACAAATTGAAGTTAGACGCTAATTTATCGCAACCGTTAAGGTAAGGTTAATTAAATTCCTTCTGAATACAAAGATTCAGTTTGCGAAGGTGCTTAGCATGAGCGTGTAGCAGGTCAAATAATGAGTGATGTGCAGTAAATAAGTGTAAAAGCCTTACCTGTATCCACTCTATGACCGGTATCTACCAAAAGCGTAAACATCTAATTTTCTACTGTTTTGTCTGTCGTTTACCTAGCCGCATTGGATGACATTGAGAATTTCTAACTATACACCTTATCTAACTACTTCCATAGGAATATTCGATGTGTTATAATATAAGCCTACGTTTAAACGGTACTCATATCAGCCACTTCTATCTTGATCTCAAATTGACACTCTATTGAGTAACCTACGAGATCGAATCGCTACCTAGGTCTCAGTTTCATTTCCACCACATTTATATGAATGAAAGATATGTGTCTATAGGTTCGTTGCTGTATAGGCTGACCACTTATATCCTCTGTTCTAAATTCATACTGAATAGTAACACCTTTTTCTATCATTCTATAATCAGTTTTTAGAATTGTATAGATCAAAGTAGATATACATTGACGCTTTGTTCTTCAGAGACATCTTGAGTTCGGTAAACTTTAAAACTGAATGATTTATATTCACTTACATTGTGTGGACTTCCCTTTGGATAAGCAGGCTAACTGGTATATGTAAAATACTGGCATTTCTTTCTTAATTTAGTATCTACTTATAAGAATGCATATAAGTAGTATGGTATACAACAAAGTAGAAAGTGATAAATATTAGTTGGTGTCCCGAAGATATTTGTTGGTCTTCACTTTGAATCTATTTAGCAGTTAAGTGAACGTCCGTATAAGGTGTTGTTATAACTGACAGGACCAGACTATTAATTTTACTGTCCATTATAATTAATTACAATTTCTTACATAATGTTCAATCAACGTCTTTTTGTAGATGGTTACCTACAGTTTATTCTACCTGAAGCGGTATACATGTGGGAAGTGGAACGAATTAATGGTGAACGTGTACATCCAAATCTAATCGCTGATACCGTTGAAATCGATAATAATCAACTACATTATTATGGTTTATCAACTACAGCAAATAATCTAAGAATTAGATGTATCTCATTGAATGATACAGCACGTTATATATCATCAGATTTCAGTTTTCGTGTATACGGTGGTAAGAAGGAACCAGCTAAGACATCAGATATTGAACCTGGAGGAACACGATGGTTAAGTGGAAGTGAGTAGATTCATTTGAAATAAAATTCCATTGAATCTTCTTCTTGTAATAAAGATCATCTCTTGTACAACGTGATTACATTACACTTCAAGTCACTGAATATCATTCAGAGTTCGATAATAAAATATATGCTTACTGGTTGATGTCTTCAGTATGATGGGATTCAAAGATCGGTGATTTTAAGTATCATGGTTTGAAATCGATCACAGTAAATTAAAACTTTATGTTAACTTCGATACTGAAGAAAGTATTTTTTATGATTTATGGAGAAGATACGACTGATTGGCTTATCTGCCATCTGTCTTTCAAACTGTAGACAAGATCTCATAAACAACATTTTGATTGGTCTTTCTCTAGACTAGGCTTTTCTCTCTATCTCTATATCACCTCCCTCTTTGAAAAAAATGTTCTTTGGGCTCACACTGGGCCACACAGCCTTTCTCTTACGCAGAGACTAAGTTTCTTGTTTACTGGGGGATCAGTAGTCTTCTGGATATTCTTTCGGCAGGTAGATGTATGAACACAAAAATCAGCTATCAAGCGAAGAGATTTACTTACCGATCAAGAATGAGATCTGCAGCGGTATCTAGAGAATGACATTTGTACACGTTGTGTGTGTTGGTGGCAAAAACCGTCCTTATGGCCCTCATCATTACAGCTTCAGCATTGATGATGTTTACGTGGACAAGATTTGACAAAATGCCAGGCACCACAATGCCAGCAGGGCGATAGGGGTGTCTTCTTCCAGGGTCGGTCGGTATCGTATCAGTTACTGGATCGATGAACAGGCAAGATAAGGTCAGGAGGTGTGTGGCCAGAGGGTGATGCAGAGGAATGAGATGACTGGCGAACTGTATGTACTTCAGAATCACTCTGGGATCCGAATTTTAGCCAAATTCATATCACGCTGCATTTACCTAGTCGTTGATATTTTGCAGAACATATCATTTAGTGTCTAGATCGTGGCATCGAATGTGCGATCAACTAATCAAGTAGCAATGATTAGTACTGTTCATGTCGATCTGAAGAATTTATTGCATCAAAATGAAAAAAGTAGAACTCAGAAAGTATTCAGATGAACAATATACTGAATAGCAGTAGAATCCAGGACGTGCGTTTCGTCCCATTTGAGACTTGTCAGGTGGATATACCTGCACCCCAACAAGTGTTGTTCCCACCAGGATTTGACGTCGAGACCGATAGCCTCAAACGCCAAGGTATTAGCCACTAGACCAACGAGCCACGACAGCTGCTTCTTATGCGAAGGTTATCGTTTTATTGTTAATGCTCTTCCTCGATTCCACTGCTAGCCACTATCTATCATTCATATATATAATTAGAACAGATCTTATCAAGGCACCCGTACAGGAATCCATATACCAATAGAGACGGATCACTTCGGTGTTTCATCTGGTCACATTTCTCAGTTTACATCCATCTGAAAATGATTTGAGTATTATTTAACTCTCGGATTCCTAGTGGAACATAGGGATCCAGTTGCACGTCGTCATTTCTTTTTCTTCTCTGCAGTCTTCTTTACATGACGCCACGAATGCCCAGAAGCTTGCATTTATTCTTCACATCATCTTCATTTCACCCTTGCATCCGACGCTAAACTCATCCTTTCTCATTTGGCTTCTACTCGACGGTCTGGCGTGATGCGTGATGTTCCCAAAGAGTCTTCTTAGTGTATGCCCAATCCAATCAATCTCCACTTTCTTCTGTGTATTTGTTGGGTGATAGGTTCTTGTCTCGGTGGTTCGTTCCCAGCCAGAGTTCCTTGCTGCTTATTCTTGTTATTCTGGCCACCTGATTAATATTCAGTATCGAGTGAGCGTAGGTGGCAGCTGTTGATGTTATGTATGTCTTCAGATTGTTGGAAATGCTTTTCGTGACGCGCCAAGTTTCTGAACCATGTAGAAGCACTGACTTGACTGAATAAATGTTGAAAATCCGCATCTTGTTCACGCTTTATACTTAGTGGAGTGCAGTATATCTCCACACTGGTTTCAGGTTAATGAACGCCTGTCTTGCTGTCTTTCGGATCCTGGCTGCTTTGACATCCTCGTCTGTGCTGCCTAGATAGGTAGGTAGGTGGAAGAGACAACTTCCTTTAGATTTCTTCTATTAATGGTGATTGAGGCTTGTTGTTGTTAGTGGTGGTGTTGAGTAGTAATCTGAAAACACGTATGTGTAGAGAGCCTACTGGATAACGATTTGGGTTCTGGAACAATTAATCTTAGGTCCAAGTTTCATTAGGAACATCATCACTCACTAATGCTCAGGTGCGCCCGGTTGATGAACCTTAAATTGGATGAAACGCGTCTACTGGAGTTAGTTGCTATCCATCAAGTAAACAGTAATCAAATAGCATGATTTATCTTCAGATGTATCTTCCTGAGTCTAGTCCTCAGAAGTGCACACTGTCACTAACTTCGACTAGTAAACTTATCAAGTAATGATAATAACAACGAAAATCAACAGCTGACATATTTATCGAATATTCAAGTCTTATCTGTATGTCATCACTTGTCTTTTGAAATTCTTGAGAAGTAATAGGCAACATCATAAAATGTTAATTTCATTACTGGATGCATAAAGTATCAAAGTTAACTGAAGATCATATCTTCAGTTAATCCTATTTATTGAATTCCCAGCTGAACTCACTAGTTCTGTCTCGCTGTAAGACTCGACAAAGACTCCTTCTACTTTAATTTTTAGTTTAGGGAGTTTATGAGAATTTATTGATTAATTTCAAGTTGGTATTCATCATGGACTGACATCATTTAGAGAAATATTAGAAACCTGTGAGCACTTGATAGACGCTTCGCCGTAGTATGGGACTTCTCAGCAGTAAGCATCCATAACCCTGCACCACCAGGGGTTGAACCCAGGGTCTTAAGGTTCCGTAACCAGCACGTTACCATTGAGCGAGTGCACATTTCCAAATTCTATCAGTTCACGATATAGAGTGACCATAATACAATATCATCGTTGAATATCTGTCCTGAGCAGCCACGTGATTTCATTCAATTCAAATTTTACGCTAACGTTTTGGAACTTGTTACTTCACACTGTAGAAACATCGATGGATAAACTACCAGATCATAATGGACAAAGCTTCAGCCAGTCACTTCCTTGAATAATCTTGAAACTTGATTGTTCTATCTCCACAGGTATCAAATTAGTCTTTTTTTTCCATTTCTAACTTTCAGATGGTGAAGAACGAATCACTTTAAAAATTGGCGGTAAAAATGATTTAACCAATCATGTCACAATTAAAGATGGTGAAAATGTTCAACTGAATTGTACTGCTCATGGTAAGTGTCATAAATCTGAAAGATAACAGATCAGATTAAACTATCCCTTTAAGATGAGTATACTGTTTTATGATATTTTAATTTACTTATTCCTTGGTTAGCAGCAGTGTCACGGAAATTAGATGTGAACGCTACTTATCAGGGTCAAACTTTTAGGTTTAGAGTCATCATGTTTCTAGAGGTAGCGGAGATAGCTTAGACAAAAGCCAGAAATAACCCTTGAATTTTTATTAAGGTTGGCAAATACTGTGCATCCTGATGTCAGATACTTCTGGCGGTATTCCTTATATGCCTATTAGTTCACATCAGTTGTCTGGTGCTAAGTCTACTACACTAAAGTAAAAAGAAATCTATAGGTACCATTTGTTATTATTATTTTTCCTTGGGTTCCTAGTGGAACATAGGGCTTCACTAGCACGTCTCCATTCCACTCTGTTCTTTGCAATATTTTGAATCTGGCGCCATGACTTCCCAGAAGCTTTCACTTCTTTCTCACATGCTCTCCTTCATGTCACCCTCGCCTTGGAGCCCCAACTCGTCGTTTCCCATTTGGGTTTCACTCGAGGGACTGGCCTGATGCGTGATGTCCCCAACTGACCTTCTCAATGTATGCCCACTCCATATCCACTTTCTTACTCTGCATATTCCCTGGGTGATAGGTTCTTGTCTCGGTGGTTCGTTCTCAGCCAGAGTTCCTTGCTACTTATTCCTATTATTCTGGCCATCTGATCGATCTTCAGTATCGAGCCAGCGTAGGTGGCAGCTGTTGATGTTATGTATGTCTTCAGATTGTTGGAAATGCTTTTCCTGACATACCAAGTTTCTCAACCATCAAAAGAGAGGCAGTGACTTGACATTGGTGTTGAAAATCTGGATCTTGTTCTTTGTGTTGAGTGCAGTGGATCTCCATACTGATTTCAGATTAGTGAAAGCCTGTCTTGCTTTTGACATCCTCGTCTATGTCCGCACCTGTAGTTGAAACGATGCTGCCTAGGTAGGTAGGTAGGTGGAAGAGACTACTTCCTTTAGGTTTCTCCCATTCATGGTGATTGGAGCTTGTTGTTGGTGGTGGTGATGTTGGTTGGGTATCTTCATCACCACCATCTTCTCTACACTCACCTGACGTCCCCCCTCCACTGCCTCACCTCTTCTGTCAACTTGTTAGTTTTCGCATGCAGATCTTCTACTTTGTGTGACATAAGACATCAGACATAAATCATCATCGTCGGCGAAATCCAAATGTTCTAGTGTCTTTTCATCGTTCCAACCAGCGTATGCCCATCTTTCCGCTCCTCACGGTTTGCTGCATGATCCAGTTCACCACAATCAGGAAGATCATTGGTGATAGAAGACAGCCTTGTCTTACTCCTGTCCTCACTTTAAAGGCATCGCTGAGCTTTCCACTGTGAATCACCTGCTATGTGGCATTTTCATATAGCTGTTGAACGAGGTAGATAAAGGTTTGTTGAACTACAACCGTAGTGTCGAAGCGATTGCCTGCTAGATTACTTCTCGATCGACGCTGTCGAAGGCCTTTTCAAAGTGGATAAAGTTGAGGTTGAGAGTTGACTACCTTTCAACATTCTGTTCAGTGATGATGCGTAGCGTTGCAATTTCATACTCACATGGTTTGTTCTTCCTGAAACCAACCTGTTCCGGTAGTAATTTTGAATCCAGCGCATCCTTTAGTCTCCCCGGGATGATGCCGCATAATCTTTTGCTTAGGGTGGACAGCAGCATGATTCCACGTTAGTTCTTGCAAAGACTTAGGTCTCCCTTCTTTGGGATTTTGACAAGGTAGCCGTCCTTCCAATCTGTAGGTACCTTTCCTTCCTTCCAAACCTTCTGCAGTGGAGGTGTGATAGGTACAACACTCCATGGTATATTTTTAATATTAACTAGTCTGTTAGACAAGATAGAAACTTTCGTTTAGCTATGGATAATTTTGTTGAGAAGTACAATAACAAAGTATAATTTATCTATTTGGATGATGAACAATGCTAATTTGTCGTACAGAGTATATTTGATCATCATTATCCAACATCATAGATTGTGTGGATTCCGGATAAAAGTGAATAACAGTAAGAATTCAGATTATTGTACTCCACTGACTTCTTCCGATTGGAATGAAGTAGATGTGAATATTACCGGTACTTCTAGCATTGACACTACTTCCACAATGTGGGCCCTTGAAACACAACAAGTGATTGGGCATGAAAATGTTGTCAGTGAACGCGTGGAATCACAACTAATTCCCAATAATAAAGAAGTGTATGACATAGCTTTAGCCATGCTGGAGGTGGAAAAGATATTTTCACCAGTGTCGGTGCGGATCGCTCCGTATGTATGTTCGATCTACAAAATTTAGAACCTTCTAACACATTGTCGATGAAGATTCATATCATTGCCTACTTTCGCGCCTAGCTTAGAACAAACACGATGCTGACTATCTCGCAACATTCGCGATGGATTTTGTAGACTTACGAGTCCCATGCACTCCATTTGCTCGTCTAAACAATCATAAAGCATTTGTAAATGGATTAGCATGCGGACTTCACTCAAGTCGTCATTTATGGACATCATCTGAGGATTGTACTGCTCTTATCTCGGGTAACTAATCTATGCCAAGAGCGATAGAAGATCCTATATTAATGTATACAGCTATTGATGAAATAAATCGGATTCAATAGTCATCAATATTCCTTCCTTCGTCTCTGCCTTCTCGTTTCCTTCAATTTTTGCTTACTGGTTAACAGTCCCACTTGCCATACCTCGTATCATCACAATAAAGTACATGGTTCCACAACAAAAGATAGAGAAGTGAGGTAGAAACCACATTGATTAGTCACTGGAAAGCGATCAGTATCATGTTGTCAAGTGCTGGTTGAATTACATCAATCTTTTTGCAGTATGGCCATAAAGCTAGGAGGCTGGAGGTAGCGAAGCACTAAAATAGATGTTAGTTGGATAGAGGTAATTATCAAAAAGCCCTACTCTACCATGGTTTCGAGTATGTTGGCACTGGTCACCAAGGCATATCTGCAACCTCTGCATAACCGATGTTCCACCATATATTCAAACCGGTATCACCTAGTGCTGCAGTCACAGACGTTACCACTGAGCCATTGTTTGTGATTCTCCTCCAGCAGAAGTGGACTGAGTGCATTGATTGGTACGTTCATAATTCCCATTGTGGCATGCGAAACAAGATATTCAGCGAAGAGGAATTTATTCAAGGAATTTATTCTCAACCTGTGTATTCGTATGTATATGATATTTAACGACTGCAAACCATGGGGAACAATAATAATGGTGGTTATAGCCATAATAATGTTGCTAGTTGATGAAGTAAAGGCTGAATGACAACATTAAGGGTTACGTAAGATTTTCAAACTATTTATAAAGTGGATATAGATTAAAAAGGGTGAGAACGTGGCAGAGTTAACAAACAATCAAGGGATTATGTAATATGAATGAGACAACAGGTTAATTAGGGTAAATCAAAAATGTATTTTTGAGACGAATGGGGGTTTTTAATTAAGAAGTAGTATTCATCATGGACTGACATCAGCTGCGGAACCATCAAGAATATGGGAGTACTGGACAGCTGTTTCGTCCTAGTGTGGGACTCTTCAGCAGTACGCACCCACGACACGGCTGGGGATCGAACTCAGAGCCTTCAGGTTTCACGGCGAATGCGTACTGCTGAGGAGTCCCATACCAGGGCGAAACAAATGTCCAGTGCTCCCAGATTTTCAGTGGCTCCCCAACTAATGTCACTCCATGATGAAAATGTTTTGCTAAGAGTTGCGATTATTAGGAAGATCAAGTGAAAGAACACTGGAAACAGTGAAATGTAACAGTAAAGTGATAATTATATATAAGAGTACAAAGATTAGTCTGACAAAAATGGCGAAAGGGGGAAAATGAAAAAGGAACGAAGCACACCAAGACTAAAATAAGATAAGGTCAAGGTAGAGGCAAAGGCTGTACATACGTTTTTTACATACAAAGGTCAGGGAGGCTTCATATCTTGGATAACCAAAACCTCTGCTGTTTTTAGAAGCTGAACACGGGGAAAACGTGAGATGTTTGAGTGAATTCAATAGAAAACCTCAAAATCGTTGTTTGGGTCGGTTGGTGGTTAGAAGCGATGGAATCGGTTGACAGTCATTGGTCACCGGTGAATAATCAACTTCATATTGTCTAGTCTTAAGTGCTGATCGAACTCTGTCGATCACTTCGCAATGTAACTATCATGCTAGGCAACTCAGCATCCTGTTGTCCTTTGATAGGTGCTAGTTGGTTGAAGGTGATCTTTAGAAAGCTGTGGAAGTAGGTTTCATTCTTGTTGGCACTCGTCAAGAAGGCATATCTTCAACAATGTAAGTAATAAAGAATGAACGAAAGTCTTTAAAAGAGAATCAAGAGGAATGAGACAATAACTAAATCTAGTATGACGATTAAGGTGGAGATAATGTTTGAAAACATTTGCACCATTGTGACGGATTCTGATTCATGTAATCTGCAATCATTGATTTCATATGTTGCATGGATCCCGACAAGGAAGTCTACATTCCCCTATGTGGATCAGATCAGAATAAAGGGACATTATGAATTGGTGCCATGTTTTAGTCTGATATTAAATCTTAAAAGTTAGTCAGTCGCTGAAAAGCTCTATTTTTTCAAGGTTTTGTCTTTGTTTGCCTTCCTTACCAAGTTATATTTGAAACCATGAGAAAAAGACAGGTATTCCATGGGCTGCTCATTTCCCTCCTGTAGTAGTGAATTATGTGAACGAAGTGGGTTATCGCATGCCAACCGTTGAAACTCTCAGATCCATAACACTGAAATATTTCTTTTCAATTAGTTCCTCATCAATGGCTCTACACTAATATAGCATTTTCAAACGTAGAATTACATACCAATCTAGTGGTGAGAGTTCTTCAATGAAAGGTTATCAATCTCAAAGTATCAAGAAGGTGATAATTGATCAGGTAATTAAGACAGTTAACTAAAGCAAAGATTAATTATCGTAGAAAGATTTTGTGAACAAGTTCTTACATAATTGATATTTTATATAATGATAACTAAAGAGCAAAAATGAACTGTTACGTAAAATGGTAAATTGTTGACGGTAATTAGAGACAGTAGGGGGAGAGAAAGATGGTTAAGTCTGCAATAATAATAATAATAATAATAATAATGGAGCTATTGAAATATTAGTTATAGTGAATTGTGTGATGGATGAAATGAAGAGTCTTGTTGTAATAAATGAGCTATACAGATGGCCAAGGCAAAGAAAGAGGCTGTACGAATCTCTTCTGAACACACAGACTTGGCTTGTGTAGGTGGATTCCTATGGCTTCTGCTGTATGTAAAAGACGAACTCGTAGAGGATGGGTGAGGTGAGAAGGAATGTGATAAATAACTTTAAAGGCATTATGAATGTTAACTCGGTGGCCGGTGTCAATCAGATGAGAGAGTATTGAGCTTCGTGTCAGTCTGGTTTCCCCCTTACTTAGCCATGAAGGATGATGCTCGGCGATTCGACGACGGACTTGCCTAACTGTACGTCCAATGTAACTAGCTCCACAGGAGCAGTTGAACTGGTAAATGCACATAGAAGAGGAGAAGTCAGGGAGTCTGTCTTTAGTTCGTGTGGTCATCATCGGCCGGCTGTAGAAAACACAACATAACTTGGCGGCATTAAATGATCTTCTTATGGCATTTCTTAAGCGTTGTGTCACAATTTCGCTGATGATGTCACCTCGAAATTGTAGTCTTAGAAACAATGGTTTCTTGGAGACTGTAGGCATTCTGGTTTTCATATTGGATGTGTTCATATTTTTAGCCAGGAACGTTTCTGGATATCCATTACTACTGAGTAGATCGTGGATAATTTGAAGCTCTTCGTCAAAACTATCATCTGAACAGATGAGTCTCGCCCGATGGACCAAACATTTAACGAGATTTCGTTTATATTGCAAGGGGACGAAACTCAAGAAGTGGGTGTATTGACCTGTTGACGTTGGTTTCCGATACACACTTCTTTTTATAGTTCCATCCACCTTCCTTGTCAATCGGACATCTAAGAAGGTGATGCTGTCGTCACTTTCTGTTTCAATAGTGAAGGTTATTGCTGGATGGACGCCATTGAATTCATCCAGTATGATCCTTGCATCGTCCTCGTTATTCACAATCAAGAATGTATCATCTACATAACGGCAATAAAATTCTAACCCGCTTATGATGCTTTCCAGAGGGCCATTTTCTAATTTTGCTAAGAAGTCCGCTAAGATTGGGCCTAGTGGTGACCCCATAGCGACACCGTCTGACTGTCTATAGAATTCCTTATTGAAGAGAAAGTGTACATTCATTGTACATCGTAAGAGAAGCTCTTTCAAGGTGGATGCCGTAATTCCAATTTCTATGTTTCTCTTTTCCAGTTCGCTACATATGAAGTCCACTGTTTCCATCACATGGACATTTGTAAATCTCTTATTTTATTGATAAAGTGAAAAGTATCTTTGACGCTATGCTTTACAACCTCCTTATGCAATGGTTTCAAGAGTTGTACTAGCCATTTCGCCGTCGCATGGTATGGAGAGTTTGACGTGTCAAGAATCGGTTGGAGTGGTAATCCATTCTTATGCACCTTTGGTAAACCATACAACCTCGGTGTTACTGTGCCAGTAGGTCTGAGTGTTTAATACTCATTTTGTGAAATGAAGCCTTGCTGTTTCAGCTTTTTTAAGGATTCGGATAATTGCCTCTCCGTCTTCTCTGTCATGTCAGTATTGGTTGGTAGTTTCTGAAATTTACTGTCATCACTGAGAAGGCTGTTCATTTTATCTAGGTATTTGGTAACACCACAAGCATTATCTCTGGGTCCGAGGTTTTGTGACAGTCATATTACACCTAACAGAATAAACACTCAAGTCCAGTTTGAAAACTTATACTCACAGACAGAAGGCTTATCATCTTCTTCAAGTGAGGAGGTAGAAAGATTCAAGTCTACCCTGGTTGACTGTTGCTACAAATTTATGAATAGTAAGCAGAATTCTAGAAGCATCTTGACTAGAAAACATAGGGAAGCCTTACGTAAACCCCGAATGAATGAGGATCTGCTGATCACCAGGCCGGATAAAGGCTCAGGGGAGGTTGTTATGAACAAAGCCGAGGAGGGAGGAGGGGAGGATGAAAGAAGCGGAGGGTTAGTCAACTTATGATGTGGCACCATGGGACGAAGGGTAGTTGTATCCGGTTAGCATTTGCTGATGCATCACGAATCTCTGAGTAGGTTCCGAAAGATCATGCAGTTCAGTGGCTTGAGACGTTATCAAACATGGTTCAGAATTATTACGGGTAGCGGTCGTGTTGCAGCTTCCTTCTATCTTCTGTTGCTGAAAAGGAATGAATGTTTTGTTTTGAATGTATCTTACTGGACTGCCCTTCTAATCATTCTATTCTTACTGCTTTTCACTTTTATCCACTTCCCTTCGCTTTATATCTTTAAAAGAGTGTTATATTTTTTCGTGTGGCACATTTCATAGTGCTCTTACTATACCATATTTGTGTTCTAATGATGAAAATAACAATAATAATGATCATGATGATAGGGTTTTATAGAGTATAATCCGACCTCAGCTGCCTGGCAACTCCTTCTAATAGTAGAGTTAAATTGGGGCTTGTGAGTCGCACCTTGAGTGTCACCTTTCGTTAGATGCTTGGTGAAGACATCTTTCTTCGGGACAAAGTAAAGAGCAGGTTTCAGCGTTCAGGCTACTTTACACTGACTGATAAATTTTGATGGATAGTTATTTTCCCACAGTAGTTGAATTAATGTTCTTGTTTCATCTTTCAAACTATTATCATTGCATATTCGCTAAATCCTATTGAAATTCTCACTTTCAATAAGACACGTATTCTCAACTTCTAATATCAGGTAAATTACTTCAAATTAATTGACAGTCTGCTAGTAATATTTTCCCTCCTTTGCCATTTTCTTTTACAGATACAGTTACTGGAAGACTTTTAACTGATGGAGATCTTTATTTTGGTTGGCGGTTACTTGGTGCTCATAGTGAAACTGTGCCTGAGTCTAGTTTAGCAAGGCAATCAGTACAAATGTATGTGACAGATAATGGTAATACTGGAATGTTCACTGTAGAAGATGCTCGACCATCACCAAACCTACCTCAACCAACCGCTCGTATTCAGTGTTTAGCTACTTCATATACTGAGGGAATTACCTATTACAGTACTCTAGTGGATTTTGTAGTTTATCCTGAAGAAATTCCAGTAGATCATGTGAAAGATGTAAAAGATCGAGGCAAGTTGATTTTATGTCCTTAGTAATTAAAAATGCTCGCACATACTATCCTTGATACTGGGTGATGATTGAAGGTAAAATGGAAATCAGGATCGCTGCCGGATTCGAACCAGATAGTATCAGGTTTCCGGCCTGGTGCTCTACCAACTGAGCTACGAGGTCCGACTATTGACCAGATTTTTATTTCCCTCCAATCACCAAGAGTTTCACCTGACTACCATGTGAATGATTGACACTTTACAATCACTTGATCTTACCCAGAGTGGCTGCTCAGTCAGCACTTCTCATCCCTATCCAAATGTAACTGAGTTAGAGAGGGACTGGTAACCCGATGGTCGCTATTTCGGATCCTACCGCCATCCAGATTTTCATTCCACCTTCAATCATTTGCTGTGCTGAAATCGGCACATACAGAAAATTTCCTTACACTTATACACTCAGTAGTAGGGTCAATCCAATTCACTTGCGAACCAGAAAATCAACAGGAAAAATTACCTATGTTGGATTGCGAGATAAAACAAAGGACAGACGGTGGTTTGGATACTACCGTCTACAGAAAATCGATACATTCCAACAGGTATCTAGACTTCAGGTCATCCAATTCAATATCAGTTAATGCGAGTTTAGTCAAATGTCCAAATAGCAGAGCTAGAAAACTGATTATCAGTGCAAGAACCTAAACAAGGAATTGGAACACGTAAAAGAAGCTCTAATAGTTAGTAGTTATCGTCCGGAGTTTATTAAGAAATTCGTATGAAAAGATAAGAAACAAAAAGATAACAGTAACACGAGTATAAATAATCAGGATTACACGAGTAGAAAGGAGATCACAGCCTCCATTGTGTTACCCTATAAAGAAGGCGCATACGAAAGTTTACGTAGGATCCTCAACATAGCTGCAATTAGGGTGGCATTTAAACCTACAAACTCGCTCTGAGATGAGCTTTGTCGGCTGGCTTAACCATTCGACAGAACTGATTAAGTAGAATAATCAAATCTGCCGAATTCCATGTAGTGACTGTGAGGTCAAGTATATAGGTCAAACTAGTCGGTAGGAGTCAGTTCGATTAACAGAATATAGGAATTCGGCTAAATGTAGAATGGCAGACCCCAATAATATCACTGATCTAGAAAGACTCGGTTATTGCAATGTATGCATTAACACACAATCACACAATAGAGATGTCGAAAGTTGCATGTGATTACATTGATATGATGATGAGCAATGATAATTTATGCTCGAAACTTCGTCATCAAGTAAATAATACTGCTATAAATACTGTGTGTTATAAATAATATAAACAAGTCTAATATGGAACTACATTCTACTACAGCGCCCAAGTTTTACACCTACATTAAAGATAGTATATTCCACTGTCGTGTTATTTCTGTGTGGAAAGACCACCATGATGGCTATACCGTTACATATATCAGTAGTGTTATACATAATGGAGCGAATCCCGAAGAAGTTCAAGTTGAAAACAACACTGTTCACTTGCCTACTTCGACGAAAACAGATACACTAGTTTTTCTGTCCACAGATGAATAGCATAAGCAATATGGGGACGTGACAATCTCTCCTTCAGAAGAAAGATATACCTGAAGATTAAGCGCATCTTAACAATTTATCCTATTCGCTGAATTGGGATAGGTCTGTATCATAATTTTGGCAAAGGTGCGTGATTTTCACTCTGAAAATCATCTCTGATCACCACGTATTATCACTGACTTAGCTCAGTCAGGACTGACAACTAACCTTTGAAAGTTACCATAAAATTTTCATCCACCACAACAGAAAGTAAGTTACGTAGATCCACTAGCCTTTGAAAAGTAACATATGAACCAATTGGACTGGAGGTAGCATTTATGTTTCTGTATGTCTTTGACTTTATTAACCGGATACTGTTGACGGTTAAGAACTAAGAACAGTTCCAACAGAGAAAGGTTAATATTTCAGACGATTACTCAAAATTTATTGATTTACAAGAATGTCTATGTATACAATTTACTAACAGTTGAATAGAACATTTTCTTAATTCCTTAGAAATATTAGAAAGATAAGTTTCTTAATATACATTTTCTATTTATTGTCTAGAAAAACTAAATCGTCTTACTGTCAGTGTTATCGGTTTAGACGATCGTGGAAGGTTAGCTGCAACTGAAGGTTCTACAGTAGATTTGAAATGTGTTGCTCAAGGTAAGTAAATCAAATTGACCTGAATATCGGTTGACTAAGGCACCAATATATAAAAACTGATAAATCGACAAGAATTTACACTTTTTTTAATAGCACCTCAGCACCAGGATGACAATTGTCTAAGGATCTCTGATCTGTGACATTTGTGCTTAGAAGTTTCATCAACAGTGCTTTGTCAGTTTAGTATGGACATTAAACAGTTGTCAGCGTTCATTATGTATGCATGATCATTCACTCGGTCATCAAATAGTAGTTTGTTTTTTACCCATATTTTAGATGGAACCTAAAGTGAACCTTTAAACTTGACTTGTTCTTCATTGACTCTAGGAAATAAACTGAGATTTCAGATTTCTATACGTTTTCTTGTCCGTCTAAATAACCTTTATCACGTTCCTTTTTATCAATGTTCAATAATCGAAAAATGGTATACACTGCTGAAATTCTCATCAAGATAATGATAAATGAATAAGTTGTACACATTTTGTGTAACGCATTATTAACATTCAAAGTTTGTACTAAAGTTTTGTATATTTACCGTGTTACTTAAGTGCATAAATATCTGAATTTTTGTCAGTTGTTTATTATCTATGGAAAAAAGAATCCGTAAATCCAACAGACAATTTCCGGGAAACATGATACTAAATTTTGAGGGAGTTGTGGAGATTTGGAATTATTTCAAGTTGTTATTCATCGAAGAATGACATCAGTTGGAGGAACAAAGGAAACCTAGGAGTACTGAACAGCTGTTTCGTCCCACTAGTATGGGACTCCTCAGCAGTGCGCACCCACGACCCCACCAGCAGGGATCGAACCCGCGACCTTCAGGTTCCGCGACCAGCGCGTTGCCATTGAGCCACTGGGTCAGAATCCAATGCTCCATATTTCCAATTTCTGTTAGCTCACGATATAGCGCAACCGCCACCCAATGTCATCGCTGAGTATCTGTCCTCATGGCCATCAGGCTTTGACTCCACTCATGACTTCTCATTGGAACTTCGGGAATACTTCTCGAAGCTAGTCACCAATGAGCACCAGTGAGTTAACAGAAGTTGGAAATATGGAGCATTGGATTCTGACCCAGTGGCTAGCTCAATGGTAACGCGCTGGTCTTGGAACCTGAAGGTCGTGGGTGCGCACTGCTGAGGAGTCCCATACTAGTGGGACGAAACAGCTGTCCAGTGCTCCCAGGTTTCTTTTGTTCCTCCAACTGATGTCAGTCTACGATGAATAACAACTTGAAACATGATACTCACATAATTCCTAAATGATTGGGATTGTATCCACTACACATAAAACATAGGTGGATTATTAAATTTTTGTTTGTAGAAACAACACGTAACACACCTCTAACAGGGAGGATTTGTCAGCTGTTACAGATAATTGCAAAATGTTACTGTCAAACATATGAATAAGACCATAATGATCTGTTAAATGCAAAAAGAAAGTTTAAAAGTTGTATGACAACCTTAATATGATTATGAGTGATAAACGGTGCACGAAATGTCATCCAGTAAAAGACAGTCTATCACACCGTTATGCTGCATTTAAGTAAAAACCTAATTGGCTGTGGGGATTAACTTCTTATGATTTACAGAACACTCACCAATTTAATAAAGTTTACGCTTTTTGAATTTCTTAGGTGACAACGTATTTTGCAGACATTATGGATGTTATTCGCATAGACTCAAGTTGTCAGATCACTGTTATTTATTATTTGTCCCTTGGGTTCCCAGTGGAAAATACGGCTTCACCAGCACGTCACCATTTCACTCTAGCCTCTGCAGTCTTTTTAATCTGGCTCCACCATTACCCACAAGCTTTCATTTATTTCTCACACCATCTACTGCATGTCACCCAACTAGTCGTTTCCCATTTGGGTTCCACTCGACGGCCTGGCTTGGCGCGTGATGTCCCCGAGTTGTCTTCTCTGTCATAGTCTAGTCAAACTTATCTCCAATCTCTTCCAATAAATATTTGTTAGGCGATAGGTTGTTGGCTGGTTGGTTCGTTGCCGGTCAGCCAGCCAGAATTCCTTCTTGCTTATTCCTGTTATTCTGGCCATCTGATCGATCTTCAGTATGGAGTGAGCGTGGGCGGAAGCTGTTCATGCTATGCATGTCTGCGGTTTGTTGGAAATGCTTTTCACAATGCACCAAGTCTCTCAACCATGACATAGAAGCATTTGCTTACTTGACTGAATTAGTGTTAAAAATCCGGATGTTGTTCACGCTTTATGCTGAGTGCAGTGCAGTAGATCTCCACACTGATTTTAGATTAACGAAGGCCGGTGCTGCTGTCTTTCCGAAACTGGTTTTGACATCCTGATCTTTGTAGCCGCCTTTAGTTAAAATGATGCTGCCTAGTTAGGTAGGTGGGTAAAGAGACAATTTACCTTACATTTCTCCCAATGACAGTGATTGGTGCTTGTTGTTGTTAGTGATGGTGTTGGTTGGGTATCTTCATCACCCCCATCTTCTCTACATTCAGCTGTTGTCCTTTCTTCGCAGGCTTTCCCTGCCTCTTATGCCAAATTGTTGGTTTTCGCCCACAGACCTCCGAATTTGTGCTACATTAGACATAAATCACCATTGGTGAAAGCCAACTCTTCTACCATCTTTTCATCGGTCCAGCCTGCGTATGACCATCTTCTCACTCCTCACTGTTTTTTGCGTGATCCAGTACAATCTAGTCGACTACTATCAGGAAGATCATCTGTGATAGTTGGCGGCAGCCTTGTTATCTCCTGTTTTCACTTCAAAAAGATCACTGAGCCTTAGATTGCTATTACTTGGCAAAAATAGTAAGGTACTGAAGTAAGTAAGTAAGAAAAAGGATTAGGAGAGGAAAGAACATCAACAGCGGTGAAATCCAATGGCGTGGATGCATTTTTGATATGTCTACAATAAGTGATAACCTTAGTTAGGTTAGTTATTTCGTACGAACCAACAATCAGTCACTTCACAGACTGATGAGATATCCCAGTCTGAAAGTTCATAATTTTTAATCCTATTCAACTTCAGTGAAGGCTATAAGCAGGGAAAATCGATGAATCCATATTATTATTATTATTATTTTCCCCTTGGGTTCCTAGTGGAACATAGGGCTTCACTAGCACGTCTCCATTCCACTCTATTCTTTGCAATATTTTGAATCTGGAGCCATGACTTCCCAGAAGCTTTCACTTCTTCCTCACATGGTCTTCTTCATGTCACCCTCGCCTTGGACCCCCAACTCGTCGTTTCCCATTTGGATTTCACTCGAGGGACTGGCCTGATGCGTGATGTCCCCAACTGACCTTCTCAATGTATGCCCAATTCATCTACACTTTCTTCCTCTGCATATTTGTTGGGTGATAGGCTCTTGGTTGGTTCGTTGTCAGTCAGAGTTCTTTGCCGCTTATTTTTTCTAGCCACCTGAACTTCAGTATCGAGTGAGCGTAGGTGGCAGCTGTTGATGAAGGTCTGTATTTCATTGGAAATGCTTTTCGTGACGCACCAATTTTCTGAACCATATACAAGCACTGACTTGACACTGGTATTGAAAATCTGGATGATGTTCATGCTTTATGCTGAATAGAGATGATCTCCACACTGATTTCAGATTAATGAAGGCCTATCTTGCTGTTTTTCCGACCCTGGTTTTGACACCCTTGTTTGTGCCACCACCGCCGCCTGTAGTTGAAACGATGCTGCCTAGGTAGATAGATAGGTAGGTAGGTGGGTGTAAGGAACCAATTCCTTTACATTTCTCCAGTTATTGGTGATTGGAACCTCTTGTTGTTGTTGATGGTGATGTTAATTGGGTATCTTCATCACCCCCATCTTCTCTACACTCACCTGAAGTCCCATCTCCACTGCCTCGTCTCTTCTGCCAATTTGTTAGTTTTCGCATACAGATCTTCTAGTTTGTGTGACATAAGACATTAGACATAAATCATCATCGTCGGCGAAATCCAAATGTTCTAGTGTCTTTTCATCGGTCCAGCCAGCGTATGCCCATCTTTCCACTCCTCACGGTTTTCTGCATGATCCAGTTCACCACAATCAGGAAGATCATTGGTAATAGAAGACAGTCTTGTTTTACTCTTGTCTTTCAAAGTGGATAAAGTTGAGGTAGAGAGTTGAACGCCATTCTATACTCTGTTCAATGATGATGCGATGAATCCATATACATCACAATAACTAAACCACTTTAATATACATAAATGACTTTGCCAACTTAATCTGTCCTAATGTTGAAATCACTGTAGAATATATCCAGAAAATGATTAGTAAGTTCATAAAACTTAGAATGGACTGACTCACTTTTTGTGACACAAAGTTGGCATCCCATAAAATGTTATGCAGTCTATTGGGATAAACTTACCGTTATTCATAAGTTTCTGAATGTTAGTTCTTATTGAACGCTAGGATGAACTGTAACTTTACACTTTCTACAGATGATGAATCATTTTCTTTATTTTCTATCCCAACATTAAATATTTTACATACTGTGAAATTTATCTTAGTATTCTAAGATTATGATTATTATTGTTGTCAATTATTTCGATGAAGATCGTTCAACTAAACAACCTACTAAGGAGTTAGTAAATTATGGATGGGAATTCAATCGATTAGATGGTACACCAGTTGACACAACAGCATTAATTGACACCGGGGAAACTAATAAACTGGAAATGAATAATGAACGTTTACTGCTTCAAGGATTAAAACAAACTACATCAATTCGTGGTCGTTGTCGTGTAAATGTCCAGTCAACTGATGAAACACAATTACCTTCAAGTGAAGAAGTATTCTATTCACCCTACTTCAGATTTGATGTAACCGATGCGACTGATAGTGGACGAAGAGATTTTGTTGCACCAATCGAACCAAGTAAGTCTATATATTCAGAATTATAACAATATCCTGTCAATAAATGAATATACAGCATGAATTGAGAGAAGTAAGAAAATATTGACCGTTGCATTCCACCCTAGTATTTGAATAGTAATTTGCTCTCCGGTAGACTTCACGGTCCTGAGCAATGTCACTCACGGTGTCATTGTTCTACATTGTTAAGGGATCTCAAATTGTAACGAACTAGCTAATATAATAAGATTTCCAATGACTCTTTAAATAATGTTCATCCATCTAACTTAAAACATTTTCATTTTACTTCAATCACTACGGATTAAGCCCGACTACCAAGTGAATTCATGGCGCGTTGCTACAGCTTGATCTTATTTAAAGTGACTGCTCAGTCGAGGCTTCTTATCCTAATCCAAATTTAACTGATAAAAGAGTAAGACTTGGGCACTGTGGTTGATTGTAATTCCACTTTAGTCTGTTTATTAGAAATATCACACAGTGAAACAGTAGCATTTACTGGATAACAACGTTTCGGACACAATTCATATTCATATCAGGTAACTCAACAACTTTCAGACAGACTCTATGTATTCCTAATTTTCTCTCCTTCTCTGTGATGACAAGGGTAGTAGAATTTTCCATATATCTGGGACAGGTGCAGCATCAGTTCGATTGCTGCATGTGTTTGGTGTTGATTCGATAAGCAAAGATTCGGCATCAATCTCTCCCTCCCTCTAACCAACTTAGTTTTCAACACTGTCGCCCTATACCACCCTACTGTGTGATTGTGTGTCATCGCATGCAGAGATATAGTCCAGCTTTTCTCTGTATTTCTAATCTGATTGGGATCTACTAATCTTGAATTAGCTAAGTTTTTGTGCTGTGTTATTCTAATCGACCCTGGTCGACTGCTTCCACCTATGCACTTGACTTCGCAATCATCGCAAGGGATCTGGCAAACCAGGTTATTGTGCTTAATTGCATTGACAGGATCTTTTAACCTACAAAGCTTGTTTCTAAGTGAGTTTGTAGGTTTGAACGCCACTTTACTCCTAGACAGCCTTATTGAGAATTCTTCGTAATGCTTCTGAGGTGCCTTACTTGTATGGTCATATAGCAGAGGCTTTGAATTCTCTCTTAACCCTATCACCCTTATTACCATTAGTAGTGGGATGATTAATAATAACACCTGTATTACTACTTTACACTACTACTACTACTACTACTACTACTACTACTACTACTACTACTACTACCACTGCTAATATTTTTCTTTGGATTTCTTATGAATTACAATGAATTCCCAATAAGATTGTCTAGGAGTAAAGTGGCATTCAAACCTACAAACTCACTTAGAAACAAGCTTTGTAGGTTAAAAGATCCTGTCAATGCAATTAAGCAAAATAACCTGGTTTGCCAGATTCTTTGCAATGATTGTGAAGTCAAGTGCATAGGTGAAAGCAGTCGACCAGGGTCGATTAGAATAACACAGCACAAAACTTAGCTAATTCAAGATTAGTAGATCCCAATCAGATTAGAAATACAGAGAAAAGCTGGACTATATCTCTGCATGCGATGACACACAATCACACAGTAGGGTGGTATAGGGCGACAGTGTTGAAAATTAAATTGGTTAGAGGGAGGGAGAGATTGATCGCCGAATCTTTGTTTATCGAATCAACACCAAACACATGCAGCAATCGAACTGATGCTGCACCTGTCCCAGATATATGGAAAATTCTACTACCCTTGTCATCACAGAGAAGGAGAGAAAATTAGGAATACATAGAGTCTGTCTGAAAGTTGTTGAGTTACCTGATATGAATATGAATTGTGTCCGAAACGTTGTTATCCAGTAAATGCTTCTGTTTCACTGTGTGATGTTTCTAATAAACATACCAAAATGGCATTCAAATCTAACTGAATTAGAGGAGAGAGGGACTATCATATTGATCATTTGACTATCTGAGATAGCAGCCGTGGTTTTGGAGACTAGTACTGATACTGGATGTTGACTCAAGGTGAAGTGAAAATTGGGACTGCGTCCAGACTCGAACCAGTGACCACTAGGTTTTCCATCCGACGCTCTACCAACTGAGCTACGAGGTCCGTCTACTGACCAGGTTTTTATTTTACTTCAATCAGAAGACCAAATGATAATAAATATGACGCCCCCCCCCCTCGCCTCTAATTCATTTACATTAGGATTGAGATAAGAAGTCCTGACTAGGCAGTCGGTCTGAATACGATCAACCGGCAGTGACGTGTCACTAATTCACATAGCAGTTAAGGACAACCTTTGGTGATTGAAGTCAAATTGAAAATCTGGTCAGTAGCCGAACCTCGTAGCTGAACATGTATAGCATCTAACCGGAAAATCAGTGGTCTCTCGTTTGAATCCGGCCCTGGTCCAGATTTTCATCTCAACTTCAATCATCACGCAGTACCAAAAGTAGTCTGCCAAAATCCGGCTATCTCAGATAGTTAAATGATAACTTAAAAGACAAGTAATCAGAAGTAGTTCATTACTGACAGACGTTTTATGACACTTGGAATATAGACTGTATGATTATAAGGATTTCTTGGAAGGCATTACCACCCACTTCATACAGTGGTATGCAGATTCATACGAAAGCAATTTCATGCAGTCCCGATGTGTATCCGGATTTCTATTATTCAAGAATTACCAGAAAATGTATAGTGAGATAGAAAGATGGCTTTATATTTTTGAGGTATAATTCTCTTCGCAACAAAAAATGAGGTTTACTTGATTTTCTAACATCTTTAATCACTGCGAATGGTCTACAAAGAATTATAATCCACCGTTTTATAGTGAATTTCTTATAGTCTGTGTCGCAGTCAGACGGAATTATGCAGTTAGTCAGTCAGTATCGATATAGGAATTGACATGACTGTCTAACACTCTAAGCAGTAGTGTTTTTCATCAGCGCAAAACAACCGCCAGGGGACAAGATGAAAGACAGAAAAATATGGAAGTAATGCCACAAAAGTTATTGAAGACGCCTCTTGCTGATGAGTGTAAATTAGCACGAAGCCAAGGTTTGACAGGTCTTCCTATCGACTGTCTAAGTGGAAGCCCATCATGATGTTAAGTTTTCTAGCCTAATAATCACATTACAAAATAATCGACAGAATTCGGTCGGGACATAGGATTCCACAAGATGAGTTTGGTTACTCTCCAACGATATTCCATTGCATCTGTTGCTTTAAGGGGAAAGAACCTGAAAATCTTTTCACAACTTTTCCAATCACTACCTTAAGAGAATAAACTAAAGAAGATCGGTACCTTTACTAGACAGAAAAAGCGAAATGGCAAACCTACCCATGTCAAGCTTAATAGCTGTTATGGATTCGAACACGCTAATGGTATATATATATATATATATATATATATATATATATATATATATATATATATATATATATATATATATATATATATATAACCTCGCCTGGTTAACTAGTTTACTAGTTACTAGCCGGTCCTAAGCCCGGGTAAAGAGGGAAGGTTGGGCATAGGGCTAGCAACCCTACCCCGTAAAACAAATCTAACCGCTAAAGAAACTTCAAAGCACAAACAAAATATAAAAAATGAAAACAAACTTATACCCCGCTGGAATCGGAGAGGCGAAATGACGCCAGTTGGTGAAAGCCTTCGGGAAGCCAATTGGCCGATGTGTCTTCTCTCGATGAAAGCGAAAGTAAACGTGGGGACATGGAATGTCCGCACGATGTTTGAACCCAGTAAGGCAGCCCAGATTGCAAAGGAGATGAGAAGGTATAACATCGAAGTGCTTGGGATTTGCGAAAGCAGATGGAATGGGAGTGGACTCTCCAAACTGTCAACTGGAGAATCAATAATCTACTCCGGTCACCCAGACGCCAACCACGAGCACACTGAGGGAGTGGCTATCATGATGTCCTCAAGAGCATCGAAGGCTCTCATGCAGTGGGAACCAATCTCCTCCAGGATCATGACAGCAAGGTTCAACTCAAAAGGAAGAAAGGTCACAATCATACAATGTTATGCACCTACAAATAATGCAGAGCAAGAGAAAAAGGAGGATTTCTACAGACAACTTCAATCAACACTGGACAAGACGTCAGTTGGCGATATCAAAATTCTAATGGGCGACATGAATGCCAAACTGGGAGGGGACAATACGGGAAGAGAACTAACCATGGGTCGAGAGGCGCTAGGTGAAATGAATGAGAATGGAGAATTGTTTGCAGAATTCTGTGCATTCAACGATTTGGTGATTGGAGGCAGTGTGTTCAGGCACAAGGATATCCACAAAGCGACATGGACTTCACCAGATGGACACACTAAAAATCAAATCGACTTTATCTCAATCTCAAGAAAATGGAGACGCAGTCTACTTAACACAAGGTCAAGAAGAGGAGCAGATGTAGGTTCAGACCACTATCTAGTGCAAGGAACCTTCCAAATCAAGTTAAAAGCCTTCAAGGAAGCTGGTGATAGACCTCAATTCAAGTACAACACTCGGAAACTGAAGGATGAAACTACAAAGGAGATCTTCAAAGCAGCCATCAAGACAAAATGGGAGACGTCGAGGGACATCCCTGAAGAAACCTGTGTGGAAGAACACTGGAAGTCTTTGAAAGCTGTGTGGAAAGAAACCTGCACAGCCGTATTAGGAAGGAAGAAGAAAGAAGACAAGGAATGGATCTCGACGGATACCTGGAAGCTGATAGAGGAGAGGAGGATGGTGAAGCAGAAGATAAACCAGTGCAAGGATGCTCAACGACAAGAGGAACTGAGCACAATGTATAAAACACTGGACAAAGAAGTGAAGAAGAGTGCACGCAAAGACAAAAGACACTTCTACGACACACTGGCAAGTGAAGCAGAACAGGCTGCAGGTAAGAGAGACCTGACGACATTGTATCAAATAACCAGGTTGCTATCAGGGAAGAGACCAACACAGATGAAACCAATAAAAGATGAAGAAGGAAATTTAATTACAAAAGAAGAGAAACAGAGGAAACGATGGGCCGACCACTTCAAGAAGCTCTTGAATCGACCACCACCTGCACTTCGTCCAGAAATACCACCTGCAGCCGCTGAATTACAAGTGAACATAAATCCCCCAACGAAAATGGAAGTCCTGAACGCCATAAAGCTACTGAAAGGTGGGAAAGCAGCAGGACCAGATGGAATACCGCCAGAAGCACTGAGAACAGATGCAGAGACAACAGCGGACATGCTCACACCACTATTGCAGAAGGTGTGGAAGGAAGAGAAGGTACCTGACGATTGGAAGAAGGGTTACCTTGTCAAACTGCCGAAGAAGGGAGACCTCAGTGCTTGCAAGAACTGGCGCGGAATCACTCTCCTGTCCACCCCAAGTAAAATATTAAGCCGCATCATCCTGGAGAGGCTTAAAGACGCACTGGATTCAAAACTGCGACCGGAACAGGCAGGCTTCAGGAAGTACAAATCATGTGCTGACCAAATTGCAACGCTTCGTATCATCATAGAACAGAGCGTAGAATGGCAATCAGCTCTATACCTCAACTTCATCGACTTTGAGAAGGCCTTTGACAGCGTCGACCGAGAAGTAATTTGGAAACTGCTTCAATACTACGGAGTACCGCAAACCTTTATCCGCCTCATTCAACAACTATATGAAGATGCCACATGCCAAGTAATCCACAATGGGAAGCTCAGTGATGCCTTTGAAGTGAAGACAGGAGTGAAACAAGGTTGCCTACTATCCCCCATGATATTCCTTATTGTGGTGGACTGGATCATGCAGCAAACAGTAGGCAGCGAGAAGAGGGGGATACACTGGACGACGGAAAAGAACCTAGAAGACTTGGATTTCGCCGATGACTTGTGCCTAATGTCACATAAACTTGAAGATCTGCAGGCAAAAACTAACAAGTTGACAGAAGAGGCAGCTAAGACGGGACTTCAGGTGAATATAGAGAAGACAGAAGTGATGAAGATACCGCACCACCACCATCAACAACAACAACAAACTCCAATCACCGTCAACGGGAGAAACTTGAAGGAAGTAACCTCCTTCACTTATCTAGGAAGCACTGTTTCAACTACAGGCGGGACGGACGAGGACGTCAAAGTCAGAATCGGAAAAGCAAGACAGGCGTTCATTAGCCTGAAACCAGTGTGGAGATCTTCTGCACTCAGCATGCGGAACAAGATACGGATTTTCAACACCAACGTCAAGTCAGTGCTCTTGTATGGCTCAGAGACTTGGCGCGCCACGAAAGGTATTTCCAATAAACTACAGACATTCATCAACAACTGCTTACGCTCGTTGCTGAAGATCAGATGGCCAGAAAAAATAAGCAACAAGGAACTCTGGGAACGAAGCAACCAAGAACCTATCACGCAACAAATATGCAGGAAGAAGTGGAGATGGATTGGGCATGCACTGAGAAGGCCGACTGAGGACATCACGCGTCAGGCCCTCGAGTGGAATCCCTATGGGAAGCGACGAGTTGGACGTCCGAGGGTGACATGGAGGAGGTCATGCGAGGAGGAAATGAGAGCTTCTGGGCTGTCGTGGAACCAGGTTCAAAAGATCTCAGAGAACAGAGGTCACTGGAGGCGTGCTACTGAAGCCCTATGTTCCACTCGGAACCCAAGGGACTAATAATAATATAATAATAATAATATATATATATATATATATATATATATATATATCCCGGAACGAATATAATACGCGCGCTTAGCTGACAGCTAACTTGATACGCAAGAGACACTGACTGCAACCCTGGGACGAATAGAGAGAGGACCGAAGCTGGCAGATGGGAGAGTGTATTACTCCCAGAATATAATATAATAACGAATCAATCCAAAACACGTGAATAAGTATATACATGAAAAATGACCTTGTGGGCAATTGGAGAAATTCGCATAGTAAGAGTAAAAGTTAACCAATCAGCAAACTATCTTACAATGGAGACAGAAATAGACTATTAGTCATACCATAAAAATAATGTAGGAATGACACGTTAAAATGTTCAGATCAATAACAATGTTTTATACAAGACTGGGGTATCACAACAGTAACTTACTCGACCTAATATAAGTATGAATTTTTCTATGAATTGCATGATTAGTAATGATGGGCAGTGGAATCCAGGATGCGCATTTCGTCCTATTTAGGACTCGTCAGCTGGATGTACCTGCCTTCCACCGGGACGCGGACTTGAGAACGATCGCTTCAAACGCCAGCCCGTTATCCACTACACCACTGCCCATCATTACTAAACATAATTAAAAGACAGGCAATATCGAGGCATCCGCATAGGAGCCCATATGCCAACAGAGACTGATCAGTTCGGTCCAATCAACGACGGTGTAATACAAGCAATAACACTAATAATTCACTTCATTCCAAACAATTTTACTGTTACGAAGTGGATACGTGAGTTCTGTTCTAACACGCGTTTCTCCATACAATATGCTCGCTAGGTGAGGTGCAGTCGAATTCTTGTACTTGACTGTATAAGTGTACAGTCTTATGTAGTTTCTTCTTGTCCTCCTTGAGGAGATACAAGAAGAGAGAGACAGTTGTGAATGAAGGGGATGCTCAGTGTCAGTTAAAATTACTGTAGCTAACTGCCTGCTACAATTTAAATGTCTACCAACCACAGTGTTAGTCAGTTGGACTAGAGGCACACCACTCATCCTGCTGACGGCTTTCAAAGACCTACGCAACATAACACAGTCCTTTTTTAGAAGACCAGAGAAGATCAATGGGGAACAATAGAGAAGAATAAATAAAATTCAGGAATTATTAGATTGTACAATTAGAGGTTGAGTTATACTAGACAGCCTCAGTTACTTTATGTAATATGTTAAACGAAAGATTCTCTTCACAGGTCAACAAGATATGAGAAGACCAATAAAGATCGGAGGTAAAACCTCATCCAAGAGAGTTAACACTCGACTTACTTTCTTCAGAAATACCACCAATCCAACAGACATCATAAGACTTATTCAGCTCATGCAAGTCTTGTTTACTCCTGAGGCTAAATTACCAATCTGACATTTAGAAGGATTTAACTTGAGACCATCTAAGAGAGACTACCGGTAAATAAGAGACAAGAATCCATTCAATTCACAGCAATCTACGGAGAGTTGACTAGAATGGACACCGTCAGTTCATCAACATACAATAAAGAGGAAAAGCAGAAAAGGATAAGGTATAGCACCTCGGAGCACAGCAGCTTCAGTAAGCAATGAAATAGAGTACCTCCTTTCATAAACAGTATACTGTTTCCTTTCAGAAGAATAAGAATACAGCCACTTTGTAACCCATGGCTCAGTATGAGCTACAAGAACCTTATTCAACTAGAGTAGTCCAGGGACAGAGTAAAAGGTTGATGAGTGATCGAAAAAGGCACAACGAACATACTTAACACGTTTGTCTAGACTAGAAAGGATATTATGATGCAATACAGTGACAGCATCTAAAGTACTTCTCCTGTGTTTATGTGTAAATAGCACGTTCGTTGAGTTTCAGGGTCATTAATTGATGACTGAAAGACTTTATCATGTTAAAGATCTTTATGAACATATCTTCGTATAATCTGTTTTTCTTTTCATCGAAATTTCTTCTCTTTTCAGTTGTAACTACAAAGGATAGTGATGTTTTCATACGAGTCGAAGGACTAGATGAGAATGGAGCTTTGTCAGCTGATAATGGAGATGATGTTGAGCTAAAATGTGTTGCAATCAGTAAGTGGTTATTACCATTATTTTCATCATTGTGGTTATTTATAAAAATCATTATATTTTATTGTTATGTATCGAGAATCAATCTACAAGAAATCCTGTACTTTGTTATTATGCATATCGTCATTCATCAACAAGGCGTATCTGCAGCTATAAGGAAACTGATATCACCTTGGTGATTTGGACGTACATCACTAAAAAACTAACTTAGACAAGTGACATTAGATGTAGTTCGTATTTATGTGTAAGTTACAGCGTGGTTGAAATAAAATAATTCCAGTATTTCCTATAGAAAGTTGGTCCAAGCTTCTTCAGAGAAATAATCAAACACTAAATTGAAAAAAATGTGCAAAATGAATTCAATGACATGTACTTAGTCTTATTAACCAATCTTTTCAACATATTCAGATATCTCTGATATTTTAAGTTTTGATTATTTTCCTGAAGGAGTTCGAAGCAGACTTCTGAACGTACACTGTTACTTACAGACAGATGCAAACTACATCTACTGTCAACCTTATAATCAACTCCTAATACTTGCGATACTTTTCAGTTAAATCTTGATGATGGTTTATATAAATTAATCGAGTAACTTTAAGGGTTGTCTCTATAGCTAGTGAAATCGGTAATTAGTTGAGTAGATAGTTTGGTTGTTGCCTGGTTACTAAGGCCGCTCTTACTGTCACTTAAGTTAACCATTACGGTATTCAGGTCAACAATAACCCCATGTAGAACATATTTCAATGATTATGAAGAAAGTAAGAGAGTTAAATATGGTCCTATATGAAACCATAGTTGTCTGTCTTTGGTGTATCGTATTCTAAAATCAACTCTAATGGTCGAAAGTCTTAAACTGGAGTTTCGCAGTTATTTGTATCCAAACACTTTGAAACAAGAGTCATTTTAATATTTATTAGGAAGTTAAGTACCATTTAATGAAGAGGATGTAAAATGCGTTTACAATTATATTAGTAAGAAGTTGACCAGTATGATCAAGGTTTCATATGAAGAAATCATTTTATGTATGGTAATGAGGGATAGTGGATAGCAGTGGGATCCAACGCGCACAATTCGTCCTATTCGACACTTATTCAGCCAAATGCACCCACCTTCCAGTCAACGATGTTGCTCTCATTAAGATTCCAACAGACGAGCAAACCCGTTACCCCCTGGGCTACTAAGTTATGATAGTTACTCCATTTGCGGTGGGTATAACTTTCATGTTATTGCTTATAATTGCTCATTATCGACTGGATTGAACTGATCGTTCTCCATTAGAGTATAAAAACGCCTGCGAGGATGTTTCGTCACTGCCTGTAATTTCGCATTAACTAGTCCTGAATAGAACGGAATGTGGATTTTAGATTCCGCTGCAAGCCACTATCTCATCATTACCACCAAACTGGAACTACAAGCACTATCGAGCTGTCCACCTGGGGGGGACCCAAATGCCTATAAAGACTAATCACTCCCTCTGTATATTTCTTCTGATTATTCAGCGGTCATTATAGAATGTTGATTGACTCTTCAGTCCCAATAGATACGATATTGTGTAGTTGAGTGATATTTACCCACAAAATGCAATTACTGATTGATTGATTATATTCAGGTTGTGATGACTGAAGGTGAAATGAAAATATGGACCACAGGCAGATTCGAATCAGCAACCACCGCTTTCCTGACTCGATGTCCTACCAACTAAGCTACAAGGTTCGACTACTGACCAGATTTTTAATTTCACGCCTCCACTGCACTTTCTTCTCTGCAGCCTTATAAAACTCGCCCACCACTACCTCACATCATCTCCTCCATGTCATACGTGGCACCAACTCTAAACTCGTCGTTTCCCCTTTAGATTTCACTCGAAGGACTGGCTGACCTGACGAATGATGTCCCCAATCGGCCTTCTCAGTGTATGCTCAATCCAATCCAATTCATCTCCACTTTCTTCTTCCGCTTATTTGTTGGGCGACACCTTGGTTGGTTCGTTGCCAGAGTTCCTTGTCACTTATTCTCATTATTCTGGCCAACTGATCTTCGGTGTCAGTATCGAGCCAGCATAAGGCGGCTATTGATGAATACTTTATGCAGTTGAAGTGCCTTTTGGTACCAAGTAAAAACATTTGTTAACCGGATTCAGAGAGCACAGCCCACTATCGTAGACGTAAACTCATTTCAGTTAGTCAGGCCTATATATGAAGTTGTATTCAGGGTTACTTTAAATCAAAGTCAACAATACACAATCTTTTGTACAAATTTTTTTGAAAAAAACTGATAAAAACATCTTGTAGAATAAAATGAGACAATCTCCCTTTATATATTCTCTCTACATACAATAACTGAAGATTAGGATAACGAAGGTTTTATAAGTTATTAGGCAAAGATGAAATCTGCAGTCTATGTGATGACGTAGCCATGGTCTGGCAGACTAGTATTGATACTAGGTGGTGAGTGACGCGAAATGAAACTATGAACGGTGGTGGGGTTCGAACCGGAGACCACCAGGTTCCAATCATCACCCAGTATCAAAACTAGTCTGCCAAATTCAGAGCTGCTATCTCAACTAGTCAATATGATTATCGATACTATGCTCCTACTCTCTAATTCAATTACATTTCGACTGGGGTGGGAAGTTGTGACTAGGCAGCCAATTTCAGCACGATCAAGGGATAGTAACGCGTCTTGATTTCACATGTCAGTCAGGCCAAACGCTTGATGGTTGAAGTGAAATAAGAATGGATTCAGTAGTCGGACCACGTAGCTCAGTTGGTAGAGAACCGGACCGGAAACCTGGTGGTCGCTGATTGGAATCCCACTGCAGTTCAAATTTTCATTTCACCTTCAATCATCATCCAGTAATTACGGTACTACTTATAAGAGGTGAGAGAAGAAATTAAATAATGGCAATAATTTGTCATTCTGTAGGCTGATGAAAATGTGAGTAAATGTTTCGCAGACATAATGCGGGCAAAAGAAGGCTATTAACTATCTCCTTTTATCAGCGGATACTGGATCTGATTCTATCAACTAAACTAGCTTCCAAGAATGAAAGGGGTTCGATGTTATCTGATAATAAGCAGAATATATCATTCAAAAATGCTTGTCATAAGTTTACATAACGATGAAGTTTGCCACTTCTATCAAGAGGTAGTCAGCAACAGTATGGGGTTTGGAATTACTGCTATATTTCATGTCAGTAAATCACGATAGGAGGTGCAAAGATGAAAGAAGGAAGTGATAAGAGGTGGTAGAAAGTCATGGAAGTAGAACAAAAGCGAATGGAACAACAATGAAATTTGATATGATAATTAAGGTGATATGTGTGGATGTATCTGTATCATGAAGGTTGATTTTGAGTTACGTCCACCTAGAATCTCCATCAATGCGTTCGGTGGTCACGTGGAGGAAACCAAAAAGTTTATATCACCTCATACTTGACTGAAACCACCATTTAAAGACTTTATGAACTGATGCCATTATTCACTATGATCACCTCTAACGTTTTTCCAGAGTAAACCTATTTCAGCTGACATTCGACGACAGGACAAATGATGACTATGCGTACGTAAAATGTATTGCAGCCACTTCAAACGATGAAGGTTGGCGACCTCATCAGTTGACTTTCCTGTGACCCATAAAATTCCACATTACTGATGTGGTAACGTCACGATACAGCCAATGTTACGGAAGAAGCGGTAGCCGAACATGTGAATACTTCTCATGTTCACTACCTTCAGTGACCAGTCATAATAGAGCACAGCTAACTGTAACATAGTACATTCAGTCCTAAACAGAAAATCGAATGTGACATCGGGGCCATTAATAACGTAAGGTGGCAGAAAGCGGACGAGATTTTCAGGAATATGCAGAGACTTCATCGATCACAGGTCCACATCGTCTGATTTGAAATCCCAAGTGAGGTAGTCAAACAGCTCAATAATTTTGTCTTCTGATGTTAGACAATATACAAACGGAGACCAGTCCTGGACTAATAAGTTGCAGATGAATAGTGAGAAACACTTCACAGACATTCTTAATTTTCCATCTAAGGTGTTAAGAAGACTGCCTTTTCAATCTCTTCACCTAAGAACAAAGATGTCATCTGTTTACTGTTGAAAAACTAAAGAGTCTTATTTGACAAGATGAACTCGGACAAGCAGAAAGGAACCTGTATAACCGCATCTATGACCAAATTAATTAATAATGAAGAGCGTGGACAGCCTTGAAAGACACCACTCTACACACAACTAATTGGGAATTTACTAGCACGTCACTATTTCACTCTAGCCCCTGCAGTCTTTCCCACCTAGCTCAACCAATGCCCACAAACTTTCATTTCTTCCTCACACCATCAACTCCGTGTCACCTTACGACGCCAAACTCGTCCTTCTCCACTTAGGTTCCATTCGACAGCCTGGTCTGGCGTGACGCGTGATATCCCCGAATGGTTTTCTCAGTGTATGTCAAATCAAACCCGTCTTCATGCTCTTCCACTGCATATTTGTTGAGCTATAGGTTGTTGGTTGGTTGGTTCATTGCCAGCCATCCAGAGTTTCTTGTTGCTTATTCCTATTATTCTGGCCATCTGATCTTCAGCACTGAGTGAGCATAGGCGGCAGCTGTTCATGTGATGTATGCTTGCAGTTTGTTGGAAATGCTTTTCGTAACGTGTCAAGTCTCTCAACCATGACATAGAAGCACTGACTTACTTGACTGAATTAGTGTTGAAAATCTGGACGTTGCTCATACTTTATGCTGAGTGAAATGGAGTGAAGTGCATCACAGTGCAGTAGATCTCCAGACTGATTATTTCAGATTAATGAAGGAAGGCTTGTCTTGCTGTCTTTCCGATACTGGTTTTGACATCCTGATCTGTGTAGCCGCCTTTAGTTGAAATGATGCTGCCTAGGTAGGTGAACACAACTAATACTATACCTCACTATCGGCTGTAACACACCTAAAAATATTCGAATACTGAGTCCACAATAGGGTGGCCAACATATGTGCCATCAATTTCAGTAACAGACACTGAACTCAAATCATTTATATGTCATCAAATGAGCTTTTGCTCAACGCTTTGAAGGTTGAATAATCAACATTCTTTGACCACACTATGAGCTGCTTTGACTACGTCATAAAAGTCAGTCAGAGTTGCCTATCTTCAACTCCTAAATAAATTTAAATCTGTACAGTAACCTTCAACAAAGAAGTCAATTTATAAAGTACTCAGTCAGATCTGAATCTCTTCAGCTCATTACCACAAGCAATAGGATGTGTGTGTTATTGACAAAACTCAAATAAGAATGAAAGTTTCTTTGAGCATTAAATATATCTTTAGTTTGTAATCGATTCTGGCTAAAATGCTCAATCATTTCTTGTCTTTAGATCAAACTACCAATGAACCAATTACTCAGGAATCATCATCAAAGGATGTTGAAATCAATTATGGATTAGAAGTAATACGTTTAAGTAAATTGCCGGCTTCTTCATCAGAGTTATCTAAGTCTATAACTGTGAATCCTCAAACCGGTGAAATAAAACTGACTGGTCTACACAGTCAAGCAGATAATCAAGATATTAGAAAGCGTATTCAAAGTCGGTGTATAGCTGAGATCAAGTATAAATCAGATGAAGATCAAGATGTACAACGTTATGCTAGTCCATATTTCCTGGTCAATGTGCCGAAAGATATTGAAGCCCTACCTGATTATGTGGATGGTGAGTTAAGCATACAGCAGGACAATTTACATAAGAGATTTCGATTATTATTATATTCTTTGTCACTTGAGTTCCTAGTGGAACATACGGTTTCAGTAACACGTCTCCATTCCACTCTCTTCTCTGAAATCTTTTGGACCTGGCTCCACGACAGCCCAGAAGCTCTAATTTCCTCCTCGCACGATCTCCTCCACGTCACCCTTGCATCGGACGCCCAACTCATAGCTTCCCATCTGGGTTCCACTAGACAACCTGACCTGATGAGTAATATCCCCGAACGGTCTTCTCAGTGTATGCCCAATCCATCTCCATAGAGATTTCGGTGGTGTTCTGTTTTCTAAGCTAGACTACTTTATAGTGAAGCTTTCATTAGCCTTCTAGACAACATCATCAGCACAAAATTCGAAAAGAAATGAGCTACGAAAATAGCTTGGTAGCTAGTCTTGTTGACCACCGATGTGACTGCACATGTTTTTTGACTGTCTATCTGGCTGACCCAAACTTTCACCCTTTTGCACTTCTTAGCTCCACATTTGCCGATAAGACTGAGTCAACGCTAATGTGGCTCTAATAATCATTAACTGATCTAAGTACTAATCTACGAAGTGTTCTTTATATTTTATGTATTTCCTCTTCACAAGATTTCTACATTTTCCTAGTCGAATTCATGTCCAAAGTTGTCTGGATGCATCGATATGAACGAAGATATCGTGATGTTTAACTGTAAGTTGGTATTTGTGTAGATGAACCTGAAGAGGACGGTCGATCTGTTGGATATAGTGTTTTCCAAAGGTTTCTGCAGCTTATTTCGTTGGTAATATTGAGCTTGTGTCCCTTTGCTATGCTGCTTGGTCACTATGGCACGAAGTCAATAGGTTTAGTGAGCCTATGAACATCGATTCACGAAGACTTCAGTAATCCACTTACAATCTCCTAAGCTTTCTTCATATACGATAGGATGACCTTTTCGTTGGTGCTCAAGGATGATGTATTGATTGATTGGTGAAAATATCAAAAAACATCTTACAGTGAAACCATGCGGATACTCATTTCTCCAACAAACAGAGATTAGATAATTTCCTAGTTTTCTTCGTAAGCTTACTGCATGAAAATGTGTTATGGCTCTTTAAAACGCTATTTTTATATAACTGACTCGGCGTGTTGTTAAATTGTTGCTTGTGCAGTTTACGATTTGATCAGTGTATACTGATTTTCTTGAACACTTGAACTTCCATCTTTTTCAAACCCTTTTCCAGTGATCGGAACATCTAAAAATGGAAGTGTGCTGTTCACTTCTTCTTTTGTCGTAAAGTAAACTTTGTCGATTAATTTGATTGACTAGTAAGTTCGATAAGATGGCAGTTTTCAGTCTTTGCAGTATTATTTCTACAATCAATAGGGATATAAGAGATCCCATTGGGTTCCTTTTATCTTTATAGATTGCAGAAGCATATTTTAAGAAACAAATCAGCTAGTTCTATTTAACCTGAACATTGTAGCTGTGAGCCCTCCAAGAGATGCGTATAATTGATTTGATGAACATTCATTTAGCTCGTTTAGGTTCTGCTGAACGGTATAGAGCTATGCAGTCGAGGAACAATAACACTTCACCTTTCTTAGTATGAATATTTTCCATGTTCTCCTAACTATTCAGCTCAGAGGAAAAAGCATCACCAAAATCATCTCCCTCAGCTGATTGTTTTCTACACTTTGTAAGCATTTTAATAGCATAGTAAACTGATGGCTATAGAAGATTGGTATATTCTTATTGTATATTCAGCTTATTGAATTGACTGGTATAATCGGTATGTATTTTGAAACCATTGATGACTGCACCATGATAATGAAATGGTGATGCTTAGAATTATAACTGAAAGCCATAATATTAAAACCTTAAAAGAACAGTGATGTGTATTCCCGGTGTTAGGACCAGTAGTTGGTAAGTTCTCCTCTAACCTGTACGACTGTTGTTAAAGGGGGATGAACATAAGAGTCTGCGTAAGTTTGATGGCCCAACTAACCAGTAAGGGAATCTGAGAAAGAAAATTGAAAGAGGTTATTGTAAGCTGGCAACTCAACAAGCACAGGGAATGGACTTAGGTTTAATAGTCAAAGAAAATCCAAAAATGTTTTTCGTTATCGATGACAAAATAAGGCAATCTGGATGTCAAAACCTAAAGGTGGATAAGTGCACTTCCACCATGTTAAAACCGTCATTTTACTCAATAGTGTTCTATAATTAAGCATTGGTGACAATGCTGATTGTCATGAGATTTGAGGACGTTTCATCGACTAGCCAAGCAGAGAGATTTAAGCAATGTAGAACTTATCACTTTTCTATATCACTGCATAAAAGAACACTTTTAAAGAGTCCAGGAGAGAAAAGGTCAGTAAGACGGAAGTCGGAAAATGTGGATGACTGGAGATCGATCCAGTGGCTAGACGCTAATGTGTTCATTATAGAATCTGAAAACTAATCGGTTTGATCTCTGATCGAGTCATGGATGCACAAGGCTGAGGAGTCCCATACAGGGACGAAACAGCAATCCAGTGCTTCCAGGTTTCTAATGTTCCTCCAACTGGTCTCAGTCCATTATGAGTACAACCTCATTAATAAAATCCTCATTAACCTCAAAGTACATTACTGTAAAGTGCTCACTAGCCACATGCTTCCAGATTGATATCCCGAAGTTCCAACGAGAAGCTGTGACCTGTGGAGTCAACTAGTTGGAAGAGAAGGGGATACCAACTGAAGATTTTTGATGACAGTCACGCTACACGGTGAGTTGACAGAAGTAGGAAACCATGGTTCATCGAGTTTCGACTGGGTCGGTGAATGGTTAACGTGCTCACCATGAAACCTAAACGTCCTAAGTTCAGTCCGTGGTGAAGTGAGGCCATGAGTGTGTGCTGTTGAGGAGTCCCATAGACGAAACAGCTAACCAGTACTCCTAGATGACTTTATAGACGATGATTTCAAGGTAGTTTTCTTCACATTTTACCTATCTACAACCTGATGTTACCGGACTCGAGTTATCGCAGTGTTGTTAATGTATACTGCTGGAAAGTGATAAAACGAGATGAAACAGACGTCAAGCACTTCTAGGCCTTGGCTTTTTCTTCAACTGATGTCAATCTATGATAGAAATCAATGAGAAATTATTACCTTTACTTCGTGTTGGATGCCAAAAGTTATGATAAATGTCTACAGTTGAATGCGACTATGCTTACTTCTTTTCTCAAAGTAACTGAGGCTTCAAGAATTAAGCTATCTAGTCTCAGCTCATTGGGTAAGTGGTTACGGAATTGTTGTGCTCTCGTTATATGGTGTTTTCTATATCATTTTGGATTTAGAGTCTGTACAGCTAATACATTACATGCTGCGGCAAAACGTTCTCATAGTACTCTTCATTTTCTGGCAGAAACATCTTAACCTTTATTGTATTATTATTAATTATTAACGCTTCTTTTATGTGTTTCAATTCCTTTTTTAAGTCCTTACAATGACTAGTGAGTTTCTCAGCTCTGTTATTTAGACATTTGACTAAACCCACTTTAACTGACACTGGATGAGATGACTTGAAGTCTAGATACCTTTTGGAATGTGTTGGTTTTCTGTAGACAGTGGTATCTAAACCACCATCTATCCTTCGTTTTATTCTGCAATCCAATACAGGTAATTCTCATTGTTCATTTCCTACCTCCTCGTAAGTGAATTGGATTGCGTTAACTGCTGAGTTTATATGTGTCAAGAAACTGTCGATATGTTCCGATTTCAACACTGTAAATGTGTCATCCACATATCGCCACCATATCTTAGGTGTCGGATTATATGTTCGTAAAGCCATATCTTCCCAACTATCCATAAATATATCTGCTACTATAGGGGATATTGGTGATCCCATTGCTACTCCTTCTGTTTGTCTATAATCTTTCCCTGAAACTTGAAGACTGTCGAGGTCAAGCATAACTGCACTCCTAACATGATTTCATCAAGCGATGCCTTGGTTCTTTGAGTAAGTTGTGAGTCAGTATCTAGTTGATTTCTGACTGCCTCCAGTGCCATATTCATTGGTATTTTAGTATAAAGACTTGTTACATCAAAACTAACCATTTTTTCATTCTCTTCTATGTGCAGGTCATTAAGTTTTTGTTTCAACTCGTAAGAATTTACTAGTCTAGAGTTGGAACGGTCTCTAATAGGACGTAATACTGATGCTAAATACTTTGATATTTCATATGTTGGTGTGTTCCGGAAGCCAACTATCGGTCGAATGGGATAATCTGGTTTATGAACCTTAATAGTACCGTAAATTCTGCTAGGATTATTAGTTTTTGGCATTAAAGTAAACCATTGTGACTTACCTAGAGATGGCTTCAGTCGGCGTATCAGATCTGTTGTAGATTTCTTAATTTTATTCATGGCAGTGTCTATAGGTTTCTTAATCTCTTCATATGGCCCTGTTTGGATATGTTCAATCATTTTTTTAAGATAATCCGATTTGTCCATAACTACTGTTGAGTTACCTTTGTCAGATTTAGCAATTACTATACTATTATCCTTTCGTAGATTGTTTAAAGCTGAATTTTCCAGTTTCGTTAAGTTTCGCTGTGTCTTCTTTTGTTTTTTAAGTGCTAATGCACACTGCGCTCTAACCTGTTCAGCAGTTGTCACATCCATCGAGCTTAATGCTACTTCTATGCAAGGTATGACATCTTCTGGTTTTAGATGATCTACTGTTATGTTGAAGTTTAGTCCTTTTTCAAGTACTTTCACCTCAGCTGAGCTTAAGGCTTTCGAGGAGAGATTGACTACCCACTTTGTTCTATCGATGTTCGATGATGTTTCCTTTGTAATTTCATTGTTTTCCGAAGCATATTTTTCTTGCATTAGTTTATTGAACTTTTTGATTTGATTGCTTCTAGATTTCTTGAAAGTAGCTATCAAGATTAGCTACTTTATTGTATTAATTCTTCGAAATCATTCTAAATGAGTGACAAGTCAGTAAATGACCTACAGATCCCACCCTCAATTTGGATTCAACAACGTATACTGAGTAAAGTTGAAAGAACTGAGTTATCAAGTTCTAACTCAGTCTCTGGACTGTAATGCTCTGAGTCGCATTTAGTACGTAGTCAGGATCGCTAAGTAGTTCCGTCCTGAAATGAAACAGCCATAGACTACAACCTTATCTTCACTTTCTTTATACGATATCAGGATGAGGTGTATATTCGTGTATTTGATTCAAATAATACAACTGTGTGTGTGTGCGCATGTAGTTTCAGGCACTAGACGACTAGTCTCACTTATTATGTAAGATATACAATACTAACTGATTGCCTAAACTTCAACAGATTGGCAAACAGAGTGGGATTTTAATCTTGAGACTAAATATTTGACAGTTGAGTGGTTGAACTAGTAAAGCCAGATAAACAGTAGATCATTCATTTTTATTTCATGTTATCATAATGATAATCAATCATAATTTATTATCATTGTACAATTCTCTCCTTTTAATTACAGTATCACGTTCAAGGTATGAAATAACAGTCAGTGGATTAAACAATTACGGTGTATTGAAAGTGAAACCAGGGCAAAATATTCAATTAAAGTGTATTATTCGAGGTAATAAATTTATTTATACAGAAAATAAAAAATTAATAATGATTATCCAACTAACTTACTCAATAGTTTAGAAATAGTATTCATCATGGACTGACATCAGTTGGGGAATCACTGAAAATATGGGAGCACTGGACAGCTGTTCCGTCCCAGTATGGGACTCCTCAGTGGTATGCACCCATCATCCGGCTACGGATCGAACTCAGAACCTTCGAGTTTCACGGTCAATAGTAGACTGTTTTAGCCATCATGACCGTATACTTTTTCATAGAGGATTCTATGTTTCGATTTCAGTAGTATAAGTAAACTAGAGCGTAATTAGTATGTGTATGTATTCTTAACTTCTCCTTATGTATAATATTCATAATTTTCCATCAGAATTTTGATTCCCGTCCTGTTTTAACTGTAACCAGAGACTAAAAGTTTTTTAATACAGCTAATTTTGTAGTATTCTTCACGTATGATGAATTCATCCTATGAGTAATGTCGAGGTTAGGCGAAAAGCTCTTGGCAACGACAGCAATTCATTCAATGAGGTTGTGAAGCTTCACTGACTGAAGTAGCTTTGTTATGTGTTACCAATGCTAAGCCATGTTCTACTTTGACATGAAATACACGGAGTTAGGTTAGGTTGAAGAAGGTTCTATGTGGTCAAAACAAGAATTGGTACAAGCCAATTAAGTCTCTGACTGTCGGTGTCATCCGTGTAAAAAGGCTTGGACTATGTGGCTGGGGTCCCTGAAATAATAGAAATCAGTAATTGTCAACTGTTGGTGATATAGAGAGCAGATATATTCACACTTTTTTGAAAGTTGATCATTTTCACTAACTTTCATAAGAGGTGGCTATCATGACCTAATGGTTTAGTGAATAACGCCCTAGCGTCTGAATCCATTAATTACGGGATCGAGTCTTAGTAGGAATATCATCATTCTTTGGAAGGCAGTTGGATTTAGTTGATGAGTGCAGAGGTGTACAAAACCCTAGTCTTGCATCCCACTGCTAGCCAATATCCACTAGTGATATGGTTACTTGAGGTTTCAAGTCCTGCGATAAATTAACTTTACACATAATAATCACCAAAAACTGTATTACCACTTGATGAAAAATATGTACTTGCTTAAATTTTGAACTTATCAGTTACGGATAGAAAAAATTACTCATGGTTAAAGAATAGGATCGGCATTTCATGACTGTTCCAGTATTTGTAAGTCTACAAATAAGAATAACTAAAGAGGATAAATTGCACATTGTAGTCATGTTAGTCAATTAGAAATAAGCTTTGTAGGTTAAATGATCCTACTTATCCAATTAAGCAAACTAACTTGGTTGACGAAATCAGTTGCAACAATTACAAGGTAGAATACATAGGTCAAAGTAGTCGACCAGGGCCAATTAGGCTATCTGAGCACAAAGGTGTAGCCAGATCAAGATTTGTAGATCCTAGTAAGGTAAAGAATTTAGAGAAAAGCTAAGCCACAGCTATGCATGCGATTACATACAACCACACAAAAGGATGTGACAATGTGAAAATCCTTCAAACTAACACTGGAGATTAGAGGGAGAGATTGATAACTGAATCTTTGTTTATCGAATCAACACTTAACACATGCACTAACAGGAATGACTCAGTATCTATTCCGGATATATGGAAAATCTTACCACCCATGTTACAAAGCGGTGAGGAAATTAGGCCTATATTAAGGATATCTCAACGTTGTGTAGTTATCTTGATATGACTGTGACGACAATAAATTATGTCCGAAACGTAATCCAGTAAATAATACTATTCTTTCACTATGTGATAAATTTAATAAATCATTAAAAATGGGCGTTGTAGAACATGATCTTGAGGAAGTCTAAAGACTTTACCCTTGATGAAACAATCAGAATTCTATCACAGATATATGGAGAGTAATCATCCCTTTTTCAGGTTACATAAGTGTTTAAAGATTATGATTACATCAAACATGTTTACATTATCAAGGAGATATGTGTACACTCTTATGAGGAATTTATTTTAATCTAGTTTCACTTATGTTTTTTTTATATTTCACTCTCTTAATGATTTTAGCTCACTGAAATGATTTCATTCTGGTTGGATCTTTGTCAGTGAAGAGTACTGAGAATTAGACAACTGATTTGAACAGACTAATAGCAAAACATTTGACTTTAATGATGAGTGGATTGTAATCACAAAGGGAACTGTAGTTTCCTCATAATCGCAGATATGCCCTTGTTGATGAATGCTGACATGCAAGAGATCTAAGTTTAAGGGTTCCCTATGTTTCACTTCAATATCTAACATAACAAAGTTGTAGTAATCTTTACTAACTTTGTTGAAGAAAAAAATCGGTTTCACAAATGGTATTCTAATGACTTTCTTACTTGTCAGTATGCTTTAATACTTCGCATTGTGGATACCTTCCATGAGGAAATCTAGACAGTAGAAAGTCATCGTAGTTTTTGAGGGAACCATTTACATTAAATACGGATAAAAGTTGAATTTCAAACCATATCGTAAACGTTTTATGACCCGACCGATAGCTGGTGGTGGTCGGGCTTGCATATCACAGTGACTCAATGAGCTATGCGGGTGGAGCACTTGTTCCCTCGAGTTCCTACCATACCAGAAAGGTCTGTTTGATAGTGGTTAGATGAAAAGCAGTTACCGTTGTAGTGTAAATTGCTACACTATGATGGGGGTCTGAGGACGAAGTCGTACTGCTGATAGCTGGATAGGGTGTGACAGCAGTAAGGTGTTTCCCTTGGATGATCAGCAGTACCATGCTTATGCTGCGTTCTCAGTGGAAGGGGGGTGGTTAGAAAAGGTTGGCCCCAAAAATAACACACTCCAACATGCCTCATGGTCTACCGGGCCGGCGGTGTTGGTTCATTTATCGTTTCCTTTCGATCATCCGGCCCCAAAAATACAAAAGTTCAAAACAGTCATAGTCAAAAGGCTTTGTGTGACAGGTCTCAAGCAGATGTCCGATGGGCTCTGCGGTCACACAAATCTCTTTCAAGTACCTTAAGAAGAAATAGCCTTCCACTCTGTGGGCAGCCGAGAAGTGTCAATCGCCCTGACAACTCTATCCACTCTAGACGTTTTATGAAGTTGAAGACAAATTAGGTAATTTTTCGTTTCACATAGAGAGGTGATACAAAATGTGGTAGGGGGATTGGGAGTAAACTTTAAATCTGATAATGTGACTTGCTGATTCCAATCTCCTATCCTAACATCCAATCTCATAGCAACCTCTGATTCCTTTATATTTACACATCTTTTCATTCAACACGTCCATCACTACTAAGCTTTTCCAACGATGACTATCTCCGGAAGTGATGTAAATATATTGATTGCTCACGGGAGTGCAACCAACTTCATGTTGTCTAGTCCTGAGTTCAGACCGAATTCTATCGATCATATTTGCAATGTGGCAATCAAGCTAGGAAGCTCAGCATCATGGTGCACATTAGCAGATGTTATTTGAGTGGGTGATTATGTGGTAGGCATTGTTAAGTTGTTTATTTCTTCACGCTATTCAAACTATACCAACTGGACTGAATTTCTTCTTGTTTACCCTGTCCAATGTTCATAGATAAAGAAACGGATACACTTATGGATACATTGACCCCAACTCAGTTTATTGGATGGCAGTTTCCTGCACTACCAAGTGGTTATCAAGTGAATATGGGTGATTTTGCTAGACGATCAAAAATTGAAGGGAATGAATTGCACTTGGAAGATATACGTGATGATTTTCCAGATAATCTACAAGGTCGTTGTTGGTTTGATGATGGTTTCATGTATTACTATTCATCATTCTTCCCAATTGTTTCACCAAATACTCGTAAGTAGTCAATGTTTTGGGTTGATAAGACAGGTATGTAATTTACTTATTTCCCCTAATTATAAGATCAAGCTTACTTTCTGATGAAATTCGTTTTATATTATGTAACTGACATCTTAACTGTGTTGGATTCAAGTAGTTCATGTTGTCATGCGTATTTCCATCTTCTCTCCATGAATGAATACAACCATGTCCCAGTAGATAGACAACACTAGAGTATAGTTTACATTTTTAATCTCATTTTCTACAGAAATAATTTAGCTTGAGGTACACGAGGGTATCATCTATTTCAAGGTAGTATTCATCTCGAAGTGTTATCGGTTGAAGAAACACTAAAAGGCTAAAAGCTGTGGACAGTAGTCTTTTCCTAGTATGGGATTACTTTGAAGTAAGCACCCGCAACCTCATTAGCGATCTAACTTAGGACCTTCAAGTCTTACGGTGAATTTGTAAGCAATTCAGCAACTGGTTCAGACTTTAATGGTCGAAAAGTTCCTACTTCTGAAACAACTATGTCCTACTTAATTGCCGTCATTCGATTGACTGAAAGTATGCCGACAACTTTAGGTGAATACAAATACCTCATTGAACGAAGACAGTAGTTATAGTGTGTTGTCAATGCCTAAAGATGGCTGCTGTTGTGCTTAAACAACAGAACACATATATTAAGCGACGTTCAATATTGGTCTATTTTTATTCACCACATATTGACAAAATTTTGATCTTTACGACAGTCATCGTCGACAATTGTCAACGCCTTTGAACCCCCTGATCTTCGTAAAGTTGAGACAGTATTCCGATTCTTCACCTCCTTATAACACTAGAAAACAATTAAAAGATTACCTGAACTGATGAATGAGTAGTATCTCGTTTTGAAAATATGAATCCGTTACCTGAAAGCAAGTAAATGACTGTAATATCTACCATATTCCAACGAGAAAGCCTTGAGAGAAAACATTTACTCAGAGAGTCAACTTCTTTTCTGTAGTTCTAATATTCGTACAGATAATAATGTAAAGCGCATCAATATATATCAGGTGAAGTATCGCTGTCATATAAGTGATTTTGTAAAGCGTAATATCTTCCGTCACAATATAGAGGGAAGGCAAATAGAAGTTGACGAAGAACCTGGAATGCAGTTGCGAGAGGAAAAAAGTAACATTAAAGTAGATAAGTATGCTCGAGAGAAGACTGAATAACTAAATATAGGCCAATGAACGATGTTCAGATCTCGAAGATGATGAAGATCATATAATCTTGTCACTGTGTTTGATTTTGAGCTGTAACATTAAGAGTCTCCAACCATCTCAAGAACCCAGCCGAGATAGCCTAGATCTCTCAGTCCGACACTTCATGAAATGACATAATGATTTGATCTGGAAACCTCTGAAATACTTGCAAACTAATCCTACTTCGGTCAACGTTGTGCAAAATATGTCCAGTAGATGTTTACAGTCTCACTGACTTTCCTGTCTTCCTTGCATAACTATTCTACACCACAGATGAGCTACTCTACCAGGACTCCTATGGTCAAAAATTGTAGCCTGTTCATGTTTTGTACATTTGTAAGCTACCGACATTTTGTAAAGTTTCGTCCTGTAATGTCTTAAAGGTCTCCATAAATAAAGTCTCATTAATAAGTCCACTGTTACGTCGTCTCAGTAGTGCTATGTTATTTTGTTTGATGGATCTCTGACAGCCCATGTCGTACCAGGTTTGTTTTTCAAAATAAATGTACCTTTATAGCTTCTATTAGGGAAGTTAAGCCTATCACTATCCTCAGATGACAAGAGTATTGTCACAAATATTAGATGGTAAAAGTGAATGTCAGTCGCTTGTCATAGGATTGATGGATACTGGCGGTTTAGATAGAAGAGTTTAAAAACTCGAATTCTAGAACGATTCTGCTAACAAGACTGCAGATTTAGATTATACAGATGGAATACAAAAGTACTGTGGTCTCTATCAACCATGAGAACACAGCACCTATCTCTCCCAGCTGCTTAGGGATCACATTTCACTCCAAAGGTACGGGAAGTGGTTCCTTAAGACAACTATATGATTTGGCCTAAGTGTCCGGAAAATATGATAGTGTCGTAATAAACACAGAACATTTTTTGACGCCATATTCGTGGTTTACGTGGACAAGTGATTCAGAAATGGATAACTTTTTCATTGTTAAAGAGTACTCTTTGGTTGCAGACAAGTATACTAGTTTAAATTATAAACTAGAAGCTTCGTGTACCTGATGGATGATATGGGTTACAGCTTATGACGGGCAGTTGGATAAGGATTAACCTTTACTGATCTACAGTGCTATGAATGTGACAATAGCTGACAACTGTGAAGACACTTTTCCCTGGAATCTCAAGAGAACTAATAGGCGTCGCAAATAATCTTACTGCCTACTAAACTGATTTATTCAGAAATTACTTCAAAATTACTTCTTGTATACCTTTCTATTTTATTTATTAGTAAATGATGGTCGTGTCAGGGTGGAAGTTCAAGAAACTGGAACAAGAGATGAACGAAAATACTTATGCACAGCTTATGGTAAGTCTTAGGAATACTCCTAATTTCAGTAGAAAAGTATTCAAGATAGTTCTCATCATGAATTATTAAAATCATTTTAAAGTCACTGGAACCTAATGAGCACTGCAGATCTGTTTCATTTTAGTATGAAGGTTTTAGAGCCGTTCGCAGTCACGACTCCGCAGGGGACCCTCAGATCTCGCTGTGAGGACTTTTTAGTCAGATACTAGAAGGGAATATCATAGTCCATATTGTCCAATCGGTGTCCATTCGCGATGCAGCACGATCATTATTCAATATCATCAGTAAGTATCCACTTCCCCGCCGGCTTGGTTGACCACACAGTCTCCCAGCGTCTCATTAGAACTTTGGCAAAGGCATCTCGAAGTATGTTATGAACTAGTAGTGGAAGTGATATCGGTTTGTAATGAAAACTAAATTTACACCATCTAATTTTTAAAAAGGATGTACATCAACTGCAGAGTTGCTGAAATCTAAACCATTGAAAAGTCCCAAACATGATAGAATGAAGCCATGAAGTGAACCACAGTTATCTGTTATTGTTTCATTAAATCAATGTCAGATCTGTGATATCATCTATCAAAGAGTTTGTTAGTTCCAAACTATGAGAAGTGTCGTCAAGTAAAATTTCATTTTCCAGTCGATTGGATCGACTTGGGGTGTGTAGATACAACAAAGAAGCTGAAAATTCTTGAGATGTTTCACAATCAATGCGTTCTAGTAAGGCACATAATCATCCATGTGAAGAACACATTGGTTGAAGGAAAAAATCTCGATGGACAATAACCTTCTAGAAGTTCTCGAAAAATCGAGGCTTTTGTATATATACCACAGCATTTTGTGTATTTTTTATTGCTACAGTACATCTTTCCGTTGTTGTATTACCTCTTCGAGTTCTCTGGAATTCAAAGGCCATCGAAAGGTGGGATCTAAAAGTTACTGTTTAAGGGTTCAGAAGTGAAAACTCGAGACTTATTTGTAAGAATAGGGTTCAATATTACATATTCAGAGGCATTTGGAAAAACGAAACATTTAGGCCAAGTATTTAATTTAGCTGATACAACAATGGAAGTACTTAACTCAAGCACAGAGGCAAAGAAACAATTTATTGTTGCGTTAAATGGCGGGAGTCAGGAGACAGTAATCCCTGGTGGACCTAGTTTTTGTCCTACATGGCACTTATCAGCAAAGGGTATCTGCAACCATAGGGAAAACAGTATTCCTTTGGTAGTTTGCACTTGTGTCATTATGTGCTGAAATCAGAGACTTCATTACTAAGTTAGTTACGTCAAAATACAGTGCACCGTGGTGTCATTACTTCACCTGATGGACACATTGCCAAATTTGTTTATTAAATTTCGTCTTAGTGTTCAACTCTACACAGGTGTAGTAGTCGCCGACTGGTGACCAATTCATGCACAATTTGTTTTCTATCATCACGAACATCTTGATATTACAGTTTCACTGTATGACAAGTGTAAGGAACTTGCATTCCTTCTGAGATGTACAGTTGTTCATCTCTGCAAATACATCATAGTACATACTTGGTTGGTGGGAAATAACCTCAAAAAGATTGAACTTAATGTGAAGACCGTCTACTGAATAGTAAAGGAGATCATCTCAGGTTTATCAGCCCAACGATTTCAACATCACTTTAATATACGTTAACATATAAAGACCAATTCTTGTGAGTCCTATGTGATATTCATAAAAGAGACTCAGGTCTTTTCAAATATCCTCAGTGATATATATACGCATTCAATAAGTTTCCCCTTCCTCAAAAACATAAGTTGTGGTGCTCGTCGACTGATATCATTTGGAAAAGCAATGGAAACCTGAGCGCACTGGACAGCTGTTTCGTCTTGTTACGGGACTCCTTAGCAGTGTGCACCAATGACCTATGTCTTGAACTGACGGAAGTAGGAAGTGTGAGTCACTGGCTCAATGGCAACATGCTGGCTGCGGAACCTGCAAGTCCTGGGTCCAAACCCTGGTAGGGTGGGGTCATGGGTGAATACCAAGCTGAGATCAATAAATAAGTCCCCACAAACCTCCAAAGTGAATGAATTATAGTCCTCTCTATCGATTTAGAAGCGTACTTCCTGTGTGGAAACACCTTATGGAAGGAAAGTAAACACAACAAGCTGTGATTCCGTAAAATTATGATTAAAAGTCACATACTCAGATTATAGAACCACAATTCATCAGATTTCATTGTAAATCAATCAGTCAGTCAAAAATATTTCATTGTGTACATGAAGATGAGATTTTTAATTTGGTACTCATCAGGAATCTATATAAATTTGACAACCATTAGAAAATCGGGAGCACTGGACAGTTGCTTCATCTTAGTATGGGACGTCTCACTAGTTTATGCGCACGGCCCCACTAGGGGCCAAATCCAGTGATTTAAGTGTTAACACCTTGACCAATGAGCCATTGGGTCAAAATTGAATAGTCTGTATTTCCTTACTTCTGTCAGTTCGTGATATAGTGTGGCCTTCATCCAATGTTGTTATTGAGTTCCCGTCTTCATGTCCAACTTCTTAATCAATGAATAAAATCATCTCCTCTAAACATTAACTCATCAAATTATACATTAATTATGGTAGATTATACTGATTAAAAGAACCATTCTGTTGATAACTATTGAACGCTGATTATTTTCTCTTATTTGACTGATTGAAATAATTTTCCCCTTTAGTGTTATTGCGTGTACTACACCGACGTTGATTGCACCGAACTGATCGGTCTGAATTGGCATATGGGCTTCTGTGCGGATGCCTCCATATTGCCTGTGTTTTATTTATGTATAGTAATGATAGATTATGGCTAGCAGTGGAATCCAGGATGTGCATTTCCGCCTATTTCGGATTCGTCAGCTGGATGTACCTGCTTCCCAGTGAGTGATGTTGTTCCCACCGAGATTAGCACTCAGAAGCGATCGTTTCAAATACGAGAGTGATATCCACTACACCACCGAGCCACGATAGCCACTTCTTGTGCGACAGGTATAGTTTTAGTGTTAAGGTACTTCCTGAATTCAACTGCTAGCCATCATTATTATAATTTATTATAATTAAAACACAGGTAATATCAAGGCATCCGCACAGGAGCCAATATGCCAATAGAGACTGATCTATTTGGTGCAATCAACGACGGTGTAATGCAAGTAATAAGAGCAAAACTATACCCGTCGTACAAGAAGTGGCTATCGTGACTCGGTGGTGTAGTGGATAATGAGCTGGTGTTTGAAGCGATGACTTCTGAGTCCGAATCCCGGTGGGGACAACAGCACTCACTGGGGCAGGTCTATCCAGCTGACGAGTCTGAAACAGGAGGAAATGCGCATCCTGGATTCCACTGCTAGTCACAATCCATCATTAACATAATTAGTCCCTTTATTATTATTTGCCCAATGTATTTCGAACAGTCTGATCCCCCACATATTCACCTCTTCAAGTCAATTTATATATGAAAATGAAAGGTCAAGAAATTATTGTTTTACACACAACGAGGTTTTAAGTCTACGATTGGCTAACACTTCGGTAAATTTCAATATGAGCCCTTGACTATCCTATTTTAGTCTTGAACGCTGTTTTCGTATGAACTTTATGATTCATTTCGATGACATTTCTTGTTATAAATGAAGATGGATATCTGTCATCTGCGCTAATCTACGTTTGTGTGTTAAACTGTTTTTCAAACCACTTAGGTATATGTTCACCCGCGGTAGTCTGCATAGCACGATTACTCCTTCCACACATACATGTAAATTGGTAAACACATTGGGATGTGACGTAATCAATTGTGCGAGGTTGAGGTTTCTGATAAATAAGGTTGTTTTGTAGTCTCAACAATAATAAGCTGAGCTGCATAGTATGTTTTATTGATAACATGTTTTAATCTCTGTTTCAATATCATACTACTTGTTTCCCCTCTGTATGATACTTTAAGAAATATGTCTTTCTTCGGAACTAAGGAAACTATAGGGTTAGGGGTCAGCTGGCTTCTACATTGGTTCACAAATTGTTATGGATATCCGTTTTGCATAAGTGTGTCTGTCAGAAATTCGCCCTCATCATGCATTGTATCGGACGTTGGATCCTATTAAACAAGTATCTTACTAAACTTCCCTTATATTTCAGTGGACAAAAACTGTAGAAGCGCAAGTACTGTCCCGTCCAAGTAGGCTTTCTATAGAATAATCATTTGTTAGATCTATCTTCCCTCCGATACGAGAGTATATGAAGAAATGCAAGTCGCTAGTCTTTTTCTTCCACACATGTCAGACTGATATGATCTTCGGTATTAAGCCTTTTTTGACATCCTCATCTGTGTTATGCATTACAATGATATAATCAATATACTTTCTATACAATGGTATATTACTGATTAAATCGTAAGACATTACTTTAATATGCAACATATGCACATCTGCTAATAACGGTCCTAATGGAGTCACCATAGCAACACGATCAATTTGCCGAAAGCGTTCATCTTCGAAAGTGAAATGAACCTTATCAGTACATAATAGAAGTAGCTCTTTCAAATACATCGGAGAAATAGGGGAAGAGGGATAGTTTGAGGATATATAATCGTAAAGAATATTAATTGTCTTCCCCAGGAGGTACATTTATAAATGAAGAGTTGACATCAAAAGGAAAACATTTTCTTATCTTTGATATTTATATCAGTAAGATAATCAACATGTTCAAAAGTATCTTCTAATGAATGTTTTCTTTCAAGTTGTTATTCATCGAAGAGTGACATCAGTTGGAGGAACAAAGGAAACCTGGGAGCACTGGACAGCTGTTTCGTCCCACTAGTATGGGACTCCTCAGCAGTGCGCACCCACGACCCCACCAGCAGGGATCGAACCCGCGACCTTCAGGTTCCGCGACAGCGCGTTGCCATTGAGCTAGCCACTGGGTCAGAATCCAATGCTCCATTTTTCCAACTTCTGTTAGCTCACGATATAGCGCAAACCGCCACCCAATGTCATCGTTGAGTATTTGTCCTCACGGCCATCAGGCTTTGACTCCATCGTGAGCTAACAGAAGTTAGAAATATGGAGCATTGGATTCTGACCCAGTGGCTAGCTCAATGGTAACGCGCTGGTCGCGGAACCTGAAGGTCGCGGGTTCGATCCCTGGTGGGGTCGTGGGTGCGCACCGCTGAGGAGTCCCATACTAGTGGGACGAAACAGCTGTCCAGTGCTCCCAGGTTTCCTTTGTTCCTCCAACTGATGTCAGTCTTCGATGAATAACAACTTGAAATATTTCCAAATCTCCACAACCCCTCAAAATTTAATGTTTTCTTTGTTTTTATTTCAAGATTCAAGAACTGGTCAACGTTTAGGTAATGTTACTTATGATTGGAAATTCACTACACCCAATGGAGATATCATACCACCAGTTTATTATTTTAATTCAATTGAAAGTCAAGGAAATAAATTAACTCTGGGAAATATAAATACACAAATAAAACTGCCTGAACATTTACGTAATATTGAACGTATTGAAGGACGTTGTGTAATCTTAGCACATGAATATAATGATGATGATATCGAAAAGCCAGGAAAAATTAATATTTATCAGTCTAGACCATTTGTTATCATTAATCCATCTGCTATTGATCCAAATGAACTTTTAACCACTCCAGATCCATTCATTAAAAGTGAGTCCAACCATGTGTGCTCTGTTCTCTTCTTCTATACTGTTGTACATTTATTCATCTAGTCTGTTCTGTTAATGTAAAAATCTTGTAAATTAAAAGAAGTAATCAACAATCACCCATAATATTCCTGATTGTAGTCGACTGGACTCGATCATGCAACAAACAGTAAGGAGCGAGAAGAGGGGGATACGCTGGCTGGACTGCAGAAAAGAATCTAGAAGACTTGGATTTCGCCGATGACCTATGTCTAATGTCACACAAACTCGAAGATGTACAGGCAAAAACTGACAAGTTGACAGAAGAGGCGAGGCAGGGAAACGAAGACGGGACTTCAAGTGAAGTGAGTGTAGAGAAGACAGAGGTGATGAGGATACCTAACCAACAACAACAAGTTCCAATCACTATGAACGTGAGAAGCTTGAAGGAAGTAGTTTCCTTCACTTATCTGGCAGCACTGTTTCAACTGCAGGCGACTCGGACGAGGACGTCAAAGTCAGTCAGGATTGAGAAGACAGCAAGACAGACGTTCATTAGCCTGAAACCAGTGTGGAGATCTTCTGCACTCCAATCAGCGTAAAGCGTGAACAACATCCGGATTTTGAACACCAACGTCAAGTCAGTGCTTTTGTATGGCTCAGAGACTTGGAGAGTTACGAAAGGCATTTCCAACAAACTACAGACATTCATCAACAGCTGCTGCCTACACTGGCTCGTTACTGAAGCTCAGATGACCAGAATAATAATATTAATAATAAACAAGAAGGAACTCTGGCTGGGAATGAACTAACGAAGAACCTATCACTGAACAAATATGCAGAGTAGTAGAGTGGAGATGGATTGGGCATGCACTGAGAAAACTATTTGTAGACATCACGCGCTAAGCCATTCCCTTGAGTGGAACCCAGATGGGAAGCTACGAGTTAGGTGTCCGAGATGAGGGTGACAGTGAGGAGATCGTGTGAGGAAGAAACGAGAGCTTGTGGGCAGTCTTGGAGCCAGGTTGAAAAGATTTCAGAGAATAGAGTGGAGTGGAGACGTGCTACTGAAGCCCTATGTTCCATTAGGAACCCAAAGGACAAACAATAATAATAATCAACAATAGGTTACTCATATAGATATTTCTTCATCTTTACCAGTCAACATTTTTGTGCGGAAACATGGGACAGATTGAAAGAAACCCTAGACAACTTCCAGAATACGCAGAAAACCAAAATAAATTGGGGTGAAGAAAATGTGAGGCAGAACTTGAAGCAGTTTTTCCCTATGGTCCGCCTTTTTTCCCACAAAGATATTTACTGCTTCTACTGAAATTGTCAGATGTGGCCATAAGATTTGAGCATATATGTTACGGTGTAACTCCATTTTAAATTAGTCTGTTTGATGTAGTGCACAGTGATACAGTAATGATTTCGAGCATAAGTCATTGTTCATATTCATTACAAGGTGATCACACGACTTCTTATCTAAGTTTCTTTTATAGTTCTGCTGTGTTTTTCTATTGTTTATTTGATTATTGACAAGAAACTGCATGTATCTAGAATCGTTTCAGAATCATCCCTACAACACGTGCTAGGGTTCAATCGATTCATAAAGATTCAGTTCGTAACCTCGCTCTCTATCTAACTACTTTAATCCATTACTCTGCTTCATCTTACTGCATGGTTGTAGGTTATCGTATTTAGTGATACGCCTGAATATTTTTCTAGATTACTTTTCTACTAGGGTCTATACGTTTATACCTGGCTAAGGTTGTTTTGTTCAGCTAACTGAACTGATCTCAGTCGGCTAGTTTGACTTATGTACTTCATCTCATAGGTATTTCGAGGTATCTTTTGGATCAGTCTAGTTCTCAAGGCAACAAATTTTATCTAGGTGTAAATCTTCAAGCTGAATGCCATCATGATCTTCGCTTATTAAGACCTTACATAAGGATTCCTTAACTCTCACTGTGTAGCAGACAATTTGGAGAGCTTTATTTGAATGGAACGCTGATTGATTTGCAATACATTCACAATGGAATAGTAATGTAGATAAGTATCTTCCAGTAGGGTCATTAAATTGATTCCATAATATTCAAAGGTTTTATGACACTGATGACACCGTGACCTTTAGTTTTATTCTAATGTTAAGTTTAAAATGACAATATCCAAAACCCAGCCGATCATACTGAAGTTAAAATTAGCGCTAAAATATTAGTAAGAAACTTCGACTATGGCACTTCCTTTGAAGAAAGCCGTTGGATCAATTATGAATAAGAAAATACAAAAGTTGGTAATCGCGAAACAATCTACAAAGATGTACAATCAAAAAATTATAGCTCACTTTGCTAGCATGGTGCCTAATTAACTTAGTGGTGACTTGGAATGAAATCCAAGGTAAGCACTTCATCCCACTTGGAACTGGTCAGCTGAATATACCTGCCTCCCGGTGAATGACGTTGTTCCTACTGTCACTCCAATCTCGTACCCATTACTCTAAAAGCTGAAGCGTCATCCACTAGGCCGCTGAGGTATACATATCATTGATTCCACCTCTAGCCACCATCCAGTACATTGTGACAATAAATGTTCATATGGTTGATGATTGAAAGTGAAAGGAAAATTTGGAACGCAGCCGAATTCCAACCAACGGCCACCAAGTTTCCTGCCTGGTACTCTATCAACTGAGCGACAAAACTCGACTACTAATGAGATTTTTTACTTAACTTTAATCACCAAGGATTTTTCCTATTACCACTACGCTTTACTACCACTTGATCACACTCCTACTCGCTACCCAGTCAGGACTTCTCATCCCAATCCAAATATAACTTAATTAGAATGAGAATGGGAGCATTATACTGATCATCATTGACTCAGTTGATACAGAACCGGGCTGAAAATTCGGTGGTCACAGGTTCGAATCCTGCAGTAATCCAAATTTTCATTTTACCTACAATTATCACCTGGTATCAATAATTGTTTAATCAATTCCAAAGCATCCAGATAGAAACCAATATGCAACGCATATAGTCCATTTTCATTCAGTACAACTACGGGAAATTACAAGTATCAACAAGTAATAATACCAAACTGACTGACTGATGTAAGAGTCAAACACAGAGATAAAAGAAACTAAACTTGTTGTGCTATCACGTCATAAATACGAAAGAGTAGAAAATCAGTTAAAGTAAAGATGAGTAAAACAAGAATAGTAGAACTGCTGGAAATTTGACTGGGCAGCAGTTTGGCATATAATGCGCTAACTAGCAACTTAATTTGCCTTGACAATCAACCCAAACAAGGCGGATAAGTAGAGTATATTCAACATCATCTATCATCCAATTTAGTCCGTTATAATGATCAGTAAGTATCGAGATCACTTTTTATGCTGAAAATATGCGTAAAATGAACTTCCAAACTTTTTACGCTTCATTAAATCTCGCTTTTCACTATTCTAGGTCATCGTTTATACGCTACTGTGGATGGGTTAACGGATGGCGCTGTTATTGGTCCAGTGGGCTCAACAGTTACTCTGACGTGTCATGCTTACGGTAAGCTATCTGTTTATGTAATATCGGCATCTGTTGCTTAAGATTCATTTGGTTGTATACAGTAGTCCATATAATGAATGCAACATACTTGATCCCAAGTTATGTTTAGATTGTGTACCCTTGCGAAATTATCGCTTATAATAACTTAGAGTTACATAAGACATTGATCAGAGCGCACATGTTACGCAATCCACAGTAAAGTTCTGTTGTATCGAACAATAGTTATAATCATATTCAAAGTTCAAGTTCAAAATGCAACGCAGGCAGAAGAGAAACACACTTTGTACTTTCTACAGTATTTACATTTTCTTCTTAACTATTATCTGGTTCTTATGCAGGCGAAACACTGGTTACTACACTGACGCATCATCAAAGGGGAGCCATCCTCTGTTATTACTGAAGGTCACTCACAGACTCACCACCAATGTCTTCACTGTGATACCTTCATACTCATCAACTGCCTGCATACTTTTACTGGCTCATTAATATCCACCAACTGTTTTGATGACGCGTAACTGCTTGATGATCAATTTTAAAACACTTTCTATGAAATGAGACACCAGTAGACGTGCTAACGACTACTTCGTTCAAAGTAAAAAGTCCCTGACGTAGCAGGCTGGTTCACGTCAACACCTAAAAGTCTACTTCATGTCCCAACTTTGAAATCCAGATGTGTTGGGTTGCCTGTCGTTTATCCGCTGGGCTATCAGACTTCTTCAACAGTCTAACTGCCCAGTACCGCAGATAAGCTGGTAAAGGGTGGCTTTGATAGTAGGGTGGACACTGCTTTAGATCCTACTGTGAACTGCTATTTCATTCCATCTTAAGTTATCACCCCGTATCAATAATACCACTTACTCATAAAACCTTATTTATTTACACCACTGCAAATGGTTATTTTCACCTAGAAGCTCGTTAACAGCGAAGAATGATAAGGATAAAAAGTTGAAGGAGTCAAATCTATGTTTCACTCTGGTTGGGTTTATCTGTACACTCAGGGTAACTATTGAAAATCAGGAATGCTGAATACGTAGGCAGTTACCAAGTTCGATAAATTTCACCTTTAAAAACTCTGTAACGGGATCCAGACAGGCGTGTTTATTCATTTGCTATCATTCACAGAGAATTGACTTGGAGATGAATCATTGGTGCACACTGATGACAGGTCCCATACTAGGACGAAGGAGTTGTCCAGTACTCTCAGATTTCCAATGTTCCTCCAACTGATGTCATTCCATGATGAATTCCAACCAAAAAACAATTCAAAACCCCCCACAAACCGCCATATAGAATTAATATACCGCTCATTGGTGACTAGCTTCGAGAGTTGATTCCCGAAATCCTAATGAGAAGTCATGACCGGTAGAGTCAGCCAAGTCGGACATGAGGACAGTTACTCAATAACTAGATTGAATGTGGGTCGCGCTATATCATGTACTCACAGAAGTAAAAAACGTGGATGACTTGTTTTTCGACGAAGTGGCTCTATGGTAACTTTCTGACTACGAATCTGGAGGTCATGGGTTCGATCTTCAGGGGGTGTAGTCGTGAGTGAGCGCTGCTGAAAAGTCCTATATTAGATGAAGCAGCTGTTCAGTGCTCCCAGGTTTCCAATGTTCCTCTAAATGATGTCAGTCCATGATGAACTTCAACCTAAAATAAATATATCACACAGAATCAAGGCTACACCTGAGTTAACATATAACATTCATACTGACTGACGAATTGAAATAATAAAGGGAGATATTACAGAGTGTTAGAAGGCCAACGTATGTTAAGTAAACTGCCAGATTTATTGCGAATAGGAAGGTTAATAATATCCCAGTCAAGTAGACTTCAACTTTGGTAACATTCTATAAACCCACTATTTAATCACATTGTAATTATTACTAAATTTTCTCTCAGATTCTACAAATCATACTCTAGTAGAGGATTTGAAATACTACTGGGAATTGAAACGACGTGATGGTTCACCGATTGACACATCAGTACTAGCAAAAGATTATGTAAACATCAATGGTCCAGGTGGAAATACACTAATACTTGGAAGTCTACGCTCACTTGCTTCAGGTATGACAGGAAGATGTATTGTTATGAATGAGACTGTACCAGATCCAACAACATCAGATGATGGTCTATTAAGCGGTGATAAGAAGATTTTCTCGCCATCTTTTGATTTCATTATAACCGGTGATATTCCTTCAGGTCCATCTGATGATGTTTTGTACGCAGGAAATAAAGATTATGAAATCGGTAGGTTGAACTATTAAACTATACTCGCCTTAACTTTCCTCTAAAATAGTATATTTTTTAAATATTTACAGTGTGAGTCACGCTATTACCATCATGTTTCTAGAAATTGTTTACCCTATATCCTAATTCCAACTGCGGCGCACTAGGATATTTTGGCGGTTCAAGGCAGAGTGTAACTAGCCAATGGTGTTTGGCATTTACTCTCATCTAATTAGTATCCTTGTTTAGTTGAAATCAGTTGATTTATTCTCCTGATAACCGAGATTATACTGGATCGATTAATTAGGTTCTGTTATTTATCGAACCAGTTACATATTAGATTTGTTTATTTGATTTATAACACACAATGATACAATATGATATACTATATATACTGGATGACGTTTCGAGCATACATTATCATTGCTCATAATCATATCAGTGTTATCGCATAGCACTACCAACATCTGATTTTTATAATCGTGTCACCTGCTATTCTTTGTTTCGATAGACAGTTAAGTTTTCCATATCTCTGGTATAGGTTTTGCGTCATCCCTATTACATGTGTTGGGTGTTGATTCGATGAACAAAAATTCAGTAATCAATCCTCGTCTCTGTCTTCACTTAATTACATTGAACAGTGGTTTTATCCAACCCAACCTACTGTGTGGTTTTGTGTTAATCCATGCATTGCAATAGCCGAGTCTGTTTCTAGATTATTGATCGGAGTACAGACTATTATTACACACTTGGCTAAATTCCGATAGTGTAACTGACTCCGACCGGCTAGTTTCATCTATGTACTTGACCTCGCAGTCATTACATGGAATTTGATAGATTAGATTATTTTGTTTAATTGATTCTAACGGATCCTTAAGCCAGCTGACGAAGCTTATCTCTGAGTCATTTTGTAGGTTTAAATGCCACCCTAATTCCAACCTTGTTGAGAATTCTACGTAAAGTTTCTGATGTGCCTTCCTTAAAGGGGTCTGTGAGTCTGTGAGCTCCTTTCAACACGTGTTGTCTTTATCATTCGTACTAGTGTTATTGTTATTATTTCGTTTCTTGCGTGTTTGTAGGAGAGATATGGAGAATGTTTACTACTTATAAAAGCAAAAATATAAGGTGACTAGATTTTAAAAGTCAGATGTAGAGAGGAGTATGATTACATTGATATGATTATGAGCAATGATAATTTATGCTTGAAACGTTGTCATCCAGAAAATTAGACTGTATCAGTGTGTGTTATAAATCAAACTGACAAATCTAGTATGGAATTACATTCTGTCATAGTGTCCAAGGTTTACGCATACATTAATGGAAGCGATTGATTCTGTGTGGAAAGCTATTTCAATTATCCCAAGTGGTATCGACTTACATGAAGCGTCCAGATAATTAACCCATGTTGATGTCGTGAAGAAGAACAAGTGAAGATTTTAAGTTCAAAAACTGGAAACATTTCATACATTTGGTTCCTTTAGTAAATTTTAATAAGATGCCACATGCCAAGTGATGCACTTTGAAAAGCTCAGTGACACCTTTGAAGTGAAGACAGGAGATAGGAGTAAGACAAGGTTGGCACTCAATATCACCAATCATCTTCCTGATTGTGGTCGACTGGACAATACAGCAAACTGTGAGGAGTGAGAAGAGGGGGATACGCTGTTTGACTGATGAAAAGACCCCGGAAGAAGATTGGGATTTCGACGATGATGATGAATTATCTCTAATGTCTAGTCACACAATCTAGAAGATCTACAGGTGAAAACTAACAAGTTGGCAAAAGAAGCGAGACAGCAAAAGCGTGAAAGCCTTCAGGTGAACGTAGAGAGGACAGGGTTGGTGAAGATACGCAACGAACAACTACAACAACAAGCACCAATCACCATTAACGGATTTTCAACACCAATGTTAACTCAGTGCTGCTATGTGATGGTTCAGAAAATCGGTGCGTCATGATAAGCACTTCCAACAAACTATGGCATACATAACATCAACAGGTGCCACGCTGGCCAGAATAACAGGAATAATCGACAGGGGACTCTCGCTGGTTGGCAACGAACCAGCCAACAACCTATCACCCAACAAATAAGCAGAAGACGAAAGTGTGGATGGATTGGATTGGGCATAGACTGAGAAGGTCGACTTGGGACATGACGCACCAGGTCAGTCCGTCGAGTGGAATCCAAAGGTGAAACGATGAGTTTGGTGTCTGAGTCGAGGGTGACATAGAGGAGATCATGTGAGTAAGAAATGAAAGTTTGGTGGCAGTTGTGGAGTCAGGTTTTGAAGACTGGAGCGAAGAGAGTGGAATGGAGGTGTGTTTGTGAATCCCTATGTTCCACTAGGAACCCAATGGAAAAATAATAATATTATTTTTCTCAGAATACAATGAATCTATTGCATTTCATCGTCTTCCTTTCAACCACACAGGCTATAAAAAATATTGGATGTATATACAGGGAAATGCGGAGAAGATAGTCAGTCCATGGATAGAGAAATAATGGAAGAAATGATCCACAATGAGGAAGTTTGAATGAAATAAGTTGTCGAGACTGAAATTGAAGTTGCTCAGTGTTTATATGGTCAGACTATCATTCTGGTACAACTGATAAAGTGAAAAATTGAATAGAAATGATTACTTTGTGTGTATGTGTGTGTGTGTGTGTGTGTGTGCGTAAGTACTGGTTCGCTTTAGATGGTAAAATCACCTTAAAATCAAGTCATCAGTCCCCACAAACCTATGAACTAAATTATGGTGTCAGTGTTCATTACTAATATACTCCAAGATAGGTCTCTCCAAGTTCCAATGAGATGCTGCGACTGGGGAGAAAAACTATGTTGAGTGCGAAGAAAGATGCTTAACTATGAAATTGGATTATGGATGCACTATATTGTGAACTGAGGGAAACAGAAAGATGACAGCCATTGAACCAACAAAATCCTTTATCCGAGAGCTAAACATCTTGGGTTCGACCCTGAAAGAGTCATAGGTGTGCACTGTTGGAACATCTGTCAAGTACTCCCCCATTTTTAGTTGTTTTCCAACTGATGTCGGTCAGTGGTTGGTGTCACCTTGAAATAGGAAGTTGTAAAAGGAGATAAAATTTCGAAAATATACGCTTCAAATATCTAGAAGTGGGACTTTTAAGGCAATTTAAGTCCTTTATATTTAACTGGTTTGGGATGTGTTTACGAAGTCGAGTCCAAACCATTCTCTCTATGCTTTCAGCATACATTGTCTTGTGTCTACACGTGGATCGAGGAATGAAACTTGCAGTGACATGAACTGAAATGATATCGACTTTCATTTGATGTAGTGAACTCTCTATTCTGCATAAGGAGAACAGTTATCACTCCTTCATTTATTTTGTTTATCTGTTTGTCCTCTTTTGAAAGTCAGATGGAGAAATATAGCCTAGTCCCTTGGATTTTTGGGTCCCATGATTTCTGCATCCCTCATTTTCACTTTCTCAATAATCCTCTAGAAGTAACTATTTTCTTTCAGATATTTACTGATAAACTGAATTATATGAGTCAGTTTTTTAGGTAAACAAAGTTTCCTGGCCTCTTGAAATAGCATTCTAACAAGTTCTTGGTTACCATACACAGGACAAAAACTGTTAAAGCAGAGATACTGTCCACCCATCCGTGGCATAACTCATCTTCATCGAAGCTTCAAGTCTAAAAACTAAATCCATTAATTAGTCAGTGTATGTTGACTAACTTCATGTTGTTTAATCCTCAGTGGTTATCGAATCATATCAATCATTTTTCAACGTGACCACCAAGCTGGGATACTCAGTATTGTGGCGCACTTTGATCGATATTCATTAATTACAGGCGATCGACGAGAAGCCTAGGACCTGGGTTTCGTGTTTATTGGTATGGTGATGTTGAGCCTCAAAGTCTGATGAACACATTCCAAAATGATGGATACAATTTGTCAGCACTCAGAACTAGACAATCCATGTATGTTATCGAGTCATACAGGAGGTGAATCGTAGTGGTAAGGTTGCCTACAGCAACACTTACCGAGATAGATTCGAATCTCAAACAGGTCGTCATTCCTCTCAAGGTTGCAGATACACCTTGCTGATGAGTGGCAGTAGGTGTGAAATCTAGATAGAGGAGGACGTCCGACAGATTGCTTCCAACCACTGACAAACGTTTGATTCCTTTTTCATGCAAACCGGAAATATCTTCTCAGATATCATTACTATGGAAGAAGCCCGATATCTGTTAGGTACTGATGAAAATTTTTCTCAGATGTTCAGATAATTTGACCGGGCTTTATATTTTTCCATGAAGTACTGACTAAGCTGGCTAGTCTGTTGATGAAACGTTTCTAACCTTGATAATAAACATCATACGCTCAACAACAAATTCGAAGCTAGACAAATACCCATCTCACGTCACCTCCAACCATATATATCAATTCACCTGTGCTTGTGGAAGCAAATACATAGGATTGACTGAAAGAAGGGTATCTACTTGATTTTATGAGTATATTCCAAGAAATCTGTGTCTAAATGGTAGCAAAGTCTTCAAAAGCGCAATCTTCAGGCATCTAATAGAAACAGGACATCAAATAGATGTTTTTCAAGGAATGGCATATTTATTAAGGTTTGTGGAAGCTATCACTGTCAAACATTCCCAACCTAATCTATGTTCTCAGAAGTAGACTGTAATTAACCTCTCTTTACCCTAATAAATTTAGATAATTATCTGCATGTGTATATATGTATAGTCTTCCCTTTTTGATCATATTATCTCTTCATTAATTACTTAGTGGACATTAATCACTTGACGATTTCCCAGTTTTTCATTTTATTACATAATCTGTTAGCTCTTAAATAGTCCCTACTTTTTCACTGATTTTCGTTTGTTGACACCCCCCCTTCTTACTCCACAGCTATAGAGTTTTCTATGACATCAGACATAAATTGCCAGTGGTTTTGGATTTATAACTATTAATCTATCTAAACGACTAATTTTGCGTTTCCTTGACTCATTCACTATCACCTTATTGTTAATCCTGAATTTCAAATCTCTATTCATTTCTGCTTGTTTGACGTATATTATGTCATTTTTACTGTTAACATGTCATTTAGATTGTAGACTGTTTACAGCTGATCAGAAGCCATGATATGAAATGAGGACATTTTATTCTATAAATGTCATTGTTCTTGCATAACAACAAATTCGATACACAACTACATTTTTATTGCTTGATTTTTTTTACTCAACTTTCAGATGGAAAAGACTATGAAGTTATAATCGGAGGTTTAGATGAAGATGGAAAATTAAAGGTTTCCAAGGGTGATAACAAAACATTTACAGTCTTCCTACGACGTAAGTGTATCATTTCAACTTATTTTCTTCTACCATATAAAACTAGATTTCAGTAGACTAAGTTAAACTGAGTAATTGCTTGTTTGATTTATAATTGCTTTTTATCTCTGTACAGATATGAAATTCATAATGTTGATAGAAAACAAACAAATCGAGTTTAATGTGCCATTGTTTGCATTACACCGTCGTTGATTGAACCGAATTGATTGGTCTCTGTTGGCGTATGGTCTTCTGTGCGGATGCCGCGATATTATCTGCGTTCTAATTATGTATAGTAATGATAGATTATGGCTAGCAATGGAATCCAGGATGTGCATTTCATCCTATTTCGGATTCGTCAGCTGGATGTACCTGCCTTCCAGAGAGTGATGTTGTTCCCACCGAGATTACGACTCAGAAGCGATCGTTTCAAATACGAGAGTGTCATCCACTACACCACTGAGTCACGACACCCAATTCTTGTGCGATAGGTATAGTTTTAGTGTTAAGGTACTTCCTGAATTCAACTGCTAGCTATAACCATTATAATTTATTATAATTAAAACACAGGTAATATCGAGGCATCCGCACAGGAGCCAATATGCCAATAGAGACTGATCTATTTGGTGCAATCAACGACGGTGTAATACAAGTAATAAGACCAAAACTATACCTGTCGCAGAAGAAGTGGCTATCGTGACTCGGTGGTGTAGTGGATGATGAGCTGGCGTATGAGGTGATGACTCCTGAGTCCGAATCCTGGTGGGGACAAGAGCACTCACTGGGGGCAGATATATCCAGCTGACGAGTCTAAAATAGGAGGAAATGCGCATCCTGGATTCCACTGCTAGCCACTACCCATCATTACTAAAACGAGTTTACAATGAAGATAATTACCCCTTCATACAACTAGTTCCCTTTATATATTTCTAAAAGGTAACATGAATATGTATTGTAGGAAGAATCAGATTCACATTTCGCGTGCTCTAAATCTTTCACATGTAAGCTAAACCTGAACACTGTACACATTTAGCTATCAATGAGTGTTCAGCATGTCATTTGATACTTTTCAGTAATAGACAAAACCTCTAATACATCCTTCAAACCTAAACACTGATATATATACACATATAGGAACAGAGATGAATGATAAAGTTCACGATATAAACAACCAATACAGGGCACAAGTCACAACAAGTCAGACTTTAAAATCGATCAGTAAACATAGAGCAGAATACGACGTGATAGTATAACAGGAATGTGACTGCAGCTCAAGGTGGTAGGAATTCTGATGCGAGTGAGAAAACAACAGAGACGTTGTGTAAGGTATGTGATTTAATGGTAGACGAATGGAAAGGGATATGCTAACAAACATGATAAAAATATTATATATATATATATATATACTACAGAAGGTTTGGAAGAAGGGAAAGGAACCTGCAGATTGGAAAAATAGCTACCTTGTCAAAATCCAGAATAAGGGAGACCTAAGCGTTTACAAGAACTGGTGAGGAATCATGCTGCTGTCCACCCCAAGCAAAATATTATGCCACATCATACTGGAGAGACTAAACGATGCGCTCGATTCAAAACTACTATCGGAACATGCTGGTTGGGTTCAGGAAGTACAAATCATATGCGGATCAAATTGCAACGCTACACTGGGCATCATCATAGAACACAGCATAGAATGGCAGTTAACTCTCTACCTCAACCTCGTCCATTTTGAAAAAGCCTTCGATCTAGGCGTTGACCAAGAAGTAATTCGGCAGTTGCTTCAACACTTTGGATTACCACAAACCCTTATCCACCTCATTTAACAACCATATGAAGACGCCATATGCAAAATGATTCACAATGTAAAGCTCAGTGACACCTTTGAAATGAAGACAGGAGACAGGAGTAAGACAAGGTTGGCACTCAGTATCACCATGATCTTCCTGATTGTGGTCGACTGGACAATGCAGCAAACTGTGAGGAGTGAGAAGAGGGGGATACGCTGTTTGACTGATGAAAAGACCCCAGAAGAAGATTGCGATTTCGCCGACGATGATGATTTATCTCTAACGTCTAGTCACACAATCTAGAAGATCTATGGGTGAAAACTAACAAGTTGAGAGAAGAGACAGGGCAGCGAAAACGGCACTTCCTTCAAGTGAACGTAGAGAAGACGGAGGTCATAAAGATCTCCAACCACCACCATTATCAACAACAAGTACCAATCACCATTAACTGGAGAAATATAAAGGAAGTAGTCTCTTTCATGTATCTTCCAACCTACCTACCTAGGCGGCATCGTTTCAACTACGGGCCGCGGTGGCGTCACAAATGAGGATGTCAAAGCCAGGATTGGAAAGACAGCAAGACAGGCTTTCACCAATCTGAAGTAATCAGTATGGAGATCTACTGCACTCGACTCAGCACAAAAAAAACTTCCGGATTTTCAACACCAATGTCAACTCGTGCTGCTATGTGGTGGTTCAGAAAATCGGTGCGTCATGAAAAGCACTTCCAACAAACTATAGGCACACATAACATCAACAGGTGCCTACGCTGGCCAGAATAACAGGAATAGTCGACAGGGGACTCTCCTGGTTGGCAACGAACCAGCCAACTACTTATCACCCAACAAATAAGCAAAAGACGAAAGTGTGGATGGATTGGATTGGGCATAGACTGAGAAGGTCGACTTGGGACATCACGCACCAGGCCAGTCCGTCGAGTGGAATCCAAAGGTGAAACGATGAGTTTGGTGTCTGAGTCAAGGGTGACGTAGAGGAGATAATGTGAGTAAGAAATGAAAGTTTGGTGGCAGTTGTGGAATCAGGTTTTGAAGACTGCAGTGAAGAGAGTGGAATGGAGGCGTGTTTGTGAATCCCTATGTTCCACTAGGATCCCAAGGGACAAATATTATATCAATATAGGTCAGTATTTACTATATTATAGTTTCTGTCCAATTCAAATGTACATGTGGTGACACATACATAGGGAAGACTTATATATCCAAAGATGCTTTACAGGCGAATTAGATGACATCAATCTATAAACACTGATAGCAGACGTCCAAGTTCTTTAAATGCGAAACAAATCTTTGAGACAGATCACAGAATTGATATAGCCACTTCCTTTATACCTATTAACAAAACGTGTTGGAGATGAATCCTCAAATTTGTTGAGGTCTTAACTACCAGTTCAAATCACCTTTGTGTGTTCATAAGCAAATTTTTATCACATTTAATCTTCTGTGGTAAATTCAACTATGATTACTAAGTTCAATATACCATTGCTCTCGCTCTATTGATTTTCAGTCTGTCTACTTCAAATCTTTTCATTTTCTCAACCCTTTAAGTTTATGAATTTTCATATAAATGCCAATGACCAGTATGCATGTATGATCACATTGTTCGAAATATGTTGCGCAAATGCATATTACATGGTTCAGACAATTTACAGCTTCTTATTGTTTTATCGAAGTTTATTGATGGAACTACGAGGTTCCAGTCCCAGTGGGTTGCAGGTACATCCAGCTGACGAGTCCCAAATAGGACGCTCGTCCTGAGTTCTTCTGTTTGCTACAACTAAGTATATTATCATAGTGGAACTAATTCTGTTAAATTTCATTCCACTATGTTGATTTTTCCTGCGTTGCAAAAACTCGTTTTAGTTGTTTAACTATTGTATCACGACTGAAATGTTGTTGGATTGAACTCACCGGTTGGCATCTAGTAACTGATTCATGCGGATAAAGGATTTTACGGACAAACCTTGACGGTGGGAGGTATATTCTAAAGTACTCACAAATCTTTTCCCGCTTTTTTCTATCTTAAATAAATTTTAGATAAAGAAACAGGTGATGAAATCTATCCAGGTCCACCGAACACTCTAGCAGGAATTGAAACACGTTACATCAGTGGGTACCCTGCACCATTATCATCGTTAGCTGACACTATTGAATTCCAGTCGGATAGTGGAAAATTCAATTTATATAACATGAAAAAACCGAGTACCACTCCTCCAACTCAAATACGTTTTATCATTGAACGTAAAGAATTAGATGAAGACGGTAAACCGAAAGATACAATACGTTATGCTTCAAAGTATATTGATTTAATTCCAGAACAAGAAGGCGAAGAAGTGTCTGATAGGCCTCCAAGTATGTTTAACATTACATGTTATATACTTTTTAAATGTGAAAAAGTTATACAACTGGAATGTTTTATGATTGTTATTGGTGTTCCTTAGGTTGAAACAGCCAGCTTCTTCCATCAATTTAGATCATGTAGTTAGAAGATGAACTTTTTGTGGACAGTGTATGATGTATGATGTATTAATGGGAGAAGACGTAGCTTGTCTTATTAACGAATATATTTCTCTAGGATGACATAACACTGGAAAATTACAAAAATGACAAACTGCAGTAGTGATTATTTGATTCTTGAGAGTAAATCTTAGATGCTGACAGACCTCTGAGTTTTCAAAAGCATCAGAATGAAGATTAAAATCTCTCAGCTCTTCGTAATAATCTCGTTAATATGTAAAACCAAGTTTCACCACTTCATATAAACAAGGATATCGAAGTGTTTTACTTTACATGACTACGCTGATAGCTTTCTTGAACTCTTAGTGAGGTCTAATTTTAAGATGGAGGAGGTTTGTGCAGTTATGCCACAGTGAGTGCCTGAAAGGTTATGTCTGACTGAGTCTTGTGTACCACTGGAAGCGTGCGGTCGGTTGACATTTTCTGGCTGCCCACAACGTCGAAGGTTACTTCTTCTTAGGCTATGTGAATGAGAAGATTTGTGTGATAAAAGATTCCATGGGATATGTGCTTGAAGTTTGTCACACAGTCTGTTTAGGATTATTGGTTTGAGATTTGACTGTTCCAACACGGCGTACAGGAAAGAAATGACGTCAGCAGTGGAAGACCAAGAGACGGAAGGGTCAAGCTTTCGTAAACCCTGTCTCTCACCAGGAAGTTAGCATCAGCGTGACACTCATTCATGCAAAACGCCCTACTGCTTTCACCCCATCATTGTGAGGCGATTTCCACTACAACGGTAACTCCCTTTCATTTTACCATTTACTATGCAACAGACGTTTCAGATATGGTAGGACCCAGAGGGAACAAACGAATCAACCGGTGTAGCTCGTTGGATCATCGGAATACTCAAAGTAGACCACGACGTCAGGATACCAGCAACTGGTTGGGATAATGCGTATCTAGGTACTGAACACTCGTTAAAGAGCTTGATGACCATGGTCTCCTGGTATCTGTTACAGATAGACCAGTCAGCCAGTAATAGTGATGATTTTCTTCTCAGGAAAAGGATAATTTTCCCTGATTGCATTATCTTGTTATTTGGCAGTATCATGGATGATTTTCTTTTACTTTTTCGCTTTTTTTCAGTGGAACCAGGTGAAATAATCTATCCGATTATCGATGGCTTAAATAGTTGCGGTACACTGCCATTAGTCATTGGAAATAATGTGACTTTGAAGTGTCGTCCAAATGGTAAGTAGCCCTAATAATAATAAAATGTATGCTTACTAAATACCTTATGAAATATACTACTGAGCAACGTGAGTAGGTAGTAGTATCTTGCCAGTTAAATTGAAGCACTGGATGATTGCTTCACTCGTTTGTGGTCAAGTTCACCAGCAATGTGGCCAGACAAATTCAGGTAGCAGAATCGGATTCTACGCATAACGTGAAAATAGTCTGAAACGTAACCAACCTTTCCATGACAAGTATTTGTGAAATAAAATCCAAAGTCTGAAATTATCGTTTATCCACACTGATAGTAAGATGTAGGACACGCATTTAATACTTTAGGTAGACTGCTATCTTGATATACTTGGTGTAACCATCGGAACTGGAACCCAGTATCGATTTTCTGAAGTACTACAGTGTTACGATATCCATCCCCTCCTGTTTCATAATCATGAGTCTTTCACTGAAGATTTTCGCCCCAGCTGGAATCTTACAAATCACCGGGGAAGGGTATCAAAAACTCCTTGATGAAAATAACTTTGAATTCATTCTGTCTTTTCTCAGCAGCCTGTAAGAATCGTCCTAGTGGGAACTTGACAAGCGCAAAGGATAATCACTAATTATTCGTGGATACGAGACCAAGGAAGAACACAATAGCGTAGTCGGATGGGATATTATATCCACAAAGTTGTGCTAATATACTGATGCTTTCCAACTAACTGGCTAAAGCATCGGTTAGGAGCAGTGTAAAGTAACACGACAGCTTGTCAAATGGAGTGAATACTTCACCGTGTGCCTTCAGCTTAGCGAGTCCGATAAAACTAAGTAGGTTAGCATGAATGTTGAATCTCGTCGAACCCTAGGCTATTGATTCTAGAGAAGTGTGTGATACTACAATCCTATCCCATCAAAGAACGAACTCAAGACCTTTGACTTCGTTCAGTCAATAGGTTAGAATCTAATAATCCATATTTTGTTATTTATGTCATTTCGAGATATAAGATGACCTTCATCCAATGCCTCACCGGTCACGACTTCTCATTGAACTTCGGAGAATCTCATCCTAAAGTATGTCACAAATGAGCACGGAGCGTAATTCTATTTTGAAGTGGTTAGACGTAGAATTTTATACACTGGGTTGTCAAGATTCACTCACTTATGTGAATTATCTCCTTTGAAGCTGAAATGGGTATCATTCTTTTTTATTTAGGTTTTGTTATGTTTTCACAAATTATGCTTACTATTATTTTTTAGCTAGAACGTTTTCTTGAAGCATGTGAATTCTTCTTCTGACTAATCACTTTTATGGTTATTTTGAATGGTTATGGATGATAATTAACCCTAACCCTTAAACCAACTGATGCTCACAGATTTGTGAAGTGAATTGCATCACACATCGATTTTGTAAGGAATAATGATATTCATAATCTGATCAAACTTAAGAATGTTGAGTAGGATTTCACTTCATAATTCAATGGATCTTTTATCGGTGATATCTTTATTCGCCTGGTTAACTAGTTTACTAGTTACTAGCCGGTCCTAAGCCCAGGTAAAGAGTGAAGGTTGGGCATACGGCTAGCAACCCTACCCCCTAAAACAAATCTAACCGCTAAACAAACTTCAAAACACACACAAAATATAAAAAATAATAACAAAATTATTCCTCGCTGGAATCGGAGAGGCGAAATGACGCCACCTGGTGAAAGCCTCCCTTCGGGAAGCCAATTGGCCGATGTGTCTTCTCTCCCTAGATGAAAGCGAAAGTAAACGTGAGGACATGGAATATCCGCACCATGTTTGAATCCAGCAGGGCAGCCCAGATTGCAAAAGAGATGAGAAGGTATCATATTGAAGTGCTAGGAATTTGTGAAAGCAGATGGAATGGGAGTGGACTCTCCAAACTATCAACTGGAGAGGAGTCAGTTGATAGAAGAGGCAGCGAAGACGGGACTTCAGGTGAATATAGAGAAGACAGAAGTGATGAAGATACCGCACCACCACCATCAACAACAACAACAACAAACTCCAATCACCGTCATCGGGAGAAACTTAAAGGAAGTAACCTCCTTCACTTATCTAGGAAGCACTGTTTCAACTACAGGCGGGACGGACGAGGACGTCAAAGTCAGAATCGGAAAAGCAAGACAGGCGTTCATTAGCCTGAAACCAGTGTGGAGATCTCCTGCACTCCACTCAGCATGCGGAACAAGATACGGATTTTCAACACCAACGTCAACTCAGTGCTTCTATGTGATGGCTCAGAGAGTAGGCGCGTCACGAAAGGCATTTCCAATAAACTACAGACATTCATCAACAACTGCCATACGCTGGCTCGCTACTGAAGATCAGATGGATTGCCAGAAAGAATAAGCAACAAGGAACTCTGGGAACGAACCAACGAAGCAAGAACCTATCACGCAACAAATATGCAGGAAGAAGTGGAGATGGACTGGATTGGGCATGCACTGAGAAGGCCGACTGAGGACATCACGCGTCAGGCCAGTGCCTCGAGTGGAATCCCCATGGGAAGCGACGAGTTGGACGTCGTGTCGAGGGTGACATGGAGGAGGTCGTGCGAGGAGGAAATGAGAGGTTGTGGGCTGTCGTGGAACCAGGTTCAGAAGATCTCAGAGAACAGAGGTCACTGGAGGCGTGCTACTGAAGCCCTATGTTCCATTAGGAACCCAAGGGACTAATAATAATAATAATAATAATAATAATATAATAATAAGCTTATCAATGTTCAACTGATAAATGTCAGTTTACTTTTCTAACATACATTTCACTTTAGATACACGTTTATTATCAGAATCCCTTATATATGATTGGGAAATAAGAGATAAATATGGTCAAATATTGCCACGTACAAATCTGTTAGCAAAAGTAATTAAACAAGAATATAATCGTTTAGTATTGATTAATATACTGGAATCAAGTATTCAGTCCTATGGTCGATGTATTATTATACGAACTTCTGGTGTCCAAGATCGATATACTTCAGAATATTTGAATTTGGGCAGCATGGATTAGGATGTGAACCAAGTAAGTGATTACAAATCAACTACAACTTTTGTCTTTCTATCAGCTGATATGTGTTAACTAAAATATATATACGTTTAGTGTGTATATTCTGATGTCTTTCAGATGTATACCGAGTCCCGCACCATTCTCTGGTTTCATTTCATTTACAAAAGTAGGTCTTAAGACAAACTGTAGAGAAACTATATATGTCTATGTTCACTCTGTGAACTCATTTCAGTGTTATCTTCACTTAAAATCACATCCGATTAGATTAACGTTACGTAACACTTAGAACCCAGATATTTTAAGCCGACTACAAATCGTTTGGGTTAATGCATGTAGTTAAGACTCTTGGAAGCTTCACAACATTTATACAATAAGTAATGATACCAACTGATCCTAAAATACACATAGCTCACTAAATGAATGTTCTTTATAAGAGGTTGTTGATGGTAGAGCATTCAATGACTCAATGGTCATTATCGATGCAACTTTCAGGAATTTATTATCCACGCATGAATAGTCTAGGGCATCTTCATATGAACCATGATCGTATGGCATGGCGAATATTGGGCGTGGAGTAAAAGGTTGACATTAGATATAGATTGTATTGTCTTTCTAAATTATGATGACTCATTATTCAGTGTGAAATTGTATGTCTCTTGTTGTATAGCTGGCGCGCACGCATGTGTGTGTAACAGTTCATGATGATGATGAATCAAATACGTCCAGATTGTATTGGTTGTATTCTGTTCTATGAGCTGGGTTGTTAAGTCGTGAAGCTTTCATCGTCCTTCTAGACAACATCATCAGCAATAACTTCAGTATGAAGTGAGCTGTCAATACCTCTTCGTGAGTGATTTAGTAGCTTATCTTGACGAAGAGGTCTATGATTGGTTGTTTCCTTTGATTGCTGTGTCATTGACTGACTGCAGAGATTTTTCTATTGGCTGTCCATCTGCTCACCTCTCACCTTTCTGTTGTTTATCATCTTCCTCATTGGTTGACTGATTGGTTCTATGTGTATACATCTGTGATTGCTCACTGACTGACTGACTGACTGATTGATGTGAATGCCAGGCTTCTAAGAATTCTCTGATATTCTTTGTGTTTCCTCTCTGCATCCAAGATTTCTACATTGTCGAAATTGAACTCATGTCCATAGTTGTTATCGACGTGCATTGAAATGAGTAATGAAATGTCGTGCCACTTAATAGCCAATTGGTGTTCATGTGGATGAAGGTAAGAGGGCGACCACTTTGTCCAATGTAGTGTTGACTACAGTTATTGCAGCTGATTTTGTAAATGATATTCGTTTGTCTTCTCTGATTGTTGTTGCATCCTTTGGTCTGCATAGTAGTTTTTGAAGGGAATTTGTTGGTTGTGAACCACACCCATTCCGAGTGGTCTCAATTATCTTGTTGTGATTTCTGATATATTCTTTATGTATGGTAGGATGATGCGTTTGTTGATTTCTGTTGATGACTTTGTAGTTGATGATGTAGGGGATAGGCATCTTGTGATAAGGTTTCGTGGGTAGCCGTTCTTCTTTGGGTTGGACATCAAGTAATTTTCTTCGTTTCTCCATGAAGTTATTATACTGCAGTGTATTCTCTCTCTTTTGAATAGTATCTGTAGGAAAGTGAGTTTGTGTGTTGTTGGATTGTTGCTACTGTAGTTGAGGATTTGATCATTGTGTGTTGGCTTTCTGTTCACTTGGGTTTCCAGCTTCCCCGTATTTGTTGTATTGACTAGAACATCGAGGAATGGTAGTTGGTTGTTTGACTCCTTCTCCATTGTGAATTTGATGTCATTGAAAACGTTGTTGATCAAATTGTGGATGTTTTCCATATCATCTTTTTAAATGATGACAAAAGTGTCGTCCATACAGCGAATCCAAACCGTTGATTTAATCACAGGTTGGAAGATGGCTTCCAGTCTCTGCATCACTGCTTCTGTAATTAATCCGGATCAAACCAAAATTCTAGATTGCATCTAAGTCAATTTTGTGCGGCGTTTCCATGAAGTGTAGAGCGATTTCAGATTTGTCTACTAGTTTCTCAACCTCTGTTGAGGAATTTAGAATCTGCTTAAACCTTAATTTATGATCCTTGACTCTCTCCTACATATACTGCAATACAATCTGTGCATCTGATTTTTGCTAAGCTTAGTTCTGTTGATTTTCTTTTGGTACTGCATCTTTAACTTTCGTTAAGTTAGAACGTTGAATATTTGTTGCACGAAAGTAAACTCTTTGTCACGTTTGTTGGAATCCTTCTTATTTCTTCCGAAGTCTCCTTACGGTATGAGATTATGACCATGTTCATCCATTTCTGCGGAGGAGGTCTCGGCACACCCTTTAACTGAATTAGATGGGAGGGGAAGCATCATACTGATCATCATTTTGACTATCTGAGATAGCTTCGTTGGTTTGACTGACTAATATTTATGCTGGGTTGTGATTGAAGGTGAGATGAAAGTTTGGATTGTGGCCAGATACAAACCAGTGACCACCGGGTTACTGGCCCGATGCTGTACTATTTGAGATACATAGTCGGGCAAAACCTTCGGTGATTGAAGAGAAGGAAGCATCTGGTCAGCAGTCAAACTTGTAGCTCAGTTGACACTATTCACTTTAAAAGTAACTTATTGAAAAATGTATACCATTTTCATCCAATTTGTATTCTAGCTGGACCACAAATTATTCCCGATATATCTGGTTACGTACCTAAACCAGAGGAACGATATGAAGTTCTTATCAGAATTCAAGGGTTAAATGATATGGGTGAGGTTGTTGCAAAACCAGGCGATGATATAGCCCTTAAATGTTTAGCACTGAGTGAGTTTTATATATGTGTTAACAGTTTTATATGCTATAATCAGGAAAATATTCGTTCTTTGTTGAAAATAAACAACTTCAGTGGAACTTAAAACTTTCCTTTCTGGCGTCTTGTCATCAATAAAGACAACACACCCAGCTTAACTCCTGTAAGGCATTATATTCATAATGCTGATGAGGTAATCCACAAGTAGAGTGTTCATTCTCAACAAATACTGATATATATTTCTCTTATGGTGAACTATGACTCTTCCTCATTATTTTATAATAAATTTTTACGAGTGGATATATGACATGAATATTTTCATACGAAGTTGGAATGCTCACCTCAAAAGAGGCTACGGTGACTGGAATTTTAAACATAAAATAAATACGGCCTATTTTACTTCAAGATACACAACGAAAAACAACATCAACAATGGGAGAAACCTAAAGAAGTAGCCTCTTTCACCTACCTAGGCAGGCAGCATCGTTTCAACTACAGACGGCACAGACGAGGATGTCAAAACCAGGGTCGGAAACACGGCAAGACCGGCTTTCACTAGTCTGAAGTAATCAGTATGGAGATCTACTGCACTCGACTCAGCACAAAGAACAACTCCGGATTTTCAACACCAATGTCAACTCAGTGCTGCTATGTGATGGTTCAGAAAATCGGCGTGTCACCAAAAGCACTTCCAACGAACTACAGACATATATCACATCAGCAGCTGCCTCCCGCACTCACTCGACACTGATAGTGAAGATCAGATGTCAGAATAATGAGAATAAGCAACAAGGAACTGTGGCTGGCTGACAACAAACCAACCAACGACCTATAACCCAACAAATAAACAGAAACGAAAGTGGAGATGGATTGGATTGGGCATACACTGAGAAGGCCAACTGGGGACATCGCGCACCAGGCCAGTCCGTTGAGTGGAATCCAAAGGGAAAACGACGAGTTGAGCGTCTGAAGCGAGGTTGATATGGAGGAGATGGTATGAGTAAGAAATGAAAGTTTGGTGGCAGTTGTGGAGTCAGGTTTTGAAGACTGCAGCGAAGAGAGTGGAATGAAGGCATGCTAGTGAATCCCTATGTTCCACTAGGTACTCAAGGGAAAATGAAGTCAAAGTATCTATCCGAAAATTTACGAAAACGGTTATTTAAGTCAGCAAGAAACATAGGAATGGGAAGGGAAGTGAAAAAACAAAATATAAATCGCATCATTCTTGGTATGAAGATCAGAATCAATACTACCAAGATAGGTTCAATGTGAGTACAGACTGCTTTTGTATATACAAAATAGGTTTGAATTTACGGATGGTAGAAGCTTTGACAAACCTCAATACTCTGGTCTGACTATGTTTACGTAATACTTTAAATGCTATTTCTATCTCATTTGTATGACCACTTTCTAGTAAATGTTTGATAATAGACGAAGATGGATGTTTGGTGCCTGCATTTATAGGATTAGTTGAGGTCATCTGTTTTTGAAGTCACTTACATACATTTTCAATCATCCTCAACAACTTGTCACGATTAATCCTCTTTGAGTAAGTTTCCATACGTAAATGTAAATTGATAAACACAATGGGGTGTGAGGAAGTCGTTTATGTATTTTAACAACGAATTAGTGGTGATTTGGTGATTGGAGGCAGTGTGTACAAACACAAGGATATTCACAAAGCGATATGGATTTCATCAGACACCAGACACACAAAATCAGATTAAGTTCATCTCAATATGAAGAAAGTGGAGACAGTCTACTGGACAAAAGATCAGATCAAGAAGGAGAGCAGATGTGGGTTCACACTACTCACTATCTAGTGCAAGAAACCTGCCTTCAAAATCAAGTTGAAAGCTCTGATAGAAGCTGGTGATAGACCACAGTTCAAGTTCAACACCCAGAACAGAAACTGAAGCACAAAACTATAAAGAACATCTTCACGACAATCATCAGGAAAAAACTGGAAACATTAAGCAACATCCCTACGTGGAAGAACACTGGAACTCTTTGAAAGAGGCGTGGATGGAAACCTGCATAAGTGTGTTAGGAAGGAAGAAGAAACAAGATAAGGGATGGATCTCTACGGCCACATAGAAGCTGATATAGGACAGGAAGATGGTGAAGCAGAAGATGAACCAGTGAAGTGCAGTGCAAGGACGAACAATGAAAAGGGGAACTGAGTACAACCTGTAAAACATGACAATGGACAAAGAAGTGAAGAAGAGTGCACACAATGGCAAAATACACTTCTACGACGCATTGGCAAGTGAAGCAGAACAGGCTGCAGGTAAGAGGAGAGATGTGACGACACTATATCAAGGAGGAAAGATATTAACACAGATAAGACTGATGAAAGGTAGCAAAGGAAATGGAATTACCAAAGAGGAGAAACAAAGGAAAGGGTGGACTGACCACTTCAAAAAATTCCTGAATCGACCACCACCAACACCAACTGCATCTCGTCCAGAAATATCACCACCAACCACAGAACTGCCAGAGCACACAAACACTCCAACAAAAGCAGAAGTTAAGTCCTCAACTCCATAAAGTTTCTGAAAGCCAGGAAATCAGCATGACCAGATGGAATTCCACCAGAAGCACTGAAGACAGACGGATAGACATCAGCAGACAAGCTCACATCACTACTGCAGAATGTTTGGAGGGGTTGAAGTAAATGTACCTGTCTATTGATTTGAAGAATGGCTAACCTGTCAAAATCGCAAAGAAGGCTATGCCAGTCACCTTTAAATGGCAATGAGATGTAGACATTTTTTTTAGGAAAAGGAACGGTGAATAGGTTTGAATACTGCAAAACTTTTGTATATGTGGATGAAGTTTAACGCAATGTATACCGGCGGTATAACAGATGTTTCAGATAATCTTCTTCTTCTCATTACGATGTGTAAATTAATCAAGGGGACCTACTGTTTTAGTCAATATTCGAAATATATTAGGATAAAACTAATAGGTGGTGTAAATCATTTTCTGTCTTTTGAATTATAAAGTTTTTGAGGTTTCCCATTGCCTGAAATGCTACTAGATAGTAAGTAGTGCTTGATTCACTAATTTTCTATTGCTAGTACGATTTTCTCTATCGATTTTACAGTGTTGACCATCAAAGTGACTGTCAGAATGGACTGTATGTTTTCTTATAGATGATTTTAGCCTTATTCGTTGAATGAAGTCTTATTACTTTTCAATACTGTGCTCAGTCATTGCTTAATGAATGCTACTTTAGAATGTCATATTTTTGAGTTGTATATATCAGTATTTGAACCTGTAGACTAGCTGCTTAATAGTCATATAACGGTATCTTCATTAAACAGTTCTGCATAAAATCATTAATTGAACCGACTCTATATGCTTATATCTTGTACAAAACAAGTGCTTACACTATATTTCTTAATTTATTATAGATACTACTACGCAAGAACCTATTCCAGATGTTGCTATTGGATGGAGTTTCATGAATGATTATGAAGAACCATTGCCAATTGGAAAAATTGCTTCAAGTGTTAAATTAAGTCAACAGGATGAATTACAATTGACCAGTTTATATGAAAATCCTAATTCTCGTGGACGATGTATGATAACACTTGATCAAAAAGTCACTTTAAGTTCACCATACTTTAGATTTCATGTACCAGGCGAAGTTATATCACGTGAGTAATTGTGTATTCTAAAAGTAAACAAGAAGACTATTTTAGCTCATAAATGTTTATGTAGATTGTATGAATTACATTTATCAGGGGGGTTATTCATTCAAAGTTATCCAGGCAGATATTAATCGTTCATTTGCTTGTAAACAGAATTTTACAAGGTACTGATCAGTTGCAAATGCCGTTGAATTTTAGTGAATTTGAACTGGAAAAACAATGACTAACTTGGTGGTTGGTATCGTGGAATGGAAATATCTAGATATCTTTGTTTTACAAGGTAGTCAGTGACTGAAGTGAGCACTTTATCTACCGGAATATAATGTCTACCTATTCAATAGATAGACTATTGAACTGATGGCCTTAGTTTAAACTAGGATATCCCCCTCATGTTTTTTGTCGAATCTCAGACATTCTCGTGGGTGTAATGGGAGGCTTCATGATTTTAATGAATTCTTTCCGTGTGAGTTCACCCTTTATCAGTTTTTTTTTGGGCCACTCTACTACCTTTCTAGTAAGGAGTAATGGAATGGTTTCGTTTTCTAGAAAATAACCCACTGAATTGCGCCGTTATTTACTATTTAAAAATACTTAAATTGAATCGTAATTTCAGTGGAACTGAATTGTTCTATGGAGACCAAGACAGATCAAGTGAAATAAAACTTTGATCAGCAGTTGGACCTCATAGCTCAGTTGGTAGAGCATCGGGCCAGTAACCCAGTGGTCACTGGTCCAAATCTGGCAGCTGTTCAATTAACCTTCGATCATCACGCAGTATGTATACTAGTCAGTCAAACCACGGAGGCTATCTCAAATAGCCAAAATAATAACACAAAGAAAAAATAAATTTCTAATAAACTCATTAATAAATTAGACAATTCGTGTAAGAAAGAGGAAGCCTTAAGTCAACTAAACCAAGGTTTAATATACATCTTCTTTCTAACTATGACTGCAGGGTGAATACTGCTTCGAATTCGTTGTGTACATAGACATCTAACGATATTTACATATCAGACTACATCTCAATAATGATATTCATTGGATCCAACTATTGGTGTAAAGATAAAAACTACGTGGAACGAAGTGATGAGACTGATAATATTGCTAACGAGATGAAGAGAGAAATCTGAAGGGATAGCAACATTTTCCCTTTCTTAGTCTATGATGAAAGATATCGTGATAGATCAACTGAAGCAGCATTAAGAATCGATCAGGTTTGCTACTAGCCTACACTTGAAATTCATATAACAAACGATGTATATCTCAGAAGAAATCTGGTTTCGTTGAAGCTCCACTTTATTTCACCACTTTGTGTAATCTGATAACACAGCTTAAATCAATCTAGAAAACTTAGTTTTGTCTCGAAAACAAGGTATATATATATATATATATATATATATATATATATATATATATATATATATATATATTATTGTTAATAATTGTCCCTTGGTTTCCTAGTGGAACATAGGGCTTCAGTAGCACGTCTCCATTGCACTCTGTTCTCTGCAATCTTCTGAACCTTGCTCCACGTCTGACCATATATATATAATATTTAAAGACTGTAATCCGTGAGAAGATTTGGCTTAAAAAATAATAATAATGGTGGTTATAATAATTTGGTTGGTTGTGGCTAGCAGAAGAATCCAGGACGCACGTTTCGTCCTATTTGGGACTCGTCAGTTGAATGCACCTACATCTCAGTGATGTTGTTCCCACTGAGACTCGAACCTCATACCCATCGCTTCAAACGCCAAGGCATTATACAGTATGCCAGGAATTGATGATGGCCTGGAGTGCTCGTCCTGGATTCTTCTGCTAGCCACAGCCAACCAAATTATCATAATTAACATTCAGGCAATATCGGGGCATCCGCATAGGAGCCCATATGTCAACAGAGGTCGAACAATCTGATCCAACAAAACAACGGAGAATAACAAGTATGTCAATAAATAGTAATGGTGTTATAGTTATTATAATGTTGCTAGTTGATGACGTAAAGGTTGAATGATAACAAATAGGGTTACATAAGATTTCTAAATCGCTTATAAGCTGCATATAGATTAGAAAGGGATAAAAACGTGAAAGAGTTAGTGAATAATCAGGGGATTGGGTCACGTTTTCGCCCCTTTGTAATCTATACGCACCTTATAAGTGAGTTAGAAATCTTAACTCTTTTTGTCTTCACTCGACCTTTAAGTAATCAACTAGCAGCATTATTATAGCTATAACCACCATTATAGTAAAGATGGATAGTAGCTGGCAGTGGAATCCAAGATGCCCATTCATCCTATTTGGTACTCGTCAACTGAATATACCTGTTCTCTAGTGAGTGATGTTGTCCCCATGGGGATTTCTACTCGGGAGAGATCGTTCCAAATACTAGAGCTTTATCCACTACACCACCGAGGCAAGATTGCCGCTTCTTGTGCGACGGGTATAGTTTTAGTATAATTGGGCATCCTGGATTGCACTGCTATCCACTATCCATCTTTATTGTAATTAGAGCACAGGTAATATCGAATGTACAGGCTGAGAATAAATTCATTGAAAGGAGTCCTCTTCGCTGAATATCTTGTTTTTGGTTATACTTTTGTCTATCATGTTATTGAAACAATCATTTTTCCTTCTAATATTGACTTCTACAGCTCATATACCAATTAGTCCATCTTATTCAGATAGAAGAGTACGCGTTGAAATTAGTGGATTAAATAAACAGAATCAGATTAGTGTGACACGAGTTGGAGATGATGCAACTTTACGATGTCAAGCAATTGTAGTTGATACTAGTTCACCATTATATCCAACACATGGTGTACGTTATGGTTGGGAATGGCGTTATAGTGATGAAGATCCAGTTTCAACTAGTAATGTAGCAGTCAGCTTAGAAACAAATGGAGAACGTTTAGGCTTACGTGGAATTCGTCCACCACCTGGTACAAAAGGTAGAAATGTTAAAGGACGGTGTATAGTTCATGTACCAGCCCACCAAGTTGATGCTTCATTACCTCCTAATGATGTATTGGTTTATGGATCAGACTTCTTTACAATAGATGTTGCCAGGAAACCGACAACTGTTGATCCACAATTAATTCCTATACCAGGAAAAGAATCAGGTAAGTGAATTATTTACATAATGTTCGTTACACTATTATAAAATTCACGGATAACTTAATTGCTATGAACAGAGGTATCTATGTTAGGTTGATATTCATCATGAACTGATATCAGTTGGGGAATGATTGGAAACTTAGGAACACCGAACGGCTACTTCTTCCTAGTATGACACTTCAGCAGGGCGCACCCACATCTTTCAGGTTCCGCTGTCAGCCTGTTATCACTGAACCAGTGGGTCTGAATCCAATGGTGCATATAGCGTGACCTGTATCCGATTTCGTAGTCGAGTAACTGTTCTCATGTTCGACGTGATTGCCTCCATCTGGCATGACTTCTCATGTTATGATTACATCTTATACTGAGCACATGTATACTTCATACGACTTGATAAAAACTGAAAATCAACATAACAGATAAGGTATATGAAGATTTTTTCAGAGAATGTTTCAACAAAATAGATTAGATTTAAGTGTATACAAATTCTCCTGCCTCTGATACCAACTAATCGAACTGGATAGTCATGGGCTGGCCACTCCAAAAAATTCCTGAATCGACCACCACCAACTGCAACTCGTCCAGAAATATCACCACCAACCACAGAATCTACCAGTGAACACAAACACTCCAACAAAAGCAGAAGTGAAGTCCTCAACGCTATAAAGTTTCTGAAAGCCAGGAAATCAGCATGACCAGATGGAATTTCACCAGAAACACTGAAGACAGATGCAGAGACATCAGCAGACATGCTCACATCACTACTGCAGAATGTTTGGAGGGGTTGAAGTAAATGTACCTGCCTATTGATTTGAAGAAGGGTTACCTTGTCAAACTCCTAATGAAGGGAGACCTAAGTCTTTGCAAGAACTGGCGCTGAATCATGCTACACTCCTGTCAACCTCAAACAAAAGATTAAAGCGCATCATCCTGGAGAGACTAAAAAATGCTCTTCAGGAAGAAAAAAGCATGTGTGGATCAAATTGCAACGCTACACTACGTATCATCATTGAACACAGCGTAGGACGGGAGTCAGCTGGATCTTAACCTCAATTCATGGATTTCATGAAGGCCTTCGACAGAGTTGACCGTGAAGTAATTTGACAACTGTTGCAACACTACGTTTTAGTGCCACAAACCACTATCAACCTCATTCAACAGTAGATATATGCAAGATGATGGATGCCACATGCCAAGTGATTCACAATGTAAAGCTCAGTGATGCCTATGAAGTGAAGACAGGAAGGAGTTAAAACAAAGTTGCGCCTACTAACACTGCTGATTTTCCTGATTGTGGTTGACTGCTCCGGAATGGATCATGCAACAAACAGTGGGGAGTGAGAAGATCGGCATACACTGGCTGGACCTATGAAATGATACCAGAAGATTTGGATTTCGCCTGCAATGATATACATCTGATGCCACACATGAAGCGAGGTGGCAAAGAAGGGACTTCCTTCAGGTGGACGTAGAGAAGACAGAGGTGATGAAGATACCCAACGAACAACAACAAAAACAAGCACAAATCAGCATCGGTGGGATTAATCTAAGAGAAGTTGTCTCTTTCACGTACGTATGCAAAGTAGAATCGTTTTAACTACAGATGCGGGCACAGATGAAGATGTGAAATCCAGGATCGGTAAGACAACAAGACAAGACTTCATTAATCTGAAATAATCAGTGTGGATATCTACTGCACGTCACTACGCTTCATTGCATTCCCTCCGCCTAAAGCGTGAACAATATCCAGATTTTCAACACTGATTCAGTCAAGTAAGTCAGTGGTTTTATGAGATGGTTGAGAGACTTGGTGCGCTGTGAAAAGCATTTCCAACATACTACAGACATGCATCGCATGAACAGCTGCCACCTACGCTTACTCGATACTGAAGATTAGATCAGATGTCCCGAACAATAAGTGTAAGCAAGAAGGAATTCTGGAGGGCAGGCAACGAACCAACCAAGAACCTATCTCCCAACAAATATGCAGAGGAAAAAATGTAGATGGATTGGTTTGAAAATAGGCTGAGAAGACCATTTGTCGACATCACACGCCGAGGTCTTGAGTGGAAGGCAAAGGTGAAACGACGAGTTGGGCGTCCGAGGCAAGGGTGACATGGAGGAGACCATGTGAGGAAGAAATGAAAGCTTCTGGACAGTCGTGGCGCCAGGTTTAAAAGACTGTAATGAAGAGAGTGGAATAAAGACGTGCTACTGAAGCCCTATGTTCCACTAGGAACCCAAAGGACAAATTATAATATTATAATAATAGTCATGGAATCGTTGTCATAACTAGATTACTTGTATTTATTTTATAGCAGATATGGTGATACAGTATTATTTTTCTAGATGACGTTTCCAGTACAATTTATCACCGATATTCATACAAGCATAATCACGTAACTTTCAGATTTCCAAGTAGAAATTTGACCAAATTGAGAATCAGAGGGGGATTTCAATCTAGAAATCAACTCATAAGGGAACGTTTTCGGTTTACAGACCAAATTAACTTGATTAAACAGAGTAATTTATTCTCCCGGATACCATACTGTGGTTATAGGGTCAGGTAAATAGGTCAAGCGAAATAGTCAAGGTTAGTTAAGCTGTCATATGGCAAAACATAACCTGAATTGAGGATTATAGACTCGAATAAGAAAAGTAATTTAAAGTCTCCTATACTAGATGATTTATAGTGAAACTGTTATGACTTTGCCTAGTAGTGATTATCTGAATCAAGAGAACTTGTGGGGTTACTACTTCTAGCACTGACCTTACATTTGATTAAACATGCATATACTTGGCACATCTCGTATAGTCGGTTTACTGATATGAGAAGTCATGCAATTTCACCCTCATATCCTCGTACAACAGAATACAAAGACTAGTCTTTATTGCCCGTTTTGCCTTTCCGACAATCGATATTATTGGTATATACAACTGGTTTCACTCAACAAGTAATTATTTCTGATCTATTGGTTGTACAGAAACGAATAACGAGTTAGTCGAAAGTGCATGTACCGAGACAGCTATATAGTAATGCTAACGAATAGATCAACAACTCAATGACATTCATATATCACCCTCACCTCTGACGCCCAACTCATCGTTTCCCATCTGGGTCCCACTTGACAACCTGGCCTGACGCGTGATGTCCCCAGTTGGCCTTCTCAGTGTATTCCCAATCCAACCCAATCCAATCCATCTCCATTTTCTTCGTCTGCCTGTTTGTTGGGCGATAACGTCTTGGTTGGCTCGTTGTCAGCCAGCCACAGTTCCTTGTTGCTTATTCTCATTATTCTGGTCATCTGATCTTCAGTGTCAGAATCGAGTGAGTGTGGGAGGCAGCTGTTGATGTGATGTATGTCTGTAGTTTGTTGGAAACGCTTTTGGTGACATGCCAAGTTTCTGAACCACATAGAAGCACTGACTTACTTGAGTGAGTTATTGTTGAAAATCCGCATGTTGTTCACGCTTTATGTTGAGTGCAGTAGATCTCCACACTGATTATTTCAGATTAATGAAGTGAGGCCTGTCTTACTGTCTTTCTGATCCTGGTTTTGAAACCCTAATCTGTGCCGCCACCGCCTGTAGTTGAAATGATGCTGCCTGCGTAGGTAGGTGAGTAGGTGAAAGAGACTACTTCATTTAGATTTCTCCCGTTAATAATGATTGGTGCTTGTTATTGTTGATGTTTTTGTTGGTTGGGCATCTTCATCACCTCCATCTTCTCTACATCCACTTGAAGTCTCATCTTCCTTCGCTACCTGTCCTCTTCTGCCAGCTTGTTGGTTTTCTTTTGTAGATCTTCGAGATTGTGAGATATTAGACACAAATCATCACTGGCGAAATCCAAATCTTCTAGGATCATTTCCCCGGTCCAGCCAGTGTATGGTCATCTTCTCACTCCTCACTGTTTGTTGCATTATCCAGTCCACTACAATCGGGAATATCATGGGTGATAGTAGACAGCCTTGTCTTACTGCTGTCATTTGTCTTCACTTCGAGGGCATCACTGAGCTTTACATTGTGAATCACTTGGCATGTGGCATCCATCATCTTGCATATATTTACTGTTGAATGAAGTTGATAATGTTTTGCGGCACAAAAGCTATAGTGTTGAAGCAGTCGCCTGCCAAATTACTTCTCGGCCGACGCTGTCGAAGGTCTTTTCATAATCCATGAAATTGAGGTGGAGAGTTGACTGCCATTCTATACTGTGTTCAATGATGATGCGTAGTGTAGTGTTGCAATTTGTTCCTCACATTATTTGTTCTTCCTGAAGCCAGCCAGCCATCCAGCCTGTTCCGGTTGTAGTTTTGAATGCGGAACATTTTTTAGTCTCTCCATGATGATGCGGCTTAATATTTTGCCTGGGGTGGACAGGACCATGAATACCCGCTGGTTCTTAGAAAGTCTTTGGTACCTTAATGAAGTACAAATGTTTGAGGTTAATTCACCTTGTGGTTAACACCTCATATGGAGCCTAGTTAATATTTTCCGAAAGGGTTGAGTTTAGTCATCACTACTACTATTTTCATGTTCTATGGAACTTTCTCAATGATCAATTTCAAGTTCTATATGGATATACACATTATTGTAATAAAACAGATTTTATGCAATTCGTTTGTTTAATAAATAATCGAACAATGAATAACTAGGCAGACATTTGCATATTTGAGTATATGAGTTGTGATTTGTGAAATTATTCAATCTCATTGAAATTCTTTCAAACTTGTAATTGGTTTATCTTCATTCTATGCTTCATTTTAGATAATATTGAAATAATAGTGGATGAACTGGACAGTGAAGGTTATCTAGTTGGTAATGAGAAAGAAAGCGCCAGTGTTGTCTGTGAAGCTAGAAGTAAGTGATTAGATAAACGTGGAAGTATAACTTGATACTACATATTAACGGTTACATTTCCATTTGCAACCCTTCCATTGATACAGCTTAACTGTTCAATGAAGAAATTACAATGTTTCTTATTTGAGAATTATCAGTTTACTCTGTTAGGTTAACTAAAAGTTTCTCAAATGACAGGAATGTCTGGTGGATATCAAAATAAAAAGTACGCCTCGTTGCAGCACGTAAGCCTATCGGAACTCCACGACTCTCGTCTGTGTATTTCAGCAGGTAGCGCGTCTCTTATGCAGCATACCAAGCGGTGCTAGCGTAAGGATTACAAGGCCTTCTGATCAGATCGCGTTATTGAGATGTGAACAGAAGCTGCATCTGTCGATAGTCAGAAAACATTCCAGCTCATCTGAGCCAACACTGACAAGAAGCTAGGTAGCAGTTAAATGGTCTGTGAAGTAAGCGGTACTCTGATTATCAAATTCTGTCGACACTTTAGACCATGAGTAGAGCATTTCGGAAAGCAATCCAACTTGCCTATTGCTTTAGTAACATTGATTTCAATACCATATCCTACAAGACTCGTAAACACTGACCTATCCTAATTTCATCAGATATGCTGATGACCTAGCAGTTTCCATACCTATCTCCTCTTCAGCAGATTTTTCCCAAGTGAACAATTTCCTATCTACTGTTAGACGGTATTCCTTCGAGAATGATCTTATGCTTAATTCTTCAAAATGTCAGACCATAAACTAGTTTTAGACGTGAACCCAACTTATGTAAACTGCTTAGTTCTCATGATTCCTGTTCTGTTGATAGTTGTGCATTAGAGAATGTTACAAGTGTGATTTATCTCGGTGTGTGTTTCTTTTCGGAACTTTCCTGGCCTTCCCATATCTTAGTAACTTCCAAAAGAATTTTCCACCTGACTTTCTATATTAGAAAGCTGACAGCATCTGGTATAACTCAGCCTCTCCACTTGTGTTTTATAAACTCCTGCATCTTGCCTGTTCTCCTCTATTGTTCCCCTTTATTTTTTTCCTGGGTTGCTTAAAGATGATTATGCTTTACTGTGTAGGACTTCGAAGATTTTCAGTAGAACTAGTCATGTACCTCTAAACCTTCTAGTTGAAACAATTATGGACAAACATATTAACTAATACAAACATCTGGCAGGAGTTATTTTATCAGATGACCAGTATCCTATTCACTCATACCTTTCTGCATGTCGGTCATCAGGAAAGACGAGGAGCAAGTACATAAAACTTTATGCATCGACTACAAAATATAAATACTGTACAATACTGTACGTATTTAGCTCGTCTACTGTGTGATGAAGGAAGTATACTGAATGAACTAACTAATCAAATTCGGTTTTTGAAAGCAAACTAATGAGCGTGTTACTTTTTAGGTACTACGAATCGAATTGCTAATCTGACTGTCTACCTAAATTAACTGCACATTTTCAAGAAAGTTGTAGATGGAGTGAATATTGTTATCTTTTTATCTGTGTAACTTATACTGATTTCATTTTCCTATGTATACATAAACACTGTCTCTGTTCAATTGATCCAATATGACATGCTGAAGATTCTGTAGAGTATTCCTGAAATAGCTTTCAGAATAAAGCTATTATTATTACCCACTGAAGCGGGGGTCAGAAAAGAACTTCAAATTATCAATTGCCGTAAGGCACACGGTCCAGGCAAGTGAGTCCCGGTTGTTTTGAATGATAGAGGTGAGACTGTAGTCAAAGAAATCAAGATTATGTTTTAGATAGAAAGGGGGTGTAGCAGACTGCGAGTGTTCCATCACTCTAGAATGAAGTGGGTGTTTTACCCATCTTTAAAAAGGGTCTGCCTAGTGTGTGTAGTAGTCATCACCGTATCAATCTACTACAGGTAATGTCTAAAGTGTCAGCTGCTACCACATTTCGCAGGCTATGCGAAAGTTGTGAGAAACAACTTCAGCAGGAGTTCTGACCAGGTGTTTATTCCTTTATTAACATATCAATATCAAGGTAATTTAGAAGCGTCGAACTTAAGGCTATATCACATATGGTATAGTTATCAAACAACATTTGATGGCTAGTATATCCTAGTGTGAAGCTTCTCAGCAGTGAACCTACACAGCCTCATACAAGGTAGAGTTCAAGACCTACGAATCAACTCCAGACAATATTTCACAATGAAACATTGATTCACTTATAGTCTCTAAGGCTAGCAGACGTACTAACAGCTAACGAAGAAACTTTTTGATCACGAATTATTAGAGACTATTTCTTCAATATCTCTTTGTACCAATATCTTCATATTTTAGATCGTACCACACAACAAAGACTGTCTACAGAAGGTCTACGAGCAGAGTATGATGTAGTGTATGGATGGGAATTCGCTGATGCCACTGGTCGATCAATCGATTCAAGTTTATTTGCTGACAGTGTATCAATCGATTCATCAGGTAATCTACGCTTAAGAGATTTAGTTGCACCGAATCGTGGAAATTTACCCTTTAAAATACGTTGTGTTGCTGTGGTTAGCAAACGTCCAACTACACCAGAAGATAAACCTGGTCCAACGAAGTCGTTTGCATCTGATTATTTTGGAGTAGATGTCAAAAGATCTGATGGTACATCCACAAGAGAAGGTGGTGTAACAGATAGTAAGTTGACTAAATTCCCTCTCTCTCTATCTCTTTCACATCAGTAATATCAAGGTTAATTAAATAGGCATATTCATTATCTTCAATGTCCAATAAGTCCTATTTTTTTAAATTGCATATCGAGATATGGAATGTAGACATTTTAAAAGTATACTCATTACAACAGTTTGGAAAATTGAAGCGAATTTAAAGGCCACCGTAGTAACGATTATAATACCCAATAAAATCCGTTCATTACGGCTGAAAAGGTAGATTTTCATAAAATAAAGCTGTCTGATTGGTTGTTTTAATTGTTACCAGGGTGGCCATTAATGTCACTTGAAAATTGTTAACCATATCTGTAGGTTACTTTCATAATTTATTTCCGCCTGAAATGTTCTTAGTCTTTATGAAAAGCGATATGCAATACACAAATTTGACCAACCTGAAGCATTGGACACTTAGAAAAAGTAGAATTGTAATTAGTCAGTTATCAAACTAGTCGACAGACTGTTTGTAAGTAATCGAGCTGCATACGCTCGATGTTGAAGATAAGATGGCCAGAATAATCAGAATAAGCAACGAGGAACCCTGGCTAGCGGAAGAACGAACCAACCAACAGCCCATGGCCCAAAAAATATGCAGAAGAAAGAGGTGGAGATGGATTGGATTGGACATCTACTGAGAAGACCGTATGGAGATATCACGTGCCAGGCTGTCGAGCGGAACCGGAATGGAAAGGACAGGTTGGACATCATAGGACGACATGAAGTAGATGGTATGAGGAAGAAGTGAAAGCTTGTGGGCAGTCATGAGGCTAGGTTGGAAAGGCTGTAGGGAAGAGAATAAAATGGCAGTGTGCGAGTGAGGTCGTATGTTCCACTAGGAATCCAAGGGACAAATAATAAATAATAACGAAAGCCGTGAAATGAAATCAGCTCAGTTTATTTTCTATATGTCTTTATTCTTGTCTTAAATTACTAAAAGATAATTTAGCGAGGACAATTTTTGTTTCGATGAATCATTTTCAAAAGCTATCACGAGTCGATGATGCCTAGGAGGTCAAATCAAGCTTATCAGAACAAAAAAATGAATATATTATGGAGATTATGACCAAGGCAAAATGACAGACTGAATATATCTTTTTTTGAACATTTTGAGCAGGGTTGTAATACTGAATTACAGGAACTTCTGCTGTATTCAGGTCATGAATACACATTCGCTTCGAAATGTTTGCCTTCACTTTATGAATGACTTTGAAAGAAGACTCTTGTGGGATACGGTGACCAGAGATAACCAAACGTTCAAGAATCGTGCGGTTGACGGCTTTAAAATGTCCTCTGAAAAGCTACGCAAGACAGTCTTTTGAGATGCGTTTGGATAGATTATAGTGACAGGTAAAGAAGATACGGAAGTATTCTCTTTCCTGAGATTTACGTGTAGAGTTTAGAAGAAAGCGCACAGTTCAGTGCTTCATATCTTAAGTGTGCTTATTTATTATATCCAGTATAGATCCCATTAACATGGTTGTATTTCCTATTTTCATTGCTCACTTTAAAATACTATTTTATGGTATAGTTACAGGCAAGTTAATCAAAGTGAAGATTGATGGTTTGAAACCTGATGGAACATTTACAACTCAACTTGGTGGAAATGCAAGTATTAAATGTTTACCTATTGGTAAGTTGTTCATTTTTCAGTGTAGCATAAATTAGCCCTTTTTAAATGACACTGTTAAACTTTTTACCATAAATTGAGAGGGGAAATGTTGATTTCTTTCATATAGTATACACTGATGGGAACTGTTTTTGACCCTCTTAACATTCAAAACATACAAGTGAAGTAAATGTGTCTACATGATTGCAGTTTAAAGCAGCAATCCACAGGTTATCCAACTCAAAGTCTTGATCCAATAGAATTGTCTTAAAAAAGGTTATCATCAAGGATTCATATAAGCTAGAAGGCCATCAGAAGTTGGGAGTACCTGACAGCTGTTTTGTCCTAGTTTGAGACTCATTAGATGTGTGTCGTCATTACATGGTGAAGGATACAGTGAAGACTACCAGGTAATGCAGAGTATGTAGTTCCATATTAGATTTGTTTATTTGATATAAAGCGCACAGTGATACAGTATTATTTACTTGATTACGTTTCGAGCATAAATTATCATTACTCATAATCATCACATCAATGTGTAATCACACAGCACTTCGGATATCTGATTTTATCCAATTCACTTACGAGGAGGTAGGAAATGAACAAGGAGAATTACCCAGGTTGGATTGCAGAATAAAATGAAGGATAGATGTTGGTGTAGATACTACCATCTACAGAAAACCAACACATTCTAACAGATATTCAGACTTCAAGTCATCTCATCCAGTGTCAGTTAAAGCGGGTTTAGTCAAATGTCTAAATAACAGAGCTGAGAAACTCACTAGTCATTGTAAGGACTTAAATAAGGAATTGAAACACATAAAAGAAGCGTTAATAATTAATAATTATCCCCATCATTTTATTAAGAAATTCACACGGACGCATAAGAAGCAAAATAATAACACTAATACAAATACAAATAATAGTGACAACATAAGTAGAAAGGAGATCAGCACCTCTATTGTGATACCATACAAGGAAGGAACATCAGAATACATAAGTAGGATTCTCAACAAGGTTGGAATTAGGGTGGCATTCAAACCAACAAACTCACTTAGAGGTAAGCTTTGTCGGCTAAAAGATCCGATAGAACCAATTAAGCAAAATAATATAATCTACCAAATTCCATGTAATGACTGTGAAGTCAAATACATAGGTCAAACTAGCCGGTCGGGGTCAGTTAGATTAACAGAACATAGGAATTTAGCTAAACATAGAACGACACACCCTAATAAGATCAATAACCTAGAAAAACACTCAGCCATTGCATTACATTCATTAACACACAACCACACAATAGGATGGGACAAAACCACTGTACTTAAGTCTAATATAGCTAGGTGGAGAGAGAGATTAATTACTGAATCTTTGTTCATCGAATTCACACCCAACACATGTAATAGGAATGACGCAACACCTATACCAGAGATATGGAAAACTTTACTACCAATCAAAAAACAAAAAAACAAAGAGAGATCAGGTGACAGGACTATAAAATCAGATGTCGAAAGAAGTGTGATTACATTGATATGATTATGAGCAATAATTTATGCTCGAAACGTAATCAAGTAAATAATACTGTATCACTGTGCGCTTTATATCAAATAAACAAATCTAATATGGAACTACATTCTACCACAGTGCCCAAGTTTTTCACTTATATTAATGCAGAGTATGGCTTTTTAATATTCTCAGATTTTCGGTGATCCTTTAACTGACTTCGGTATATCGTCGAAGATTACTTCGAAAATGAATTGATGAATAACAACAAACCAATAATTCAGCTTGTTCTTCTTAGATCGACAAACTGAATGATGCGATGTGTCGTCGAGAAACAGTGGTCATATAAATCTCTGCTATATTAACTAGTTTTCTAGTAATAGTAATTAAAAAAGTTTGGTGGGTAGACTAAAATGGTTCAACACTGACCTACTTACAAAGATTCAGTTAACAGAGTCGAATTGTTAGACTAATTAAAGTCTACAGACTATAGTGAGGTGATTAGTTATACTATCTTCCTAGTATATTTTATTAGTTCATGACTGTCAGTGGGGGGGGGGCGCTTTGTTGAAATCTAGGAGTTAAGAAAGACTCCTTTTCAATTTTATTTATCATCTTCCTCAGTCATTCCTATTAGAAATATCTGAAATTAGTTCTGATCAAGATGTGAAGTCATTTACGGGACCACTATAACCCAAGAAACAAGGGATGACTGTTTAGACGGAGTGGTCACTTTATATACTCCTAGGTGCCGATTGAATCCTGTTGGTTATTTTTCAATATGGTCATCAAGCTAGGACACCAACCTTAAAGATGCAGTGGGATTGATGATCAACAATGAAAAAGGATGATAATATGAAGTTGGTAACTCTTCAGTGACCAAACAGTGCACACAATCAATTCCTGCAAGACGTCGATTGCAGCCTAAATAGCTAAGTGGTAATGTCTCCAACTGCAGTATTGGGTGGTGGCGGTTTCAATCCCAGGCGGGATATCAGTTTGATGGACGTTTCAGATACGCCTTGTTGTCAGTTGTGAAGAAACAGGAAACCTAGGTGGATTAGGGTTTCTTGCTGACTCACTCCATCCATGTAACAATATTTTGACAATTTAGTCAAACAAAACTTACTTAGAGACGTTCAAATCTGATGACGAACAAATCATGCTTCAGTCATGGAGTCAAAGCGCAATGATAATCTTTTTTAACTACAAGTGACTAGTAATATAGAGCTATTACTATTCATTGAATGTTCACTCGAGAGTCATCGTTTTCATGTTGTCTGATCCTCAGTGCTGACCGAATTCTGTCGAACATTTTGCAATATGGCCAGCAAGCTAGTAAACTCACCATCACAATGCACTGAGACAGACCTTAATTGAATGAAGGCAATTGGTCGGAAGCCCTGCCCTGCCTGGTTTTCGTATCTTTTGGTACTCGTCAGAAAGGCGTATCTACAACCTCAACAACACTGATGTCCCGGCTGAGATCCGAACCCACGTTGCCGCTGGGCCATTTGAACCACGACTGACCTCCTGTAGGACTCGGTCACATACGTTGATTAGTCACTGGAAAGCAACTAATTTCATATTGTCTAGTCCTGAGTGGAGACTGGACTCTATCGTTCATATTTGTAATTTGGCCACCAAACTAGGAGGCTGATGATCGCGGAGCACATTGGTAGATGTTAGTTGGTTGGAGGCAATCGACAGAAAGCTGCAGATCTAGGGATCCTGCTTGTCGACACTCGTGAGCAAGAAGTATTTACAACCTCGACAGAAACGATTCTATCTACGGGATTCGAACCTGTATCACTCAGTGTTGTATTTAGCGACGTTACCATTGAGCTATTGGGAGCATTCTCTGTTACTTTTAAGCATTCATTTATCATAAGACAACCAGTCATTACTATGTCATAAAAGCAGATGGACTTCGGGGAACAGATATCATCCCCTAGAAGATGCTCATTGAAACCATCATTTAGTGCGTACATTCTATGGTGAAAAATATGTCATTAGAATTTGTCAAATAATAGTCCTCAGTAAGTTGTGATGGGGAAAATAATAGTGGAACGGAAGTTATTTAGGAAAATGGAAATATTTCGTAATATGAACAGGTACGTGCAAGTCGAAGTCAAGAGTGAGAAAAATCATAACAAGATGAGGAAACACTTGTCAGTGTAATAATAATACTAATACTAATAGTAATAATAATAATAATGGCTTTATTCCAAACAACCGATGTGGTACAGTATGGAATTCTCAGCAAGTTTAATCCTTGTATAATATGTTTGAGCTAAATAATCATTGACGATGGCTTGCTTGGACCTTAGGCTACCAAATTTATCCATTGAACATTTTCAATCAAATTCTTCCCTTTCAATTTGTTTTAATCATTCAAATATATCCTTTGAATGTATCATGTACTCTGGCACATTTTAAACTCTTTCCAACTCTCTGTTTCTGGAGTCCATAGCAAAGCAGGGAAAAAATGTTTTCCCTATATGGAAGTGGACTTTTCAATAAATCATATTTCTATCCGTCAGATACTTAGCTTGAGTTGTAGATATTTGTACCGTCTGAATGAACCACCATCACCATCAAAATTACTGTTGCATTTCTGTTGATTATTCATAATGGACTGGATGCCTATCCAGAACCAGCTGGCCATTTCACATTATTACCTAGAATACTGTTATTATTAACACCATTTCGATGCAATAACCATTTCGTCTGATAGTATTCTTGTTCTGGGAGTGAATTAGTTAAAAAATTACATGCTGAGAATTCCATACTGTCCTATTTATTGTTTGGAATAAAGCGATTATTATTATTATTATTATTATTATTATTATTATATGGCATTTGGATAATGTTAATAATGACACAATGTGAAACAGACACTTGGTGTGACATCAGCCTCTGGTTTGAACTGGTGATTCTGATGGTGGTGGTGTTAGTTATTGAGCGCTTACCAAAATCTGCAATTCCCAATAGTTATCCAAAGAATAGTAATGTAATGTGTTTCTGTGTGTTTATAAGCCCATCTTTTACCGGGGTATAATTTTTTTCTGGAATAACGATAGTTTGAAACCATTTTAAAAATGTGCAAGAGTACATGATACGTTTAAAAAACTTGAAAGATTAAACCGAAGATTAAAAGGAAGGATAATGTATATTATATTAAGTGGAAAATTTTCTGTAGCCCAAACTTTAAAAATGTTGCCTGTTATTTATAGTTATTTGTCCCTTGGGTTCCTCATGGAACATGGGGATTCAGTAGCACACCTCCAGTCCACTTTGTTCTCTGCAGTCTTGTGAACCACGCTCCACCACTGTCCATAAGATTTCATTTCTCCCGCACACGATCTCTTCCATGTCACCCTCGCCTCGGACGCCCAACTCCTCAATTCCCTTTCGATTCCACTCAAGAGCCTGACCTGTGATATCGCCGAATGGTTTTCTCAGTGTGTGCCCGATCCGTCTCCACTTTCTTCGTCTGCCTATTTGTTGGGCGATAACGTCCTGGTTGGCTCGTTGTCAGCCAGCCACAGTTCCTTGTTGCTTATTCTCATTATTCTGGTCATCTGATCTTCAGTGTCAGTATCGAGTGAGTGTGGGAGGCAGCTACTGATGTGATGTATGTCTGTAGTTTGTTGGAAGTGCTTTCGGTGACACGCCAAGTTTCTGAACCACATAGAAGCACTGACTTACTTGAGTGAGTTATTGTTGAAAATCCGCATGTTGTTCACGCTTCATGCTGAGGGAAATGCAGTGCAGTGCATAACAGTGCAGTAGATCTTCACACTGATTATTTCAGATTAATGAAGTGAGGCCTGTCTTACTGTCTTTCTGATCCTGGTTTTGAAATCCTGATCTGTGCCGCCACCGCCTGTAGTTGAAACGATGCTGCCTGCGTAGGTAGGTGAGTAGGTGAAAGAGACTACTTCATTTAGATTTCTCCCGTTAATAATGATTGGTGCCTCTTATTGTTATTGTTGCTGGCTGGGTATTCTCATCATCTCTGTCTTCTCTACGTTCACTTGAAGTCTCGTCTTCCTTCGCTACCTGTCCTCTTCTGTCAACTTGTTGGTTTTCTCCTGTAGATCTTCGAGATTGTGAGATATTAGACACAAATCATCACTGGCGAAATCCAAATCTTCTAGGATCATTTCCCCGGTCCAGCCAGTGTATGGTCATCTTCTCACTCCTCACTGTTTGTTGCATTATCCAGTCCACTACAATCGGGAATATCATGGGTGATAGTAGACAGCCTTGTCTTACTCCTGTCATTTGTCTTCACTTCGAGGGCATCACTGAGCTTTACATTGTGAATCACTTGGCATGTGGCATCCATCATCTTGCATATATTTACTGTTGAATGAAGTTGATAATGTTTTGCGGCACAAAAGCTATAGTGTTGAAGCAGTTGCCTGCCAAATTACTTCTCGGCCGACGCTGTCGAAGGTCTTTTCATAATCCATGAAGTTGAGGTGAAGTGTTGACTGTCATTCTATACTGTGTTCAATGATGATGCGTAGTGTAGTGTTGCAATTTGTTCCTCACATTATGTGTTCTTCTTGAACCCAGCTTCTTCTGGTCGTAATTTGAATCTAGCACATCCTTGAGTCTCTCCAAGATTATGTGGTTTCTTATTTTACTCGGGGTGGACAGAGACAGGAGCATGATTTCTTGCCAGTTCTTACAAAGATTTGGGTCTCCCTTTCTTGGGAGTTTGACAAGGTAACCCTTCTTCTAATCTGCAAATACCTTCCCTTTCTCTCTTCCAGACCTTCTACAATAGTGGTGTGAGCATGTCTGCTGATGTCTCTGCATCTGTCTTCAGTGCTTCTGGTGGAATTCCATCTGGTAATGCTGCTTTCCTGGCTTTCAGCAACTTTATAGCGTTGAGGACTTCACTTCTGCTTTTGTTGGAGTGTTTGTGTTCACTGGTAGATTCTGTGGTTGGTGGTGATATTTCTGGAGGAGTTGCAGTCGGTGGTGGTCGATTCAGGAATTTTTTGTAGTGTTCAGCCCACCCTTTCCTTTGTTTCTCCTCCTTGCTAACTGGGTTTACTTTGCTATTTTTCATTAATTTCTTCTGGGTTGATGTCTTCGCTCCCAGATAGCAACTCGGTTATTTGATATAGTGTTGTCAGGTCTCTTCTACCTACAGCAGCCTGTTCTGCTTCATCTGCTAATGTGTCGTAGAAGTGTATTTTTTCTTTACACTGGTATAATTTATGCTTCATCATTTTCCTCTCCTATGTTGCTTATACTATATAGAATGATAATTTAGTTACTGGGCTGAAAATGTTATTGTGATAACAGTACAATAGTGAAAAAAGTCAAGTTGGGTCTAAGAATCGAAAAATCGTAAAATATCTCAGAGGTGTGAATAAGGACAGTGGGTAACAAAATCAGTTTTGTATACATAATCATGGCCTCCTATTTAGCATTACTTCATACTCAACAATACAATCTAATCGCTTCGTGACACCCTTCAAAGATTACATTCCTATTTTGTAAAGTAGTGTAGACAAACCTTCTGAGGGTTTGTATCAACTAATGACATAAATGTTATAACATAGAGCTATTGATCCATTTGCAAAGACTTTCATTAAGATGTACTGAAGGTGTTGACTTTGACATCTCCGAGTATGACTTATGTACCTAGATCTTCAACAACAAGTGAGTCGATATATACTCATAGAAGTGGATAGTAATGGCCATTTATGTTTCATATACATGTTAATCATTAAATGACTAGAATAAGTGATTTTCATGGTCACTACATAGAATATACTTTTGATAGCCTAATGGGTAGTATTCTATCCACTTCTGATGAATATCTGGGTCAAAATTTCAACTTTGTCTTCGAAAGTGTTTAACGCATAAAATGTTTAGATTTAAGAATAAAAGGATATTGATCCTATTGGACCAGATGGGACTCCAATAAAAATTCAAGATACAAACGTAATAATATCATAGAAAATGAATTTGTTCATCAAAGTTTCTCTTCTATTATACCAAAAACATTTTATGAGTTAAAAGTAGTACTCATCATGGACTGACATCAGTTGGGAAACCATTGAAAATATGAGAGCACTAGACAACTCATTAATGACTTGATTCCAGATGGATATCACAAAGCTCTAATGAGAAGCCATGACCTGTGGGGTCAACCAGTCGGAAGTGAAGTGGATGCTAACTGAAGACCTTGGGTGATAGTCACACTATGTCGTGAATTGACAGAAGTTGTAAATTGTGGAGCAGTGGAAACCGATCCAGTGTCTGAATGTTAAACGCGTTCTCCGTGTAATCTGAAGGTGGTGAGTTCGATCGGTAGCCGGTTGGTGGGTGCATACTGCTGAGGAGTCCTATACTAGGACGGAACAGCTGTTGAGTGCTGGCATATTTTTAGTGGTTCCCCAACTGATGTCAGTCCATGATGAATATTACTTCTGAACTAAAAAAAATCCCCATTCATCTCAAAAAGACATTTTATGAGTTCGCCGAATTTCATTTTCTTTTTTTTATACCTCTACTGTTCTTTCATTTTGTATCAAAAGATTCGAAAACTAACGAACCTATTGAAGATTTAGTTGTTGGATGGGATATTCGACGTTCTAATGGAGCAATTATCAATATGGGTATACTAGCAAATGAAGTTGAACAAGAAAGAAATCAACTTAAATTTTATTCAATGAAACCGTTGAATTCATTCACAGATGATATACAAGGAAGATGTTTAGTCTATTATGAAAATCAGATATATCGATCTGATTACTTCAAGATTAAAGTATCTACTTCACCTAAAGAAACGGATGTTGAAGGTGAGTGATAGCTAATCTTAAAGAATTATTTTGTTTATGATGTACAGTTATATACTATTTCATATGAAGGATAAAGAATATTGGTTTTTGTTCCACTGTCTAAAACGTGTTTACAATTACATTTATTATATTTACTTTATTTGTCCCTTGGATTCCTAGTGGAACATATACCTTTACTAGCACGTCTCCATTCCACTCTCTTCTCTGTAGTCTTTTGAACCTGGCTTCATGACTGCCCACAAGTTCTCATTTCCTCCTCACACCATCTCCTCCATGTCAACCTCGACACCGACGCCAGCTCGTCGTTTCACATCTGGGTTCCAATCGAGGGACTGGCCTGACACGTGATGTCCCCAGTCGGCCTTCTCAGTGTATGCCCAATCCATCTCCATTTCCTCCCTATGCATATTTGTTGAGTGATAGATACTTGCTTCTTTGGTTCGTTGTCAGCCACAATTCTTCCTTGCTTATTCTTATTGTTCTGGCCATCTGAGCTTCAGTAACGAGCCATAGTAGGTGGCAGTTGTTGATGAATGTCTGTAGTTTGTTGGAAATCCCTTTCGTAACGCGCCGCCAAGTCTCTGAACCATATAAAAGCACTGACTTGACTGAATTGGTGTTGAAAATCCGGATGTTGTTCACGCTTTATGGTGAGTGCAGTGGAGTAGATCTCCACAATGGTTTTAGGCTAATGAACGCCGCTGTCGAAAACGTGTTCACAATTTCATTACACTATCTAAATCAAGTCTTGATTAAAATCTTGTGATTATAATTAGAACTAACTATCATGGAATCGAAACTGACTGATACTTAACGATATACTACATGTGATGCAATAAGTCATGTCAGATGAATTATAAAGCAGTAACAAGGTAAAAGTGGACAACTAATGGCAATACGTATACACACATATCTAACGTATACGGTATACGTATGCTTGATGGTGCCTTCAAAACACGTATAGTTAATGAGCAGTATAAACGTTTGAGTATACCAAACTATTATATAAGTTCAACAAAAAGAGTGAGTCATATAAAAGAGACGTATGTTGAACAATGCGAAGCTAAGGTGTGATATCTTGAGAGACGTTTCTATGGGAAGAAGAAAGTAGAACACATTGACATCCAAAGACGTGGAAAAAAGTCCAACATAACTCAGCAGTATTCATGTTTCTCTATGCAGATTTTAAGGAAATTCATTCGTGTATTCATTGCAGCAAGTTTGACAAAAGCCGTAGGAACAAGTCAGGTTGCTTAACTGTCATTGAATGAAGACGCCACGTGCCAACTAATTCACAATGGGAAGTTCAGTGAGGATGAATTTGAAGTGAAGACAGGAGTAAGAGTAAGACAAGGTTGCGGCCTACTATCACCGATGATCTTCTTGATTGTGGTCGACTGGACTGGATCATGCAACAAACAGTGAGGAACGAGAAGATGGACATACGCTGACTAAACCGATAAAAAGATCTTAGAAAATTTCGATTTCACCAGTGATCACTTGTGTCTAATATCGCACAAACTCGAAGATCTACAAGCGAAAACTAACAAGTTGACCGAAAAGGCAAGGCAGTGAAGACGGCACTTCAAGTGGAAGTAGAGAAGACAGAGATGATGAAGATACCCAACCAACACCAACACCAACAAGCTCCAGTCACCACCAACGGAAGAAATCTGAAGGAAGTAGCTTCTTTCACCCACCCTCCTATACAGCACCGTTTCAACTACAGATGGTGACACAGACGAGGACGTCAAATTCAGGATCGGGAAAACAGCAGGACAGGCCTTCATTAATCTGAAACCAGTGTGGAGATCTACTCCACTGCACTCAGCATGAAGTGTGAACAACATCCGGATTTTCAACACCGATTCAGTCAAGTCAGTGCTCCTGTATAGTTGAGAGAATTGACTGCGCGTTACGAAAGGTATTTCCAACAAGCCACAGACATTCATCAACAACTGCCACCTACACTGGCTCGATACTGACACTGAAGCTCAGATGGCCAGAATAATAGGAATAAGTAACAAGGAACTCTGGGAACGAACCAATGGAGCGAGAACATATCGCTCAACAAATGTACATAGGAAGGAGTTGGAGATGGATTGGGCATACACTGAGAAGACCATTCGGGGACATCACGCACCACGTTATGCCAGTCCCCTGAGTGGAACGCAGATGAGAAACGACGAGTTGGGCGTCGTTGCTGAGGGTGACATGTGGGGAATGATATGAGGAAGGAATGAGAGCTTGTGGGCAGTCGTGGAGACAGGTTCAAAAGATTTTAGAGAAGAGAGTGGAATGTAGACGTGCTACTGAATCTCTATGTTCCATAAGGAACGCAAGGGAGAAATAATAATAGTAAAGTGTAGTAAATCAGAAAATAACTTCATAAAAACATTCATATTCACTGAGTTACTCAAACTATCCTGACTGGTAACTTAGTGATTGTCACCTTTTAACATAGAAAAAAAATTGAAAACTGAACATGCAAGCAAGTTATTTGAACGTAAGGCATCTTTGCTCCATGTTAACCTTAGATGTTCATAGAGAATTACGGGAATAAATTCATTTGTCTCACATAAAGTTTTAAATATCAGACAAAAGCAAGAGAATAGATTTAACAATTTATTCTGAACAGTAAAGTAGTTCAGTGTCCTTGAAAGCAGCTGTAGTCTAGTTTCAGCCCTTTCTCATCTAACTTCTACAATTAAACCTGAGTGATGAAGAAAATGATGAATACACTTTAAAAGTGGATTACAAAAGTTTAAAAAGAATTTTTCTTGAAAGCCTATTGGATTAGAAAGTAACGTTCAGCTTTAGCTTAGAGTGACCACATCTGTTAACACTTAGAGTATAATCCGGCCTATAGTATTGATGATGAATTAGCTGCCCTAAATAGATAAAAGGCAGTTAAATGTTGGGGATTTCTGAAATTTGTAGCTATGAATTACTATTCCCTTAAAAGTTAATCAAATCATGCTGAGAATTTTCAACAAAGAAGCGAATATGTTTCATACATTCCTATCACTTACTTCAAAATTTCCTTATGACCTTATAATATGAACAGTTTTATGTGAATGTTATCATGAACTGACCTCAGTTGAGAAATCATTGAAAACCTGAGAGCATCAAACATCTGTTTCACCCCAGTATAGGATTCCTCAGCAGTATATACCCACGACCTGGCTCTGGCTAGAACTCAGGAAGGGAAGCGGCTGCCAACTGAAGTCCTGGGGGTATTGTTTGCACTATATCGCGAAATTACACAAGTTTTTAACTTTGAACCATCGTGAAACCTGAAAGTGCTGGTTTCGACCCTGTTGGGGCGGGATCTTGGGTGTTCACTACTGAGGAGTGGCATACTAGGACGAAATAGCTGTCCAGTGTTTACAGGTTTTCAATGGTTCACCGACTGATGTCACTCCTTGATGAATACCACCTGTAGATTAAAATCCCCATTCATCTTGATGGTTTCATTTTGATGTATCTACGCTGAAAATGATATTTTGAACAAATGTTATAATAATCTTTTCCTCTGGAGATCATAACATTTCCTCCTATTTATATTTCTTATAGGTGACGGTAGAATTTTGGTACGTCTAGTGGATATCTCACCCACGGATCGTAGAATCATTTTAAAATCAGACGAAATCGAGAAAATACAATGTATTGGAGTTGGTAAGTGTGAATATTGTTTATAATAATAACTGATCATTGAAAACTGGTCATAGCTAACTCCACAAAGAAATTCTTCCAATTATAAATTATCTCTTCAAATGTTGTATTGTCTCCAGTCTCCTTTGGATCATATCTATGATATACCCTTTAATTACACCTTTAATAATGCATAATTCTAAATTTCTAACAATTCCATCAGTTTCAGACGAGTCATTGTGATTCCATCGTGTAATTATTCGACTTCCAGTTAGTTGGTCATAGGTTCGAACCCTGACACAATAGGTTTGATCCAATGACCATTGTATGGACATGCAATTTAGGCGGATTTGAATGTTATTTTCCATTTCTCTATCCTGTGCATATTTAGTATAATAAAATATGAAACTATAGGACTGTATGGAACTCGATTCATGTCGTCTGTAAAACTGCATTATCATAATCGTATAGTTGAAGGACTATTTAGGCGGGAAAAAAATTTTTTGGTTGAGACCATGTGAAAAATGTACACTATCCTTATTACTCAGTTGTTTGAATAGCGAGATTTCGGTCTCATGAAGGATTTTACATATAACATGGAAGAAGTTTAAGAATAAATAGGTTGTTTAGTGGTTATTGATTCCTGATAATAACGTTGTAAAGAAATTCTCTTCTAAGATATACCATAACTTTTTCAGTTTAATAACCAGAAATTCATCTTAGAAACTCTTTCTAAAGGAACATTTTCAGTTTTCTGTTAATTTTAATCCCCAGATTTGAATACAGTCAAACACTGAAATAGTATCCTTCTTCAAGTAAATTTGCGATATATTATGTTGTTCCCCTGTTAGTAGATTAAAACTGGATTACTTTGTGTTCTAAATTTGTGCTATATAAGATTTTCGCGTAATACGATTCCTTTCATCTGGAGATGAGTAGATGACGGGGATATTTACGAATTTTGTCGCAGGTATCATTCACCATTAAATATCAGAAAATAATCGTCGGTATTAATGATAGATGTGGACTATCACTGGAATCCAGGACATGTATAGATAACGCTTTAACGTTTGAAGCGATTGGCCCTAGGTTCGAGTCCTAGTGGCAACAACATCCCTCGCCTGGAAGCAAGTACATCCAGCTGGAAAGTTCTAAATAAGAGGAAACACGAGTCCTAGATTCTACTGTTGAGCAATATCCATCATTATTGACATAACTGAAGATACCAGAAATATTAAGGGATAGGAGCCCATGTGCCAATAGTGGCCTATCATTTCAATCCAATAAACGACGTAGATTCCTATTACTATAATATCAAAACCAAAAATTATTGATCTTACCACGAATACCTGGATATCATTCACACTTGAAATATCCTAAGTGAGAGTAGAAAACTCCATAGTTCTTTCTTTATTCAACCTTCTTTTACTTTGGATACATATACAATGGATACCTAATCGATTCAGAATTGTTTGTTGTACTTACGTGTGGTAAAGTTACATTTTATGTACAATATGATTTCAATTTCTCTTCTCTAGTCTCCTTTCCTTTTTTCTTCTGAAAATTAAATTTAGATGCTCAAACTGGTGAACAATTGAATACTCTAAACTATGGATGGGATTACTACTATACTCTACCTGAAACCTCATTACCTATTCGTGGTTCACTTGGTCCAATGGTTAGTAGAGTTGAAGAATCACCTTCTGGTTATTTGTTTATTGTACCAAGTAGTGGATTAACTCAGAAAGGTATGGCTTATTTACGATGTCGTCTATCAAATGGAACATCAGTATACTCATCCCCTTACTATCGACTGGTTTCAGAAGATGATGAAGAAGTATCTGAAGTTGTTCCAGGTAATTAATAGAATCTGTTGTGTAATTTTTATCATTGTGCACAATGAAGTATACTCTGTGTTAGATCGACTGAATCAGTCATTGTAAATTAATAGTCTCATTAGGACAAAGTAAGGGGATGGCATCACATACACACACCTGTGTTGTACTTATCATATGAATAATGATTTCGATACATAAAGTTTATGTAGACAGGAGTGAGGAAACAGCGGTAGGATTATAAATATACTCCGCTTTTTGAAATGATGAGTGTACAGTTTTATTAGAATCAAGTTACATGCCAATATGAACAGCTGACACTTTGTATAGTGGAAATAAATTTTCCCTGATAAAACTATGGTAAAGCACTTTACGAGTGTTCACTTCTAAGGTTCGAAAAAGTGGTGCTATTTTGCATGCATTCAGTAAAAGGAATGTCTTGTAAAATTCATCCAGATAAATGTTTCCGAGAGTTGTGTAAAACTGGGATAAATTTATACACTTACATTCAAGAGAATTTACCAATAGTAACACATCATGTAAGCTACATTTTACAATTAATGGAAATGACAAGTTCAACTTATAGCTTTGACCAATCAGACAACAGCAATTGTAAAGACGACGGTCAGCCAATCAGAGAAAAGTAAAAAACTGTGCATATAAAACATTAGTTACTCATGAGTAATATGACCTGTAACGTAAAAAATGTCGTAAACCTTATTCTAACACGTGATGCTGGAAATAAACAGAATTATAGAAAGACATTCGTCTACCACAAAGCAAGCTGCAACAAACATCTGAAAGTCCTAAAGTCAAACTCAACGGTTTTATAGTCGAATTTTGAAGGAATTGTAGGGATTTGGAAATATCTCAAGTTGTTATTCATCGTAGACTGATATCAATTGGAGGAACAAAGGAAACCTAGGAGCACTGGATAGCTGTTTCGTCCTAGTATAGGACACTTCAGTAGTGTGCACCCACGACCCCCCAGGGGTCGAACCCGCCACCTTCAGGTTCCGTGCCCAGCACGTTACCATCGAGCCACTGCGTCAGAATCCAGTGGTTCATATTCCAACTTCTGTCAGCTCACGATATAGCACAACCGCCACCCAATGTCATCGTTGTGTAACTGTCCTCATGACCATCAGGCCTTGCCCCCACCGGTCACGACTTCTCATTCCCTGGAGGGGTCGTGGGTGCGCACTGCAGAGGTATCCCATACTAAGACGAAACAGTAGTTACACAATCGCTAAATTTTCTTACATCATACTGATTACATTCGTAAACATGTGTCACAAGTTGTACCGTAGGATCATCCTAAACATTACCTAAAGATTAACCGCTTCCGTAGTTCAACCAAATAAATTTTGTATCTTATTTTTATAGCTTGGAATAATAAAATTTGGAGTGATGGTTTAGCATGAAGGAAAATCTCTGTTTTATTTCACATTCTCAGTTGGTAGACTTTCTGACTGATAGAAGTTTAGACATCAGTGTCTACAGAAAAACTTCATATTGTAATCGTTACTAAGACCTCAAATCATCTCACTGTAAGTCACTTAAAGTTGGCTTAGCAAAATCTCTAAGTAACAGATGTAAAAAGCTTATTATTAAAACAGAAGATCTAGGACAAGGAACCAGGTACATTAAAGACACTTTACGCATCAAAAATTACCTTCCCAAATTAATTGATAAGATCCGTAGCAATGGTAAGAAAAATAACATAAGCAATAGTAACGCAAGTGTTAATAGTATTAATGGGGATGTTAATAATAGTAGTGGCAATACTGTGAAGAAAGAATTCATAAACCCCTACAGTATTGCCACATACAGAAGGCGCCACACAGACATTACGTAGGATTCGCAATAAGGCCAGAAATACACTTGGAAATAAGCTTTGTAGGTTAAAGGATTCCACCTGTTCAGATAGGCGGAATAATTTAGCTTGCTAGTGATTACGAAGTCGAATTAGTCGATCAAGGTCCCTTAGGCTATCCGAGTACAAAAGCCTAGCTAGACCAAAATTGGGGGATCCTAGTAAAGTAAAGGATATTGGAAAAAAAGCTTGGTCATAACTATGCATGCAATTACATACAACCACACAACAGGACTGGATAGAGTGAGAACCCTTCAAACTAACTTAGTAGGGTGTAGCAGAAGACTAATAGCAAAGGTTTTGTTCATCGAATCAACGCAAAATGCATGAAACAGGAATGGTTGTCCACTTGTTCCAGATATAAAGAAAATGATCCTAGCCTAATTTATCAGTAAGAAGGAGGAGACAGAATGAGAACCATATAAAGCAAGTCACTAATGAGCACTATACAGTGATGTATGTTTGAGATGAATGGGGATTTTTCTATTTAGAAGTAGTACTCATCATGGACTGACGTCAGTTGGGAAACCATTGAAAATATGAGAGCACTAGACAACTCATTAATGACTTGATTCCAGATGGATATCACAAAGCTCTAATGAGAAGCCATGACCTGTGGGGTCAACCAGTCGGAAGTGAAGTGGATGCTAACTGAAGACCTTGGGTGATAGTCACACTATGTCGTGAATTGACAGAAGTTGTAAATTGTGGAGCAGTGGAAACCGATCCAGTGTCTGAATGTTAAACGCGTTCTCCGTGTAATCTGAAGGTGGTGAGTTCGATCGGTAGCCGGTTGGTGGGTCCATACTGCTGAGGAGTCCTATACTAGGACGGAACAGCTGTTGAGTTCTCCCATATTTTCAGTGGTTCCCCAACTGATGTCAGTCCATAATGAGTGTTACTTCTGAATTAAAAAAATTCCCATTCATCTCAAAAGTACAAAAATGTATTTCATTTATAAGATGGTTTTCTTAGCGACGGATTAGTCCTACAGACGAATACGCAGACAGATAGATTGACAGAGTAGCATACAGTTTCTCAGAGACGAACTCTGACTTAGGCAATCATACTTCGCTATAGCAGAAATCACTCCACCAGAATATTGACAAACATGAAGAAAGCACGAAAATGCAAGGAAGGTAAACAAATATGAACTGAATGCATCGTAACCATTGTCTCCATTCTGGGGCCATACCATTTAGGATGCCAAACCACTCATTCCTAACATGATAAGTATGTCAGTTAGGCACTTAAGACTGGAAGTCCAAAAATTCATGGATTACCGGTCATGTTCTGCTTAGCTAATCTTAACTTTTTCAAGGAAATTTCGATTGCGCGTGTAAGGTAGATGACGAGTTAGTATGTATTGGACATAAACCTCAATTGATACAGTTTCGTACCTTTTCCACTTGAAACTCTTTTCGAAAATATCTGCTTTCTATTGATAATAGATTATTGATTTATTTTTTTTGTCCCTTGGGTTCCTATTGGAACATACGGCTTCAGTAGCACGTCTACATTCCACTCTCTTCTCTAAAATCTTTTGAACCTGTCTCCACAACTGCCCACAAGCTCTCATTCCTTCCTCATATCATTCCCCACATGTCATCCTCAGCAACGACGCCCAACTCGTCGTTTCACATCTGCGTTCCACTCAGGGGACTGGCATAACGTGGTGCGTGATGTCCCCGAATGGTCTTCTCAGTGTATGCCCAATCCATCTCCAACTCCTTCCTATGTACATTTGTTGAGCGATATGTTCTCGCTCCATTGGTTCGTTCCCAGAGTTCCTTGTTACTTATTCCTATTATTCTGGCCATCTGAGCTTCAGTGTCAGTATCGAGCCAGTGTAGGTGGCAGTTGTTGATGAATGTCTGTGGCTTGTTGGAAATACCTTTCGTAACGCGCAGTCAATTCTCTCAACTATACAGGAGCACTGACTTGACTGAATCGGTGTTGAAAATCCGGATGTTGTTCACACTTCATGCTGAGTGCAGTGGAGTAGATCTCCACACTGGTTTCGGGTTAATGAAGGCCTGTCCTGCTGTTTTCCCAATCCTGAATTTGACGTCCACGTCTGTGTCGCCATCTGTATTGAAACGGTGCTGTGTAGAAGGGTGGGTGAAAGAGCTACTTCCTTCAGATTTCTTCCGTTGGTGGTGACTGGAGCTTGTTGGTGTTGGTGTTGGTTGGGTATCTTCATCATCTCTGTCTTCTCTACTTCCATTTGAAGTGCCGTCTTCACTACCTTGCCTTTTCGGTCAACTTGTTAGTTTTCGCTTGTAGATCTTCGAGTTTGTGCGATATTAGACACAAGTGATCACTGGTGAAATCGAAATTTTCTAAGATCTTTTTATCGGTTTAGTCAGCGTATGCCCATCTTCTCGTTCCTCACTGTTGATAATAGATAGTAAACTCATAATACTTCATAATCTTCACTTACCCTTATAGCCGTTTGTCTGAAGTAAGATTTTCATTGACATTCAATAACACTGTTCACCTGTTTCATTTTGTTATATTCTTATCACTCGGTGACAAGTTCGATAAGCTACCGCATCATTGAGATGAAAGCACTTTAATAAAAATACAAGTACGTGTTATCCGTTAGTCACTGAGAAAAACGTGGTTAATCTAGATTTTGTGGTTGTTGATACTCTTCAGAATAAACTGTTTACTTCTCACTGATCTTAGCCTGTCTCATTCAATCTTCACATTAAAGACTTTATCATTAAACTTTTACATTGTGACTGGTTCTCTGCAAGACTGGATTATGTACACAAATTAGATGCCAGTGCGTGTGTGGGCTGTTATTGTCTAACACTTATTGCTTAACACTGATTAAAGTCCTTCAACCAAGTTTTCATCTAGGCCATACAAATTCCGTTATTCATAGTGTTGTCTGGTTACAACGAATCAAAGTATTCTACGCCCAGGAACTATAATCATTTGCATACATATATCTCGTAGTAGGAATTAAAGGAAATTTATCATTATTTGTCGCTTTGGTTCCTAGTGAAACATTGGGCTTCACTAGCACGTCACTATTTCAATCTAACCTCTGCAGTCTTTTCAACCTGGCTCCACCACTACCCACAAACTTTCACTTCTTACTCAAACAATCCCCACCTTATCATCCTCAGATATCCAACTCGTCATTCCCCATCTGGCTTCCACTCGACGGCCGGCCTGAACCGTGATGTCCACAAACCGTCTTCTCACTGTATGTCCACTCCAATGCAATTCATCTCCACTTTTCTCCTCTGCAGGTTTCTTAGGTGATGGGTTCTTCATTGGTTGATTGATTCGTTGCCTACCTGCCTGCCTGCCCGCAATTCCCTCCTTCTTGCACTTATTATTCTGGCCATCTCATCTTCACTGTCAGTATCGAGTGAGTGTGGGTGTGCAGCTGTTCATGTGATGTATGTCTGTAGTTTTTTTGGAAAATGCTTTTGGTGATGCGACAGGTCTCTCAACCATCAGATAGAATCACTGACTTGCTTGACTGAATTAGTGTTGAGAATCCGGATGATGTTCATACTTTATGTTGAGTGGAGTGAAGTAGATCTCCACACTGATTATTTCAGATTAGTGAAGGAAAGCTGTCTTCCTGTCTTTCCGATCCTGACTTTGACTTGCTCGTTGTTGTCTTCTGGGTGACTGGATTAGATTATTGATTTTGTAGTTGACTGTTTGGAGAGTCCACTAAATGTAAATCGTATGGATTAATTCGTTTTTTTTTTCTTTTTAGTGTCTACTTCAAGATATCTCATCACTGTTCATGGTCTAGACGAAGATGGAAACCTTCAGAGTAAACCAGGAGATAATGTGTCTTTAACATGCAGTGCTATAGGTAAGCTATTTGTTTACATTACACTTTATGTCACCAAATCTTGTAAGTAAAATTAAATATTGTTATTTTTAATTATTTAGAAGTTGTACTGCATTCATATAACGCTCCGACAATTCAATTATGACAGGATGAACAGCATATCTAAGATTTTCTACCATATAAGTAATATGTGAAAATTTCACGATTTATTGGCTACACCTGAGATAGCAGAATGAGGTGCTGTGGATTCGAAACTCTGAAAAGCCATTTTTTCCCTTTAGTTTATATAAAAGTGTCAAGAAGCATGAAAAGTAGGCTGTGATATGACCTTACACTTTACGAGCAATACGAGACTAGTAGACTATGAACGATACAAACCTAACGCCTAACGAATCGACTCTAACGCAAATCAGAACATCAACCATCATTACAATAGTACCACCGACGCGAGAAAACAAGAAAAGACAGACAGTTAGCAGCCAGTTTTTTACTGTCTCAACGACAGTCAACACAGTTCACAACGGTGTTAAATATATACATTCCAAATGACCTTGACAACACCAAATCCACATTTAGGTAAGAATAGTTAGCAACTAATGAGCGTTAACCTTGAGAGCAGAGTGAAGAAAAACAAATAACAGTGTAAAAACAGATACGTAGGTTATTTTAAGGTCATGGGTAGAACACGAGGCAAAGTCACGTAAAATAAGGGGTATATAGTCTGTACTACTCAGTTAAATACATTGTTATGCCTCGACTTATGTGACTGAATGGATGACTGCAAAGTATACACCTTCAACGTCGGCATGCGTTTCTGAATTTCTAATACCTCATCAACTAAAGCCTACCTCTAAAGGTCACTGTTACAAAGACTGAAAAGGCGAATTGCTTTTCTATGAAAGTACTCGAAAATTGTACAATCGCACCAAAAGCTGTATATAATTCCGATGTTACGAAAACTCCAGAAAGTGTTTCTTCACTGAACCAATCGTTTTTACTTTATGAGGATTTGCCGGGTAATCATTTTGAGGCAAATCATGTTTAAAATAAATAAACAAGTGTGGCCTACAATACTCGTCCGAGAATGATGTTTCACTTTCTTCATTCTATTGTCACAGTCTCATAAAGTGTAAACACAACAGAATGGAATCTAGACACATTAATCTGGAGCTCAAGTGGACATACTCATTTTATGAGGATTTACTATGTTATCTGATTGTTTAAACCAAAACAGAAAAACTGTAGTTTGAACCTGAGATACTATGATATCATACTACTAACGGAGAATAAGTAATCTTTCTCAGTCAGACCTAATCAAATCCAAATATACTGATCTGTTGATCATTATATTTAGCTAGCCATCTAAACAGTGAAGGGCCAGTCTACTTATTTTGGTTCGATATCATAAGTGGTGCAACCGGCAGTCTACAAATCAACATCACTAGTTTCTATCTAGTGATTTATACATTATACTCAGTTCCTCTTGTCGCTGAGCATCCTTGCACTGCACTGGTTTATCTCCTGCTTCACCATCCTCCTCTCCTCTATCAGCTTCCATGTATCCGTCGAGATCCATTCCTTATCTTGCTACTTCTTCCTTCGTAATATGGTTGTGTAGGTTTCTTCCCACATAGCTTTCAAAGACTTCCAGTGTTCTTCCACACAGGTTTCTTCAGGGATGTTCCTCGATACCTCCCATTTGTCTTGATGGCTACTGTGAAGGTGTCACATAGTTTCATCCTACAGTTTCTCTTCAGGGTGTTGTACTTGAACTGTGGTCTTCTAACACCAACTTCCTTGAAGGCTATCAACTTGATTTGGAAGGCAGGTTTCTTGCACTGGATAGTGAGTGGTCTGAACCTACATCTGCTCCTCTTCTTCACCTTGTGTCAAGTAGGCTGGCTTCGTCTCCATTTTCTTCACATTGAGATGAAGTCGATCTGATTTTTAGTGCAGTGTGTCCTGGTGTCTGGTGAAATCCATGTCTCTCGCTTTGTGCATATCCTTGTGCTTGAACACACTGCCTCACCTCCAATCACCTAGTCGTTGAATGCACAGAATTCTACAAACAATTCTCCATTCTCGTTCATCACCTCACCTCATCGAGCGCTTCTCGACCCATGATGGATGAGTTCTCTTCCTGTGTTGTCCCCTCCCAGTTTCGCATTCATGTCACCCCACCCATTAGAATTTTGATATCGTCAACTGGGATGTAGTCTTGTCCAATGTTGATTGCAGTTGTCTGTAGAATTCCTCCTTCTTCTCTTGATCTGCATTATTTGTAGATGCGTGGAGTAGCATTGTATGATTGTGACCTTCCTTCCTTTCGAGTTGAATCCATCTTGCTGTCATGATCCTGGAGGAGATTAGCTCCCACTGCATAAGAGCCTTCGATGCTGTTGCAGACATCATGATAGTTACTCCATAACTCAGTGTGCTCGTGGTTGTCGTCTGGGTGACCGGAGTAGATTACTGACTCCTCTCCAGTTGACAGTTTGGAGAGTCCACTCCCATTCCATCTGCTTTCACAAATTCCTAGCACTTCGATGTGATACCTTCTCATCTCGTTTGCAATCTGGGCTGCCTGCTGGATTCAAACATGGTGCGGATATTCCATGTCCTCACGTTTACTTTCGCTTTCATCTAGGAGAGAAGACATATTGGCCAATTGGCTTCCCGAAGGGAGGCTTTCACCAGGTGGCGTCATTTCGCCTCTCCGATTCCAGCGAGGAATAATTTTGTTATTATTTTTTATATTTCGTGTGTGCTGTGAAGTTTGTTTAGCGGTTAGATTTGTTTTAGGGGGTAGGGTTGCTAGCCGTATGCCCAACCTTCCCTCTTTATGTGGGCTTATGACCGGCTAGTAACTAGTGAACTAGTTAACCAGGCGAGGTAACCGTAATGACCAAATTTCAATTAGTTTGGTTTGAAGGCGGTAAACAACTCAGCGGTGCCAAGGAAATGCGATTCAGACAAGTTCTTTCTTTCTACTGTGCAGTTCCCGAACTTCTTTGAGTGACGCAGAAAGATTGGATCAGCAATATCAAGAACATCACTTGTAGTAGGTCAGTGATAGCTTTGTAACAAACCGATCGTACTATCAAAGCAATAATAACTCACATCAAAATTATAAACAGATCCCAACACTAATGTTGGGTAATTATACATTACAAACGTTCTCGGTCACGAATACGTACTGAGAATCAATAAGAATATTCTCGACAAAAAGGGGATCAAAAACTCCGTCTACCAGAATCAAATCAATAAATAAACATTTCTAGTAACCAGTCAAAAGATAAGCAGTCAAATCATAGCACAGCCTTAAGTTGAGCCAAAACAAAATATTGGGTGCAGTTAAACGAAGTTACGTTATCAACAGTTCGGCGCCAAACAATAGAAAAGTGAAGAATTCATGATAAGTCCCAATCAGACGAAGACATTATTCCATTTTAGTCTGTTTATTAGAAATATCATACAGTGAGAGAGCAATAGCATTTACTGGATAACATTTCGGACACAATTCATTATCCATATTCATATCAGGTAACTCAACAACTTTCAGACAGACTCTATGTATTCCTAATTTTCTCTCCTTCTCTGTGATGACAAGGATAGTAGAATTTTCCATATATCTGGGACAGGTGCAGCATCATTTTGATTACTGTATGTATTTGGTGTTTATTCGATAAACAAAGATTCGGTAATCAATCTCTCCCTCCCTCTAACCAACTTAGTTTACAATACTGTCGCCCTATCCCACCCTACTGTGTGATTGTGTGTCATCGCATGCACAGCTATAGTCTAGCTTTTCTCTGGATTTCTAATCTGATTAGGATCTACTAATCTTGAATTAGCTAAGTTTTTGTGCTGTGTTATTCTAATCGACCCTGGTCGACTGATTTCACCTATGCACTTGATTTCGCAGTCATTGCAAGGGATCTGGCAAACCAGGTTATTTTGCTTAATTGCATCGACAGGATCTTTTAACCTACAAAGCTTGTTTCTAAGTGAGTTTGTTGGTTTGAATGCCACTTTACTCCTAGACAGCCTTATTGAGAATTCATTGTAATTCATAAGAAATCCAAAGAAAAATATTGGCAGTGGTAGTAGTAGTAGTAGTAGTAGTAGTAATACAGGTGTTATTATTAATCATCCCACTACTAATGGTAATAATGACGATAGGGTTAAGAGAGAATTCAAAGCTTCTGCTGTGTTACCATGCAAGGAAGGCACCTCAGAAGCATTACGAAGAATTCTCAATAAGGCTGTCTAGGAGAGATTGATTACCGAATCTTTGTTTATCGAATCAACACCAAATACCTACAGCAATCGAACTGATGCTGCACCTGTCCCAGATAGATGAAAAATTCTACTATCCTTGTCATCAGAGAGAAGAAGAGAAAATTAGGAATACATAGAGTGTCTGAAAGTTGTTGAGTTACCTGATATGAATATGGATAATCAGTTGTGTCCGAAACGTTGTTATCCAGTAAATGCTTCTGTTTCACTGTGTGATATTTCTAATAAACAGACTAAAATGGAATTACAATCAACCACAGTTACTAAGTTTTAATTTTATATTAAAGACAAATTATGAGTGTATGATCAAAGAACATAGTCAAATGACGAAGTAATATTACATCAGCTAGGGTCAAAGACGCAATATCCATAATGAGGGTAAAAATATTCAAATAAATGTCAATATTGTGGAATAGAGTGATCACGAGGAATTTTCACAGAGAACGAATTGTATTCAAAGTAACCAGATTATAACGTATCTAGAAGACGAAGAAGAATATCCTCATATTCTTGATTGGGTTAAAGAAGTCGACCAATAGAAACTGTATTACCCTGAGCCAACCAGTCAACAAGACACCAATATCGAATGACCTGAAGTGACCAATCAGGCTGAAAGTAAATGTACTATCTGACCGGAAAGTTTTGAAATACTGAAATGAGGTCACTGATTATACATAGGCTTATAAATAATTTTTATGATGATAATTTTTATTGTATTGAAGAGAATCATTACTCATATTATCGTTTCATATTGTTTCTAATTCTGAGAGTTTATCTATGTATCTGTATTTCCTATCAAGAGCAAAATTTTAGACTAAACGTTCACTTTACAGTACGGTTTTGGTTGTACAACTTATAACCTAATCACAACCTTTATTTTAACTAGTTAAACACACTCATTAAATCTTGAGTAATTTCTCAATAGGCAAACAGTCATAAAGGAGTTAAGAAGGAATGTATCCTCTTTTAACTCTCAGGGTTGAAAAGAAGACAGATATAGAACTTTACTAAATATATAACTTGATGAATCTGATGCCATTTTTTTAATTTTTTATTCTAATTCGTGAATCCTTCATCACACGATTTATACAAATAATTAAAAGATGGTAAGAGCTGCCTGAAAGTATATTTACTTCAGTATCACAGATCAGGTGGTTGAACGCATGTGGATGAATAAATTTATGGTATTTACTTTCACTTCACTCAGTTGAAAACTTAAACAAGTTCTTCTATATGATTAAGATACCATATCTAGTGTGATTTCCTTTGATTTCTGTGTGCAATATTAAAAAGAAACAGCTCTCTTCCTATTGGCGAATTCAAGGTCACTCGACAACCTTTAAAGGACGTCAGCCCCACCGGAAATGGCTACTCAGAAAATAAAAATGCATACCAGAAGATTATCTTTTTTGAACACTTACTAATTCTTGAAGATCCTTCTCCAATACTCCTTACAGTCGATTGTCTCTCTTCAGCTCACCATGTAAACAGAATTTTGCTTGAATATTTCAGTTATTTGAGTTGTGGCATGATATTGGTAATTTTTCATGTTTAAAGTGAGAGTTCTCAGTGTGCTATTAACTTTCACAGAAAATGGAATTTCTAATAATGTTTCTTCTTGTATACTTTTGTTCTCCAGTAGATAGTAATCTAATACCTACGTGCCTTCTTTAAAGCTAAATAAGAAAACATTAGATTGTCTCATTAACCATTTACATGCTCACCTAACAGGCAGTGAGCCACGCGTATTGTGTGCAGGCTAATAATACTACCTGTCTGCGTGAAGCTAGAACCTTCGACTTATTGGTTGAAAGTTACCTATCTAAAGTAGTAAATTATATCTTTATGATGCCAATAAAGTGTCATCCATCTAGAGACACAGAAATACAAATGTTCACAAGAGTATTATGATCACATTTTATTACATAACAAACTGGTTTCTCATCTGAACATTTATAGATCTGACGCTTTGTCCAGTGAAAAAGAAAAAAAAACATGAATTACTGAATTTTAAGGATAAATTTTAGTTTTTACACATTTTTTCTTCATTTATAGACATAACAACAAGAAAATCAGCTGAGAATGTTTTATATGTGTGGGATTTCCAAGAGTCAAATGAACATCCACCTAAGGGTGATTTCCAATTTTCACTTAATCAAGTAACAATTAATAATTTGGAGTCGATTAATGGAATTGTTCGTGGTCGTTGTAAAGTTTCTTATAAAGGATCAAACAAATGGGATAGTTCACCTGATTTCTTTATTCATATTGAAAAGTCTATTGAAGAGGTACACACTAAACCATCGATAACAGATGAGGAAGATAAACAAAGAGAATATGAGGAAGCTGTCAGACAGAAGGGTATCAAAGAAGCTAATGGTGAGTTCTATATAGTAAAATATCTGTTTATATTCCTTTGATACCGAATACTGTTTGGTGACTGAAAGTGAACTGAAAATCTGGACCACGTGGGGGATTCGAACCAGTGACAAGTAAGAGGTGTTTGTTTTCGAAAATGCAAATGATTTAGGGAAGCATGTTTTTAGAAATCCATTGCCTCTGACATACATAACCCTCTTCATAAAACCGAAATATGAATCTCAGATTTCTAAGGGATTGGTTATGAAACCTCAGAACTATACATCAAAGCTACTAAATATTTACAGGGCCTATTATTTTTATCGGAACTTCAAGCGAACGTAGAGAAGACAGAGATGATGAAGATACCCAACCAACACCAACACCAACAACAACAAGAAGCTCCAATCACCATCAACGGAGAAACTTAAAGGAATTAGTCTCTTTCACCTACCCACCTAGACAGCATCATTTCAACTACAGATGGCGGCACAGACGAGGACGTCAAAGTCAGGATCGAAAAGATGGGAAGACAGGCATTCATTAACCTGAAACCAGTAGGTAGATCAGCATGAAGCATGAAGTGTGAACAAGATCCGGATTTTCAACACCAATTCGGTCAAGTCAGTGCTCCTGTATGGTTGAGAGACTTGACAGCGCGTTACGAAAGGCATTTCCAACAAACTACAGACATTCATCAACAACTACCTAGGCTGGCTTGATAGTGAAGATCAGATGGCCAGAATAATAAGAATAAGCAACAAGGAACTCTGGCAACGAAATAAACCAAGAATTTATCGCTCAACAAATATGCAGTGGAAGAAAGTGGAGATGGATTGGGCATACACTGAGAAGGCCGACTGGGGATATCACGTGTCAGGCCAGGCACCCTAGTGGAACCGAGATGAGAAGCGATGAGTTGGGCGTCAGAGGTGAGGGTGACATGGAGGAGATGGTGTGAGGAAGAAATGACAGCTTGTGGGCATTGGTGGAGCCAGGTTGAAAAGATTGCAGAGAACAGAGTGCACTGAAGGTGTATGTTTTACTAGGAACGCAAGGGACAAATAGTAATCAATTATTTTTATGGAATGACCTTCTGGATTCATTTTTCACTTCATAAAAGAACTGATAGAGACTTAAAGACAATTACGAGGGTGTATGAATTATATTTTCTAGCATCAATAGTTGACAGTGGCTAGCAGTGGAATCCAGGACCTACGTTTCGTCTTATTTGGGACTCGTCAGCTGGATTTGCTTGAATTCGAGTGAGTAATGTGATATTAAAGGAAATGCCTTCCATGGTATCCAGTGTTATCCACCATCAAGAAAAATATATTAATATGAAAACTGTGCTCAGATATGCCTTTGAAGTGAAGGCAAAAGTAAGGCAAATTTAGTACCTACTGTCACCCATGATCTTCGTGATTGCGGTTGACTGGACTGGACTGGATCATGCAACAAAATGCGACGAGCGAGAAGAGGCGCATACTCTGGCTGGATCCGTGAAAAGACCCTAGAAGATTTGGATTTCGCCGATGATGATTTATGTCTAGTGTCTTGTCCCACAAACTCGAAGATCTACAAGCAAAACTAACAAGTTGGCAAAAGAGGTAGGGGAGCGAAGACGGGACTTCATGTAACGTAGAGAAGACAGAAGTGGTTAAGACACCTAACTAATAACAACAAGAACAAGCACCAATCACGATGAACGGGAGAAATCTAAAGGAAGTTGTCTCCTTCACCTACCCAGGCAAAGTAGCATCGTTTCGAGGACAGGTAGCAGGACAGATCAGGATGTCAAAGCAGTCAGGATTTGAAAGACAGGAAGACAGGCTTTCCTTCACTAATCTGAAATAATCAGTGTGGAGATCTACTTCACTCCACTCAACATAAAGTATGAACATCATCCGGATTCTCAACACTAATTCAGTCAAGCAAGTCAGTGATTCTATCTGATGGTTGAGAGACCTGTCGCATCACCAAAAGCATTTTCCAAAAACTACAGACATACATCACATGAACAGCTGCACACCCACACTCACTCGATACTGACAGTGAAGATGAGATGGCCAGAATAATAAGTGCAAGAAGGAGGGAATTCGGGCAGGCAGGCAGGTAGGCAACGAATCAACCAACCAATCAAGAACCTATCACCTAAGAAACATGCAGAGGAGAAAAGTGGAGATGAATTGCATTGGAGTAGACATACAGTGAGAAGACGGTTTGTGGACATCACGGTTCAGGCGGGCCGTTGAGTGGAAGCCAGATGGGGAATGACGAGTTGGATATCTGAGGATGATACGGTGGAGATTGTTTGAGTAAGAAGTGAAAGTTTGTGGGTGGTGGTGGAGCCAGGTTGAAAAGACTGCAGAGGTTAGATTGAAATGGTGACGTGCTAGTGAATCATTATGTTCCACTAGGAACCCAAAGGATAAAAATATAATGTATAATAATAATAATAATAGTAATAATAATAATAATAATGAAAACTGTAGCATTATCGAGGCATCTGTTCAAGGAGCCTTCTCTGTCAATACAGATGAACCAACTGGGTCAAGTTATATAAACAGCGGAAAACCACACGCATGAACATTGATACTTGGAGGTGTATGTATATGTATATAGACAACCAGAAAGCGTACTAAGTACCTCTTGGTGAAACTCCTATGATCTTCTTATCATCGGTGATGAGCGTCTCCTAATTGAATGGTTTACGGTATACAGTTAACTAATCAGGTAATTTCTTTGTGTTTTGAGTGTCTACTAACGTTAGACTGTAGACTGTAAAATAAATGTAAGCTGTTTTATGATAAACTGAAGCAAAACATATAAATAAAAAACAGGCTGGAACACTGTGTGATCCAACACCAACTAACCTGCTTTCCTTATTTAGCACTTTATTGCTTACCGAAACATTCTTCATTTCATGATTTGATCACGTGCAAGCAATGTTATGATGAAAAACCTCGTCATATATATACCACTGTGAAGGGGTATATCGTTTGATCATATCCAAGGGCAGAACGGATTATGAAACAGGTACATTAGTGTTTTACTATAGCAGAAGTGGTGTGATTTAACCAATTTCAAGCGTGTCTCTTGTAGTCAAGCTGAGATTTCACCACCAAGACCTTTTAAAGTAATTCATACAGTGCACTAATCGTATAGGATGAAGGTCAAGCTGTAGCATAGATTGACAGACAAACAAACTTTGTCCCACTGGCTGAAAGTTAACGTGTTCACCACAGAAGATGAGCGTCATGTGTTCGACTCATTGTAAAGTCATGGGTGCACTCTACGGAGGACTCTCATATAAGAGCAAAACAGCTATTCAGTGCTCTTAGGTTTTCTGTACTTCTTCAACTGACATCAATTCGTGATGAATGCCAACTTAGTATATTGAATGAACAAGCAAAAATCGACCATTTATATATCTCAAGTGTTTCAAATGATAAACTTTGTGATACTTCAATTACTTAACTCATTGTAAAATCCTAGGATCTATCCCAAAGCTTAGGTACTGATGGTGTTTCGAGTATTATATTTGGAAAATATGCAGATATTTTATATCATCCCCTTACAGACTATCTTCAGTGTATTGTTTTCTAAAAGTACAATACCCTCTGCTTGAAAGTAGATCAAAGCTGTACCTGTCTGTGCCTAAGTCATCTTCTTGATCCGATATTACATTTCAACTCATCTCTATAATTTTACCTTTTTTGAAGGCTATGGAAAAATTACTTCTCTTTATGATTGACCCTTCAGTGATGGTACTCAGAGATCCATAGGAATTCGCCTACAAACCGAGGAGAAGTACTTTAGATGCAGTGACCGTCTTGCATCATAATATTGTTTCTAGCCTAGACAAAGGTGTTAAGTATGTTCGTGGTGTCTTTTTGGATTAATCATCAGACTTTTACTCTGTTCCTAGGCCACTCTTGTTAAATGAGCTTTCCATAGCTCATACTGAGCCATGGGTTACAAAGTGGCTGTAATCTTATTCTTCTGAAAGGAAACAGTATACTGTCTATGAATGGAGGCGCTCCACTTCATTGCTTACTGTAGCTGGTGTGCCTCAAGGTGCTATACTTTCTCCTTTTCTGCTTTACTCTTTATTAATTATGTTGATGAACTGACAGCGTCTATTCCAGTCAACTCTCAGTTAGATTGCTCTGAATTGAATGGATTCTTGTCTCTTATTTACCGGTAGTCTCTCTCAGATGGTCTCAAGTTAAATCCTTCTAAATGTTAGATTGGTAATTTTAGCCTCAGGCGTAAACAAGACTTGCATGCGATGAATAAGTCTTATGATGTCTGTTGGATTGATGGTATTTCTGAAGAAAGTAAGTCGAGTGTTAACTCTCTTGGATGAAGTTTTACCTCCGATCTTTATTGGTCTTCTCATATCTTGTTGACCTGTGAAGAGAATCTTTCGTTTAACATATTACATAAAGTAACTGAGGCTGTCTAGTATAACTCAACCTCTAATTGTGCAATCTGTTAATTCCTGCATTTTATTTATTCTTCTCTATTGTTCCCCACTGATCTTCTCTGGTCTTCTAAAAAAGGACTGTGTTATGTTGCGTAGGTCTTTGAAAGCCGTCAGCAGGATGAGTGGTGTGCTTCTAGTCCAACTGACTAACACTGTGGTTGGTAGACATTTAAATTGTAGCAGGCAGTTAGCTACAGTAATTTTAACTGACACTGAAGATCCACTTCACCCACAGTTGTCTCTCTCCTTGTATATCTTCAGGGAGGACAAGAAAAAACTAAATTAGATTGTAAGTTCATACAGTTAGATATAAGAATTCGACTGCACCTTACCTAGTATGGATATTATTTGAGGAGAAGCGTGCTGAAACAGAATTCACATATCCACTTTTTTATTGTTATTTATTATCAGTCCCTTGGGTTCCTAGTGGAACATAGGGCTTCAGTAGCACGTTTCCAGTGAAATCTGTTCTCTGAGATCTGTTCAACCTGGTTCCACGACAGCCCACAAGCTTTCATTTCCTCCTCGCACCACCTCCTCCATGTCACCCTCGCCTTGACCCCCAACTCGTCGCTTCCCATAGGGATTCCACTCAACGAACTGGCCTGACGGGTGATGTCCCCAGTCGGCCTACTCAGTGCATGCCCAATCCATCTCCACTTCCTCCTGCATATTTGTTGCGTGATAGGTTCTTGGTTGGTTTGTTCCTAGAGCTCCATGTTGCTTATTCTTTCTGGCCATCTGATCTTCAGTAGAGAGCGTAAGCAGTTGTTGATGAATGTCTCTAGCTTATTGGAAATCCCTTTCGTGACACGCCAAGTCTCTGAGCCATACAGAAGCACTGACTTGACTGAGGTTGGTGTTGAAAATCCGGATCTTGTTCCACATGCTGAGTGCAGAGGATCTCCACACCGGTTTCAGGCTAATAAACGCCTGTCTCGCTGTATTTCCGATTCTGACTTTGACATCCTCGTCTGTGCCTGTGTCGCCTGTAGTTGAAACAGTGCTTCCTAGATAAGTGAAGGAGGTTACTTCCTTTATGTTTCTCCAGTTGATGGTGATTGGAGTTTGTTGTTGGTGGTGGTGCGGAATCTTCATCACCTCTGTCTTCTCTATATCCACTTGAAGTCCCGTCTTCGCTGCCCTGCCTCCCCTCTTCTGCCAACTTGCTAGTTTTTGCCTGCAGATCTTCAAGTTTATGTGACATTAGGCACAAGTCATCGTTGGCAAAATCCAAGTCTTCTAGGTTCTTTTCCTCAGTCCAGCCAGCGTATCCCCCTCTTCCCACAGCTCACCACTGTTGTCTGCTGCATGATCCAGTCCAGTCAACCACAATCAGGAATATCATGGGGGATAGTAGGCAACCTTGTTTCACTCCTATCTTCACTTCAAAAGCATCACTAAGCTTTCCATTGTGAATTACTTGACATATGGCGTCTTCATATAGTTGTTGAATGAGGCGGACAAAGGTTTGCGGTACTCCGTAATAATGAAGCAGTTTCCAAATTACTTCTTGGTCGACGCTGTGAAAGGCCTTTTCAAAGTCGATAAAGTTGAGGTAGAGAGCTGATTGCCATTCTATGCTCTGTTCTGTGATGATGCGTGGTGTGGCGTTGCGATTTGGTCGGCACATGATTTGTACTTCCTGAATCCAGCCAGTCAGGCTGTTCCGGTCGAATTTTTGAATCCAGCGCATCCTTTAGCCTTTCCAGGATGATGAGGCTTAATATTTTGCTTGCTCTGGGTGGACGGAAGAGTGATTCTGTGCCAGTTCTTGCAGACACTGAGGTCTCCCTTCTTCGGCAGTTTGACAAGGTAACCCTTCTTCCAATCAATGGCCAGGTACCTTCCCTTTTTCTCTTCCAGACCTTCTATAATAGTGGTGTGAGCATATCCGCTATGGTCTCTGTGTCTGTTTTCAGTGCTTCTGGAGGGATCCCATCTGGTCCTGCTGCTTTCCTGCATTTCAGTAGCTTTATGGCATTCAGAACTTCCACTTTTGTTGGAGGATTTATGTTCACTTGTATTTCTGTGGCTGGGCTGTAGATGGTATTTCTGGACGAAGTACAGATGGTGGTGGTGGTCGATTCAACAGCTTCTTGAAGTGGTCGGCCCATTGTTTCCTTTCTTTCTCTTCTTTCGTAATTATATTTCCTTCATCATCTTTTATTGGTTTCGTCTGCGTTGATCTCTTCCCAGACAGCAAGTAACCTGGTTATTTGATACAATGTCGTCAGGTCTCTCTTACCTGCAGCCTGTTCTGCTTCACTTGCCAGTGTTTCGTAGAAGTGTCTTTTGTCTTTGCGTGCACTCTTCTTTACTTCTTTGTCCAGTGTTTTATACATTGTGCTCAGTTCCTCTTGTCGTTGAGCATCCTTGCAATGCACTGGTTTATCTTCTGCTTCACTATCCTCCTCTCCTCTATCAGCTTCCAGGTATCCGTCGAGATCCATTCCTTATCTTCTTTCTTCTTCCTTCCTAATACGGCTGTGCAGGTTTCTTCCCACATAGCTTTCAAAGACTTCCAGTGTTCTTCCACACAGGTTTCTTCAGGGATGTTCCTCGATACCTCCCATTTTGTCTTGATGGCTACCTTGAAGTGTCCTTTGTAGTTTCATCCTTCAGTTTCTCTTCTGGGTGTTGTACTTGAACTGTGGTCTTCTAACACCAACTTCCTTGAAGGCTTTCAACTTGATTTGGAGGGCAGGTTCCTTGCACTGGATAGTGGGTGGTCTGAACCTACATCTGCTCCTCTTCTTCACCTTGTGTCAAGTAGGCTGGCTTCGTCTCCACTTTCTTCACATTGAGATGAAGTCGATCTGATTTTTAGTGCAGTGTTTCCATCTGGTGAAATCCATGTCGCTCGCTTTGTGCATATCCTTGTGCTTGAACACACTGCCTCACCTCCAATCACCTAGTCGTTGAATGCACAGAATTCTACAAACAATTCTCCATTCTCGTTCATCACCTCACCTCATCGAGCGCTTCTCGACCCATGATGGATGAGTTCTCTTCCTGTGTTGTCCCCTCCCAGTTTCGCATTCATGTCACCCCACCCATTAGAATTTTGATATCGTCAACTGGGATGTAGTCTTGTCCAATGTTGATTGCAGTTGTCTGTAGAATTCCTCCTTCTTCTCTTGATCTGCATTATTTGTAGATGCATAGCGTAGCATTGTATGATTGTGACCTTCCTTCCTTTCGAGTTGAATCCATCTTGCTGTCATGATCCTGGAGGAGATTAGCTCCCACTGCATAAGAGCCTTCGATGCTGTTGCAGACATCATGATGGTTACTCCATAACTCAGTGTGCTCGTGGTTGTCGTCTGGGTGACCGGAGTAGATTAGTGACTCCTCTCCAGTTGACAGTTTGGAGAGTCCACTCCCATTCCATCTGCTTTCACAAATTCCTAGCACTTCGATGTGATACCTTCTCATCTCGTTTGCAATCTGGGCTGCCTTGCTGGATTCAAACATGGTGCGGATATTCCATGTCCTCACGTTTACTTTCGCTTTCATCTAGGGAGAGAAGACATATTGGCCAATTGGCTTCCCGAAGGGAGGCTTTCACCAGGTGGCGTCATTTCGCCTCTCCGATTCCAGCGAGGAATAATTTTGTTATTATTTTTTATATTTTGTGTGTGCTTTGAAGTTTGTTTAGCGGTTAGATTTGTTTTCCGGGGTAGGGTTGCTAGCCGTATGCCCAACCTTCCCTCTTTATGTGGGCTTATGACCGGCTAGTTACTAGTGAACTAGTTAACCAGGCGAGGTTAACCACTTTTTAGTAGTTAATAATCTCATTTCAATAATTTTAACTAACACTGAAAAATCTCGTTTTCAGTACTATTTACTTAATATTTTTATTATTACACAATTCGACATGTTGTAAAGGAGGAGGATATACATTCATACATCTGTTTTGTTACCGTTACAGTATATCATGCTAAGAATTCCAAACTGTGAATTAATTTTCAATATGATAATAATTCGCTTAACCTTTCAATTTTTAACTTCAACAGACACAGATGATCGTATTGTTGTAACTGTGGATGGATTAAATGATGAAGGGAACTTTATTGCAGCTGATGGAGCTGAGAAAACCCTAGACTGTAATGCTGAAGGTATGATAAATTTGATGATAATTGAGTATTGCTTATTTCATTTCTTGTTAATTCATATAACCGACGTAGGATGACAAAGGTGAGATAAAGTAAAAGATCATTTCATCAGAAGGCATAGAAGCAATTTTAAGTTTACTTTATTGTTTAGAACTAACGATTTTAGAAGAATTCATGATACTACTAATATTGGTTGACGTTTATTACCCGGTACACTTCTCTCCCCTCTAATTTACTTAGGGTGGGAAAAAGAAATTGGAAATGAAAAATCATTGGCTGATTCCTCTGTTTAAAAGTCAGTGTGTTTGTATGGCCAAGGTACTTTCCTATTGGACTAGGAAACCTATTTATAGGAATCTGATTGGTTGGGCCAAATATGCTATCTGCCTTTCGATTGGCTTAAAAAAATCACCATGAGATAAATTCTGTTTCAAGAAATTAATCACCAATACGATTAAATCCTAAATGAGAATTTAATTCTGTAGTGATAATGTTGTGTAATATTTCAGGGAGCCTGTTTCAAAATGCATTGAGTGTAATTGTTAGGATGATAATTGTAATTTCCCATTGTTATACAGGACTGAATTGCTCGATCTCTATTGGTAGATGGGCTCCTATATGGATATCTTGATACTGATGCTGATTCATGATGTTACATTGATGTCGGCGACTAACAGAGTACTCCAGGCTTGGCGTTTTGTTCTATTTGGTACTCAGCTTAGTGAATAACACTCTGGCGTTGAAATCGATGGGTAATGTGTTCGATCCACAGTGGGAACCACATTACTTACTGGAGTGCTGCCACATCCAGCTGACGAGTACCTAGTTGGACGAAATGTGCAACCTCTTAGTTGCCGAGATCAATATATATATTGCTTGTAATTTATAGCCGTAAATGAGGTTTGCTGAGAAATCTAAAGCTTCAGTGTATTAATCGAAAGTTTTCACATAATGTTAAGTTCTTATTTTGGTAATAGTTCGAACAAAATTCCTGCCCGTGATCATATCAACAGTCGAAATATTTTCTCAATAATTTGCTGAAATAAAAACTTACCACTGTTTGTAAACGTTTCATTTGAAATGTACTTATATCATTCCATTCTACAAAACAGAATCCTTTCATCGATACATTTAAATCTTTGTAGGAATACACTATTAGCTGTAATTTTAAGGATAATATTGGTGTGAAACTGATTACTCTGCCTTCATAGTTCTGATCAACATCAAGGTGGTCTTTGTAAACAGGTACTAACTTAGGGCAACCTTCAAAGACTCTAAGGACAGAAAAGCAGCGAGACAAAAATGCTCCATAAAGATTGATTCGTTTTCAGTTACAACACTGGATGGTATCGTCGCTTATCATGAAAATAAAGCAACCCTTCTGTGAACCGTGGACTAAATGTATTTCATTAATATTTATAAACCAGATATTCTTAATGGAGATCTACTAAACTCAGCACAAAGAAAAAGATCCGGATTTTCAACACCAGTGTCAAGTTAGTGCTGCTATTGGATGGTTCAGAAACTTGGCATATCACAAAAAATATTTCCAACAAACTATAACATTCATCAATAGCTACCTACACTAGCTCGATACTGATACTGAAGATCAGATTGCCAGAATAATGAGAATAAGCAAAAAGGAACTCTGGCTGGCTGACAATGAACCAACCAAGAACCCATCAACCAACAAAAAAAAGGCGGAGATTGATTGGGCGTACAATGAGGAGACCATTCGCGGACATCACGCGCAAGGCCAAGCCATCCAGTGGAATCTAAATGGAGAAACGATGAGTTGGACATCGGTGCCAAGGGTAGCATGGAGGAGATGATGTGAAGAAGAAATGAAAACTTGTAGGCAGTCATGGAGCGAGGTTCAAAAGACTGCAGAGAAGAGAGTGGAATGGAGGCATGCTACCGAATCCGTATGTTCTACTAGGAACTCAAGGAAAAAATAATAACGATAATAGATATTCTTAATAAGCTATTAGTCGACTTGGGAAATGCATAAACATATGAGCTATCTAAGTGTTTTGCTATGATATTATGTCCTATTAGAAATCGCTCAAAGCCTACATTAATCAATCCTCTAGATTTGAAACATAGATTAGATAATTTTCAACTCGATGAGATAGAGAGACAGAGAAAATGGTCAGTTTTCGTCTCGCAAGCTTCCAATCAGTATGATATTTGAAACAGAAAGAAAGTTCACTCTTAAAAACGAATTCCATAATCGAATTATAGTGTTGTATAAAGAAGTTATAGGATGGGGATTAATATACACCTAACTTACACATTTTTCAAATTTCAACACAAAATATATCAACAAAGAAAAAGGGTTGAAATGATATATCCAGTATCCCCTTATTCATAGTAGGTATCTTTCATGAAGAGTTAGAAATAAACGCCATTGGATACGTTTCATCAGGTGACTCCAAAATTCTGGTGTAGTTTGTTCAACTAATATTTGCTTATTGATTATCCTATTTATTGTATACCAGTCCTTAAAAGTCATCTAGCCAAATTTGAACTATTTTAGCCCTATGAACTGAGTTTATCTGAGTATATGGCTGATGATCTGGGCCTCAAATGAGCGAAACAACCATTTAGTGCTTAGATCACTCTAATATGTTTGGGGAAATCTACACAACAAATTGTTCTGTTCCTTCAAAATACCTCTGACTGAATAATTCTTCTGACAGTCATACTGTGAAATTCTGGAAAAACGGTATGCAGCAGCTTTCAAGCAAATGCCGGTGTACATGATGTTGTTATAAGATGTTTGTATCCACTTCTTGAAGAATATCATCATTCATTCATTCATTCAACTATGGTAATATTTGAAGAGAATAAGGAGTATAACTTCTGAACTCAGCTTCCTCACTTCCTTACTTTCTTATGTAGTTTATGATACCGTAGAATCTTATGAGTTAACCCTCAAACTCAGATATACAGACTAGCAGTCAGAAGACAGTTAATGATTCCTAAAAAAGAAGAGAGAAGATGAAAGATACAATGTGTGGTTCTAGAGTATTTACAATAATGCCATGAAGAGAAGAGTAAGACAAGACTCACTAATATCACCTATAATCTTCCTGGTTGTGGTAGACTGGATTGTGTAACAAACTGTGAGGAGCGAGAAGGGGTGCATACGCTGGCTGGATCAGTGAAAACACCCCAGAACGTTTGGATTTCGCCGATGATCATATACATCTGACGTCACTCAAACTTGAAGATCTACAAGCAAAAACCAACAAGGTAACAGAAGAGGTGAGGCAGCAAAGGAAGACAACACTTCCTTCAGGTGAACGTAGAGAAGACAGAGGTGACGAAGATATCCAACCAACAACAACATCAAGAACAACAAGCACCAATCACGATGAACGAGAGAAATCTGAAGGAAGTTGTCTCTCACCTACCTACCTACATATCTTTCTAACCACCTGCCTAGACAACTTCGTTTTAACTACAGGCAGTGACGGCACAGAGATGAGAACGTCAAAGAAGTCAGGATAGGATAGACAGCAAGACAGGCTTTCCTTCATCAATCTGGAATAATCAGTGTGGCGATCTACTGCACTCAGCATAAAGCGTGAACATCATCCGGATTTTCAACACCAATTTTGTCAAGTAAGTCAGTGCTTCGATGTGATGGTTGAGAGACGTGGTGGATGGTGGGAAGCATTTCCAACAAACTGGAGACATGCATCACATGAACAGCTGCACACCCACACTCACTCGATACTGACAGTGAAGATGAGATGACCAGAATAATAAGTGTAAGCAGGAGGGAATTCTGACTGCCTGGCTGGCTGGCTGCTGCTGGCTGGCGGCTGGCTGGCTGGCTGGCTGGCTGGCTGGCTGGCTGGCAGTTAAAGAGCCAATCAACCAAGAACCTTTCACCTGACAAATATGCAGTGGAAGAAAATGGAGATGGATTGTATTTTATTGGACATACAGTGAGAAGAGGGTTTGTGTACATCACGTGTCAGGTTGTCGAGTGTTAGTAAGATGGGAAACGATGAGTATGGCGCCTGAGCCAAGGTTGACATGGAGGAGATGTTATGAAGAAGAAATGAAAGTTTGTGGGTGGTGGTGGAGCGAGGTTGACAAGACTGCAGAGAAGAGAGTGAAATGGTGACGTGCTTGTGAAGCCTTATTTTCCACTAGGAAAGCAAGGGAAGAATAATAATATATTCATATCATGAGTCACCAAGATGGATGTAACCATTATCTGTCGGAGGTTTATATGATCATACATTAACATTGAATCATCCTATCAACAGAACTTCTCAACACGGTTTATTCTAATCTTAAGTTATACTTATTTTGTACATTGTGTTAATTCCAGCTGAATAACAAACTCATTTATTTCTTTTCATCTAGTCAAAGAAGGCATAACTTCTGAAATAATCGCTTACAGTTGGGAATTAATGGATTCCAGTGGAAATCCTGTCTCTCTTAGTCATTTAGCTGATGATGTTAGCCTATCAGGTAAAGATGGAGTATTACAGTTTAAAGGATTACGTGTTGGTGAGTTATCAGGCCAAGGAAACTTGAAAGGACGTTGTATTGTTAAGGTGAATATTACGCGAACGATTGAAATGACTGATGGTACAGAAAAAGAGAAAATTGAACAAATTACATTTACTTCAAAAATGTTTGGTATAGCGATCACAGAAGATGGTACTTTTACTGGACCTATTGGTGGATCAGACAGTAAGTTAGTTGATAATAATATTCTTTTAAAAACAGCCTTAGTTTTGATAATTTGATTCATAAAAGCCAATTACCTAGGAACTGGAGGGTTTGAAAACCTCTTCAACCTTATTTATTTTTCAATTTCAAGTAGTGTCTCTGAATATAAAGACCATTTTACCAATGTATAGGTTTGAGATACTCTCGTCAGTAGAACTGATATTGGGATAGAGAGAAATGACCATTTTAAACAGAAAACCATATATATATATAAGCTGTACATCTCCAACAATCTAATCATACATGGACTTGTACAACTATTACATTTGTTTATTTAAGGTATGGGGCACAGTGATACAGTATTATTTACTTGATTACGTTTCGAGCATAAATTATCATTACTCATAATCATATCAATGTAATCACACAGCACTTCGGATATCTGATTTTATAGTCCTGTCACCTGATCTCTCTTTGTTTTTTGATTGGTAGTAAAGTTTTCCATATCTCTGGTATAGGTGTTGCGTCATTCCTATTACATGTGTTGGGTGTGGATTCGATGAACAAAGATTCAGTAATTAATCTCTCTCTCTCCACCTAGCTATATTAGACTTAAGTACAGTGGTTTTGTCCCACCCTATTGTGTGGTTGTGTGTTAATGAATGTAATGCAATGGCTGAGTGTTTTTCTAGGTTATTGATCTTATTGGGGTCTGTCGTTCTATGTTTAGCTAAATTCCTATGTTCTGTTAATCTAACTGACCCCGACCGGCTAGTTTGACCTATGTATTTGACTTCACAGTCATTACATGGAATTTGGTAGATTATATTATTTTGCTTAATTGGTTCTATCGGATCTTTTAGCCGACAAAGCTTACCTCTAAGTGAGTTTGTTGGTTTAAATGCCACCCTAATTCCAACCTTGTTGAGAATCCTACGTATGGTTTCTGATGTTCCTTCCTTGTATGGTATCACAATAGAGGTGTTGATTTCCTTTCTACTTATGTTGTCACTATTATTTGTATTTGTATTAGTGTTATTATTTTGCTTCTTATGTGTCCGTGTGAATTTCTTAATAAAATGATGGGGATAATTATTAATTATTAACGCTTCTTTTATGTGTTTCAATTCCTTATTTAAGTCCTTACAATGACTAGTGAGTTTCTCAGCTCTGTTATTTAGACATTTGACTAAACCCGCTTTAACTGACACTGGATGAGATGACTTGAAGTCTAGATACCTGTTAGAATGTGTTGGTTTTCTGTAGACGGTAGTATCTAAACCACCATCTATCCTTCGTTTTATTCTGCAATCCAACATAGGTAATTCTCCTTGTTCATTTTCTACTTCTGTAAGTGAATTGGATTGCGTTAACTACTGAGTTTATGTGTGTCAAGAAACTGTCGATATGTTCCGATTTCAACACTGTAAATGTGTCATCTACATATCGCCACCATATCTTAGGTGTCGGATTATATGTTCGTAAAGCCATATCTTCCCAACTATCCATAAATATATCTGCTACTATAGGGGATATTGGTGATCCCATTGCTACTCCTTCTGTTTGTCTATAAATCTTTCCCTGAAACTTGAAGACTGTCGAGGTTAAGCATAACTGCACTCCTAACATGATTTCACCAACCGATGCCTTGGTTCTTTGAGTAAGTTGTGAGTCAGTATCTAGTTGATTTCTGACTGCCTCCAGTGCCATATTGATTGGTATTTTAGTATAAAGACTTGTTACGTCAAAACTAACCATTTTTTCATTCTCTTCTATGTGCAGGTCATTAAGTTTTTGTTTCAACTCGTAAGAATTTACTAGTCTAGAGTTGGAACGGTCTCTAACAGGACGTAATACTGATGCTAAATACTTTGATATCTCATATGTTGGTGTGTTCCGGAAGTCAACTATCGGCCTAATGGGATAACCTGCTTTATGAACCTTAATAGTACCGTAAATTCTGCTAGGATTATTAGTTTTTGGCATTAAAGTAAACCATTCGGACTTACCTAGAGATGGCTTCAGTCGGCGTATCAGATCTGTTGTAGATTTCTTAATTTTATTCATGACAGTATCTATAGGTTTCTTAATCTCTTCATATGGCCCTGTTTGGATATGTTCATCCATTTTTTTAAGATAATCCGATTTGTCCATAACTACTGTTGAGTTACCTTTGTCAGATTTAGCAATTACTATGAAAAAAAACAAAGAGAGATCAGGTGACAGGACTATGAAATCAGATATCCGAAGTGCTGTGTGATTACATTGATATGATTATGAGTAATGATAATTTATGCTCGAAACATAATCAAGTAAATAATACTGTATCACTATGCTCTATACATCAGATAAACAAATCTAATATGGAATTACATTCTACCACAGTGCCCAAGTTTTACACTTATACTTCTTCAACTATTTATGTGAAAATTTTACGAAAAGGGTCAATGAAACTAATAGGAAACGTAGGAATAGGAAGGGTGGCGAAAAAGAAAAAAACGTTAATCACCTTACTCTTGGTATGAAAATTAAAATCAATACTACCAAGGTAGATTCAATGTGAGTACAAATTGTCTACATTTCATTACCATTTAGAAGTGATTCACATAGCTTTGTTATGAGGACAAGATTTAGATCAGCCATCTGTAAAACGTATTATGCGGTCAAGGTCATCATTGTAGAGAAGACCAAGTCCACGTTACAGCACAAACCGAAACAACATATAAACGATTCCATTACATCCCACTGTGTTTATCAATTTACATGTATGTGTAAGAGTAGTAAACGTGGTATGGAGTTAAAGAAGGTGGAACATGTACCTAAGTGGCTACAAAAACGAGTGACCTCAACAGATCCGACAAGTGCAGGTGATAAACACCTATCTTCGTGTATTATTAAACATCTGCTGGAAACTAACCATAGGATAGTATAATTGTTTTTATATCATACCGTCGTTGCTTGGGCCGAATTCATCGGTCTCTGTTGGTACATAGGCTCCTATGCGCGTGCCTCGATATAGCCTGTGTTCTAATCATATTACTGATGGATCGTGGATAGCAGTGGAATCCAGGATGCAAATTTCGTCCTATTTGGGACTCATCAGCCGGAATCCCGGTGGGAACAACATCACTCACTGGGAAGCATGTACATCCGGCTGACGAGTCCCAAATAGGACGAAATGCGCATGCTGGATTCCACCGCTAGCCGCGATCCATCATTAACCATAGGATAGACGTGAAAACAGCCTTTAAAGTACTACAGAAAAGTGGGCAGAGCTGAGTGTTTAAATTTATTGAACGTCTTGCCATCCATAAATTCAAACCCCCTGCTTTATGTATACAAAAACAATTTGTACTCACATTGAACCTAACTTTATGGTGTATTGATTTTAATTTTCCTACCAAGAGTAAGGTGATTAACGTTTTTTTTCTTTTTCTCTCACCTCCTATTGACTTCACTGACCTTTTTCGTAAATTTTCACATAAATAGTTCGATAAGTCCATATGTACTATCAGATTGTTTGAAATGTACGGCGCTAATACATTACGATATATTTCAGATGATCTTCTTTTCAGTAAACTGTTTAAATTTATCAAAGGGATCAGTTGCTTTAAATTTTTAAAGACTCCCTCATCATATAGTAGCTGTATTTTCTTGTGTTTTGTCACTTCGGTATTTTGACACCAATACACTTTTTTACACCTTCACCGTGTCTTCTCTACTGATTAGTCGGGTTGGGAATCAACTAAGAAGTTGTTGAATGTTGGTGTCTGACACTCAATGTCCATGCATCATTAGCCGCCATAATCCATAGGAGTTTCCAAATCATAACAAGAACAAAGAATAGTTAAGTATTAAAGCTGTCTGTTCTGAATAACTTCTTATTCAAATTCTGCTTCATAACACTCGTCGATATTGTTCTACAATGGTTTAAAACAGCTGATATTTTGGATGACTAGAAGAGAACTGAAATGAATCTTTATCTTGTTAGGCTGATTGTAATTTGAATACATGAAGCTTAATGCCAATAAGGAAATCATCCGAGTATGTCTATTGAACACGTGAATACAGGATAGTAGTATACAGATTCCTTTCTTGATTGGACAGTGTAAAGAAATTTCGTAGTATGAACGATAATAAAATTGGGTGTTCAAAAGATAATGTGTCTGTAACAATGGGTTGATGAAGCTTGTTTATATTAAGACCAAGATTGAATAGGATAGAATTAATTCACTTGATCATTCATCAAATGGTCTATCCTCAAGAGATATTTAATTCAAGGTAGCATTCTTCACGGATAGACACTAGTTACAGCCAATGCATACTGATGAGTACTCCCATATCAGACCGGAACAGCTATCTGTTGCTCAAAAGTTTTCAATGATTCCTCAACTGATGTCAGTCCTTCATGAATACAACGTTGAGATAAATTAAATCTCCACAGACTCCAAACTAAAAGATATTTATACTGGGTGATGACTGAAAGTGAAAGGAAAATTTGAACTGCAGCAGGATTTTAACCACCGGGTTTCCGGCCAGAGGCTCTACCAACTGAGCTACAAGTCCAACTAATGACTAGAATTTTATTCCAATTCAATCACCAAGGGTTTTACCCGACTTCTATGTGGATCCCATTATTTCATTTCACTTTCAGTCATCACCTAGCATAAATACTAGTCTGCCAAACCACGGAGGCTATCTCAGATAGTCGAATAATAATCAGTATAATGCTCCCTCTCCTCTCATTCTAATTCAGTTACATTTGGATTGGGATAAGAAGTCGTGACTAGGCAGCCAGTGTGAATATGATCAAACGGTAGTAACGCATCACGAATTCACATGGTAGTCGGGCGAAACCTCGCCTTGTGATTGAAATGAAATAAAAATGTGGTCAGCAGAGACACCTCATAGCTCAGTTGACAGTGGAATGGGGCGGGAACTCGGTGGTCTCTGGTTGGAATCCCACGGCGGTGCATATTCTCACTTCACCTTTAATTATTACCTAGTAAAAATACTAGTCTGCCAAACCACGGCTATCTCAGATAGTCAAGTGATAAAAGATATTTGACTAGTGTATGCTATTTGCAACAAACTGTGTGGAGCGAGAAGGGGTGCATACGCTGGCTGGACCAATGGAAAGACCCTAGAACGTTTGGATTTCGCCGATGATCATATACATCTGACGTCACTCAAACTTGAAGATCTACAAGCAAAAACTAACAAGGTAACAGTAGAGGTGAGGCAGCAAAGGAAGACAACACTTCCTTCAGGTGAACGTAGAGAAGACAGAGGTGATGAAGATATCCAACTAACAACAACATCAAGAACAACAAGCACCAATCACGATGAACGAGAGAAATCTGAAGGAAGTTGTCTCTCACCTACCTACCTACCTACCTACCTACCTACCTACCTACCTATCTAACCACCTGCCTAGACAACATCGTTTTAACTACAGGCAGTGGTGGCACAGAGATGAGAACGTCAAAGAAGTCAGGATCGGAAAGACAGCAAGACAGGCCTTCCTTCATTAATCTGAAATAATCAGTGTGGCAATCTACTGCACTCAGCATAAAGCGTGAACATCATCCGGATTTTCAACACCAATTTTGTCAAGTAAGTCAGTGCTTCGATGTGATGGTTGAGAGACGTGGTGGATGGTGGGAAGCATTTCCAACAAACTGGAGACATGCATCACATGAACAGCTGCACACCCACACTCACTCGATACTGACAGTGAAGATGAGATGACCAGAATAATAAGTGTAAGCAGGAGGGAATTCTGGATGGATGGCTGGCAGGCGGGTAACGAGCCAATCAACCAAGAACCTATCACCTGACAAATATGCAGTGGAAGAAAATGGAGATGGATTGTATTTTATTGGACATACAGTGAGAAGAGGGTTTGTGGACATCACGTGTCAGGTTGCCGAGTGGTAGTGAGATGGGAAACGACAAGTTTGGCGTCTGGGCTGAGGGTGACATGGAGGAGATGTTATGAAGAAGAAATGAAAGTTTGTGGGTGGTGGTGGAGCCAGGTTGACAAGACTGCAGAGAAGAGAGTGAAATGGTGACGTGTTTGTGAAGCCCTATTTTCCACTAGGAACCCAAGGGACAAATAATAATAATAATACTATTTTGAATGTGATCTGTTTGTAATTTTATCACATAACTGAAATGATAACTACAAATTTATCTTCAACACCATATCGCGTAACGATGAATTCTTACTTAGCATCTTATTAGTTGAATAAAGTGATAGTTGACTATACTTTCCATGGTTAAATTAGTTAATGAATGAGCTGAAGACAATAGGGAAAAGTATTTGTTACCCGTTTTAGCATCTTGTTCTATACAATTTACATCTACCTGGTTAAGTTGGTAATCAACATCGAATCACTTGGATTATTTGCAGCTTCGTTAACTAACAAGCCTATCTGATCAGTATGAATCGCTTGCAACTACACATCTCAGTCATTAGTTTATACTGTATAGCTTTTTATGTTTAAGCAGTTTCCATATTACAATTTAAATATTCAAGTTCCATCTTAGGACTGAATTTCAGCTGATTGTGTTGCACTTACCTTCGAGTCTTAATTTTACAAACATGCTAAACTTCCTGTTTTATAAGTGGAATGATGTTAGCCAGTTCTTCATGTCTTCTTCAAAACTTATTTTGATTTTTAGACTGTCTATATCTACAACCGAAACTAATCCTTTTATATTAATAGAACAGCTTCATTTGTATGATAAACTAGGTAAAATTTGACTAATATGCAAGTGATTTTTGTCAGGGAAGCTAATTGAAAGTTACTACTTACTAAAATAAGTAGTTCTATACTACTCACATTGATCAGTATTGGTTGTTAGCCAGACTGAGATTATCTAAACACTAGATGACCATTTCACTTGTTTTCGACCAACCTCATCATCGCCTAACCCAGAATGATTCAGCTTGAAGAGTCTAACTGTTTAAACTATATGGATTGAAGTTAACTACTTGAGCGAAATAGTCATACCTTTGATTAACTGAAGTGTTTGCAAAGAACATATTTCAAATCTCACTGTTAGTTCCTATGGCAACCAAACTGTTCAGGTAGGTGAGTTGAAAAGTTTCGAACTTTGAGCTGGGTCAATCCGGTTACACCACTGATCAGTTCGGTTTTGATAGGTCAAAACGGTTGTCCGGTGCTTAAATCATTGCGATTTAGATAACGAGCACTGCTGATTGTTCTGAATAGTCTAGAATTACTCAATACTTGATTTCTTAATGATTCTATCCTCGAGATCTGGGCGCAATTTATGGTGTCAAGCCGGGCATATTATATAATCTGACTATTTCGCTTTTCATAAGAAACTGTTGTGAGATTTTTCACCACGGTCTATTTAATTCGCTGACAGCTGATCTGAATTTTCTCCAGAGCTGAAACCACATAAAAGTGTAATTATTTAGAATACTGGGATTTTATGCACCGTATCTGTTCTATTCCGTATGGATCAGAGAGTAAACGACATGTACACACATTAGTTATAGTGAATTAACATTTCTTTGAATAATATTCCATGTTAAGTTAGTCATTTTAGTAGTAGTAGTAGTAGTAATAATAATAATAATAATAACAATAATAGTATTAAGAGAAGGAGGATGAGTAGCAGTATGTCGGACAAAATCTGTACGAAATGTATTAGACACAAATTGACAAGCGGATGGTTGTAATTGTAACTGTCAAGATGCGTTTGCTCAGCACCGGTTAAAGTTCATCCATGGCGATTTCAGTGTGGATTTTTCAACACAACATCAAAATATAGTACACCATACTGTCACGTTACTCATCTTGGTAGTCACTTTAAAAAATTAATTGATGCATTTCTATAAGTGGTGAGAACAGTTGAATTTGTTGCCACTCAGTGACTAGTTGACGTGGATCCTTCAATTCTACCGTCAGTAAATCATAAAGTGATTTGGTTAATGTAAGAGTTTCTGACTTCAACAATGAGCATTATGAGATTTCAATCATTAGCAAAGTATGAATTTCTTGAAGTCTACATATACACCTTTGTGATGAGCGTCAGTTATCGTGAAACCGAAGTTATGAGTTTCGCCAACTGACTCCTAGCATCTATCATTAAAATACACCACGTAACTAGTATTCAGCTCCACTTATCAAAATACGTCGTAGGATGATAAATTGGATGAATAGATTTTTCTGAAAAAGTCTGCATCATACATTTACAGCCGTTGGAATCCATGGTAGGACGGTTGAATTTCAACCCACTGCCGGAAATTTAATGCGTTCGCTGTACGATCTTGAGGATTTATCACTGAGTGATGCAGGCTTGAATCACTGAGAAAACACTATTCTCTTCATGTTTGAAGATACGGCTTGTTGCCGAGTGCCAATAAACCCGAAAAGTAGGTCCGAGGTCTCTTGAAAGTTGATTCTCACCATCTAACACTACAGCACCGACACACTTGAGGCAGTCGCTGATTACTTCTACCTCCTATGCGAATAACAGTTGGTGGATGCAGAGACATTCAACCTACAAGTCGAGAATGTCATCTTCAACTCTTATAAAGTAGTATCAATGTACTTCATTGTTTAGACCCAATCAAGCGTAAAATAGTGCATATTTCTGAACACGTATCAAAGAACAGTATGTTTTGTCATCTTCAACGTATTTAAACCAACTGGAAACACACATTTTGTTCAATTTAACGTAGAAACAAATTGTAATTGTTACTATTTTATTCTAAGGATTATCTTTACCACATTTTCGTCTTTTCTGAATATTTCAGTTGAAGGGAAGCGTATCCGCGTTGGTGTTGTCGGTTTAAGTCCTACAGGTCAATTAATTGCCGAGTCTGGAGATAAAATGAATCTTCAGTGTTATGCAGTCGGTAAGTACATACCGTATACAATTACTTATCATATCTTATTTTCATGCTAAAACACGAAATTACGTAAATTATTATATGATTTTAGTTCTCATTGATGATGAAATTATAGAGACAGGAAATGCTGGATTGTGATTGGAACGAGATGAACTGGTTGGGCAACCACTATGGTTACAATGAACAGCAGTTACATATCACAGATTCACATGGTAGTTGAGAAAAGTCCTCGATGGTGGGAGTGAGGTTAGGACGTCTTAAGCAGATGAGTTCTTCAGCCCATAAATCGCTGTTTCGAACAGTACAGCTACTCAGGTTGTCACTTCATCTTCAGTCATCACCATCTATCAAACCATAACTATCTCTTCCATTAGCTACATGTTTTAATAGACTGATATCTTAGAAATGCTACTATAGGCTGAAACTTCTTTTATGTGATATTTAATGTTCTATTTTGTTCATTAACTGATGCATGATGCATATGAAACGAAACATTGTTGGAAGATTGGTTCACCTTTCTATAAATTTCAGTTGTCTCAAGCTTAACAGAAATGACTTTTCAAGTATTCCAACTGTTCAACACAAATAAATCACTTCCTTCTTTAACTGAATTAACCAGTTTGATCTATGTAACAAGTTCAAATAGATTAAGAGATGTCATGGCTTTCAGAACTCATCATAGATTATAGTCTTGACACATGAAAATAACCTCCATTCTTTAGTGATTAAGTGTTTAATCACATTGGTTATTTGGTTTACATAACTCATTATCAAAAAGTATTGTAATAAACGAAATGAACTGATCACTACTAAACATCAAAGTGACGAGTGTACGCTGCTGAAGAGTCTCATAATAGAATAGAAAAACTGTCCATTGCACTTAGGTTTTCAGTAATCCTCCAATTGATGCCAGTAATTGATGAATCCTATTTGTTTCCAATGTATATGAAATATTGAAATGGTTTAATTAAATCCAATAATTTTCTGACATTTTTAGATGCACAAACTAATACTCCAGTATCAGATGCAATTTATGCCTGGGAAATTCGAGATCGTAATGGTCATCTAGTAGTGACTGAGACAGTAGCTAAAACTGTCTTACGCTTAGCCAATGTGATCAGTTTTATTCATCTTCGTCCAACAGATAACTTGAATTGGAGTAAAACTTTATTTGGACGATGTTCAGCCTTTAGTCCAGAAATGAAACATATTTATTATTCAGATTATTTCCATATTGATGTTCGTCAACCGATAATGAATGGAAAAACAGGACGTGAGTTATTCTTTTTTTTGTATATATTCATTGTTGAAAACATAACAAATTTTAGTTTATGGTAGCACAAGACTGTTACGTAGTGTCTAGAGTCAGTGTGTGTCCTTCCATGTGACTTCTTTGACCTCACAAGTCATTACTTTACACTAGAGTCCTAAAGGTGCACTGTTGAGGAGTCTCAGAGGAGGATGAAGCAAATGTCCAGTATATCCAATGTTAATCCAAGTAATGTCAGTTTTAGGTGAAAAGAAACTGTACTGAAGTCAGTCACTTTTACTGTTTGGCATAATTTATTGCTTCGACGTCGACTTAAACCATAGATCACTGAGATGTTATTGAAAAACTATGGAAAAACTATGAAAACTATGGATTTACTCTACAACTCTAAAATTGAATAAATACTCAACGTCAACTTGAGAAGTCAAATTTGGTCTTCTACGAAATTATCATGGTTTCAGTGGCTTACTCCTGGTTTCTTAAGTGGGATGAAAGAAAATCTTTATGGTACAGAGAATTTGTTGACAATCTGACGTTTCTATTAAAAGTAATTTTTAGCCTGAGATCAACGAATATGAAAGATCATCACCAAATCGATATCACTGTTATGTGTGCTGAAAAGGGGAAATATGAAATTTAGACAAGAATAACCAATCATATTCTTTTATTTCCCTGAAAGATACTTTGGCTATGACTTATTTGGGAACATTGTTGTATAGTTTAGCTCAGGAGCTTTTGACTGACTTCTCATTCATTTCTGTGTGATTTATAGTTCAGAAATATCTTCCTGTTGAGTGGAATCCCTCAGTTATTGTATATTGTTTCATCTTCTCTGCACAAAATTGATTGTTTCATTCGGATAATTTATAGTGTTTTGTTATCGTGCAGTTTAGTTCCGTATGTGCAGTTGACTCAAATTACCAGAAGAGCGATAAAGACAACAAACATGAGACTCTGTGTTCTGTTTCACACTGTTGGAGTGGTGGGATCGAAATGCGTTACCCATCATTGAGATGAATCGAACATATGAGACTAATCACTTGCTTCAAACAGTCACTACTACAGGAAGTTATGCATACGCGCTGCTGATGAGTCATATATTATGACGAAACAGTACTATCAAGTTTACACTAGTTCTCTAATTGTTGTCAGTTTATGCTGAATGCCAACAGCGAATCCTTACAAACCTCAAAAGTTAATTACATTTTGTTGTAAGGCTCCAGTTTGCACAAAACACTGTTATTATTCTGAACATTTCTTACCTGTCTTCTCAACACCACTTTGACACCATGACTTATAGTCTATTCACTACCAACATCTGTCATACAATTCCCTGATTCGTCAATCCTTACTCCTACTACCTCTTCATGCCTCGATTTGTGGACAAGGTCATATTTCACGTGTATATATATGGTCACGTGTGTTTGAGTTGCTGAATTGATTATTATACTCGGAGGAATGAACTCTTTCATCCAGCTTCGGTGTTCTTGTCTATTCGTACAGGGTTGCAGTCGGTGGTTCTTGTGTAGGAAGTAATCTGTTAGTTAAGCGTGTGTATTATATCTGTTCGGAATATATAACACAATAATATGCTAATTTGATGAGCGTGTAATTCACAACAGTCCGGTTTGTCCTACTGTATAGCTGTAAAACATGGCCATTGAACGTGGAAGATATGAGAAGGTTTCAAGTATTTGACCACCGTTGCCTTCGTACTATAAACCGTATTCCGTGGTATCACCACGTGAGTAATGCAGAAGTCAGGAGTAGAGTTTTAGGGAGAAGAGGTAAGTCAATCGACGAGGTTATGAACCTTCATCGACTGAGATGGTTGGGATAGGTGTTATGTATGCCCAGTCAGCGATTGCCTCGTTACACAATGTTGGCTGAGGTGGGTCCAGGCTGGAAAAAGGCTCGAGGTGGCCAGACTTAAACTTGGCACCAATTTATGAAGTCTTTAACTGTTGGTTTAAGCCATGTAGGGCGGTGTAGACTAGGTGGTTGGGGTCCACGGGACAAGAGGAACCAGTGGTTGGAGACCCTAGGTGATATGGCTCAGAATTGATGTCAGTGTCGCAGATGTATACACACATTATCCTCATCTTAACAACGCCATACTGAATCTCACCATTTTGTCACTCCTCTTTCCTTTCTTCTCGTACTTTATATTTCTTTTGACTGCATTCACTTATCTTTATCCTTCACCTCACTACCTTTCTACTTGATGTACTGATATGAGGTGTGGCAACTCGGACCGTTACGCAGTAATGTCTGGTCCTACGTTGATATTGATTGATTGATTGGGCTTGATGAGCTACCAGTTATTAACTTAATGAAGAAAATTCAATTATCAGATGAAACATATTCAAGGAAGAGTCAGCACTTACAATGAGGTCATTTTCAAGCTGTACAGTGTACATAAGCATCATATTTACATGACGACAGTAAAGGAATGTTTCATAGAAATATTATTTTCAACAAAATTCAATCTCAATCAGGTGATTGGAAGAGGAGATTACTTAGTGCATAAGGCAGTAATGATATCAAACTGAAGAATATTAACTATGTTCAGCGATGCAATATAGTTAAAAGGAATTCATGAAGTAATGAGAAATTAGAATATTATAGATAGAAGTATTTGATATATAAGAATATACAATGTGTTATTGACGAGGTGAAAAAAAGGATTTTATGCTTCTGGTTTTCCTTAATATCATTTTCATAATAAACTGCTATTGAATAAAAGAGTTCAGGCTTCTAAATACTAGTCATCATGGATTTTGTAGTTTATAAAACTTTTAGGTGTACATCTAATATGAGGTTTACAAGAACTTGAAATATTACAATGAAGTTATTTTCTACGTTCAATAAATAATCAGAATCAATCAACCAATAGTTTCCCTCCTTTCTTCTATTTGAAGTCAAACTAGTTTACGCTGTAAAATATGTTTAGGACGTGAAGGATGAGTACAATCAACATACTTTACTCTACAGTAGCAGATTAATTGGTTAACTCATTTCGAAGTGGTCAAAGGAGCTATCCTATTATCTTTCACAAATCCTTGAAGTATTGGGAAGACGATAAACATTGGTTTAGATTTGTCAACACACAAGAATTTTCTTGATGAGCATGCTGAATGGTTTCCTAGTATATTTCTCCTGTTGGATCTCCATTGAACTGTAAAATTCAGGAGAAGAGATGATTTGAGATCTATAGAAGTAGAATGAGGTTAAGCATGCTTATGTGAAAAAATTGACCATTGAATGCTTATTTACTACAGATGAGGCTAATGATCAACAATTCGTATTCCACGACTGAAGTTTATTTGGACACTTCCAAGCTGGTGTCATAGTGACTATTGAATAACATCCTTCAAGTTCACCAGTCTGTTCTTTTATGCATATCAAGTGTCCAAAATAGCAAAATTGAACAGTACAACAGTTGACGCAATTTTTTTACCGTCATAACTTTTCCTAGTTGTGATTCCACCTATTCACTCTTAATGTTCATCTAGAACGTGACTGTTCTTGAATATTCTTGTCCGTCTCATGTATTCAATCAACTCACACTATGAGTCACACAATTCGACCCTCCTAACCACTGTCCGTACCTTAAAGGCAATTCAGTTTATCTGTACATGTAACTAACTTGACCACAACGCACTATAACTGATATAAATGAAACAACGATTTGAAGCAGAAAAATGAGATAATATGCAATTATTTACAATCTGTAAGTCATACATAAGTGAATAATGGGTCAGTCGGAAGCTCCTGACTTGAGTTACATAATAATGTTATCTATTAAAATCGTCAGTGAAATATATTTTAAACTGAAGAATATAATATAAATGGTAACACTTAACTGAGATTCACGTTTTCCAGTATACGGCTCATATAACACCTACTTCAAACTTCAATAGTATTCTGTTATGTAGTCCGAACGGATATAATACACACGCTTAACTAACAGATAACTTCCTACACAAGAACCACCGACTGCAACCCTGCGCGAATAGAGAAGAACACCGAAGCTGGATGAAAGAGTTCATTCCTCCGAGTATAATAATCAATTCAGCAACTCAAACACACGTGACTATATATACACATGAAATATGACCTTGTCCACAAATCGAGGCATGAAGAGGTAGTAGGAGTAAGGATTGACGAATCAGGGAATTGTATGACAGATGTTGGTAGTGAATAGACTATAAGTCATGGTGTCAAAGTGGTGTTGAGAAGACAGGTTAAGAAATGTTCAGATCAATAACTTTGTTTTGTGCAAACTGTGGCCTTCCAGCATTTTCAAAACTGAAGAATAAACTTGCTTAAATTGACTCTAATTTCTTCCTGAGGTGAAGAAATTAGTCTCACGTAAAAGCATACTTCTGACTCACACCATCAAACGTTCCGGCGGTATACTAGTCATTATATTACATGAAATGTAAAATAGCATTACTAAGAAATTTCATCTTGCAATCAATTTCCATTAAAAACTTGCCTAATTGTTTACTGCTTATTGGACAATCAAAGCATCGTTTTCTGTTGCTTTCAGTAACCATACTACTAACTATGTTAGTAGTAGTATGGAAATTGAAGTATTTCTCATTCCATTTAGAGATCGATTGACAGGAAGTCCACATAGAATGGACAACATTGGAATTCCCATAAATGCATGCTTCATAGTAGAAAAACGAATCTGATCCATTCTTTATCTTCAATAATTACAAGAATCTGTATGAGTGATACTATCGGAGATGAATGAGACAAATTACGGAGGATTCTCATGCAAAATGAATACCCATCCAGATTTTTCGAGAACTTGAAATGAAAACAGAATACGGTGCAAGTACTCACAGTTCCAAAGAAGACCTTGTTTATCAACGTTGGTTTCAAAGGCGATAAGTTAACAGAAATCCTGAAGAATCCACTGTCCAGATAGTTGAAGAAGACATTCTTCTCTGCGAAGCTACTGCTAAGTTTCTCTAGTCAGCAAATGATTCTGGAGTGCGTTAACGACAAGTTATCGTTTGAAGTCACCTCAATATGTACCTACAAATTTACTTGCTCCTTTGAAGCTAATCATATAGGCCGGATAAATCGTGCACTTTCTAAACTTATCTCTGAGCATTATCCTGCATAGTTGTCGAGGAAGAATGCAAATTGTTATGTTTAATGACTTGGGCTAATGAATATATGATGATTAAATTTGAACTGGATTATCCTTGGTAAATATGTTTAACTGTATACTGGAGAGTCGACTTTTAATTTTGTATATTCCATTTTCATCTACAACAAATATGTTATTGTTGACTCTTACTTTACAGCTGATAACCATGTACATGTTGAAGTCAGTGGAGTTCCACCCAATGGAGTTATTGACGGAGAAGAGGGAGATACAGTGAATTTAGAATGTCATGCTGTTAGTAAGTTGATAATCTTAATGGAAAATAAAGAAAATGTTTTTTTTTTCACTGGTTACTTGAGAAGTAAACAATTTCATGTTGTCTAATCTCGACTACTGACTGAATTCTACCAACCATTTTGAATTTTGTCCCACAATTTCGCCTACTCAGCATCACGGTGCATTGTGATAGATGTTTGTTGGATGTAGCCAGCTGGAAAGAAGCCTTGTTCAACTCCAGTTACGTGATTGCCTTTACTTTTCAGTAACCTGGATTCATTCAATTTTTATTGATTTATAATTGGTTTTCTCCTAAGGATAAGGACAGGTGAAATCTTAAGGAAGTTGGCTCTTTCGCTCAACCTACCTGGTAACCATCGTTCCAAATACAAGTAGAGGCGGCATAGATGAGGATGTCAAAGCAGCTGGGATCAATAACCTGAAATGATCACTGTGGAGATCTGCTGCACTGCAATGAGCCGCGCTCCATTGCACTTAATATAAAAAGTGAACATCATCCGGATTTTCAACACCAATATCAAGTCACTGCTGGTATAAGGTTCGGAAACTCAATGCATCACGAAAAGCACTTCCAGAAAACTACAGACATTCACCAACAGCTGCCTACGCTCGTTGCTGAAGATCAGGTGGCCAGGAAGAATAAACAAGAAGGAACTGTGGCTGGCAACGGACCAACCAAGAAGCTGCCATCCAGCAAATATGCATAACTAAGTGGAGATGGATGATTAGGCATACACTGAGAAAGCCATTCGGAGAAATCACGGGCCAGGCCAGTCCCTCGAGTGGAATCCAAAGGGAAAACCACGAGTTTGGCATCCGAGGTGAGGTTGATATGGAGGAGATGGTTTGATGAGGAAATGAAAGTTTGTGGGCAGTGGTGGTGCCAGGTTGAATAGACTACAGAGAACAGAATGGAATGGAGACGTGCTACTGAAGCCCCACGTTCCACTGGGAACCAAAGGGACAAATAATAGTAATATTAATTATAACAGCAGCAACCAAAAGAATCCAAAGCTTACCTTTTGTCTTACTTAGGACTGGTCAGATGGATGTATGCGGGTTCCAGTGAGTAATGGTGTTTTCATTGAGAATCAAACCCAGCATCCACTGCTTTAAACGCCAAAGTGTTACCTTCTAAACTACTGAGCCATGGTAACCACTCCATGTGCAACAGGAAACGTTTAACACTGAGGCTTGACGTTCCCCATTATTGACTAATTTGGATCTACATCTGGTTTTCTATTTAACTCATGTGAATAGCAAACATAGTGAATCAACCGAGCTTGTAATCAACCTATAATTGTAAACCTTGGACAGTGACACTATGTAATTCCATATTAAATTTGTTTCTTGGATACACAGTAATAAAGTATTGTTCACCTGTTTCATGATGTTTCAAGCATAATGACCTACATATAGAAGAGGATAAAAAAATAGTCAGATTCGATGTAACAAATCTGCGTACTAAAATACGAATCAATATGGCACTGGTGGCAGTCAGAAGTCAACTAAGTATCGACTCAGAACATACTCACTGAACTAAGATGTCGGTTAATGAGATCATTTAAGCGTACAGCTAAACCTGACCTCTACAGTCTTGAAGTTTAAGGACAAAATACATAGACAAACAGAAGGAGTAGCTGTAGGATCACCAATATCCCCAATTGTAGCAGATATATTTGTGGATAGTTGGCAAAAGATGACTTTCCAGACTTTTAGTCCTGCACCAAGAATTAGGTGGTGATATGTGAATGACACATTCACTGCATTAAAATCCGAACACATGAACACTTTCCTCGCACATATAAACTTAATAGTAGGTGCAATCCAATTCACTTACGAAAAGGCAGAAAATGAACAAGGAGAATTACCCATGTTGGATTGCAAGATAAAATGAAGGACAGATGGTGGTGTAGATACTACCGTCCACAGAAAACCAACACATTCCAACAGGTATCTAGACTTCAAGTCATCTCATCCATCATCAGTCAAGGCAGGTTTAGTCAAATCAAATGTCTAAATGTCACAGGTAGTAGACTGACTGGTCAGTACAAGGACCTAATCAAGGAACTGAAGAGCATAAAAGAAGCGCCAATACATAGTGATTATCCTCTACAGTTTATTAATAAATTCATATGAAGACATAAGAAAGGAAGTAATAACAGTAACATGAGTACGAATAATAATGACAATATGAGTAGAGGGGTTCACAGTCTCCACTGTGTTACCATCTAAGGAAGGCACATCGGAAACTTTACGAAGGATCTATAGCAAGTCTAGAATAAGGGTGACATTTAAACCTACAAACTGACTCATAGATAAGCTTTGTCGGTGGGCTTAGGATCGGGTAGAACAAATTGAGCAAAATAATCTAGTCTATCAAATTCCATGTAATGACTGTGAGGATAAAATCGCCAAAAAGCAACTGTTAGCTTGCATACACTCGTTCTTCTTTCATATCCTGATGGTTATATTTCACACAAACTTCAAAACCTCATTGACGAACCTACCTTCCTAGAGTAGTATACATTGCCCAATCTTGACATTACTCACAGGATCATTCTACCATACACGAGCAGTTTCGCTTAGACGTATGTAGTGTAAACGTCGAATCTCTCCATATCTTCAACATTCAGCTTCCATATCTGAAAACCGTAGAGCTGACTGTGGAGCAGTTTATCTCTTCTTTCATAGACAGTAGGACAATTGGCCAGTGTTATATATGATGTAATCCGGCTGTACGGCAAAATGGACCTTCTGCGTCGTCATTGATAACGTATTATTATACTTTAATGGTGCTGTGATCAAATTTTAGTCGTAAAAAACACTTCTCTTAAGCATATGTATATATCTTGATAAATGTTAATATTGTTTTCATATATTATCTTCCCTTCTGTAAAACAATAGATGCAAGTGATAATTCTCCAATCCCCTCGGACGAGGCTATTTATCACTTCCAATTCGATGAAGCTGCACCGGATAGAGATGATACATACGGAGGTTATTTAGCTGATGAGGTTATACAAGAAAAATTACCTGAAGATGGTGGCATCAAGCTCACCTTGAATGGAGTAAAGGCTAATAAATGGAATAGAGGTCGTTGTGTTGTCACATTACTGCCAAAAGATGATCCGGATAAAACATTGAAAGAGCCTGTAAAACGATATACATCAAAATATTTCTGGTCAGATATTCGACATAAAGGTGAAGATAAACTTGAAGGATTTCATCCTGCTAACAGATTACAACAATTTCTGGTATAACATACGGTAAGCTTTTATATTGTTGTAACGAATGAGTGACTTCAGTCATTTGTTGTATGATTCAGTCCCAGGTCGCTAATCCCTGTCAATACTATATTCCACATCAGTGACAAAGGATTAGTAATCAGACACTCCAATGTGACCACGAAGTTATAAGGCATGAGGCTGGAGAAAAGACTATTTCTAAAAGTACATTTGTATATATGTGCATATAGATAGTTAGACAATGAACTAAAACTCTGCACCTAACCTCTGCATTATAGTTGTGGGGGTTTCTTGAGACTCGGGTAGTACTAAAAAGGCACCTCGAGATTTTGGTTTTCCACAACTGTTGTACAGTTCACTTTAATCTTAATAGACAGTTAGATATGTCTCCTATGCACCATCTGTCTTTATGCTGAGTTTTCGTCTGTAGATAGGTAAGTTGTTGCAGCGGGGCACGTAGAACAGTGTGAGTTCAGTGGTGACTACGAGAATCTGGAAGGGGAAAGAGGAAAAGACAAAAACGTGAGTCAACGACTCAGCAAGTACACAAGATGTACTAATATTTGACGATAAAGGATAACAGATAAACGGAAGAGCTTGAAAACGCAGAGGTGAGGCAGTCTAGCAATCGAAACTGAAAGGTAAATTAGTAAGATTTCCAATTCGTTACAAATCTATCTCTTCGAAGCATCTAACGATATGTGACTTTCATAAGAATAAACATATTGTGTTCTTTCAAGTACAACTGAATTCAGTTGTTCCAGGTATAGTGAAGAAAATATATTAGGTGGTTAACTAGTTCACTAGTTACTAGCTGGTCCTAAGCCTGGATAAAGAGGGAAGATTGGGCATAGGGCTAGCAACTCTACCCCGTAAAATCAATCCAACCGCTAAAGAAACTCCAAAGCACAAACAAAACATAAAAAATAAAAATAAAATTATTCCTCGCTGCAGTCAGAGAGACGAAATGACTCCGGTTGGTGAAAGCCTGCCTTCGGGAAGCCAATTGGTCGATGTGTCTTCTCTCTCTCTCTCTTGATGAAAGCGAAAGTAAGATTAGAGACGTGGAGTGTCCGCACCACGTAAGATAGATGGCCAAATAATAGGAATAAGCAACAAGGAACTCTGGCTGGCTGGCAACGAATCAACCGAGAACCTATGACCCAACAAATATCCAGAGGAAGAAAATGGAGATGGATTGAACATACACTGAGAAGGCCGATTAGGAACATCACTCCCCAGGCCAGTCCAGGCCGTCGAGTGGAACTCCCATGGGAAGCAACGAGTTGGGCGTTGGTGCTGAGGGTGACATGGAGGAGGTCGTGTGATGAAGAAATGAAAGTTTGTGGGCAGTCGTGGAGTCAGGTTGAAAAGACTACAGTGGAGAGAGTGAAATGGTGACGTTCTGGTGAAGCCCTATTTTTCACTAGGAACCCAAGGGACAAATAATAATCACAATAAAATAAATTAGAGTTAGGATTGCGCTTATCCTATACATTCTCAGGTAAGGAGAAAGCGAAATACTGCAAAGAGAAAGCATAATACTTTCCATTGTAGTTCAATGATCAGGACCAGGCATTACTGCGTAACGGTCCAAGCTGTCACACGTCGTGTCAGCAAAATAAGCAAAAAGTAGTAAGATGATTATCAAAGAAGGGAAGAAAATCGATCAAACGCAGTAGAGAGCAGTATTAATAGAGATGAAGGAGAAATGAGATGCTGAATTCAGTATAGTGGTTAAGATGAAGATGAAGTGTGGAGACATCTGCGCCTCTGACATTGACTCTGAGCCGAATCACTTAGAGTTACTAACCACTGGTTTCTGTTGTCATGTAGGCATCAACCGACTATTCTGCATCTTCTAACGTGCACTGATGCCGTGTTTTAGTCTGGTCGCTTCAAGCCTTTTTGCAACCTGAACATTGTGCGACGAAGTGAATGATGATTATTCATGTGTAACACATATCCCAACCATCTGGATCGATGTAGATTCACAACCTTATCAACCAACTTTTCTCTATTCCCTAAAACTCCGCACCTGACACTTTCATCACTGACTTGATGAAACCGTGACACATGGCCTATGCTATAAAGGCAGTGGTTGTCAAATATTTGAAGCCTACTCATGTCTTCTACTTTCAACGGTCATGTTTCACAGCCATTTAGTAAAACAGAGGAAACTACAGCACAATAAACTTGACCTTTAATATAAAACTGGATATCGTGGCGTCACCACAGAAGGAGTAAGTTGGCGAAAGACAATCAACTTTTTGTATACGTGCAGAGATTTTGTTCACCACTGTAGTTAGCACCACTTGTCTGCAGTAGATCTGATATCTACAAATTTTCCCAACTTTCAAAAGCTTATGGTGTGCATACATTTATGTGAAACAAATGAGAGTTGTTATCAATCTTCTTGAGTCTTGATTATAAGGTATGTAAATGCCACTTACAAATATGTAGAAGAAATAATAATAATTTTCGTCCACTGATATTATTGGTAGCAAAATAACAGAGAGAAATTGTCCATCTCCTGGACTGAGAACGCATGGGGAACTATCTGGATATTGATTTGTATAAGATTCTGAAGAGTCGCTTTAGAGGCCATCCTGGCAGCTGCTGAGGTGGCCGATTATGTATCTTGTTTTTACGAAAAACGGCCTATCTGGACGAAATTCAGAAATTTAATTGGTTATTCCTATAGTTGCTAGAGTTGCCTTTGAAATCGTTCGGAACTCTATGGACTCAAACTTTGAGTAAGTCCAATTCTGATGAAATACATGGACTCCATATTAGATAGGTCTCATGATTTGTGACTATTCAGACAAACGTCTGACTCACTTATGAGTCAACGAGTGGTGACTAATCAAGTCGCATGTGAATGTTTATTCTTATTGGTTATTTCTAGTCTATGCTGCTATGACTAATACTATAATCCTATTGGTTATCTTTTAAATATACCTGAGTCTATGCTACTGTGAATGTAGGTATTCATTATTATCTATCTCTAATGAATACATCTTTATATTTTCTTATTATTGGTTGGTTATTTTATTTTTTCTTTGAATTATTTATAGATCCTAATATCCTTGTCAAAGTTCATGGTACAAATCCAAATGATACAATTACAGTGAAGCCTAGTGCTGATGTAGAACTGGATTGTTATGCACTTGGTAAGAATACAAAATATTCAATGTATGATAGTCATTTTGTTGTGAATCTAGTCAGAAATGAATTGATTATATAATGTGGAATAATAAAGTTTTAGAATTACTCTCTACTTGAACAAAATAGGTGTAAAATACAAGTGCCAATGTATAAATGCAGTAGAATGATATTTGAAACCGTTCAGTGCAGGCAGTGTAAGATTCATACGAATAAACACACAGAAGAGTAGTATAAAGTCACAAGACTGATTGGTTTTCTCCCGATAATAACTAGTGGCTCCATAATTTAACTCCAAACGACGTGTAAGCTACAGTTACAAAACTATGGAAATGACAAGTTCAATATGGCTGAATTTCAACTCATAACTTCGACCAATCAGATAACAGCAAATGTACAGACAGCGGAAGACAACCAATCAGAGGAAAGTATGGAATTATGTACATAAAACACCAGTTACTCATAAGTAGCATAACCAATGACACTACAAATGTTACAGCACTGCCATAAATACTGAACGAAAGAGAAATCGTAATCTTAAGAAACCGTGCTTCAATGATACTTCTTTTTATTGATGAACTATGACTAAGATTTCAAGTTGAGCAAAGTAAAGAGGTAAACTATATTCAACTTTAAGTGTCTGATATGTCTTGATTTTCTGTCAGCAGCTGAGTTGCTACATTTGAAACACAAAAGTGAAAACAACATTCACTTTAAGTCTGTGTCAGGAAGATTTTTCGGACTAGTAGACACTGATCAGCAGCGCGTACCTACAACCTTAAGGGAACTAATGCCCCTCTCTTCAACAAATTTAAACCCGGTTCACCGCGTTTATGAGGAATTCAAATGCACCAGTCAATATAAAAGGTATTTAGAGATTTTTAGGCGTTACTGAGTAGTATTCTAAGGAAATAAATCTCTCCTACCATGATTCCATAAACCATATACATATGAATAGTAAGCTGATTATGGACCATCAACAAGTGGTAGACATTTTATGATTGTCTTTTCATTCCTGTTTATTTGGTTTTCTTGAACACCTCACTTTACTCTTCAATGTTCAGTATGTAACGATGATATCAAATAAATTAAATTTAAGAAAGATTCCCTGCGGTTCTAATGAGAAGCTATGGCTTATGAGGTTAACCAAGGAGGGAATGAAGAATGGCATTGGATTGTGTTCAGGCTATATCAAGAATATGAAGAAGTTTTATATGTTCGGCCGCTGCACTCTAATCTAGAGGCTAGGCACTAACTTTGTTTATAAACATCCAGGTCATAATTGTTTGAACCTGTTAAATAAGGGTTAAAAGTATTATGATGGATCCGGAGGATAAAGGAAATGAAATTTCCAGAGTAAAACAAGTATTCATGGAAAATAATTATTCAAAGGCTCTTCTGAATAATATTCTCAAGAAGAATGACAAGAAGGAAATAGGTAAGAAAAGTAAGACTGAAGAGAAGTCATAGATATCAACAATGACAATTCCATATAGAAAAGGCACTTCAGAACAAATACAATGCTTTTCTGCTAAGTATAACACTAAGGTATATTTTAAACCTTCAAATTCTTTGGAGAATGCCTTAGTCAGCGTGAAAGGTATGATTCCAAAGATAACACAAAACAACTGTGTACATTGGACAAAATGTATGGGCTTTAACGCCAATAATGCATCCTGTGATAAAGTTTCATGGGTTGCTATTCTTGTTTAGGATGGACATCAGGTGATTTTCTTCATTTCTTTGTGAAGTTATTATAGCGCAGTGTTTTCTGGCTCCTTTGAATAGAATCTGTAAGCAACTAATTTTGTGGATTGTTGGGTTGTTGCTACTGTAATTGATGATTTGATCAGTTGGCTTCCTGTACACTTAGATTTTTTGCTAGTAAGCCAACAAATTCCTTCCAAACGGTATTATGAAGACCAAAGGATGCAACAATAATCAGAGAAGACAAACCGAACATCATTTAGAAAATCAACTACAATAATTATATTGAACACTAAATTGGACAAAGCGGTTGCCCTCTTCACCTCCGTCATTTACATGAACACCAATTGCCTATTAAACGTCGGACATGACATTTCATGATTCATTTCAATGCACGTGGATATCAACTATGGACATGAATTCAATCTTGACAATGTAGAAATTGCAGACTTTCTCTACTTACCTAATATTTCGATTATGTGTAGCTCTCTTGGACACCTCAAATGTGTGTCCATCAATTTGCTTACATCTATGGAGTAAGGTGTATTGGCCGTACTCAGTGTTCGCTTTCTGAACATATACCATCGTAGTTTCGAAAAGGAGAAAAGAGAACATTTTCTGGTTCTATTTTAAAATATTTAATCGATTATAACCACTTGGTAAATGTAGAAAACAACTTCAGTATCATCTAAAGAGTTCGTACAAATCTCATAAAAGGTGTACGCTTAAACCTTCAAACTGCGGAAGCCATGGCTATTAATATTTTGAAGCCTTAAGTTTGCGTTTAAAAGAAATTTGTTTAGTCACTTCAGTCCCAATGGACATAACCTATAAGAAGATTATTTACTTTCAAAAATCTTTTCATTCAGATCTTCTAATACATTACATTTCTCCACTCCTATATTACTGGTTTCTCATTACGTCATTTAACTTAGTAACCAAATATTACTTCGATTTTGACAAGCCTTCTCATTACTACTTGAAATATTACGTAATTCGTTCCCCGATCAAATATGAACTTCATTCAAAATATTTCATGAAACAACAATGACAATTCCATATAGTACAGATACTTCAATATAAATGCAATAGGTTTTTTACTAGGTATAGAACTAAGGCATATTTTAAGCCTTCAAATTCTTTGGAGAATACCTTAGTCAGTGTAAAAGGTATGATTCCAAAGACGACACAAAACAACTGTGTACATTAGCAAAATGTATCGCCAACTGTATTAGTGAAAGGTGTAAACAGTTTACAGTTTGAATGAATGAAAATAGGCGATATATCAAACATCCACTAAAGAATGAAATAGAATTGAAAAGTTTAGAAAAGAGATCAACAATCCCAATGTATGTCATTGAAAGTGGTCACAAGATTGATTTTGACAATGTTAACATATTAAGGAAACATTTTTATTCAAATGAAGTAAGATTGACCTCGGAAGTCCTGAATATTTTAGCGTCACCAATTACTCTAAACAGAAAGGAAGGACTAGATTTGTCACCTACTTAACAGATTATAACTTAGCAAAAACATCAGAAAAGGTTTGTTTATTTGATATAAAGCGCACAGTGATACATTATTATTTACTTAATCACGTTTCGAGCATAAATTATCATTACTCATAATCATATCAATGTAATCACACAGCACTTCGGATATCTGATTTTATCCAATTCACTTACGAGGAGGTAGGAAATGAACAAGGAGAATTACCCAGGTTGGATTGCAGAATAAGACGAAGGACAGATGGTGGTGTAGATACTACCGTCTACAGAAAACCAACACATTCCAACAGGTATCTAGACTTCAAGTCATCTCATCCAGTGTAAGTTAAAGTGGGTTTAGTCAAATGTCTAAATAACAGAGCTGAGAAACTCACTAGTCATTGTGGGGACTTAAAAAGGAATTGAAACACATAAAAGAAGCGTTAATAATCAATAATTATCCCCATCATTTTATTAAGAAATTCACACAAACACATAAGAAGCAAAATAATAACACTAATACAAATACAAATAATAGTGACAACATAAGTAGAAAGGAAATCAACACCTCTATTGTGATAGCATACAAGGAAGGAACATCAGAAACCATACGTAGGATTCTCAACAAGGTTGGAATTAGGGTGGCATTCAAAGCGACAAACTCACTTAGAGGTAAGCTTTGTCGGCCGGCATAAGGATCCGATAGAACCAATTAGGCAAAATAATATAATCTACCAAATTCCATGTAGTGACTGTGAGGTCAAATACATGAGTGAAACTAGCCGGTCGGGGTCAGTTAGATCAGCAGAACATAGGAATTTAGCTAAACATAGAACGACAGACCCCAATAAGATCAATAATCTAGAAAAACACTCAGCCATTGCATTACATTGATTAACACACAACCACACAATAGGGTGGGATAAAACCACTGTACTTAAGTCTAATATAGCAAGGTGGAGAGAGAGAGAGATTAATTACTGAATCTTTGTTCATCGAATCCACACCCAACACATGTGGAATAGGAATGAGGCAACACCTATACCAGAGATATGGAAAACTTTACTACCAATCAAAAAACAAAGAGAGATCAGGTGATAGGAGTAAAATATCAGATATCCGAAGTGCTGTGTGATTACATTGATATGATTATGAGTAATGATAATTTATGCTCGAAACGTAATCAAGTAAATAATACTGTATCACTGTGCGCGATATATCAAATGAACAAATGTAATATGGAATTACATTCTACCACAGTGCCCAAGTTTTACACTTATATTAGAAAAGGTTATCATTTTAAATTGGACTTTTTAACAAACAAACAATATCGATCATCATTTATTGTTCATGAATAAACATGTTTTTTCATATTTTTATACAATAAACAACGAATGACACCTCCTTTTTCATAACATTTACACACCACGGATTCCTTGCTAGTGACAACCCAGAAAATTATCATAATTGACATTCAAGCAATATCGAGACATCTGCATACGAGCCCATATGCCAATAGAGGTCGAATAATTCTATCCAGTAAAACAACAAAGAATTATGTGCATACCCATAAGTAGTAATGACTAATACGCGTTATACAAGAAGTGGCCATCATGCCTCCATAGCCTAGTGGATAACGTTCTGGGGTTTAAAGTGATTTGTAGGAGGTTCGCGTCTCACTGGGAACAACATCAGTGACTGGGGTGCAGGTATGTATATCCAGCTGATGAGTCCCAACTAGGGCGAAACATGCATCTTGGATTCCTCTGCTAGCCACAACCAATTAAATTATCATGATTCACACACACACTTAGACAAACACTTTGATCATTGAATTGCTTTCGAAGACAAGACTGTATGAATTTACGATGATCAATTAGAAACAATCAGTCTTAACAACAAAACATCTAACCAATGAAATAAAGACAAAAATTCCTATATGTACCATTTGACAGTGTATATATTTTGATGCTGAATAAAAACCCGAATATTCTTCTGAAGAAGAAAAAATCTTCTTTTCAATTTTCTGGACACTCAGGATTATATTAAAACTTACCTACATAATGGACTAAGTTTATTTGCCAAGAGACCTGATCACTATAGGCTAGATCCTATTTGGATCTTTAGTGCCAGCTACTGAAGAGTCATGAACTAGGACGAAATAACCTTCTACCAACCAAATATTCCCAATAATTCTGCAGATAATATCAGTCGATGACAAAAACTGCCATCAAGTTTAATTAGAATTTGTTAGTTTTAAGAGTTTTTAGTCAATTAGACTGAAAAGAAGTGAAGTTTCAAGCTTTAACGGTGTGATTGTGTACTAGTATCCGGCTTTACATGGTTCTTCTATTGATAACCAAGCTCTTTTATAGCGTTAACAAAGAAAGCCAATAAGTTTATAAGAAGTGTACCTTTTTAGTGGAAAACTATTGTATTTAGTAAGCAATCTCAGTATATTTCCTGCAATTTCAACGATTCCTTCATGTTAAAAGGGGGATATTGTTAAGTCTACCAACACTTAAGGTTTCTCATTAATCTTAAAAGGTAAATAAATTATACATCCAATTTCTTTCTGTAATTTTTAGAATCTTCAACTGGTGAACCAATCAAAGGAATGAAATATAGTTGGGAATTACGTACTTTTGACAATCAACCAATACATACAAATCGGTTAGCAGATCAGTTATCAACTGGTAGTGATTTTTCAGACAATGGACAAAAAATTCACTTAAAAGGTTATCGTTCAACTGGTGAGGGTATACGCCTAAGATGTTTAGCTAAAGGAACTGATCAAGTTGAAAATCGTATTCGTATTGGTCAGATATACGCTTCACCGATTTATACATTTGAAACAATTAAAGGATTTGATGAACCAGCAAAGAAAATTGAAGGTGATAGAAAACGTTATGGTAAGTTGATTTATTGTGTTGTATGCTCTATCCTGTAAAAAACTTGTAACCCCTAGTCACTTGTATTCTTTAAAGGAAACTTACTTAGGTTAATGGTCTTCATGGGAACTGAGAAAACAGTATTTTGTTACCTGAGAGGGAAAAAAATTGTTTTCAAGCAGCAATGATATTCAAAGTATTACCTAAAAGTTTAATATCCAAGAGATTCTCATTTTACAAAGGAATCTCATCATATCAAGCCGTTATTCACGTGATGCTGTACAGAGTTGACGCATTTCAGACCTTATACATAGATGGCCTTAAACTAAAGTAACTGGTCTTCGTATGAATTTGTTGATGTGTTCCATACGTCTTAAGAAGTAACTCATCCTAAAAACTATGGTTCATTGATCTAGAAGGTCCACTTTCAACCAGTATGTCACGGGTTTAAGACGCACTCCCCCTATCAAAGTTTCGGAAGCTAGGTAACAGTGCTGCTGAGCACTGTGTAATTGTGTTCATCCCTAATACAATAGTGAATTTTGTTAAGATATTGAAATAGAAGATGCAACGAAGGAAGACAGCACTTCCTTCAGGTGAATATAGAGAAGACAGAGGTGATGATGATACCCAACCAACACCACCACCACCAACAAGCTCCAATCACCATCGATAGGAGAAACCTATAGAAAGTAACCTCGTTCACCTATCTAGACAGCATCGTTTTAACTACAGTCGGTGGCGGCACAGACGAGGACGTCAAAGCCAGGATCGAAAAAGCAACACAGGTCTTCATTAACCTGAAATCAGTGTGGAGATCTACTCCACTGCACTCAGCATGAAGCGTGAACAACATCCGGATTTTCAACACCAATTCAGTCAAGTCAGTTTTCTATATGGTTCAGAAACTTGGCACGTTACGAAAGGGATTTCCAACAAACTAAAGACATGTATCACATGAACAGCTGCCTACGCTGGCTCGATACTGAAGATCGGATTGCCGGAATAATAAGAATAAGCAACAAGGAACTCTGGCTGGTAACGAACCAACCAAAAACCTGTTACCCAACAAATATGTAGAGGAAGAAAGTGTAGATGGATTAGGTTGGGTCGACTGGGAATATCATGCTTCAGGCCAGTCCCTCGAGTGCAGTCCGAAGGGGAAACAACGAGTTGGGCGTGCGTGGCGAGGATGACATGGAGGAGATGGTGTGTGAGTAAGAAATGAAAGCTTGTAGGCAGTCGTGCAGCGAATTTCAAAAGGTAGCAGTGAGGAGAGTGCAATGGAGGTGTGCTACTGAAGCCTTATGTTCCCCTAGGAACCCAAGGGGAGAATAATAATTCCATTACATCATAGAATTTACTGATTATAGAATTAATACCCACCTGTTATGCAAATAAACTTTTTTTTTCATCCAAATTGGCTTAGATGTAATAGGTGGATAACCATAACAATGATTTATAAAGGTTGTCTTCATTGATCAGATCCAGTGACTCAATAATGGTAACACATTGACCACGAAAACTGTAGGTACTTGGTTCGATCCCGAGTACGGTTATATACGCGTACTGCTGATGAGTCCTATACTTGGATAAAACATTTGTACGGTGCTTCCAGTTTCTAAACGATTCTCCAACTGATGTCATTCCATAAAATGAATTGAATTAACTCTTATTTGTTGTTTGTATTCATTGGTAACTTTTAGAACCTAGCCAGTTGCATCCTGAAGTAATTGGTTTAAATCCAGATGGAACATTGACAGCTAAGGAAGGTGAAGACGCTAAGCTACAATGTCAGGTTATTGGTAAGTTACTTTACTAGTGCTATACACAATTCTCCTTTAATCTTCTTTAAAGTGAATGTTTTTCTAAGCAAATTTAGATTTCATTTACTCATACTAAAGACACTACCCAAGCATGAGTGATTAATTGGTTGGTTAGTTAATAATTGCACCATCTGTCTTGATATTTCTGACAAGTGAATATTTCTACAATTGCCCAATTATGGTTTCAACAGGGTTTCTGATAGAAACCATCCATTAACCAAAGATCACAAGATGTGATCTCGAAGATAAAAGTATCATGAATTACCGAAATATGACTCATCATTTCTGTGAAATCAGAGTGATCTAAACACGGAATAATTGTTTCACTGGTTTGAGATCGAGCACATCAGCTGTGTGCCGGGACAAATTCAATTCACAGAGCCGAATATACTTATGAATATCCACTATCTAGACGAAGAAGGACAGAAATACAGTTTGTGTAAATTCTGTAGCATGATAATGCACCACATTTTGAACAGTCTGGTGGTACAAGTACTTTATAACTTTATATAACGCTAAAAACAAATATTAATTAAATGAAGTTATTGATGTACTGATACTCTTTCCAAGGTCAAATTTACTAAGTAAGGTTCAATCTAATGACAAACGATTTGTATCCCTATCATGATCCCTTTAACCACGTTATACTTAATTCAGTGACATATATTTATTTTATGATGAGTCTCAATAGTATGTAATGCTGTTAAACAGCTCAGACATCAGTTATCACCTCTGGTGTGGTCAGGCAATTCATCATTAGTCAGATAAGAATCTGGATAGTAACATTGTTGAAAATGCATTCCGAAGGACAGATTTACCTTGCAGGGAAGATTTTTAATGGTAGAGTCTAGTTGTTAATTTTATACCCTTCAGTTTGTTGTTATGCAGTTGCATCCTGAATGGAATATTTACTAACATATATGTCCTCCAACTATGGAGGAACTCAAGATGGAATTAAGTGAGTAGCAGAACTTGGTCAGATATACTGACAAGCAAAGGGCAACGATTATTGGTTAGACTGACTGTAACATTAGCTATCTTTCTTGATGTGCTGACAAGGAAGGTAAAGCATGTATATGCTGACTGATTTGATCGGCTGATCTTGTTCTCAGTGTAAGTTTTTGCTTAGGTTTTAAGTTCTTTATTTTCTATTAGACTTTGGATTCCTAAGTCAATGGGATGGATTTCCTTCTGGGTAACTACATCTCCAAATGTGGTGAAAATTTGATGGAAATTATCCCAACTTCAATGTGTTTACGGATTTGCTACACTTTAGTAGATAACTAACTATAATTAATGACTTCGATATCAGTGATTACTCCATATCAAGACAACATGAAAGTATAGAAAGAAAATGAAATGTAGTAATAGTACTGGGGGAGAATTTACTTCCATATTAAATTTGTTTATTTGATATACAGCACACAATGATACACTACTGCTTACTTGATCACGTTTCCAGTGTAAATTATCACTACTAATGATCATATAAATGTGTAATCACACACACCACTTTTGACATCTACTTTTTATAGTCTCGTCATCTCTTATTCACTGTTTCTAATGGTAGTAACATTTTCCGTATCTCTGGTATAAGTGTTGCATCATATCTATTATATACATTGGGTTGCTCGTTGATTCGATGAACAAAGATTCAGTAAGCAATCTCTCTCAATATCCACCTAATTATATTGAACTCAAGTACAGTGGCTTTATCCTACCCTATTGCGTGGTTATGCGTTAATGCATGTATTGCAATAGCGAGACTCCTTCTCGGTTATTAAACTTGTTCGGCTTGGTTATTCTATATTTAGCTACATTCCTATGTTCAACAATTCTAGCTGACCCCAACTGGCTAGTTCGAATTATGTAATTGACCTCACAGTCATTACATGGAAATTGACGGATTAAATTATTTTGCTTGATTGGTTCCATCGGATTCTAAGCCACTTGACAAAGCTTATCTTTGAGCGAGTTTGTAGGTTAAAATATCACCTAAATTACAGCTTTATTGAGGATCCTAAGTAAGCACAATCCAATTCACTTACGAGGAGGTAGGAAATGAACAAGGAGAATTACCCATGTTGGATTGCATGATAAAATGAAGGACAGATGGTGGTGTAGATACTACCGTCCACAGAAAACCAACACATTCTAACAGGTATCTAGACTTTAAGTCATCTCATCATCATCAGTCAAGGCAGGTTTAGTCAAATCAAATGTCTAAATGTCACAGGTAGTAGACTGACTGGTCAGTACAAGGACCTAATCAAGGAACTGAAGAACATAAAAGAAGCGCCAATTCATAGTGATTATCCTCTACAGTTTATGAATAAATTCATATGAAGACATAAGAAAGAAGTAATAACAGTAACATGAGTACGAATAATAATGATAATATGAGCAGAGGGGTTCACAGTCTCCACTGTGTTACCATCTAAGGAAGGCACATCGGAAACTTTACGAAGGATCTATAGCAAGTCTAGAATAATGGTGACATTCAAACCTACAAACTGACTCATAGATAAGCTTTTTGTGTGGCTTAGGGATCGGGTAGAACAAATTGAGCGAAATAATCTAATCTATCAAATTCCATGTAATGACTATGAGTCGGGTCAGGTGTATAGGTCAAACCAGCCGATCAGAATTAGTTAGAAGAGCGGAAGATAGGAAACTATTGAAATATGGAATGACAGACTCGAATAGTATCAATAATCTAGATGGTGACTTGGCTATTTCAATGCATGCATTAACAGAACACAGAATATTGCGGGATAAAGCCACTGTTCAATATAATTGGGCGAATACTGAGAGAGGTTGTACAGTGAATCTGTGTTCATCGAATCACAGCTCAAGTCAACACTTGTAACTGGAATGACACAACACCTACACTAGAGATATGGAAAATGTTACTGCCATTAGAAACAGTGAATAAGAGATGACAGGACTATAGAAATGAGATGTCGAAAGTGGTGTGTGATTACACATTTATATGATCATTAGTAGTGATAATTTATACTGGGAACGTGATCAAGTAAACAGTAGTGTATTATTGTGTGCTGTATATCAAATAAACAAATCTAATATGGAATTGTAATATGATTGATAAGAAAGATCTGAAGGAAAGTAGCCTTTTTGAAATTCACCGTGGGACCCGGAAATTTGAATAAGAATCTCTTCAGTGCAATATGAACAAGAACAAGCAGAATAAAACAAATATTTTATGACGAATATCACGTCTGCGTAGACCTTCAGAAATGTCTTTTTTCTTTATGCTCCTTTCCTAGTGTAGAAGGTGCTTGAATTCCTAACCAAGTCTTCAGTTGTCAAGCAATTCACCTGTTAAGGGTGTTTCCGCTTTATTCTCCGAAGAAACGGTCTCTATGAGGTAGCCAATCGCCCGAAGTTTACTACTCCACCTCATTAAGATTCTATGAATGTATTCCATTGATGCCATAGATCTTTATTTGAATTTCAGGGATTGGGCTCCCTTTAAAGTGAAATAAATCATCTTGTGTCAGAATTGGTTTCGTTCACTAGTCATATGGAGTGAACAATTTAACCGGTTACGTAATTAGGGAGCCAAACAGTGAATCACTGGGATTTATCTAGCTTGGGTTTAGGAATAAATGTCATCTTTTGGTCAGTCTTTAGTTTCATTGTCTTACATGTCAGTGAAGTTCCTTCACTTTTGGTCGATAACTCTCAAGAAACCAACGAAGTTGACTTCACATCAGTCACTTGAGGCAAATAGCTAACGATTATCTTCTGGTTTTCACACACCTTCATCAAATAGTTTATCCAAATGAGAACCATTTTGTAGACTAGTATAGTTCTGATGACTATGAATGAATTATTTGAATGTCATTCGGTACCCTTTTGTATGAAAAATCACATTTTTACAGACTTTACATTGTGTTTATATTTTTCATATAGATTCATCAACTGGTATTCCAATAGAAAATGAACAATTCAATGTTGGTTGGACAGTAGCATCTGGTCCAGACGGTCAACCGATACGATTGAATGATTTAGCTGAGACAGTCACATTTAATAATGGTGAAATGACACTGAATCAATTAAAGCCAACTGCTTCAAAATCTGGTGGTCTACGCAGTTATTGTTCATTGTATTTAACTGATGAAAATTTAGTTTCTCCAGAGAAATATGAAAATCAAACAGTCATATTAAATTCGAATGTATTTGTCATACACGTGAATCCAAAAGAATCAGATACTCAAATGGTACAACCAGAGATAAGCGATGAACAAACACCCTACATACAGTGGATACCAGGAAAAGGTTAGTTGTTTATTGTTCTCACTCACAGTGAATGATATCTTCAAAGGGATTCTCACTCGACAGGGAATTTTAGAGATTGGCCTTTATTTTTCAAGTTTTCTCATAACTGTTTGCCGTTAAATTTCAATAATATACATTTAAACTCTGATATGAATACTGAACGTAAATGTTCCATAGTGATTAATCCCATCTTTATTGATTTATTAGATTTATCACATTGTGAAGGAATAGTAATGTGTACTGGAATACGTTTCGGACACAGTTTATTGTCCTCACAGTCAAATCAAGATAACTAAACAACTTTGAGACACTCTTCATATACGCCTAATTTCCTCACCTCCTTAGCGATATCCTTAGTAAGATTTTTCATATTTCCCTAACAGGTGCTAGTCATTCTGTTGCTGAATGCATTAGGTGTTGATTCGATAAACAAAGATTCAGTTGTCAATCTCTTCCTCACTCTGTTATATTAGTTTTGAGGATTTTCACCCTATTCCATCCTATTATACGGTTATGGCTAGCATATTTATGGATAGTTGGGGAACGGATGGCTGTAGAAAAATTTAATCCAGACGACAAGTTTACAGTGTTGAAATCAGAGCATATACACAAGTTTCGTCACACATATAAATTCAACAGTCAACGCAATCCAATTCACCGATGAATTGGAAAACGGTGAAGGGGAATTGTCGATGTTGACTGCAGAATAAGATGGAAAGAAGAAGGGAGGTTAGACACTAGTATCTACAGAAAACATTGACATTCAAGTCGCTACTAAACTTCAAATCATCTCACTCTATGTCAGTTAAAGCTGGCTTAGTAGGGCCAAAACACTTACCAGTAAAACAGAAGATGTAAGACAGGAAATTAGATACATTCAAGACACCTTACTCACCAGCAATTACCTTTCAAATTAATTGATAATTTCCTTAGGGATCGTAAGAAAAATATTAGTAACACAGACAATAATGGTAGCAATAAGGATGTTAATAATACTAGTGTCAATACTATGAAGAGAGAATTCAAAACTCTACAGTGTTTCCACACAAAGAAGGCACCTCTGAAACATTACTTAGGATTCTCAATAAGGCTAGCTGGGATTAAAGTGACATTTAAACCTACAAACTCGCTCAGAAACAAGCTTTGTAGGTTAAAACATTCCATCGGTGCAACTAAGCAAAATAATCTGGTTTGTCAAATTCTTGCAATGATTGTGATTTTAATACGTAGTCACAGTAGTCGGCCAGGTTATCCGAGCACAAACCCTAGCTAAATCAAGTTAGTAGATCCTGGTAAGGTAAAGAATTTAGAAAAAAGCTCAGCCACAGCTATGCATACGACTGCACACAACCACATGACAGGATGTGACAGGGTGAAATCCTTAAGACTAACATAGCAGGATAGAGAGAGAGATTGACGACTGAATCTTTGTTTATCATACCAACACCAAATACATGCAGCAAAAGGAATTGACTCTGCACCTGTACTGGATATATATATATATATATATATATATATATATATATATATATCCGAATGACCTTGACAACGCTAAATCCACATATAGGTTAAAATAGTTAACAACCAATAAGAGTTTAGCCTTGAACACAGACGGAAGAAAAACTGGTACAGGTGTGAATACAGTCATGTAGGTTATTTTAAGTTCTTGAGTAAAACACCAGGAAAAAGGTATGCAAAATTAGGAGTATACAGCAAAGTAGTTTATCAAGGTCAATTAGTCTAACCGAGTAGAAAAACGTAGCTAAATCAAAATTAGTAGATCCTAGTATGACAAAGAATCTACAATAACAGTCAGCCATAGACATTCATACACACAACCACACAATAGGAAGGACAGAGTGACAATCCTTTGGGCTAATCTATTGGAGTGAAGGCAGAGATTGATCACCGAATCTGAGTTTATCGAATCAGCACCAAATACATGCCATAGGAATGACCCAACACCTCTTCTATGTGTGTGGAAATCCTACTACACATATCACAAGCCATTTCTCAAAGCCATGTGGTTATCTTGATGTTACTACCAACAATAAAGTGTCCAAAACGTAATCCAGTAATCAATACTCTTTAACTATGTGATATATCAATTCAAGTGGAATTATAAACCAATTATGTTGATATATCAGTGAATGGTACCAAGAATGCAGACTAGACTATTATGCAATGTAGAAATAGCCCTATCACTGATAGTCTAAGTAATGATAAGAACACTGAGAAGGAAATGAGAATTTAAACCGGAGTTCAGACGAGCTTGGAAAATGTTACGTAACACTAAAGATAAAACAAAGTTTAGATACTGATGAGATAATCAGAGGAAGTCGTGGCTTGACGGACTCGAACTATTGATGTGTAATGGTGACTGAAGGTGAAATGAACACCTTGGTGGTCATTGGATCAGAACCAGCTTGGCTGTGTACTACCTGTGCAACAAGACTCAGCCACTAAACAGTTTTCAACTTCACTTCGAATATAAATATATCGGAAGGGTGAAAGGGGCGAAGAAATACGAAAAAAAGACGAAGGGAGAATGAAAATTCAAAATCCATCGATGCAACTCAACTCTCCCAGTTACAGCAGCTGTAAAGGCTGCATTAACGTTATCATTGTTCTCTCGAATTCCTATAATCCCATTGGTTTGTAAGACTCAGGTCCCAGCTGCATCGGAAAGTTTACATGGAATGCAGTAAATCACTTTAACCGTTTTCATTTGCTTCTATATGTGATGATTTTTAACCAGAAAATTAAGCTTGCTTGATCTTGGTGGCTAGTAGAGGAACATACTTTTCGTCCTATTCGGGACTCGTCAGCTAGATGTACCTGAACTCCAGTGAGCAATGTTGTTCTCACTGAGACTCGAACCCAGTAACCATAGCTTCAAGCGCCATAGTGTTATCCATGAGGCCACTGGGGCACCATACCCACCTCTTGTGCAATGAGTATTCGTTGCTGTTGTGATACTTGTAATTTCCCGTTGCTATACAGCTGTACAAGTTTTCTAAACGTCATCCAATCACTGACACTACTCTCTTTAACGACAATTAATGACAACTTTTGCACATTCAATCGATTATTTTGTAGCAGTGTGACGTATTTGTCACCGTATAACTTATACACAAAAGTTGACAATAGTTTTTTTCTTCTATGATTTTAGATTCTAAAGATGCTGTGATAGTGAAAGTAAGCGAATTACAACCAGATGGAAGTGTTATTGTACCCCCAGGCGGTAATCTTAAACTCAACTGTATAGCACTTGGTAAGTTGGATAAAATAAAAATTAACTCTTTAGATGTTTCAAATCATCCTATTTCTAGTAAACACTAGAAAAAACTTCGCAATATTACGCTGCTTAACATAAGATTTATGCACTAAGCTACAAGGCACATATATCTATTTTATGACGGCTTGTGACACTAAACGGTTCCTCAGATCAGCGTACATGGAGTAAAGCTTTAACTTGAAAGTTTTTGGTCGACAGTCAGTCGCTAAATCCAAAGTGCTACACATCGAGGTGCATCACTGGTCAGTTGGCTTATTGGTCCAATCATTTTTGATAAGAAGATAGACTAGTTTGAAAATGGACCAATCAAAATATACTTTATGTTGATCACATCTACGGTTAGACTGACAGTCGATCGATCAACCAATCAATGTTATTATTTTTAAAGGCCAGACTATTCATATATTTATATATATTTTCCTCTGTTTATTGACTTCCGTCTTCGGCTCAGATACATGTTCCCGCTTGTTTCATTATGTCTTCTCCACAAATTAGTAGGGTAGGGAATCGACAGAAAAGCTGTTAAACTTTGGTGGCTGACAGTTGATATTCGAGCATTGTTAACAGGTGTAACCGTTTTGACTTGGAACCAGCTGGACGTGGGTTCGAATCCTGCCCCAACTATCGAGATCTGTGAAGCTAGATAGTTTCACCAGCTGTCAAACAGCATTCTGAACTGGAATAGATTATAGTAACCAACATTTGCTTGCATTATAAACACGTTATTAACTGTTGTAAGATAATAAATGAATGCACTGTTGCTCCGGATGTATTATTTCCGTCAAGACAATTAAACTAGTTGGATAACGTAAAAGTTTCAGTGGGGATGACTCAAAAGTTGGTAAATGAGTGGTCGATAGTCTGGGAGAAAAACGCATATATGTTTGGAGATCATTACTGTCTGCCGTCAGATAATATTAGAATTGAGGCTTATCACAAGCCATTGAAGTAATACGGATTGATTTTTAAAGATACACATCTGATTATTGACTTTTAAGGATCCTGTCAGTATGGCCTTCGTTAGAAGACTTTAGATTACATTTTACTGGATAACTTGAGGTGATTTTCTTTATGCCAAGGGTTTAGTGATAAAAGTGGACTATTCCTTCCTTTGTAGATGCTGTCAGTTTAAGACGCCTTACACCTACAGATCGTCAACCACCACTTTTCACTTGGGAGTTACGATCAAGTGTTGGTGGTCAACTTCTACCTTATGCTGAACAATCTAATGGTCTAGTCACAATACGACAACCATCTAAAGATCCTCAAACAGCTGAAGATGTCGGTGTTAGTACAATGGAATTAGAAACTGTTCGACTCGCACCTGATGCTCCATCTGGTGCTTGGGGGCGCTGTGTTGTTCACTTAGGTCATCAGGTATTCAATTCACCCTATTTCCACGTACAATTACAAAAAGAAACTACAATGGAATCTTATTCACCATTACCCAAATCTCACTGGAGTAAGTGTAAATAAAACTATTTTTTTCAAAACATTATTATATTGGTCGAGAATATTTGTTGATCAGGTGGATAATTTAGTGGGTTTACGGAATACATGCTTAATATCAAGGTCAGACAGAAGTTAGGTCACAACAATAACCAACAAGAAAAGCTTTGTGATTATTATTAAAATGACCAAACAAAACAGCCAATCAAATGTCACTTGGTCAGATGAAGCCATTAGATGACTGACGAATAAATATCAATAGGCCATATTGTTAGCACTGTTGGTGTTTTTGAGAAAAGCTTTGAAGTCATCACAATTCAACAATCCAGCTGACAGAAACCAAAATAGAAATGTTATCCATTAAATTATACTGTATCACCATGTAATAATATCAAATAAACATCCTAACGTGGAATTATACACATACATTGAAAAGGTGACATCACCTAAAAAGGTTCAGTGTGTACACTTTCTAAGTTGAAGGTTGAAATAATCTTTTGGAAAGCATCAGCTCACCTTGGTTAAAATGTTACATCATTTTCGGTTAGTGTTACGTTTTCGAAACTGGTTGGACAATGTTCCACTATTTAACTATGTATTATGATCATTTAGGTGAATGAAGAGCACGATATTGAAATATTAACCATTGAAACCTCAATGTAAAAAAAAATTATGTCAAAACACTTAATACTAGACAATATGAAAAAGGCTTACCCTCTTGTGACCAGCGTATGTATGTGATTCAGTCGTGTAGGTGATTAGTTACTACTCGAATAGCTAAGTGTTAGCGTCTGTCACTTTCTCACTTGGCAACATAGATTACAATCTCTTTAGGTGTCATCAGTTCCCTTTAGGTTGTTAATACGCCGTGCAGATGAATGCCAAAAAGTTAAATGGAGGTCAAGCAAGGCTTCCAGCTGTCTGATGTGAATCAAGTGAGTCTCCTAAATTGATAACCACATTACAAATAATCGAGAAAATCCGGTCAACACTTAAGAGTATGCAACATCAAATGGATTACTCTTCAGTCACCAAGAATGTTGAAACAAATGTATGTGAAGTTTAAATTAACATTTTACAGCACGATGTTTTAATACATCACCTGTAGTCTATTTCAGGAGTGATGCTTGTTTGAATGTTGGCGGCATTAGATTCTTTAAAGTTACAAATATACTTGATTCATTGTAAGAAAACGAAAAAATAAGCGGTTCACTTAAGGGACGTTTGACAGGGAATTCCTCACAATATTATTTTGTTAAAAGATTATTCAACAAAACAATAAAAAGATATAAATTATCTGAACCGTGCAATATGCATTTCCGCAACACATTTTAAACTGTCTGATCACACACACACACACGTACTTGTTTTATGTACTGAGACGGAAATTCACGACGAGAAAGGGTGAGAGTATGAAGGCTGAATTTAAGGCCAAATAACAATCAAAACCAATAGAGTGAACTTGGTTTTCACAGTTGAATTCATCAACGGTAACTTAATCTGATAAACAATCGTTTTTCAACATACAAAGGTGGTTAAAACTTCCTAATAGCTAAGGCCTCAACAAATTTAAGGTTTCACCCTCAACACGTTATGTAAATAGGTCTGAAGGAATAGTCATGCCAGTCCTGTGACCTCTCTCAAAGATATGTTTCGCTACCGAAGAAATTGGATGTCTTCTACCAACGTTTATGCTTCAGGTGATTTAGTATGCTTCTGGAGTCACTTTGCAGTATGTTCCGTGGCCCTTACTTGCATGGATGTATTAGTCCCGTCCCGTTTCACCACACTAATTTGAATTAGTAGATGCAGTGGGATGTAACATTGTCGTTCACATGTTGTATGTGTTTGGGAGAATAAATAGCGTTGATGGTTTCGATTAATCGAACCCCAGCTGCATAATAAGTGCTTCTAACGACAGCGTTAAGTCTTTGCTTAAGGATTGCACTATGGGAGTCATGTTTGTACGGAAGACTGGTGAAGACATCGTTCTTTGGGACAGACTGAAGATCTAGTTTTGGCGCTCTGATAATTTTGTTCTACCTGATAACTGTTGGTGGATAGTTATTTTCCAACAGGATATCAGTCAGTGTTCCACTTTCATCTTCTAAAGTATCCTCTGTGCATATTCGTTGAATCTTAGTTAATAAGCACCTAACTAACGCTCTCTTGTACTGAACTGGACAGAAGCTATGATAGTTAAGATATTGCCCTGTCATGTAGGTTTTCGTAGATAATCGTTTTATGGATTCATCCTGCCGCCGATCTATTACTTTGTCCAAGAAAGGCAAGCAGTCATCGTCCCCTTTCTACACATGTCAAGGAAATGGTGCTCAGTACTTCATTCATTTGGTTTAGAATTCAAGTCGACTGTCCTGAGTTATCACAAACAATTAGGATGTCGTTAGTATATCTTCGACAAAGATGGGCTTGGTTTATTAGGTTCTAGGCTTTTTCCACGTATGACATAAATATATCAGCTAGGAGGGACCTAAAGGACTTCCTATTGGTAACGCCATCAACCTGGTGGAAATTTTTGCCCTCAAATGTGAATTTATTATTGCCTCCACATAAAAGTAACAGCTTTTTTAGATGATCCAAAGAAATGAGTATCGGGAAGATGATTATTTTTTCGATTTCATGTTCAAATACTGATGGAAAAAGTCAAGAATTGTTGATTTGAAGTGGTGGAGCTTTTAATAAGAAAACCAGAAAGGTAGTTAGTTTGACTGATTAGACTTTTGAATTGATAAAGCTTTCAACGGTGAAGAGTGATTCAATAGAATTTCGTGGAATCATTCGGAAATTTACTATTATATTCAAGAGATTTCAAGCCCTTGGATAGCTGAGATTTTACAGATAATGCTTACTTGTTGGAGACTGTAGTTATGTATTCGATAAACATTTGATATTAATTGGGTGATAAATCATAAAGTGCAGCATATTTTCTGGAAGTATCTCTTTCCAGTTCTGTAATACATGAACGAGTAGAGTATGTCGATGTATGTCGTTTAAGAGACCTTGAATTAGGATATATATATATATATATATATATATATATATATATATAAGTCTTTTTCTCTATCAAATGTAAAAATGTGGCGTATATATGATGTCGATTTATTGTTGACATTCAATCCTAGAGAGTGTAGTTATTACCACACATTATCGGACGATATTCACTGCATACCTTGTGAGTTTGTTCAACTTAACAGTCGTTTTATGAAATAAATACATAAGCTAAACTAATCGATAGGGATCCATGAGTTTACAAGGGAATAACAAAGTACATAAATGTTAATTAATGAAGATACCCAACCAACAACAACACGCACCAACGACATCAACAGAAGAAACCTAAAAGAAGTTGTCCCTTTCACCTACCTGGGCAGCATCGTTTCAACTACAGTCGGTGGCGGCACAGACGAGGACGTCGAAACTAGGATCGAAAAAGCAGCATAGGCTTTCACTAATCTGAAATCAGTGTGCAGATCCACTGCACTCCGCATAAAGAACAAGATCCGGATTTTCAATACCAATATCAAGTCAGTGCTTCTATATGGTTCAAAGACTTGACGCGTCATGAAAAGCAATTCCAACAAACTACAGACATACATCACATCAACAGCTGTCTACACTGGCTCGATACTGAAGATCAGATGGCTAGAATAATGAAAATAAGCAGCAAGGAACTCTGGCTGGCAACGAACCAACCAAGAAGCTATCACCCAACAAAGATGCAGAATAAAGTGGAGATCGATTGGATTAGACTGGACATACACTGAGAATACCGTTTGGAAAGATCACTCGCCAGACCAGGAAGTCGAGTGAGACCCAAAGGAGAACCGACGAGTTGGATGTCCGAGGGTGACATGGAGGAGATGGTGTAAGGAAGAAATGAAAGCTTATGGGCAGTAGCAGAGTCAGGTTGAAAGACTGCAGAGGCTACAGTGCAATGCAGGCATGCTAGTGAAGCCCTATTTTCCACTAGGAACCCAAGGGAAAAATAATAAAATAATAAATAATAATCAAGTCAAGTCATTTCCAGGCTACTGGAGATCAGTCATAAATTCACTAACACAAAATCACATAACTGGGTGAGATGCAGTAAATACCTACTAATGGTTTATATATTCAAAAGGAAGGAAATGTTGAACACTGACACTTTTATTCTTTAAATCAACATTCACCTCATACAATGAGAATGATTTAATACTAACTACAGGCGTGTAGACCAATGAAAAGACACTAGAAGAAGATTTGGATTTCGCCGATGGTGATTTAACCTAATGTCGCACAAACTCGATGATCTAAGGGCAAAAGCCAACAGTTTGGCAGAAAAGACAAGGTAGCGAACGAAGACGGGACTTCATTCAGTTGAACGTAGAGAAGACAGAGATGATGAAGATACCCAATCAACAAGAACAGAAACAACAGCAAGCACGAATCACCATCAACAAAAGAAACCTAAAGGAAGTTGTCCCTTTCACTTACCTCGGCAGCATCGTTTCAACTACAGGCAGTGGCGGCGGCACAGATGATGATGTTAAAGCAGCCAGGATAAAAAAGACAGCAAGAAGGCTTTCCTTCTTTAGTCTAAAATAATCAGAGTGGGAATCATTTGCCCTGCACTGCACGGCACCCAGCATAAAGCGTCAACATCATCCGGATTTCCAACACTTATTCAGTCAAGTAAGTCACTGCTTCTATGTGATAGTTGAGAGAATTGGCGCCTTACGATACGCATTTCCAACAAACTTCAGACATACACCAATCACATGAACAGCTGCCACCTACGCTCACTCAATACTGAAGATCGATGAGATGACCAGAATAATAGGAATAAGCAACAAGGACCTATGGTCTATCAGTGAACCAACCAAGAACCCGTCTCCCAACAAATATGCAGAGGAAGAAAGTGGAGATGGATTGGGGATACACTGAGTAAGCCACTCGGAGACATTGCGCGTCAGGCGGGCCCTCGAGTGGAAGCTAAATGGAAACGACGAGTTGGGCGTCGGTGCCGAGGATGATATTAGGAGATGGTGTGATGAAGAAATGAAAGTTTTTGTGCAGTGGTTGAGCCACGTCGAAAAGATTACAAAGAAGAGAGTAAAATGGCGATGTGCTAGTGAAGCCCTATGTTCCACTAGGAACCCAAGGGACAAGTAATAATAATAATATTAGAGGCATATGGAAACTTATATTGCTGTTGAACTTAAAGAATAAGGAGCAGAAGAATTATGGAATGTCAAGCTGGTTTCCATTTATTTCTCTACTACTGAATAACAATCTGATGCTTACTGGTTACCTGGTTTGAGAACCCGTGGTATTTAAGGTCAAACAAGTCGTGTGTTTGAGAACGAATACTCACGTTGACTTGGGGATGATAATTGAATTATGCATGAATAATCACAAGTGCAAAGTTTTAAACCATTAAATTCTGACCCAGCAGCTGAACAGTGATGAGAGAAGTTAGTTATGCGCTCAATTCCACATTGAGTGTAGTGTGCACCTCTGAGGAGTCTCAAAGTGGGACGAAACATCTATCTAGTGTTTCTAGCTTTCCATTGATTGACTGACCGATTTCAGTCCCCCATATCAAACAAGAAAGTCAATGAACTTGTCACCAATAAATTATGCTCGAAATGTTATCTAGTAGGTAAAACGGTTCCTACATGTGCTATAATGAAGTGTAATACGAAATTATATTCCACAAAAGAGCTTGAAATCTACATCTACAGTGATCTATGTTAGCAGTAGCAGTTCAAAAGAAACAAACAGCAGTTACCATGTCAAAATGCACAGTTTTCTTAATATTAGGTCCCAGTGACCTTGAATTCTATCATTTGATTGGTTCTTTCCAATTACACCATATAGTATAAAATCCAGGTTGCATGCAAATTGAGTATATACCTTTTTAATTGTTATACAATTTATTTGTTGTTTAATGGTATATGTTAAACAGATTTCAATTGATTCCCTTCTTTTACTATCTTAACAGGTGACGATAAAAGCATAGAATTAATTGTCAAGGACTAGATCCAGAAGGGAATAAGATAGTTCAAGAAGGTTCAGACGTTGAATTATCATGTGAAGCAAGAAGTAAGTGTTTAAAGGATTTTATTTATTTTCTATGTCTGTGTATGTATTGTAAGCCGTTGTCAAGAGAGTGTACATTGGAATTATGTATACGTTGGTTGTATGGAAGTTCATCGTGGACTGATGCTTGATTATATAGTCGACAGATTTATCACAATGTTAACCTAATGGTTGAACTGTTTTTTCTATTTCCATGGTAATGATTCAACTTCAGTACAACGACTTTTCATTGGGAATTCAGTAACATGTTTACTCGAAGACTATTTTATACATAAGAAATTCATTAGGAAGGTGCTAAACATTAATTTGTTAAGATATGAAATATACTTAACTTGAGGTAGTAAGAAGCTTATTTTAAGAATGTTGATAAGGACTATCAGCTTCTGTAGAATATGTAAAACATTGAAACTTTAATTTCTTGATTTTGTTCATTGAAGGTGCCAAGTATGAGCTCTTTTGAGGAGTCTTTGACCTCGCGTTAAGGATTGTGTAGTCATCTTTATGAGTAGTTTAATCAAGATGCAATTCAGTCACATGAGTTTTTTCCAAGTTGGCATTCATCATGGACAGATACCAGTTTGATGAGTATTGAAAATCTGGAAGTACTGGATAGCTGTTTCATCCTAGTATGACACTTCAGCAATGCACACCCATGAGCCCACCAGGGTTCGAACTCGCAGTCTTCAGGTTCCGTAGCTAGCATGTTACCTTTGAGCCAGTAGGTAAGACGAAACAGCTGGCCATTGCTTCTAAGTTTTCAAGGTTCCTCCAACTGATATCACTTCATGATGAATACCAACTGAAAAAATCTTTAAATCCCCACAAACCCCTAAATTCAAATGAAGTTCCTTCAAGCTTGTCTTATTTTTATTCCAGTGAGTAAACGTTGCTAACGTTTCTCTCACTATAAATGAAATATATTTTGTAAAACTCCAATGAAGTAGAACAATAAATTTCTGACGTTTCGCAACTTCGTCGAAATCGCTTCTTCAGAGAATAAAACCTGTACAAGTTATCGATAGTTTAAATAGTAAAAGGTGACGAATCAGATCACATTGTCATCTATACCATGATGATAATATGAACGTGAATGTCATCGTTATGCTAGTCAGGAAGCGTTCATAATTTGTTTGGAGATCAAGGTGATATGAATATGTGTACATGTAACTGGGTGTGAAAGTGTAAGAATAAATAAATAAATAATATGGATGAAAAATTAGATTTGTTTGTGTGTATGTACTTCTGATCAGATCATTGTGTGTCATGTGTTGTTTTTGGAAATACTGTCCAGGTTGGTTGAATAGTTAGACCTTCCTTTCTGTTACCTGAGTGCATTAGGATTCAACATAATATGAAGTACCTCTGCTATTCTTCTTTCTTTGTAGTTTTGAAAATCCCTTTTGAATAATTTTAATATTTTCAATATCGATTTTGTGACTGTGATAGATAGCGTGAACTGTGATCACCGACTTGACTCGTAGGCTCTCTAGTTCTACAGGATTATTTGGCGGTCGTTTTGTGTAGCTTGGATGTTCTTTAGCCCTAATGAGGATCTCATGAGATGATTCTCCAATATAATAAGCATCACAATCGACACAGTCTAATTTGTAGACACGAGTTTGTATGGAGGTAAAAGGGACTTTATCTTTTACTTGGACTAGAGCATTTCTCGGAGTGTTGGTTCTCTTGTAAAAGATTCTGACTCGGTGCTTTCTTTAGGTTCTTTGTAGCTCTTCGGTTGTATCTTAGAGGAATGATAGAACTATTGTACCAATCCAAGAATCATCATTTGAATTTTCTCTTGGGTCCCACTGTTCATGTTTTTGGATCTTTTAAATGACGTTTCTAAGGTAGTTATTGGAATATAATATATCTGATATATTACTCACTTCCGTTTGCCTGTCATCTTCATTGGTGATGAGCTTTGTGGCTCTCGTGAATAAGTTCCGAGTAAGTGAAAGTTTAGCACTGAGTGGATGTGTTGAGTTAAAATCAAGATATTGATTTGAATGTGTTGGTTACGATAAATCGATAAACTTCGACTTCCGTTTCCATTCCTTTTAACTAAACATTCTAGAAATGGTAGTTCCCTGTTTGCATTTTCATGTTCACATGTTAACTTGATATGTGGAGAATAGGTGTTGATTAACTTCGAAAAGGTTCTGAGGCTAGATCTTCTTTAAATCATGAAAGTATCATCTACGTGCTACTGAGCCCTATGTCCCACTAGGAACTTAAGGGACAAATAGTAATAATAATAATTATCACCAATCAACCAGAATATTTTTGGTTTCCTGTTAAATGTGATGAAATTGTCAACGCGTGAGAAACTTCAAATTACAATTGAACTGCTTTTATGTATGTTTTTCTGTTTTGTACCCACAATTAGATGCAAAAACTCAGGAAGTTTTGAAAGATGATAGAATTTTGATTGGTTGGCAATTTCTTGATCCTGAGAAACATGCTTACTTAACCCCATGGGTAAATAATGGTCAAATAAGTGGAAATAATCTACGCTTAACTGAAATTGAATTACCTGGTGAACAAGATAATCGTTGGGATGTTTGGGGTTATTGTGTTGCTGATATCAGAGATGAAGATCATGTAAAACACTATCAGTCGGATCCATTTAATTTAGCTGTTACAGCTGGAGAAGTAGTAAGTGAATATAAAGAAGTACCTACAGCAAAGAAGGAGGGTAAGTAGATTTATTTTAACTTGTAAACTTAATGACTGGTATTTTATATGCAACAATCATTATCCTACCGCCATAATCCTCTTTCTACTAACTGAATAGTGATAAGGCTTACTTTTAACTGTTTACCTCTTCCCACTTTGATTCACATGGTATATTCAGTGGCTTTGTTAAGTACCATCAATTTACCATACCGTATATCAGTGGATCAAAAGTTGGAGACACCAAGATGAGACGTCAAGAGATTAGGAATTAAGAAATTGAAAATGATAGAAAGTTATAAAATAAAATAAATTAAGGATAAGGCTTAAACCAACAGTCAAATACTTCATGAACTAATTGGATATTTTAGTCTGGATACCATACACACACAATTTACAACTGAAAACTTGTAAAATTAATCTATTCTCGGGAATTCATCGACACAAAATCATCTTTGTGACCTTGACACTATTTACAGGCATAAATGAACAAATTCTTGAAGATAATACAGTAAGCTATTTTCAACAACTTGTTAATTTATATCCTTTATCAAGGTTATGAGAATATTTATTACATGTGAATTTGAGTCAGAGAATTCCTAAGTGTACATGAAAGTTATACATTTTCAACTAAACTTAATATTTAAGATACGCGTAGTTTTGATGGATAGTGACCTAGCAGTAGAATCCAATATCTGTATTTCGTCTTATTTTGGACTCGTTATCTGGAAGCATTGCCTGTCGGTGAGTAATGTTATTGCTACCGGGATTCGAACTCAGGGGATCACTTCAAACGCCAGAGCGTTATCCATAAGACTACAGAAATACAACAAACACTTCTTGTACAACGGGCAGTTTTTTTATAAATGTTTGTATAATACTGTCATTGATTGGACCGAATTGATCAGTCTCTGTTGGGACATGGGCTCGTGTGCAGATGCCTCGATATCACCTGTGTTTTAATTACAGTAATGATGGATGGTGGCTAGCAGTGGAGTCAGGACACGCGTTTCGTTCTATTTGGGACTTGTCAGCTGGATGCACCTGCGATAGATCATGAGTTCAAATCAAGGTAGGGACAACATCACTACTGGAAGACAAACACATCCAGTTGACGAGTCTTAAATATGACGAGATGGACATCCTGGATCCTATAATTAAAACACAGGTAATATCGAGGCACCCCGCACAAGAGCCCATAGGCTTATAGAGATAGATCATTTTGGTCCAGTCAACGATAGTATAATGCAAGCAATTGTACTAAATGCTTAGTTTGATAGATCAGCATTGTTGATACTGAGTAATGAATGGCAGTGAAATGGAAACCTGGTTCATGGAAAGGTTTCGAACTAGAGACCTCATAGTTTACATGTTTTATCAGTTATTAAATGTAATTACCTAATACCTAACGTGTTAATTCCCATAATAATTAAATGTAAAACTTTTGAAACTGAAATGTTCACTAACCGGTGTCGAGTTATTTGCTTTCCTTGGCACAGGTTACATGATATAAACCACAAGAATAGCACTTTCAAACAGGCATCACCGTCATATCAAATATTTCATATTGGATTGTTTTTTCATTAAGTTGATCATTATATTAGGTGAATGAATCAAACGTTTAAATATTTTCCGCATGTTCTACATGATATATGTGACTTTTCAGACGTTTTAGGATCATCATTAAGTTTACATTTTAAAATCTTAGTGAAAAGGATTACTAACTAGTACCTGGTTGTCATGAATTTACATCATGAAATAGTAAGCAAAATTTATCACTTTAATGATATTACATAAACGATTTGTAGTCAATGACTTCATTTTTACAAGGTTAATCATCATAAGTCATCACACTATGAGTGAATATGCCTGACATCTGCCATCGCCAGTGAGGTATCTGATTACCTATTCAGGGACGAGTAGACAGTGTTGCAGTTTGTTTCCTCCTGTTATACGACTGTGAGATATTGCCGTTAAGAAGAGATGTCTTTCTAGAATTACTCCTATTTGATGGGATCACCGTGTGACCAGGTTTGAGGTCAGGAGAAGGGCAGTGAGCAAGATAGTCAAGTAAATTGATGAGGTTGTAAACTTAATGACTGAGATAACTTGGATATGTGTCGTGGATGCCTACCCACCTCTTAATCCAATGTACCATGCTAGGGAAAATGGATGTGTTGGAAGAGAGTTCAAGGTGGCCAGATTAAAACACAATACCGTGAGTGCTTGTCTGAGTCGTGTAGGGAGGTGTAGACTACCTAACTGGAGTCCTCTAGACTATAGGAATCAGTCGTTCACATCGGTTTGGGTTGAGACGAGAAGACCTCAATCAGCAGTTAGTGTAATCACCATAGATATAGAGTTACATATAGTGGATTTACATTGCAGCCGAGCAAGACCTTCATTGATTGATGTAAATCTGAGGATTGGTTAGCAGGTGGTTTTCGTAACTCTGTAGTAGCTACTTCGAATCCTACCATTACCCAATTTTAATTTCATAGACTGATACCTAAAGTAAAAGCTTTAGGATACTTTGCATCAGAAAGGATTTTGTCTAAGCTTAAAAGCATGAAAAGGAAATAAAACCATGTATCATGCAAGAGTTCGAACTAATAACCTAATAGTCACTGTTCTGAAACTGTATCAACTAATCTACAAAGTTTGACCTTCGTTAGATATGTCTTCATTTCCTCTTAGTCAACTTTAACTCAAGGTTAAAACTGATTACACACAGACTATTATTTGCCTTTTTCCCGATTTCTGTAATAGGTATCTTTGTGAAAGTACAAGGAATTTCAGATGATCGATTATTCACCGTAACAGAAGGTAGTGATTCAGAGTTATCTTGTCATGCAATTGGTAAGTTGTAGTTTATTTTTATTTATATAAACAAGGATTTATAGGTGCTTTTCTAGCAATAACAGATAATTGAAATTATGGCAGAGTAGGAAAATAGACAAGGAATTATTGAAATACATGTATGATTAACTAATATAGGATGAATCTATGACAGTCAAGAATTTATGATGGCCATGGAAAAGACACAGGTTGAATGTATAATGCAGGTTTGAACTTCTGGATGGCTAGTGCTTCAGCTATAGATTAAATTCTTAAGTAGAACATATTTCGCCGTCGACCTTAGATTTATTTTCTCCTGTAAGAAAAGTTTTGATCAATATGTGAAAGACAATAAGACTCATTAGACCACATCATTGTGTATGTACCAGTTTATTTGCTCTTGTGGAGCTGTGTACACCAGCCGTACCATGCGTCCAATTGTAAAACCTGGCCGCAAACACTACCCAGCCTGGCTAGCAAAGACAGAACGGGGGTGTGTCTTCAGTTGAATAACAGAACACCTAGAGAGCTCAGGCTAATTGGGTTCTTCTCAGGGCTTATTGAAAATCCTCTACACAGTTCGATCAGACCACTCAAAGTGAGTTAGATCAAGGTATTTGTCTACAGCTGTATTTCTCAACCTGAAGATGGCATCCGACTCCGTTGATCGAGAAGTCTTATGGTAATGTCTCTCACTGAAAGGAGTGCCGAGTAAGTACATCACCTTATTGAAAGCTCTCTACTCGAACACTTGTGGGCGTGTTAGAGCCTAGAGTGAGATGTCCAGGGAACTATGCCCATACGTCAACATGGCCAAATTCTCCATTATTACTCAATTTTATCATAGATATTCTTATTGAGGTCTCAATTTCGTCACCAGGTTGCACAGACGTTAACCTAACCACTGGAGAATTTTCGTTAGACCTAGAATATGCAGATGACATAGTCCTATAAATTGAAGACGTTGACAAGATGCGGAGTCTTCTGAATACTTTCAGTGGGAATTTGAGAATGTTTGGGATGCGTTTCTCACCACCCAAATGCAAAGTATTGCTCCAAGATTGGTCTTCAACGGTGTCCCACCGTGCCTAACAATAAAGAGTGTGGTGATTGAGTGTGTCAACCACTTCACCCACCCTGGAAGTAGGATCAGACCTACCCTAGTTGCTCAGTAGCCGATGAAATCTCTGCATGGATACAAAAAGGCTCGGTTGGCTTTCATCAACTTACGCCATCTAAGGCGCAGCTGTGATATCCGATTGTCTATTATGGGTCACGTGTACTGCACAGCAGTCCGGTCTGTTCTACTGTATGGCTGTGAAACATGGCCATTGAAGGTGGAAGACATGAGAAGGCTTGCTTCAATTGTGTGACAACGGTTGGCTTCGTAGTATAGACCGTATTCCGTGGTGTCACCACGTGAGTAACGCAGAAGTCAGGGTCAGGCGTAGAGTTAGTTCCAGGCAGAAGAGATATGTCAACTGACGAGGTTGTGAACCTTCACCGACTGAGATGGTTGGGACGCGTGGTACGTTTGCCTAGTCGCCGATTGTCTCGTCACATAATGTTGGCCGAAGTAGTTCCAAGCTGAGAAAAGGCTCGAGTTGTCCAGACTAAAACATGGCATCAATGTATGAAGTCTCTGGCTGTTGGTTTGAGCCATGTGGGGCGATACAGAGTGGCCGGTCGGGATCAGTGGGACAAGCGAAACCGATGGTTGGAGACTGTAGGTGATATGGCTCAGAATGATGTCAGTGGCGCAGATGTATACACATTATCCTCATCTTAACGATGCTATACCGAATCTCACCATTTTCTCACTTTTCGTAGTTTATATTTCTTCTGGCTGAATTCTCTGCTCTTCATCTTCCACTTCATTGCGTTTTTACTTGATGTAGTGATATGAGGTGTGGCAACTCGGACCGTTACGCAGTTATGTCTGGTCCTATGTTGATATTGATGATGACTGGTGAAATACTAGCCATCCAAAAGTTAAAACCAACGTTATGCGTCCGTAAAAGGTACATCTACTCGTTATCATTGCCATGGCCACCCTAAAACCTTGACTGTCATAGACTCATCCTTTATTAGGTAACTAACTATACATGTATTTCCATAATCCCTTATCTATTTTCGTACTCTGTTATAGATATTTGAATTTGTTATCTTTTGTTTAATTATTATAACCTTTCAAAAAAAAAGGAGTTATTGATTCCTCTCTACTAATCTCAAAATCTTATTGTCTAGCATACACTCGATTCTTCAGTGTTTGTGAAAGTCTAAAGTCCTGATGTCCATCCTCGAATGACCTTGAATACACCAATAACAGAAGAGGTGATTTTTAATTACAATTTAAATCACACAAAAAAAAATGAAGACCAGTTACGATAAATATTTCATGTGATTTAGGAAATTTTCAATTTTATTGAGGTTCATTAATATAAGTGAAAAACTTGGGCATTGTGGTAGAATGTAATTCCATATTAGATTTGTTTATTTGATATACAGCACACAGTGATACAGTATTATTTACTTGATTACGTTCCGAGCATAAATTATCATTACTCATAATCATATCAATGTAATCACACAGCACTTCGGATATCTGATTTTATACTCCTATCACCTGATCTCTCTTTGTTTTTTGATTGGTAGTAAGTTTTCCATATCTCTGGTATAGGTGTTGCCTCATTCCTATTCCACATGTGTTGGGTGTGGATTCGATGAACAAAGATTCAGTGATTAATCTCTCTCTCCACCTAACTACATAAGACTTAAGTACAGTGGTTTTGTCCCACCCAGCCTATTGTGTGGTTGTGTGCTAATCAATGTAATGCAATGGCTGAGTGTTTTTCTAGATTATTGATCTTATTGGGGTCTGCCGTTCTATGTTTAGCTAAATTCCTATGTTCTGTTAATCTAACTGACCCCGACCGGCTAGTTTCACTCATGTATTTGACCTCACAGTCATTACATGGAATTTGGTAGATTATTTTATTTTGCTTAATTGGTTCTATCGGATCCTCATGCCGGCCGACAAAGCTTACCTCTAAGTGAGTTTGTTGGTTTAAATGCCACCCTAATTCCAACCTTGTTGAGAATCCTACGTATGGTTTCTGATGTTCCTTCCTTGTATGGTATCACAATAGAGGTGTTGATCTCCTTTCTACTTATGTTGTCACTATTATTTGTATTTGTATTAGTGTTATTATTTTGCTTCTTATGTGTTGGTGTGAATTTCTTAATAAAATGATGGGGATAATTATTAATTATTAACGCTTCTTTTATGTGTTTCAATTCCTTTTTTAAGTCCTTACAATGACTAGTGAGTTTCTCAGCTCTGTTATTTAGACATTTGACTAAACCCACTTTAACTGACACTGGATGAGATGACTTGAAGTCTAGATACCTGTTGGAATGTGTTGGTTTTCTGTAGACGGTAGTATCTACACCACCATCTGTCCTTCGTCTTATTCTGCAATCCAACCTGGGTAATTCTCCTTGTTCATTTCCTACCTCCTCGTAAGTGAATTGGATAAAATCAGATATCCGAAGTGCTGTGTGATTACATTGATATGATTATGAGTAATGATAATTTATGCTCGAAACGTGATTAAGTAAATAATACTGTATCACTGTGCGCTTTATATCAAATAAACAAATCTAATATGGAACTTTATTGAGGTTCATTATCAAAGTTTATACGAAATGAAACTCATCCGTATGACTGTATTATATTAAGTCTAGTGATCTGCGGCATAGATGAAAGTGGTCTTTCAAAAGAGTCTTTATTGCCTCAGCATTGTTTATATTCAAATCAGTAGATTGATTCATGAAATGAAACTTAAAGCAATGATTTGATAGTTTTAGCAGTGTATTCTCAAGTTTCTATTAACTCTGAAGTGATTAGTTATGAGAAGTTCTCCCGAAAGACCCAAATTTGTATATACTGGGTGGCACTGTAGTCACTAGTTATTCAAAGCGTCTCTTACCTGCATAAATACTCTGAATTCTGAGAACTATAGCGTTAATATCACTTGGTACTCTTTGCTTTGACTACATCCTGTTAGTTCAGTTGTACTCATTACCAGCATAAACCAAAGTATAATACATTCTACAAGTTGTTACAATGACATACATGTCCCTTTAAGAAACTCCTTAATTTGCTAAACATTTCAGCATTATATCATCATCATCGAAATTATTGAGGCAACTGTTCAGCTGAGATGAAATCACTTTCAAAATCAAAACACAATAAAAACGATACTGCTCTACTACCTTTGCTATGATCGGTTGTCTCAAGGTCATCAAAATTCTACAGTTCTATGATCATCGAAATGCCTGATACATAAAAATGTTTCTTACATTTCTCTCCTCCCCCCCCCCCTACAGAATAAGAATATTACTACGAAAATTATCGAAGCCTTATATAGCTGCCAATAGGTTACCAGTTCCTTGATGTTCTTGCCATCAAAGTCTTGCAGCTTGAAGCTTAAGTGAACTAGAAGTGATTTGAATTCACAAAAAGAACTTCGTCAAAGGCGTGGGTTTTTTCAGCTATTAATTTGACATAGGATTGAAAATAGTATCTTCCTGATTGTGATGGAATCGACTGGATTGGATCATGCAAAAAATTGTAAGGAGCAAGAATACGGGCATACACTGGACCGATGAAATGACTCTAGAAGATTTAGATTTTGTCAATGATGATTTATGTCGAATGTCGCACAAACTTCATCTACAGGAGAAAACCAACAGGTTGGCAGAAGAGGCGAGGCAGCAAATGAAGACGGTACTTCCTTCAGGGGAAAGTATGGACGACAGAGGTGATGAAGATACCTAATCAACAAGAACAGAAACAGCAACAAGCACCATCAGTGGGAGAAACCTAAAGGAAGTTGTCCCTTTCACCTACCTACCTAGATAGCATCGTTTCAACTGCCGGTAGTGGCGGTGGCACAGATGAAGATGTGAAATTCAGGATCGGAAAGACAGCAAGACAGCCCTTTCCTCATCATTTTCTACAATAATCAGTGCGGAGATCTACTGCACTGCACTGCACTCAGTATAAAGCATGAATAACATCCGGATTTCCAACACTAATTCAGTCAAGTAAGTCACTGCTTCTATGTGATAGTTGAGAGACTCGACATATTACGAAAAGCATTTCCAACAAACTGCAGGCAAGCATCACATGAACAGCTGCCACCTACGCTCACTCAATACTGAAGATCGATGAGATGACCAGAATAATAAAAATAAGCAACAAGCAGGTATGGCCTGTCAACGAACCGACTAAGAACCCGTCTCCCAACAAATATGTAGAGGAAGAAAGTGGAGATGGATTGGGGATACACTGAGTAAACCATTTGGAGACGTCACGCGCCAGGCCAGTCCGTTGAGTGGAACCGGCATATGAAATGACGAGTTTCGCGTCGGAGAGTGACATGGAGGAGATGGTGTGATGAAGAAATGAAAGCTTATGGGCAGTCGTGGAACCAGACTGAAAAGACTGTAGAGAACAGAGTAAAATGGGGACGTGATACATCCATCGAATACTTCTCAATCATGTTTGTTAAATTGTGATCACTGTCAGTCTGCTGGATAGTTATTTCTGACCAATGGCTTAGTAATGCTGTCTACAGGAAGTGATCACCTTTTGGTATTCTTTTGTACTGCGTAGGTTTCCTGAATTGTTTCAAGCTATCACACGAATATACGGGAGTAGTAATTGGACAATGTGGGAGGATATAATTCCATCTCAGCTGATTTGTTTGGTGGAGTGCACAGTGAGTGGGCGACAGAGACAGTATTGTTTACTGGATAATTGGAACAAGTACTGTGATTCATTTGAATAGAGAAAGAGTAACGGTTGTCGCAGAATAAAATGGTACCATTTGATTCTGTTGGTTCCTCGTCAGCCGTTTCAGACTAATAACTACTTAAAGGGCACATAAAAATAGAATTTACATATACATTCTGCGGTTCAATGAAGTTAGCTAAGGTAAATCAATATGGTGTGGTAAGTAACATAAACATCAGGATAAAACTAACGAGATATGCCGAAAACTTCCGTCATTTGTTTTCATTCTTGATTTCTTTAACTGAGATGCTGGTAAATGCAGCTGACAAGATCTAAATAGGGCGAAGTGCACACAGTCGAATGTACTAGTCATTATTACCATGGGGACTTTGGTTAAAACAGAATAAGATTCAGTCACAAAATTATTTTTTTAAGATAACAAGAAGGATGAGAAAGATAGACTGATTACTCATTTCTTATTGGATTTATAACCCTTGTTGCAGCCATTTTCTAACTTGAATGTCTTTGAATGTCAGATGATTTGAATTACTCTGTTTTTTTTATTACAATGGATGACTTCAAGGTAGATAATTGATGTCCTGGGTTTACAAGATATCGAGGGATTGAACCGTTAGAATCATTTGTTCCCCTGAACCATACATAAACTTAGTATCAAACGTTCAAAAACTGTACATTATGCCTTTGTTTCTGTTCTTCCATAGTAGGTACCACTACAGAAGCAGGTTAATTTGCACACATAAGCATAACTAAAATTGGAAAGGAACCTAGTGACGTCTGATTATAGAGAGGAATACGTTTTGTTCAGAGAGATGTTTAGACTCCCAGTTGATTTGAATTATCGCAACATCATCTGTAGAGTTACTTACTGTGATCTCAGTTAGCCTTTTTTTTAGATAACTGAGATTTTGCCCGCAGTCACTCATGGGTGATGAGAGAAAAGCAACTGAAATTCAAGTATATTTTATTTAGTGTAAGATGCTTAAACATAATCAATTTGATGATCTGCGCACTAATAGATCACTTTTAGCGTTTTTGATTATGGTATTATACGGGATCGATGGACATTTTGTAGAAAGTATGATCTTAAATCAAACCGAAGACATATCCTTCTGATAGGTGATCCAAAGTTAGTAGTTTCATATGTTCACATGTTCAGTCAATTGTAGTGGTCAGATCTGAACATTTGGTAGCTGATGTAATAAGTTCCTTTTTTATTTCTATTATCAGATTTCAGCACAGGTCAAGATTATGTCAGAAATAAGGTGACTTATGGTTGGGATTGGCGTCAAATGGATGGTGAAGCAGCTCATCTAAGTGAAATTGGTGATATATTACAAACTGATGGAAATAAACTCAAAATTGTAAACACTAAATACACTACACCGAAGAAAGGTCGATGTCTTATCACTGTATGGCCTGAAGAAGACGCTGCAGATCAACAACCACAATCATATTCTTCTGACTTCTTCTTTACAAATATACAACCAATCAGTCCAGCAGATAAACCGAGACCTGAAGAAATTCTTCCTACTGATGGTAAGTTTGACTGATTCTTAGGAAGTGATTGTTGTGACATTATCTAGACAAGTTAGTGAGTAGATGTCTAAGCTAGAACTTTCCGATTGATGCATATCCATAGGCTTTCCATGATATTCCATCTATTATTATTATTTATCCCTTGGGTTCCCAATGGAACATAGGGCTTCAGTAGCACGTCTCCAGTCCACTCTCTTCTCTGCTACCTTTTCAACCTGGCTCCATGACTGCCCACAAGCTCTCACTTCTTCCTCACACGTTCTCCTCCATGTCACCGTCTCCTCGGACGCCCAACTCGTCACTTCCCATGGGAGTTCCACTCGAGGGCCTGACGCGTGATGTCCACAGTTGGTCTTCTCAGTGTACGTCCAATCCATCCCCACTTCCTTCTGCATATTTGCTGAGTGAGACTTAATTCACCTATATGACACTTAGGCTAATTCGTTCTGCTTAGAGACTAGTTAGTATCTTTGCATTCTGATGACGATATAGTTTGAAAGTATAGTATTATAGCAAGCTGAAATGACAAGTGGAAATTCTTGAGTAGAATCTATTCTCCAATCAACCTATAAATAATTATAGAATATGAAATGACAGTCAAAAACTTAAGGAGTAATTGTCGGTTAAAGAGGTGAAAGTTAACTCTAGTAGTTTTGATTGTAGTTTACTATGAGACTGAACAGATTGCCGATTACTTGCTCAGCTGACTGTAAATATATATTACCACTTTTCTAATAATTGAATAGTGATAAGTGGCCATACTTGCGTTTCATAACTGAAATGATTACATAATTGATAAACAGACTAAATAAATCATAAATTTTCACGTATCTTGGCTGTTTCAGATTTCTACTTCTACCAGAGTGACTTGTTCCGAAGGAAGTATATGTATTAGGTAGACATTCCTGAAAAAGTATGAATTTATACTGGACGATGCTTGAAGGTGAGATGAAAATTTGGACTGTGGCAAGATTCCAACCAGAGACTACCAGGTTTCCGGCTCGATGCTCTACCAACTGAACTACAAGGTTTGAGTGCTGACCACATTTTTATTTCACTTCAGTCACCATGGTTTTGCCCAACTACCATGTGAACTCGGGACATGTTAGTATCATTTGATTGTATCCACACTGGCTGCCAAGTCAGGACTTCTCATCCCAACCAAAATAAAACTGAATGGAGAGTGGGAGCATCATACTGATTATTGGTGGTTGAAGTGAAATAAAATTTTGGTCAACAGTTGGACATCCTAGCTCAGTTGGTAGAGCATCGGGTCGGAAACGCGGTGGTCGCTGGTTGGAATCCGGCCACAGTCCAAATTTTCATTTCACCTTGAATAGTCACCCAGTATAAATACCGATCTGCCAAGCTACGTCCATGTCAGATAGTTAATTGATCAACAAAGCACATATGTTTTATCCTCAGAATGATACCTGTCGGTTATTAAAGGCATTCAATGCAAAGAAAGAATTTGTCTCCAACTTTCTGACTTCGTAGAAGTTCTTATTAAGAACTGACATCAGTTCAAGAAGCATTGGGAACGTGGCAGCACTGTGGGGTTTCATAGCAGTACACACCCTGAAGGCGCAATACTTCTCTTTGAGTTTGCAGATATGCATTGCTAACGAGTACTAAGAATTTTGAAATCTAGGTAGACCACAGCTTCTGATACATTACCTTCAATCATGTGACAAGGTAGTACTTTTGTTTTACATAAATCTATGAGGGAAGTATTGGAGACATAAGAAAGTATTCTCAAGTTGACGTAATTATGTAACCGTAGAAGAAGTTATCTAGGCCGAAAGGATAAGTAACCTTTAGTGATGAATCAGAATGAAATCAGTAAATATTGTCAGTTTGATGGTTTTGTGTTCTCTAAGCTGAATGGTTTATTCATGAAGCTTTCATTATCCCTCTCGACAACATAATTAGCACAAACTGATGGTGTTTCTGTCTAGAATAACAATAAGCACTTCACGATTCAATCATTCAGTTAACAGCATGCAACACCATCATAATCATCTTCCTGAGAAGCAAACATTCTTCATCATCTCATAATATTATAGGTTTGAGCAGAGAATAGATGAATATCCACAATAGATAGATGTTTGAAAATTTGGCTAGCTTAGAGGATGGGAGAGAATAAACTGTTAAATCAGTAAACAGTTGGAAGTTGGCAGGGTAATTGCAATTCCAGGGATATCTCTCTATATGAATGCATACCTTTTGTTGATTTCATATAATTGTATTACCCTTTATAGTTAAAAGTTTTGAATATCCCAACTTCATGACTGTGTAATATATGGGGAAGTTTTTCTGTCATAAGATAATCGTTACAGTTGGTTAACCGATTTATGTTCGTAATCGAATCCCACAGAAGGTGATGATAGTCTGAATGGTTATATGGTAAATTTTATGGCATTATTACTGAGTGATGCACATTTGAACTGTTAAGGTGGCACCAGTTTCCTCATGGTTGAAGATATGCTGTACTGGTTAGTGTTAGTAAGCGTTAAACCTAGGTGAAGGGTGTTCTCATAACTTCATGGACTATACTTGTAAATCTTAAAAGAAATCAGACTATTGTTTATTTTACCACAGAATTATGTCAGTGTAAACAATACTGACGAACAGAAAGCACTGAGAACTTGTTGCCTTTCAGTTGGGAACCTCTGTCATGTTACCACTCAAAAAATTAGATTAATAGTGATCAGTAGACAATGTAGGATTAGTCTTTTCTCATTTCAGTTCTACTAGTGTTCAAATTTACTTACTGTTGATCTCATCAACAGCACATTTGGAGATTTCTGCTATAAATGCAGTGAAAGCCATCTTAAGATAGGATGAGTAACTGGAAGAAACTCTTCATTGGACGAAATATATCCATCAAGACTTGGAAGAAGAATAAGTATATTTCAGCGAAGAGTCAATCTTCGGCGATTTCATTCTCAAAGCTATACAGTCACAAGTTTATACACAAATATTCTTGTATAAGGATTTGATAGTTGAAAACAGTTTGTCAAGCATAGCAACTAAAATGGTGTCAATATATGAGCTCTCATTAAAATGAATAAAAAAGAAGAAACTTTGATGAATAGAGAACATTTTCAAGTTAAATCTGATCATATATCTTATCACTCTCATCAGACTAATCTGCAGTTCTGATGTGTTTGGAGAGGAAATTTCTGTGCTAGGGAACGTCCTGATTGGAAATGGACTCCCAACGAACTTCATAGACAAAAGTATTAAGCCTAAACTTCACAAAGAGAACCAAAAAAGACACTCTATATGAATCTAAACTTTAAAGGTGATTCTGCCACTGACACTCTAAGAAGGAGGATATCAAACGATACAAGGAGAAAGTTCTTTGCGTCAACGCTGAGACTAGTATTCTCTTGTCGCCCAACGATTCCCAACAATTCAAAGGAGGAACTTTCACATCTGTCCTCTTCTATATGTATATTTCAGTTCACCCGCTCTTGTGGAGCCAGGTATATAGGTCGTCCAATGCGACTGTTATCCAGGAGTTGAAGAACACTATCCCATATGGTTACAAAGAGGTAACAACCTAGTTATAAGGAGTAGTGTGTAGTTGGGCCCATCGTGAACACAATTCACCTTGCCTGAAGAACTTCATTCAGTCATCTATAACGTGGAAAGAAACCTCCTAAAGGCTGTATATCTCCGTATTCTCTGCATCTCCAAAGCTCTTGTAATCCATATGGAGAAACTTTAACTTTGTAAGGATACACCTTCTCCTTTCAAGATTTTAATTTCCAGTCTTTGAAATCTCCTTTTGCTTTCCTGTATTTTAAAAATGTTCACTTCTTAATTAATTTGCTATCCTTTCTTGTTTCTACGCCCTTTCTGATCGCAATTCAGTTTCCAAGTATGTGTCGTCATGACATGAAACTTCTTTTCGAAACATCATTGTCCATCCAAGTCTATTCGTTATTATAATTATTCATTATTTATCCCCTGGATTCTTAGTGGAACATAGGGCTTCACTAGCACACCATTGCACTCTAGCTTCTGCAGTCTTTTCAGCCTGGCTCCATGACTGCTCACAAGCTTTCATTTCTTGCTCATGTGATCTCCTCCATGTCATTCTCGCCTCAGACGCTCAACTCTTCATTTCCGCTTCCTATTCCACTTGAGGAACTGGCGTGGCGCGTGATGTTCCTAATCGGCCTTCTCTTGATCTGCATTATTTGTAGGTGCGTAGCTTCGACTGATTGTGACTTTCCTTCCTTCTGAGTTAAATCCACCTTGCTGTCATGATGCTGGGGGAGATTGGTTCCCACTGCATAAGAACCTTCGATGGTCTTGGAGACATCATGATAAACACCCGAAAACTCAGTGTGCTCATGGTTTTCGTCTGGATGACAATATAGGAGAAGATTATTGACTCTCCAGTTAAGAGTTTGGAGAGTCCACTTCTATTCCATCTGCTTTCGCAGATTCCTAACACTTCAGTGCTATACCTTCTCATCTCTTTTGCAATCTGGGCAGCGTTGCTAGGTCCACACATGGTGTGGACATTCCATGTCCCCATGTTTACTTTCGCTTTCATCTAGGGAGAGAAGATACATCGGCCAATTGGTATTCCGAAGGCAGGCTTTCACCAGGTGGCGTCATTTTGTCTCCCCGATTCCAGCGAGGAACAAGTTGGTTTTTGTTTTGTGCTTTGAAGTTTGTTTAGCTATTGGATTGGTTTTACTGGATTGGTTAGGGTTGCTAGCCGTATGCTTAACCTTCCCTCTTTATGTGGGCTTAGGACCGGCTAGTAACTAGTGAACTAGTTAACCAGGTGAGGTTAAGTCTATTCTTACTCAGTGTTTATCATGGTTCCTTTCGTTTTTCTAATTTTAATGACAACTCATATATTGACACCATTTTAGTTGCTATGCTTGACAAACTGTTTTCAACTATCAAATCCTTATACAAGAATAAGTGTGTATAAACTTGTGATTGTATAGCTTTGAGAATGAAATAGCCGAAAAGAGACTCTTCGGTGAAATTCTTTCTCAATAACAATCACCTGAAGAAATATTGGGGAACATTATATATGCGGATAAACAACTTTGAATAAGAGTATCAGGCGAACTGATGAAGTTTACTTGTAATGATTGATAGTATAATTCTGTTCGTCAGTTCCACGTATCACTTCCAAAGTGATAAATTTCATCCATCTTTCGGATAAACAGGTGAATCATACAATTGACTGTTAGATAAACAGTTTAGATAAACATGAGTCTCTATTCGTCTCTCATCCCAAGAAAAAAAGATAATGGAGGAAAAGAAATCAACATGAAAACGAGATAAAAGATTGACATACAACCTAAAGGAGTAGTAAATAGAAGGAATAAAGAAGGGTGAGAAGATAAATCTTGATTCTCCCACTACATCGGAATCAAAGTGTTGTTGACGGACAAGGTAACGATAAACAATTGACCAATTTATCTTTATTTTTCATAAATATTTGTTGATTTGTTTATGAATGAATGAAGTTTCTTTTTGTGCTTTAGTGATGAAATGTTCTTCTTCTTTGTGTAACTGACGTAATTATCACCTTCTTCTCTGTTCTACCCTAACCCTACCCTACCGCCCTCCCCCCTCCAACCCAACTTTTATTTTCTCTATATGGTTAGCTTTAGATGACAAGGTGATATTTGATATAACCCCTATGGATGATAAACAGCGGATCAGTTTAACTTTGGACAAGAAAGTCGATGATATTACTGTTCAAGCGAAACGTAAGATGAATGTCAATATTATTGCGCTTAGTTAAATTTATCTGTTTATTTATTTATTTATTCTTCTTTTGTTTGTTAACTTTTCTGGACATTCCACGGTATCTATATATGTGTTTGTTTATTTATCAAACAACTTGTAAATCAACTTCGTGTTTCAAGGTAGTTTCAGTCATTCGAGGAATCATGGGAAATAAGCAGTTGAACTTTGAGGGAGTTGTGGGAATTTGGGAATATTTCAAGTTGTTATTCATCGTAGACTGACATCAGTTGGAGGAAAAAAGGGAACCTGGGAGCACTGGACAGCTGTTTCGTCCTAGTATAGAACTCCTCAGCAGTGCGCACCCAAGACCTTCAGGTTCCGCCGCCAGCACGTTGCCATTGAGCCACTGGGGGTCAGAATCCAATGCTTCATATTTCCAACTCCTGTTAGCTCACGATATAGCGCAACCCGAAGGTCGCAGGTTCCATCCCCGGCTGGGTCGTGGGTGCGCACTGCTGAGGAGTCCCATACTAGGAGGAAACAGCTGTCCAGTGTCCCCAGGTTTCCTTTTTTCTCCAACTGATGTCAGTCCACATTGAATAACAACTTGAAATAAGCAGTTGTTGATCAGTAGTTTCAGCTTATTTTCTCGCTTTATATTCTGGCAAACATATAACTAATACACAGCATCGAGTCATCCTCCTTCTCCTGTGACCAAATAGTATAAGTAATCAAATTACACTGTTGGCTATTGATGGCTTGCATAACTAAATGGTAAGTTATGTGGTTACAGCGCTAACTGACACTGGTTTGAATCTCTAAGGGGATATCAGTCCCCTAAAGATTGCAGATTCTTCTTGCTGATGAGTGCCAACGACCACGAAACACAGGTAGAACAAAGCTTTTTATCGACTACCTACATCCATCTTGAATCGGTCTAATCAAAATATATCATGAAACTGAGTCTGCTTGCCTAGTGAACAAATTAAAAAGTATTCAACAAAATGTGGTCACCATTTCAATTTGGACTAAATGAAATTGTTTACTCTCCAGAAAGCAATGAGTGTATGAACATACTATTACTGAGAGGTTGGTTTATGATCTAGCACCATTTCTAAGTGGAAACTATCTTTATCCTATGTTTTCAAAACAGTCATTTCTTAATCCAAACCTTTCAATTGAGCAAATGTAGCGTTATAAATTGATATCGTTTGACAAACTGTCAAAATTCATTGAGCATTGAGCAACTGCTTAAGTCTAATTTAAAATTAGTTAATTAATTGTACAATTTTCATTTATTCTAGAAATCAGTAAATCTTCTGACTCACTGAATGTATATACTACCTCTGAACAATAGAGACGGATTTCTAGTGGCATTTCAACTCATTTATTATTTTGTTTATTTGTCTCTTGAGTTCCTAGTGGAACATGGGGTTTCATTAGCGCTTCACCATTTCACTATCTACTCTGCGGTATATTTAACCTGACCGCACGAATACCTACAAACTTTCATTTCTTCTTCATACCATCTCCTCCATATCAACCTCAGACGTCAAGCTCGTTGTTTCCTATGCGGGTTCCACTAGATGCACTGGCCTAGCCTGGTATGTGATGTCTCCAAACCGTCTTCTCAGTAAATGTCCAATCCAATCCACCTACACTTTTTTCCTCAGCATATTTGTTGAGCGACACCTTCGTGGTTGGTTCGTTGTGGAGCCAGTCAGAGTTCCTTATTGCTTATTCTAAGTATTCTGGCCATCTGATCTTCAGTGTCAGTATTGAGTGAGCGTATGCGGAAGCTGTTGATGTGGTTTATCTCTACAGTCTGTTAGAAATGATTCCCGCAACGCGCTGATTCTCTCAACCATCACGTAGAATCTCTGACTTACTTGACTGAATTATTGTTGAAAATCCGTGTTGTTCACGCTTTATGCTGAGTGCCGTGCAGTGCAGCATATCCCCACACTGATTATTTTAGATTGATGAAGGAAGGCCTGTTTTGCTATCTTTCCGATCCTGGCTACTTTGACATCCTCATCTACGCCACCACCACTGCCCGTAGTTTAAACGATGCTGCCCAGGTAGGTAGGTAGGTCGGTGAAAGAGACTACTTCTTTCAGATTTCTCCCGTTGATGGTGATTGGTGTTTGTTGTTGTTATTCTTGGTTGGGTATTTTTTAATCACCTTCTCTATATTCACCTGAAGTGCCGTCTTCACTGCCTCGCCTCTTCTGCCAGCTTGTTGGTTTTTGTCTGTAGATCTTCAAGTTTGTGCAACAAGGCATTAGATATAAATCACCGTCGGCGAGATCCAAATCTTCTTCCAGGATCTTTTCATCAGTGAAACAGCGTATGTCCATCTTCTTGCTCCTCACAGTTATCTGTTGCATGATCCAGTTCAGTCCAGTCGAACACAATCAGGAAGACGATCGGTGATAGAAGGTGGTAACCTTGTCTTAGTCCATCCTGTCTTCACTTCAAAGGCATCACTGAACCTTCCATTGTGATTCACTTGGCATGTAGCATCATATAGCATATAGCTGTTGGATGAAGTTGATAATGTTTTGTGACACAAAAACCATAGTGTTGAAGTAATTGCCAAATTACTTCTCGGTCAACGCTGTCGAAGGCCTTTTCATAATGGGTGAATTTGAGGTGGAGAGTTGACTGCCATTCTATACTGTGTTCTATGATGATGCGTAACTTAGCTTTGCAATTTGATCGGCACATGATTTGTTCTTCCTGAGTCCAGCTAGCTTGTTTCAGTCGTAATTTTGAATGCAGCACATTTTTTGTTTCTCCGAATGATGCGGCTTAATATTTTGCTTGGGTGGGTTAGGACAGGAGCAGGGTTCCTGGTCATTATAATTTGCAGTCTCACTGAATTACTTGTCAAGATAAATTTAAACTATCACCTCAACTTACTTTCGTTTAAAAACAAGAGCTTTAACGCTTATGGTTTGAATCCCACTATGACTAAAGTCTTCATATCATTTTCAATCAACGATAGGCAAACAAGTTTACTAGTACTCTTCACAATACTTTAAATTAATCTGTCGTCTTCCATTTTAAATGTAGACAAGAGGTTTTCTTCTTAGAAGAAATTGGAACTGATATAAACTTGTTTGAAAAGCAAAAAAATGATAAGATATTGCTTGACTTTTAGTTGAGAGCTATTGTAACATTGAAATAGTGACCTTCACAATTCACGTAATATGCACCAGTTTTGTTATGGTTTTCAAAATATCGTATGACCTTGAATTTCTTGAAACAATCGATTATCATAAGTAGTGCTTCATTCCACCTACAGGAGTTTCTAATCCAGCTTGATTTCTACCATGATAAAGGGATGTAGTCAGAGAACTAGGATGTTAGAAAATATCCAGTTGAAATAGTCGATGCCCTTCAACCCAGTACAGTTTTATGGAGCAGACTATGAGCCATAGATGGAGCGGAATTTAAGCGCATTATCCAAGTTAAAATGTTGACAACGAAAGTCAGGTTAGATCCACAGCTTAGTTGGTTAGATAACATGGTTAGTAACTTTGAGGCATGTGAGTTCAACACTTTTAGATCTCATATCTTCTCTCAGTCTTCATTATTATCTTCATATAGAAATATCTATGTGTTGACTAGGCGTGTACGTGAAAATGTAGTCGGTAACTGTTTAATTTTGTTTCATTTTTCTGTCTAACTTTCACCAATCAACGTTTAATCTTATCCTCTTCATTTTTCATTTTAGTAGCTTCAACAAATTCACTATTAGATGAGACAACAGATCCTCAACTAATTTGTTATTCATATGATTTAGCCTATATTAATGGATTACCAGCACATAGTGGTGAACTTGGTGAATCTGTTATATTCAACACTAAAGAAGGCAAAATGACTATAACTAATCCACATTATACAACGAAACCACTAAAGATACGTTTTAATGCAATTGTTAAAGAAAATAATGCGTCTATTGAAGAAGAAGGAGAAAAAGAATCATCTATAGTTGGAAAGCAATCGCAATTGAAACGATATCGATCAGATTATTATCCTATAAATATTGAACCAGTAGATGGTAGTCAAAAACCATCTTGGTCTGATCAACCTGTACCAGTGTATGATAGTAAGTTGAATAGATTAGACTATAGTTTGTTTTGAAAGTTGAAATACTGAATATACTACTTTATTGAAACAGATGGTTAGCTTATAAGGCTATTGATTTCAGGTGTAAACGAAAAATCGTTGTAGTCCTATTAAAAAACTGTATTTCTGTATATTCATATTCACTTTAAAAACAAGCAACAAATGTAATTAAATCAGAATTTATCGGACTCATAAGTTTTAATAGTACCCATCAGTTGTTTACTCTACGTATATGCATTATTATTATTATTTATCCCTTGGGTTCCTAATGGAACATAGGGCTTCAGTAGCACGTCTCCAGTCCACTCTCTTCTCTGCTACCTTTTCAACCTGGCTCCACGACTGCCCACAAGCTCTCATTTCTTCCTCACACCATCTCCTCCATGTCACCCTCGCCACTGTTGCCTAACTTGTTGTTTCCTATCTGAGTTCCACTGAAGTACCTGGCGCGTGATGTCCCTGAATGGTCTTATCACTGCATACCCAATCCATCTGCACTTCCTTCTGCGTATTTGTTGAGCTATAGGTTCTTGCTTCGTTAGTTCGTTACCAGCCAGAGTTCCTTGTTGCTTATTCCTATTATTCTGGTCATCTGATCTTCAGTAAGGAGTCAGCATAAGTGGCAGTTGTTGATGAATAACTGTAGTTTGTTGGAAATACCTTTCGTAACGTGCCAAGTTTCTCAACCATATAGAAGAACTGACTTGACTGAATTGGTGTTGAAAATCTGAATCTTGTTCATTTACTCTACATACATGATCTTATATACTGTTATTTAATAAAGGAATACGCACACACACAGAATACAGCAGACTAAGACATTGACTGAAGCATAGCACCACGGAGTGAATCATTTACACAGATACGATTAGGTTGACAGGGAGTAATGAATTGATAATGAAAAATAAAAGGACTAGGGATGGATCACATCATTTCAAAAAGAACAATTAGTCGTTAACTCGATAGCTTGATAATGGTGCACTCTAAGAGAACATAAGTGTTAGATAAACAATAAATATTGATTATATTAGTAATGGTATTAGTGAGTGATAACAATGAGAATATGAATATAGAAAAGATTAAAAATTACGTCATTTTGAAACATTAATATATATATGAATAGAACTTGTGCACACTATGGTAGAATGTAATTCCATTTTTATTGAGTTATTAGATTTATCACACAATGAAGGAACAGTATTGTTTACTGGATTACATTTTGTGACATAATTTATTGTCCATAGTCATATCACGATAACTACACAACTTTGAGATATCCTTTATATAGTTCTAATTTCCTCGTCCCCTTTGTGATGATACAGGTAGTAAGATTTCCATGTTGTTGCTTGTATTAGGTCTTGATTCGATAAACAAAGATTCAGTTATCAATCCCCGTCTCCACCCTCCAGTGTTAGTTTTAAGAATTTTCACCTTATCCCATCCTATTCTGTGATTGTGTGTAATCGCATGCATAGCTATGGCTGAGCTCCTTTCTAAATTCTTTAACTTCCTAGGATCTACCAATTTTGACCTAGCTACGTTTTTGTGCTCGGATAGCTTAACTGACTCTCGTCAACTACTTCGACTGGCAGTCATTGCAAGAGATTTGGTTAACCAAGTTATTCTGTTTAATAAGGTCATAGGATCTTCTAACCTACAAAGCTTACTTTGAGGTGAGTTTGTAGGTTTAAATGCCACTGTAATCCGAGCCAGCCTCATTGAGAATCCCATGTAGTGTTTCTGAGGTGCCTCCTTTGTATGATAATACTGTGGAGGTTTTGAATTCTCTATTCACAGTATTGCCACTACTATTATAAACCTCATTATCAACACTCTTATTACTATTATTGTTGCTGTTATTACCACTACTATTACTACTATTAATAACTGTGTTACTGATATTCTTCTTACGATTCCTAAAGAGCTTATCAATTAATTTGGGAGGGTTATTATTCATGATTAAGGCGTCTTTAATATAGCTGGTTTCTTGTTTCAGATCTTCTGTTTTACTAGTAAGTGTTTTGGCCCTGTCACTTAAACATTTTTCCAACTCAACTTTAACTGGCACAGGATGAGACAAAGTGAAGTTTGAGTAACGATTCGAATATGAAGGTTTTCAGTAGATCACATAGTCTAAACTCGCATTTTGTTTCCGTTTTATTCGACAATCCAACATCACTAATTCTCCTGCACTGTTTTCTAATTCATCGGTGAATTGGAACATTGCTTAGTTCATTACTACGAACTGAAAATAAAAATATGCAGCAAATTAATTCAATTCTCACGTAAGACAAGCAAATTTAAGAGTTAGGTAACACGAGGAGTCATAACAATCTAAGGTAGTTTGCGTGGCTGAGGCGGTTACTTTGTTCTTCCAGGAAAAATGGTGTTGTTTGTAGTTGCGACAAACGAAATAGTTTAGACGATTAAGAATTTATGTGTTGCTTACTACTGACAAGGGAACACTTTTCTGTAGCCATTTAAAATAATTTTTATGGCGGGTTCACTCATTTTGTTTATGAAATATTTGTATTAGTGTGCAAAAATTCATTCATAATATATAAATTGCCTATCACCTACTTTTTATGTATTTATATTCTGCCTACTTATTTATTGTTTCAGTAAGCGGTAAATCTAACAAAGTACAAATTGAAGGATTAGATGAAAATGGCAATGCAGCTGGAATACCGGAGAAGATATGACACTGACGTGTTTAGTATTAGGTAGGTAGAGTCTGGAGTTGATCACTATTTATTAAATTGGTAATCCTCAAGAGGCATCACAGGTACTCTGTTTTACTGATCATGCAGTAAATGAATAACTTTAGCTGCAATTCTTATTTTGTGGTAATCAAATGGTTATTTAATCACCAGTCAGATATGTCATATTCCCAGACTCTTTCCTGTTAATTCCTATTATTTTGAGTATAGAATTATGACTTAGGATCTTATTTAGCGTCTACTGATTGTTAGTTATTTAAACCAACTTGGCACCTTGCGATGGACGAGTTTTTCGGTTACAGTAAGTGGTTGTCATTATAAGACGAAGGCTTATTAAAAGTATTCAACTCAATAAAGTACTTGACTGTTGACCTAGACCATGTAGAGAGCTGAAAGGTGCCCTACTGGAGTATTTGAAACGTTAGGAACCAGTAGTTGGAGACTACACTTCAAGGCTTGAATATTTTCAATGAACTTGCTTACTTATATATCATTTGTTGTCTGTGTGTCTTCTTTGTATGCTGCTGTTCAGTGTGGCAACTGGAAGTGACACAGTTGTGTTTTTAATCTGTCGGCTTTCATGTTTAATTTCATCATTATCATAATCGGCATCCCTGATCACTAATAACAGTCTATCAAGTCATGGTTATACATTGATGGATAACTAATGAGCAATCAGTTTCATGTTTTCCATCCTATCCATCCTTTCAGCAATATGGTCACTAAGCCAGGAAGCTCACTAACGTGGTGCACTTTGATGGACCTTTGTTGATTGGAGGCAGTCGGCAGGATGATAACCTACCAAACTTGATAGATAGAATCTAGCAGGTGTCAGGATAAGACAACCTGAAACTGATTGCTCTCCAGTGACCAGTCAATGTATATATTCCATTCCTACAGGTGGTCAATCGAAGCTTTAATAACTCAGTCATAACGCTGCTGACTCCAACATTAGATAACGTGGGTTCAGATCTTAGAGGAGAAGTCAGTTCCCTTGGCGTCTCAGATACTATTTGCTGATGAATGTCAACAATAGCGAAACCTAGGGGGATTGGAGCTTCCTGCAGACTACCTCTAAACAACTTAAAAGCCACTGTTATCTCATTGTTGACAACCGTTTAGTATGTGATGCATATAGTTGTCACAAATTAGATTACACTAACATCGAGTATTTTTTCTCCTAGTTAATTTAATCAGATTTGGTATCTGATAAGAGTTTTAGCTTTACTGGTAATCTAACACTGAAAATTGTCTACTCATTTAACCACTTAATCTGTTGATCAGTTTTGATGAGATTGTTGTCATCATTTATTTTTTATGTCATCGATAGGAAATCATCAGAACGTATACGTGTGTTCATAATAATCCTATCTTATTGCTGTATTGTGATTGGCTGTTTGATGCAGCAGTCAGTAGTTGGACCTTAAAGTGATTGGTCAATAAGAAACGTTCATTTACTACTAACACACTATTGGTAGTACAGATTAACTCATTGAAATATGATATCTGACCAACTGTGACTGCCTGCCCGCAACTAATCTCATACAGATAGTACAGTTTAAGTAGTAGAGATAGGTGAAATCACCTATGACTTAAAATTTGCTTTGAATATTAGTTGGTTGGAGGCAATGGGCAGGAAGCTCTGGATCTAGGTTTCATGCTTTCTGGCATTCATCAGCAAGGCGTATCTGTAACCTCAATGGAACTGATGTCCCGCCTGAGATTCGAACCCTCGTTACCCAGTGTTGTAGTCAGCAACTTTACCACTGATCTTTTCGGGCCGCGGTTGACCTCCTGTAGGACTGGCTTACATGTATTGATTGGTCACGGGAGTGCAACCAATTTCATGTTGTCTAGTCCTGAGTGCAGACCGAATCCTATCGATCGCATTTGCAATATGGCAACCAAGCTAGGAAGCTCAGCATCGCGGTGCACATTAGTAGCAGATGTTAGTCGGTTGGAGGCAATCGTCAGGAACCCCTTACCTAGGTTTCATGCTTTTTGGCACTCTGAATCTTCCACTCACATTCATAAACAGACTATTGTTTTTGAGACTGAACAGTTGAAATGACTGACAATCAATTCGAGACCAATCTTTTTTCCTGTCTTTTGAAATACCATTCCCTTGGTATTCACCAGCATATGCAACTTGATGACTTCAACCATTGCAAAGTGTGTCATAGTTTGGGTTAGCCACATTGAAGTAAACAGTTCTAAAGGATGTAACGGAAGTAAATCATGTGACCTGACTAAATAATATTTTCCGCATCAGAGGAACCTGGACATCCCGTACCAATGTTTATAGGTTCAGATGATAAGATCTACTTTCAGGGCCAGTTTGTGACCTGAATAGATTGATGAGTACTTCCAATGTGGATATCACTGTACATACACGTAGATTGATCGATACACATGTTACAAAGGTTTAGAAGACCCTAGTTGAATAGTACGTCATTTTGACAGTCTGTACCTAAGGATCTCATCGTCATAGTCACCTACGCTTGGGAAATTGATGATATGTCGAAGAAGCCAGACTGTTAATGAGCCTTTTTGACAATAAAATTTCAACTAGTAGTTCATATATTCATATTTATCACATATACTTCAGTCTCAACAGCCATATGGTAGCGCTGACGTTTTCCTTATACAAAATTCTAACTCATACTAGATGAAAGTAGCATTAGAAACCGGTTTTTCCAATAAGAGATGTATGAGACAATATAAACATGACCAATAGTCTTTAATACATAACTGACAACAAGGTTGGAATAGTCGAGTGTCAGCAAATGACCAATCAGTTTAGATGTAGATTATTAGACTAACTTTTGACCATTATGAGTTGGGATTTTTTAGCACCAAAAGACATTCGGTAACTTGAAAATCTTGTAAAAAGTTGGTCTTGAGTTAATGATTGGACTGCCTTCCATGTTTTAGATGAATCAAGAGGAAAATAAGAATACAGACGACAGAAGTATTCGTTTCATTCTACCTTTACCACAGAAGACTCTGTGGGGCATATTTTCGCCTAGAAATCTGTTAGTCAGCCTTTTTAATACTGACCGGATAGACCTTGAGCCTAGCTACAGAAAATTTACAACTATCTTAGCATGAAAATTTTATATATTATTAGAATATAAAAATGACATGTTTAGTATACCAATCAGATACAAATTAACTTGGGAAACTCAATGTCTGATTTTAATAAACACCTAGATAGACATGAAAGAGAACGAATGACAAATAGATCCGATCAGCCTGATGTAGTGGGCGTATATACAATATCGAAATCTGATTGGTCAGAAATTGTCAACCTTATTGTTAGTCATCATATTTAAGGCATCATAGAATCCTACTTTTGATCTACAAGAGCTACATTTGATTTACTTTTTAAATGACTACTCATATACTTCTGACGAAAGTGTAGAAAGTAACTATGTACAAAGATGATAGGAGTCAATCATTTATTCAGAAAGGAAAATCTGAAATTCATTTGACTGAAGTTTAAGGATGATCAAGTTCGGTTATAAGAAACATGAGAAACTCAAATCAGAACTGAATGTATGATGTCCAGCTGCAAAACATTTATTATGGAACTTTATGCTTCACTGAGCTGCGAAAATCAAAAGGCTAAGACCAGCCTGCGACTGTAACAAACTTTACTCAAAAAAAGTACATCGAATGTACACAATTTTTCATGAACATAAGAAGCCAGCAGGTCAAATCCTTATTATCATTGGTCGGTTATACGACAAATTAGCCAATAAGATTTTTCTTGAGCACGCAGTAACATAAAATAAAAGTTGAAAACCCAAAACATTTACCTTAGGAGTTGATGACTTAAAATATTGATTTTACATTTCAACCGTTTTTCTTATTAAACTGCTTTTTCAACATCTGGCGTAATCGGTTCATCTTTCTGAATATTCGAAAAATCGCCATCTTGTTTCCTCATTATTATTATTATTATTAGAAGTCCCTTGGGTTCCTAATGGAACATAGAGATTCACTAGCATGTCTCCATGCCACTTTCTTCCCTGAAATCTTTTCAACCTGGCTCCACGACTGCCCACAACCTCTCATTTCTTCTTCTCACCATCTCCTCCATGTCACCGCCTCCTTGGACGTCCAACTCGTCGCTTCTCATGGAGGTTCAACTCGACGACCTGGCCTGACGCGTGATGTCCCCAGTCAACCTTCTCAGTGTATGCCCAATCCATCCCCACTTCCTTCCACTGCATATTTGTTGGGTGATGATTTCTGCTTTGTTGGTTGGTTCGTTCCCAGAGTTCCTTGTTGCTTATTCTCATCATTCTGGACATCTGAGCTTCAGTAATGAGCCAGAGTAGGTGGTAGTTGTTGATGACTGTCTATAATTTGTTGAAAATGCCTTTCGTAATGCTCTGAGTCTCTCAACCATCACATAGAAGCACTGATTTGACTGAATTGGTGTTGAAAATCCGGGTCTTGTTCCACGTGCTGAGCGCAGAAGATCTCCACACTGGTTTTAGGTTAATGAATGCCTGTCTTCCTTTTCTGATTCTGACGTTGACATCCTCGTCTGTACCACCTATAGTTGAAACAGTGCTGCCTAGGAGGGTGGGTCAAAGAGATTACTTCCTTTAAGTTTCTCTTGTTTATGGTGATTGGAGTTTGTTGTTGTTGTTGGAGTTGTTGGTGCGGTATCTTCATCACCTCTGTCTTCTCTATATTCACCTGAAGTCCCGTCTTCGCTGCCCTGCCTCTCCTCTCTGCCAACTTGTTAGTTTTCGCCTGTAGATCATCAAGCTTGTGTGACATCAGACACAAGTCATCGGCGAAATTCAAATCTTCTTCTAAGCTCTTTTCATTGGTCCAGCTAGCGTATCCCCCTCTTCTCACAGCTCACCACTGTTGTCTGCTGCATGATCCAGTCCACTAGACCACAATCAGGAATATCATAGGGGATAGTAGGCAACCTTGTTTCACTCCTTCCTGTCCTCACTTCAAGAGCATCACTGAGCTTCCCACTGTGAACTACTTGGCCGGCATGTAGCGTCTTCATACAGCTGTTGTTAAATGAGGTTGATAAAGATTTGCGGTATTCTGTAGTATTGAAGCAGTTTCCAAATTACCTCTCGGTCGACGCTGTCAAAGGCCTTCTCAAAGTCGATAAAGTTGAGGTAGAGAGTTAAATGGACTGCCATTCAAAAATTCTCTGTTCTATGATGATGCGTGGTGTGGCGTTTCAATTTGGTCCGCACATGATTTGTACTTCCTGAATCCAAACAGCCTGTCTGTTCCGGTTGAAGTTGTGAATCCAGTGTATGCTTTAGTTTCTCCAGGATGATGCGACTTAATATTTCGCTTGCTCTGGGTGAACATAGGTGGAGCGTGATTCCGCACCAGTTCCTGCAAACACTGAGGTCTCCCTTCTTCGGCAGTTTGACAAGGTAACCCTTCTTCCAATCAATGGCCAGGTACCTTCTCTTCCTTCCACACCTTCTGCAATAGTGGTGTGGTGTGAGCATGTCCGCTGTTGTCTCTGCGTCTGTTCTCAGTGCTCCTGGTGGGATCCCATCTGGTCTTGCTACTTTCCCATATTTCAGTAGCTTTACGGCACTCAGGACTTCCACTTTTGTTGGAGGATTTATGTTCACTTGTAGTTCTGCGGCTGGGCTGTAGGTGGGATTCCTGGACGAAGTGCAGGTGGTGGTGGTGGTCGATTCAACAGCTTCTTGAAGTGGTCGGCCCATCGTTTCCTTTGTTCCTCTTCTTTCGTAATTAAATTTCCGTCATCATCTTTTATTGGTTTCGTCTGCGTTGATATCTTCCCAGATAGCAACCTGGTTATTGGATGCAATGTTGTCAGGTCTCAGTCTCTCCCACCTGCAGCAGCCTGTTCTGCTTCACTTGCCAGTGTTTCGTAGAAATGTATTTTGTCTATTCGTGCACTCTTCTTCACTTCTTTGTCCAGTCTTGTGATTTATACATTGTACTCAGTTCCTCTTGTCGTTGAGCATCCTTGCACTGCACTGGTTTATCTTCTGCTTCAACATCCTCATCTCCCTGCTCTATCAGCTTCCATGTGGACATCCGTCCAGATCCATTCCCTGTCCTCCCTTCTTTCTTCTTCCTTCCTCATACGGCTGTGCAGGTTTCTTTCCATATCTCTTTCGAAGACTTCCAGTGTTCTTCCACACAGGTTTCTTCAGGGATGTTACTCGATATCTCCCATTTTGTCTTGATGGCTGTCGTGAAGATTTCCTTTGTAGTTTCATCCTTCAGTTTCCGAGTGTTGTACTTGAACTGTGGTCTTCTAACACCAACTTCCTTGAAGGCTTTCAACTTGATTTGGAGGGCAGGTTCCTTGCACTAGATAGTGTTGTGTAGTCTGAACTTACATCTGCTCCTCTTCTTGACTTTTTGTCAAGTAGACTGCGTCTCCATTTTCTTGAGATTGAGATAAAGTCGATTTGATTTTTAGTTTAGTGTGTCTTGGTGTCTGGTGAAATCGATGTCGCTCACCTTGTGGATATCCTTGTGCATGAACACACTGCCTGACTCCAATCACCAAGTCGTTGAATGCACAGAATTCTGCAAACAATTCTCCATTCTCGTTCATCACCTCACCTCACCGAGCGCTTCTCGACCAATGATGGATGAGTTCTCTTCCTGTGTTTTCTGCTCCCAGTCTGGCATTCATGTCGTCCATTAGAATTTTGATATCGCCAACTGGGGTGGTGTCTTGTCCAATGTTGATTGAAGTTGTTTGTAGAATTCCTCCTTTTTCTTGGCTGCCTTGCTGGGTTCAAACATGAAGCGGTCATTCCATGTCCCCACGTTTACTTTCGCTTTCATCTAGGGAGAGAAGACACATCGGCCAATTGGTTTCTCGAAGGCAGGCTTTCATTAACCGGCGTCATTTCGTCTCTCTGACTGTAGCGAGGAATGAGTTTGTTTTTATTTTTCATATTTGGTTTGTGCTTCGAAGTTTGTTTAGCGGTTAGATTTGTTTTGCGGGGTAGGGTTGCTAGCCGTATGCCCAACCTTCCCTCTTTACCTGGGCTTAGCACCGGCTACTAACTGTAATCTAATTCTTCACTTTCATCTACCAAATTATCCATCCGGTTTTCAATAACGTAGTTGGAGTAGATTGAGTATATCTGAGGCAAAACACCAAAATATAGGTCAATTCATTATGTTCTAGAAGCTCGATCGTTCTTTCTAACTTTAAATTTGCAAACCATACTAAATGTCTGAAGTTTCTTTCATCCCTTAATTTTTTTCGCATACCTTAACCATTTTGATTGAAGTACATGGTTCCAACAGTATCGAACAAACCAAGATTGGATGGATTCTTCATGTCCCCAATATGATGTTTGACAAAGATGTCATTTTGGAGAATTCAATTCTGTCAGATCGCAGTACATGAGGATAGATGTATCACCTAGAAAGGAATCCACTCCATAATGTCTGTTATGCTATCACTACCTGTTGTCGACTAAATAAATTCTTATCCTTACAGTACTAGAGTTCAAACCCATTTCTAATTTGTTGATTAGAGGTGTCAAACAGTGAATCAGTACAATTTATATGGTGACTTATAATGCAACATACCCTCCTTCTGCTTAAGGAAAAGTCAGAAAACTCACAAAGCTTTTAGACACACTTGTAAGATTCACGAATCAGTATACATTGAATATTGAATGTCTTATGAACTAAGTTACTTCTGAATGCTTCCACTTTTGTGCACCAGTTTTAAAAGACAGTGAATTGTAGAAGACTGTGTTGACAAACTTTGCGTAGACTAGCACAGTTAACGACTTCCAGAGACCTTCAGTCTTACTGTGATTAAGAAGTTAAAATGGAAAAGTTAAGTTTGATATGTGCACATACTACTTATAAAAGCATATGTAAGTACTATGTAGTTTGATGTCGCAGGAAAAAGCTATTGGAAAAAAATATTTCAAGAAAATAAGTAAGTCAACGGAAAAAGCGACAGAAACTGATGAAATAATCCATCTCTAGTGTGGAATATGGAGAGACTGTTTGTGTTGACTGTGTTTTGGGTGGTTAATTGTGTTTTCTCAGCAACACCATGTCTCATACTACTTATATGTGTTCTTATAAGTAGAATAGACCATATATGAACCAAAATGCCATAATACCAGTTATTTTTAAGAATAAATTCCTGTTGAAAGCTAGCGAATGCTGTATCCTCAGTCACGCACACACTTATGTAGGAGTCAATGAGCCACACCTGCCGCCTAAACCTCGGTAGGTAGGGTCGGGTTCGAACCCACTACCCATTGGTCAAAAGTTATCTCCTTAAACAAATAAGCCACTGCTGCATAATGAAGCTGACTGATGTTTGACAGTTGTACTTTGAATAGTTGTCTCTGCATAATTTAATTATACTGTTGTCTTCAAATATTTCGTAGATAATCTCGACCTGGAAGTCGACTTGAAGAGTACAAGTTACACTTGGCAATTCATTGACGCTGAAGGTAATCCAGTCAATCCAAGTCGAATTGGTGAACAAGTTGAAATTAAAGATGGACGTTATTTGAATATTAAAGGCTATCGTAAATCAATTGTTAATGATTATATTCGTGGACGTTGTGTTATCATGATGACTGTACCACTTCCGATTGATGCTGAAACAAGAGATGATCTTCCACCTATTCAAGAATATGGATCATCTTACTTTAAATTTACTAAGAAATTAGAAGAAGGCCACCAGGAGACAACAGAGACTTCAGTTACTGAAGAAGGTGAGAAAGTTGAAGAAACAACTACATCTACGGATGAAGTAACTGAAGGAGTTCAAGGTAGTTATTAACACGCTTAATACTTGTCTTTGCATAATATTAACCGAAAAATGTTTTTGAAAATCTATCACTATTTTCCCAGAAAGGTAGTCAAACACAATGAATCAACGTGGAACTACGCACATAACTACGTCGGTTCAAGTTGTCACACTTCACAGTAGTGTCCAAAGAGCTGGTGGATAGATAAAGGAGTGATATCAAAGTAGATTAAGGTGTATCGAAATAGAAGAAGTTTTAAATTGAAGCCCAGTCGAAATACCTGAGCTTCAGAAGACATTGAAGAATGAATACATCTCAGTCACTTTTTTTCCACATGGTCGATACTCCTAAATTCCTAATGCTTATCAACAAAGTTTGTAACTATCAGTATAAAATTCGATTATTAGTTTGACTATCTGAGATAGTACTGGTTGTTTGACAGACCTGTACTATTAATACTGGGTGATGATTGAGGGTGGGATGAAAATTTAGACCACGACGGGATTCGAATCAGTGACCACTGGGTTTCCGACCCGAGGCTCTACCAACCGTGGATATTCAAATGATAATCAGTATGATGTTCCTCCTCCCTTCTGATTCAGTCACATTTGGATTTGAATCAGAAGTCCTGATAGATGGGCAGCCAGTGTGAGTACGATCAAGTAATACTATTGTTTCACGAATTACTATAGTAGTTGGGTCAAACTCACGGTGATTGAACTGAAATAAAAACCTAATCACGAGTAGGACATCGTAGTTCAGTTGGCAGAGCATCAGATGGGAAACCCAGTGGTTGCTGGTTCGAATTCAGCTGTAGTCCAAATTGTCATTTTATCTTCAATCATCACCCAGTATCTATAAAATATGAATCAGATCACCAAGAGATTGGCTTATTTACACATATAGGAAGAAGCGAAGAATGATCAAGAAACTTAATGGTGGATAGTGGCTAATAGTTGAATCCAAGGTGCGCGTTTCGTCCTAGTTGTGACTCATCAGCTGAATGCACCTGCCTCCCAGTGAGTGATGCTGTCCTCACTAAAGCTGTAACCCAGGACCAATCACTTCAAACCTCAGAGCGTTATTCACTAAGGTACCAACTCACAATAGCAACTTCTTGTGCGACGGGAATAATTTCTATGTTTTCAGTGTATTATCTTGTCGTTAACTGAACCGAGTTGATCCGTCTCTATTGGCTTACGGACTGTTGTACGGATATCTCAGTATTATCTGTCTTTCAATTTCAAATAACCACATTATCATGAATAGTTATGAAATAATCTTTCACTCGAAATTATTCAGTATATACTGTCAAGTGACAGCTTGAATCATAAAAAAAACTTGTGAATATCAGGGTTAATAATTCCTTTTCACCTGCTTTCAAGGTCATTTAGACAGATGAAAGTTTTAGCATGAAAGGATTTGATTTTATTGTCTATTTTTGCATTATGTTGTATACCATTCGAAAGGTAACATGGATCATTGGAAAGACGTTTCAGAATCATCAAATAAGGAGTAGAGGGTGGAGTGGAGTGAATACTTGAATGAAGAATCACTGATACAGTATATCAGGTGCTATTCGAACAGTAAACCATTAAGTGAAAACGATTCTAGCAGTAATGAGAGAAACTATAACTATTTGTTGGTATGCTTGTAATTCTTCGTTGTTATACTGGATCAAATTGTTCGACCTCTGTCGGTATATGGGCTCCTAAGCGGATGCCTCAAGATAACCTAGCCAGGTCGAGGTAGGACAAAATGCATGTCCTGGATTCCTCTGTCACCCAAAAACAAGTCAGTTACCATAATTAGAACGACTGCTGTTGGTTCATTGTCTTCTGTATGGATACCTTAGTAATGTAATTAATTTCAGTGTGATAGTAACGATTGTTAATAGTTAGAAGTAGTATCTAGAATGAACGCTTAGTTCTGTCTCAAACTCATCAGCTGACTGTACCCTCTTTTAATAAGTGACCAGTTTATTGCTATTTGTCACTGTCCATCATTACCATTCAACTGAAATTACTGTCAATATCGAGGTATTTGTATACATGTCAATAGCCCAACAGTTGCTGATCAATTAAGTTACAATCAGTCAAGAAGAAAAAACTTACAGGCTGTAACATCACACTATAAGAAATCACACAATGACTGTTGAGTTTCACTCCTATCATACAATTGATGAAGATTAAATCTAGCTGAATAATTGCAAATAGGATGAGTCTGTTATTCTGAATTCCATTAATAGTCACTAAACATCTTGATTAACCGAGGATGTTGGGGAGGGCCATTTAAAATTATCACCTTACCTGCTTAATTCATCAGATAGAGACAATTCTCGAAAAAGAGGAACGGTCATGCTGATGGACTACTTTATGATAATTATTAGGATATAACTTGGGGGTTTGTGGGGATTTAATGATTTCAGGTTTGTATTCATCATGAACTGACATCAGCTAAAGGAACACTGAAAAACTGGGAGCACTGGACAGCTGTTTCGTCCCACTATGAGACTGCTCAGCAGTGCGCACCTAAGACCTCACTCCAAGAAGGGTTGAGCCCGGAACCTTCAGGTTCCATGGCCAGCACGTTATCATTGAGTTACTGGGGCGAAATTCGCTGGTCGATATTTCCAACTTTTGTCGGTTCATGACGCAGCACGACCACTACTCAATTTGGAGATCATGGGGATTTAGTGATCTTATGTTTGCATTCATCATCTACTGATACCAGTTGGAGGAACAGTGAAAACCTTGCATTACAGGACAGCCGTTTTGTCCTGGTACCGGACTCCTCAGCAGTGCGCATAGACAACCCCGCTGTGGGTGGGACCCAGGACCAGGCCACGGAATCCGAAGGTCCTGAGTTCGATCCTTAGTGGGGTGAGGTCATGTGTGGGCATTCTGAGCAGTCCCATACTAGGAAGAAACACCTGCCCAGTGTTTCTCCAACTGATGTCAGTCCATGAGGAATACCATCTTGAAATTATTATAATATTAGGGTTTCAACAGAGCTGATAGAAACTGCCTGTGAAAAATTTGGCAGTCACGCAAGTAGCCTAATATCACTTTTAGGTTTCCTGTTTTCCGAAATTCTCCAGGCTAACCAGCAAAACATAAGCGTGACGAAGAAATACCTAGTATTTTCTCAGACAAGGCAAACATTCATCACGTTTTAAATAGTTCTCCAAATGATGTCAGTCCATGAAGAGTACTGGCTTGAAAGAAATAAAATCCCTAAAAGTGATAAATGAAATAACTATCTATTACCCCAATTAGTGACATGGTTAGACATGGACATTTGAAGTTCCAACATTATCTGGAGGCATATCATCAACTGAATTTTTTCAGCATTAGTTGCAAAAGATGATGACACTCGTAAGTATCTATTAACCAGGGGTGTGTGTGTGTGAATAACCAAGTTACACAAAAACTAATCTTCATTCCGAACACATCTAAAATATTTTGACACAAGAATACCAACTTTAAACGATGTAAACATCAATTAAAGGTAATGAAAACCGATAGAAATGAATATTTGATGTTCCATTAGACTCAGTATGAATGCAGCACAACAGCGAATTTCCACATGAATTCATGGAAAAAAGTCACCAAAAGTTAACTTGCACAAATCAAATGAATAGCAAAGCATTTACGAGAACCGGCGCATAATCATTCTACTGTCCACAACAAGCAAAATATTAAACAGCGGATCAAATTGAAACGCTACGCTACACATCATGATAGAACACAGCACAGAATCACAGTCAACTGGAATCTACCTCAACTTGATCCACTGAGAAAACGCCTTCGATCGAGCCGTCGACAGAGAAGTGATTTGGCAGGCAGCTGCTTCAACACCACGGTTTCAGTGACACAAACCACTATCAACGTGATTGAACACCAACTATCTGATTGCTATGTGATGCTACATGCGAAGTGATTGACAATGGGAAGTTGAGTGATGCCTGTGAAGTGGAGACAGGGGACAGCATTGAGACACGGTTGCCGCCACCTACTATAATCGATGATCTTCCAGATTGTGGTTGATTGGAGTGGATTGGAGTGGACTGGATTGGAATGGATTGGAGTGTAGTGAAGTGTAGTGGAGTGTAGTGGATGATGCAATAGACAATTGTGAGGAGGATAAGGTGGTCATGTGTTGGCTGGATGGATGGAGAGACACTGGAAGAAGATTTGGAATCCATTGGTGGTGAGTTATGTGTACTGTCTCGTTGTAGGAAGTGGAAGTGGAAGATGTAGAGGTGGAAATTAAGAAGTTGGTAGGAGAGGCGAGACGAGACGAGATGAGGTGAGGTGAGGTGAGGCAGTGAAGGAAGACATGAGTTCGTTGAGTTGAAGGTAGAGAAGAGAGATGTGAAGAGAATACCGAATCGACAAGAAGAGAAACAAGGAGAAGCACGAGTGAGTATGAGTGTGAGAAATGTGGATGAATTGGAGTGTTTCACGTACCCACCCACCTACCTACCTACCTACCTACCTAGGTAAAGCAGCATCTTTTGAACTAAAGGTGATGGTAATGACGGGATGGATGAGGATGTCAAAGCAGTGAGGATTGGGAAGACAGGAAGACAGGCCTTCCTTCATTAGTCTGAAATAATCAGTGTGCAGATCTGCTGCATTCACAATAAAGCGTGAACAACATCCGGATTTTCAACACTTATTCAGTCAAGTAAGTCAGTGATTCCGTGTGATGGTTGAGAGGCTTGGTGTGTCACGGAAAGCGTTTGAACAAACTGCAGACATACACCATTTGAACAGCTGGCACCTATGCTCACTTGATACTGACACTGAAGTTCGATGAGATGAACAGAATAATAAGAATGAGCATGAAGGAAGTCTGGCTGGCCCCGCAACGAACCAACCAACAACCTATCGTCCATCGAATATGCAGAAGACGAAATTATGGATGAATACAGCAAAAACTGAGAAGACCATTTGGGGACATAATGCGTCACGTCAGGTCAGGTCGTCGAGTGGAAGCCAGGCGGGAAATGACGA